GGTTATAGCCGGAGATATCGAATGTGATCAACGTGATCGCTGTGCGATGTCAAAGGGACAAGATGCAGTACGAGAGCCAGGTCGATGTAACCCGGGAGGAGAAATGGAGAGAAGAAACACAAAGTGAAAGAGCACTGCCCTTTCCGTCCTTGGCAGCGGGAGCGAAAAGAAGAAAGAAAACAAAAAGGGATGCGTGTGGTACCTGACATCGAATGCCGGTTTCGATCGTTCAACGTGAGGGAGCCTGTTTCTCTCGCGCTGTGCGTCCCAATCTGGGAATGAGGAAAGAAGCAGCGTCCATCGAATGGTAGGGGGTTGGCGAGGCCGTCCGCCCTGCGGCATTCCAAGTTCAGAGCGTGGCACAAGACTCGATGAAGAGTAACGTGGGCAGGATCAGTAAGATGTGAGGCATCATAAAAGCACTATGGCTCAGGAAACCTGAAAGCATAGGAGAACAAGAAGATGGCACCCTGAGAGGAGGCGAAAGAGGCAAAATTCGATATGCACTGGAATAAACATTCAGGACCGGAAAAAGTTGCCCGTCGCACAGGGGTACGAGGACATCCGATTTCTCTTTTCGTTCGCGGTAGCGAGTTTGCAGAAAATTGAACAAAGAGGGTCGCGTCCGCAGGTAACGCACGCCCGAGGGACACGAGCGAAACAACGTGGGAGGAGAGACCTCCGGATTGGGCGTTTCCGTCAAAATAAGGGGGATGCGGACTTTCTATGAGGCAAACATGGAAGAGGAGGAGGTTGGCGGTGGTACAGAAAGACTCTTTGGGAAGGGGAGGTTACACGGAAGAACCGAGAAGAGATATTCTCCCCTCTCTGTCCACTCCGCTCTTTCTCTCTCTCGGTGTGAAGGTGACCGACCATTCCCGGGCGGTGATAAGCGAGAAGTCCATGTCGTGTGAGCGGGGTGTCCGAGACGGTCAAGTTTAGGGCCAAGGACGGGGCAATGCTCGGTAGGCAAGGGTCGTTGGGGTTGGCGTCGTACGCTTATGAAGACGAGCGTGGCCAATCGCCAAAGTTGATGCGGTACTTATATCTTGCGGCCTCGCCCGCGACAATGCTTCTTGTTCGTCTTTACCACGCAGGCCGCGATCTTGAAAACAAGATTGATCTAGGAGTGCAATTTTCTAACAGGCATCTTGCCTCATACCTTCTCTTCCGCCTTGACCCCAAACCCACCTCGGAGGGCATGAAAAGACATGCTTATGTTCTCTAAAATTGGAAAATTATAATGATCGGAAAAAGAATAAAAAGGGACAAGGATCAACAAGGCGTGCTTCCCCTCCTTCAACATCGACTGGTCGGTCTGGCCACTTGTTGATGGATTCGTGTTTGATGCGATATAGTTCTCCGGTTCTCTGCCGTACTTTCCGGACGAAGAGCAACTCATGTAGTGGCATGAACAGCATTCGTAGGAGAGTTTGGGCGGGGATTATCTGCCAAGGCCGGCTGCCAAGACGGATCGTCAGGTCCCACGCATATTCATGCCCCATCCCTCCATCCGTTCACCTCAGATTCGTCTCCCTTTGTTGCGCAAAAAGGGTCCTCGGTCTGTGATTGCAGGCAAGGACTGCGCCAGGCGTTCGATCCTGCAATAGTGGACGCACTAAAGAGGATAAAAAAGAAAAAAAAGACGCAAGGTGCTCATCTACAACCAAGAATTCGAGATGTAGGAGCGAAATAGAGATGGCCAACAAAGAGCACACGAGATAGGAATAAGAGACGGGACATGGATGAAGACGGAAGAATACAATTGAAAAGAAAAAAATAATAATAAAATAGAACAACTGGGGTGCTTGAAAATTGGCGGCAGCAGCTTGAAAACTGAAACTAGCGATCGGGGCTGGCTGGCCTTGGTCGCGGCGTTCTCGGCAAAGGCCAACCCAAGCCAAGAGAACAAGGAAGCGCGACGGACCGAATCTCATGCGGGCACCGGAAGGGCTCTTGGCTGAACCAGCCCGATTCGTTAGCGGGGACGAGGAGACGAAAACCTCGGAGCGTATTCCGGGCACTAACATGTGGATGCCGCGTGCGCGGTCGGCTAGGTCATCCACTCTAGTGTATGCCGTAGTCATGTCTACATGTAGCCATGCCCTCCTTTTTGCTGATCGAGGGCTGGCGGGTGAAGACACGGGAACGGTGGTAATAGAACAACCCAAACCAAAGGGGGTTCAGTTCTATTGGCGAGAGTTCAGCTCGTGGTTCTCTCGTGGGCTCATTCGTCAGCCAACCGCAACGATGCTGGGCTGGGGGATGGCTGAAATATCGACTGATGCAGGCAGCCTGTTTTTACTTGTTTCTTTACTCTTCTCTAGAAGGAGGCTGTCGGTGTCCTCGACGCTTCCGATTCGTTGACTGTACCTTTTTCTTTTCTTTTACCTTCTCCTTTCTGTTTTGGTAGAATGAAGGCATAGATACAGAGAAAATAAAGAGCAGACTGCGAGGGTTGCTATTCCTCAATGCGCGTGCGCCACTCGTTGAGTCTTCAATCTGAGCGACAGGGTCTACGCCAGCCTCAGCTCAGTCACCCCGTCGCCTTTCGCGTGATATTTCCATGTGGTGTGACGACGCCGAGAGCCACGATGACGGAATCCTCCTTCCCGTTGTGAATGAGTAGCATGCGCAAGGGGGAAAGAGCAAAGCAAATAGAGGCGCCACGCCACCAACGTACATCCCATTTATTCCATTCATAGATGGGGAAGGAGCCGAAAAGACAGAGGGATAGAGAGGGAAAGTACGAGTGGAAAAGAAAAGAAAAAAAGTCCTGCCCAGACTCGGGGTGAAGGGCCAAGCCAACAGCCAAGAGCGAGCCAAGCCCGACTCTTATCTGTTCGTGAGGCTTGGCCGTTCCCTCTGCTCCATGGAAACATGTCCGCTGAAGGTGTCACCGCTTGTTCTTTCTCGTGTTTTCCCTCTCCCAATCCCCGAGATAATGCATCAATTCTTGGCTTCTGCCTCTTTTCGAAGTTGACTGTGCATCCTTCAATGTGTGTGTGTGAGGACGACATCGCCAATGGAGGTTTGAATGGCGGACCAAGAAATATTGTTGCGGCGGGACTTTGCAAGTCGGGAGCCTCCCCACACTGATTAGCCCCCGGCATCCTTTGAAATGTCAATTGCCAGAATGATCAACCTCGAGATGGAACCTTGTCGTCCAAGGTTGCAGGGGTCTTCCCCCTTCTTCATCAGCTCATTGTTCCATTTGCTCACCTCCCACAGTCGGTCCTTCCCAATGGCTGAACGAGGGGGGCCACCGTTTTGTTATCGATACTTTGATACACCACGAACCCGCCAACGAACCCAGCCAGCTTGCCAGCCAACCAGCCCAAAGGCGAGGGACATTGTAAATCTTGGTATCAAATGGATCCAGCATTCCACCACCCACTCCATTGATCACTTCCATCAAATGGCGATGCACGCGTTTCTCCAATTTGCCATCGATTTTTGCCTCCCTTCGAGTCAGTAACCAGCAGCCTGGTCCGCCTAAGCCGCCCCCTGGTCCTTGCCGCCATCATACATTTGATACCTACAACGGTTAAGCCCACATGCGGCGGGCCCCCATAAAAATGCGCTCGCCAGTCCAATGTATCGGGTAGAGTTTGGCTATTGGCCCTTCGCCCAATCTAGCCCCGTCGCGGCGTTTCTTGGCAGACGGCAGCTGAGAGATCAAAGCTCCAAGGGTAGGAAAAGGAACATTGAAGACTTGGACGAAAAGGAAATATTGGACACTCGCAAGACTGGATAGCAGCGACGATGGAGACGTTGCCATGTCTCCATCAATGGCAAAACGTTCAAAGGCCAAGGGATTTTCCGCCTTGCGCGCGTTGGCGGCAGAAAGAAAGGCGAATGAATCCCGAGAATTGAGATGCTCCTCTCCGTGCCATGCCAATGCCAATGCCAGTGCCAAGCCCATCTCCCTTCCTTTCCTGGATCGACTGTGGGTTACAATAGCCTGTTCTCTCTTTCAATTTCTTCCTTTTTCGCTTTTTTCTTCTCTCTTTTCTGACTTGTATTTTCCCTTTTGCTCCCTTCCCTTTCCTCCTCCTTGTCTCCATTGAACACCCCATCGAGCCGAGCCAAGGACCGGACCTTGCGACCGGGACCTGCGCGCCAAGAAAATTCCAAGCAACGCCCATTTCGTTCGTTCGATAGTTTGGGTCCCTTTTTCTCTTTTCTTTCTCTTTCTGATCATTCTCCTGCTCGCACTCCTTTCCCCCTTTCGATCTCACTCCTTTTCTCGGTTCATATATTTCGGCCATGATCCCTTCCTTCTCTGGCGGAATCTGCATCGTCTGCTTCTTTGCCTTGTTGCCTCTTGTCCAGTTGACCCCTGCCAACCTCGCTTGTTCTCTCTCTCGAACCTCGCCATATTTCTCCTCAGCGATTCTACCAATTCTTTGGCCTTGACGATTTCTGGTCTCAATTCCTTGCTTTTTGGGATTTTTCTTGCCGATTTTTCGACTCTTCAATCGAGCTATATGCGGGAGCAGCGGATATTGACACCCTAGCTGCAACCCATCGCGGCTTTTTTTCTTCTTCCGGCCTCGCCACTTTGCGTTTGGTACTCTTGTTGTACGTACGCAAGAGTTGTTCCTGGTGGTTCCCGGCGACATCGAACCGAAATCGACGCGCCGATCGCCAGCGGAAGCGGGTCATTTCGACATCTCGACACCTTTGCTGCCGCGAAAGAAAAAAAAAAGGAAGGGAAATAACTCCCCGTGCAGCCAAGTTTTGCCAAAAGAACGAACGAGCCGCCCTTGTGCGTTGTCGACTGAGAAGGACCTTGCACCACCCGATTTCTTCTCCCTCGCCATCCCTCCCTTCGTATACGAGCCCGCCACGACTCTGCCTCGACTCTCTCGCGCGAAAGGGAGAACCCCACCAGGAACACCCGTTCACCAAAGGCAGGAGGGCGACATCAGCCCCCACTCCCTCCTCCTCCATCCCTCTCACCCTCTCCCCTTGGCGCGCCCGCGCCCGCCCACACGATGCGCACCTCCCTTACGACGGCACTCCTGGCCTTGGCGCCCCTCTTCTCCCTCTTCCACACAGCTGCAGCGACGCGCTCGCCCAAGCGCGGTCTCATCTTTATCAACCCGCGCGAGTATCCCGAGGACAGCGCCATCTGGGTGCAAAGGGGTCGACGCTGACATGGTACTACAACTACCACGCCACCGCCTCGCCCGCGTTTGCGGGCATCCCTCAGGACCGCTTCGAGTTCGTGCCCATGATGTGGGGTCTCGACGGCGACCCGGGCAACCCCGTCTTCTACGACAAGGTCAAGGCCATGATCGAGGATAGCGTCAACATCACACACGTGCTCAGCTTTAACGAGCCCGACGGCACCATGTCCACGGGCGGTAGCGACATCTCTCCCAAGGATGCCGCGCGCGCCTGGGTCGCCAACTTTGAGCCGCTGAGCCGCGATCTCGGGGTCAAGGTTGGACTCCCTGGCTGTACGGGTGCCCCCAGCGGCCTGGCGTGGCTCACCAGCTTCCTCAAGGAGTGCTCCGCGCTGGTGAGTGAAGGTCAGGACAAGAAGAGGAATTGCACCTATGACTTCTTGCCGATACATTGGTACGGGAATTTTGAAGGCTTGGCTAGTCATGTGGGGGAGAGGCTTGCTCTGTACGTTGCTTTTTCTTTTCTCTTTTATTTTTTTGTTTTCCCCTCCAACTACTCTTTGAATTTTTCCCCCGCCCTCAACCCGTTTTTCACCGTATGATTTGAAATTGGGGAAAGCGCCTCCTAACTTTTACCTTTGTCTTTCCCCGAATAGGTTCCCAGACACGCCTATATGGGTGACGGAATACGCTCTCGCGCATGAAGAGCTCGAACCCTCACAAGAATTCTTCAACCAAACCATCGATTGGTTCGATAAGGAAGAGTTTATCGAGCGGTACGCCTACTTTGGCGCCTTCCGATCGACGAACAGTAACGTCGGCCCTAACCCCGTCTTCCTCAACCGCGACGGCGATCTCACCGATATCGGCTCTTGGTACCTGGGCGGGAACGCGACGGGTGTGAATCCTCAGTCTGGCGACAACGGAGCCGGCATGATGCGCGCATCCATGTCGCTTGTTCTCGGTGCTGGTATCTGGGCCACCATGTTTCTCCTTTGATCAATGGCAACTTTGGCTATCTCGGGGGGACCATTTGTTGGCCTAGATCCAATAACGAAAATGGGTTCCTCGTCGGAGAACAAAAGGAAAAGTCAAATTTCTCATGCTCTGCCTTGGGGATACAGCTGCAGCCTTGTGACGAAGACTTTGGGATCTGGAACATATATGCCTTCAAGGTCCCCACACTCGAGACAGCGGACGAATACGACGCGACTAGCAGGGAGCGAGAATGGAGACCGACCCACTGAGACTACAGATAACGGGTTTTGGTCTCATCCTCTACCTCGGGACGCGTATGATCACGTACGGAAGCGCTCCCACTCTTATGCTCTCTTTTTTTTTTTTTTTTTCCATGAGGAAATGGCCCGCACCACTTACGTTGGCCGCGGCCACCTGTACATATTGCATAGAAACGAACCCCAAGCAGCAAGCAAACACACACACACACACACACACACACACACACATACAAACGGCGTTACGGCAAGCGAGGGAAACAAGCGGAATTGGGAAATTGGGGCGCACGGGTTCATCGCTCACACATTGACAGTCCTGTTCTCGTATGGAGAGCATGTATATATTATATACACTTGGGCGATTTGTTTTCTTTCTTTTCCCGGCATTGCGGCATCCCTGACATTTGGATGGCGAGCTTCATCTGTTGATTCCTTGAGCGTTTACTTGTTAGGACAAGTAGCCCAATTTGACGAATTCTTTTGTGACACTCGGTTACCGTCTAGTTTCGGTGACACTAAATCACTCAGTGAGAAGAGACAGCGACAAGAGTGAATGTTAACGGGGTCAAGCTGTGCTGTTGGCGTCAACACACGCTGGGCCGCAATAGGACCAGCCACTTTGATCATTTTCGAACATTAAGAAAGAGAACCGGGGCGGGAGCTTATCCCCACAAATGCATAGTATACCTATGTCGACACGATCCGGGGTCAAGTCAGCCTACGTATGTACGAGTGTGGTGCTCACGTTGGCCCCCGAAGGCCTGCAAACCCGAGGCCTAAAGAGAAGAGACGCCCGGGGACATAGGCAACTACGGCCCCGGCTAGGACAATTGAGCGCTAGAGGTGTGGGGTCCCCTCCTTACCAAACCCCACCTCGCCTCTCCCTTGTTGGGAAGATGGTTTGCGCCGGACAAGGGAGGGCCGAGATGCCACGGTCAACCGTCGGCCTCCCCGCTGAGGCTGGGGTCGGCTTGGGCTGGCGGCATCGCGGCGAAATGAGTGAGGGGATTGGCTGGCTGCTTGGCTGCGTTGGTTTGTATGTGCGGAGTGCGGGGATTTCGAGTCTTTCTGTGAGGTCTGACGACGGCGATGGCTGGATGGTTGATGCATCGCGGATCGAGAGATGGAATGGGTCTTGAGATGCACAGTCCATCAATGACAGCAGTGGTTATGGGTCAGACATTTTCAGCCTTCTCAGTCGAGAGGCTTTTTTACTTTGCTTACATGTATTCACCTGGTTCATTTCGTTATTTGCGCAAGAGAAGAAGCCACTTCTAGGTCCTCTTGGTGAACATGTGTTCTGGATCGACTAGATGTCCTCTATCACGGCGTATACGTCGATTACATATCCAAAAATATTCGAGTGTGAAGCTCATCTCTTGAAGCCATGACGAGAAGCCCAAACATCATTGATCTACACCTCCACTAGCTTGCGAACAAACAGCCGAGCTCCTCGCTCAACCCTCCCCCAGCCCAAGAAATCGCACTGTCCCATCTCGATCCTTCTCACGCTGTTTGGCCAACCAAAAGGTGGGGAAAACATAGCCGAACATGGCCCCAGCAACTTTTTGCCTCGGCAAGTCTCCCAGGCCACGCTGTGAACGGCAACACGCCGGCACCGAGAATTCCCCATTTTCCTTCCTCCCCTTCTTTGTGCCGGCGGCTCCCTCCTGAATATGGGTGGAGAAGGGTGGCCACGCTTGTAGCTGGTGACTACCACGGCCGAGCTTCCCCACATTTTTTCTGTGTCGAACTGCCGCTCACGTTTTTGGGCCTGCGCGCCCTTTCCCCAACTTTTCTTTTGCCCCTCCAAAAAAGACAGAAAAAAAGAAAAAAAAAGAAAAAGGCTGGGTCACTCTCTCAAAGTGTGCCTGCGTACGTGCCTCGGGAAACAGAATCATTGAACCGGACCCTTTTCCCCATTTTCCCCAGTGCGCACCTCCTCCGCTTGCCCCCCTTCCCGGCGGAAGTATTTATCAGGAACGTTGCCGTGGCCCCAAAACCAGAGCTTTCTCCCAGCTACTTCCGTTTTCCCTTTTCTCTAGTTCTCCTTGAATACATCCTTGTATACGACGTTGCTTTCTCGTCCTTTTTTCTTCTTCTCGTGATACCAAAGCCTTGCTCCTTTTCCTTAAACCCCTAACACAAAAAACTACCGTCACAATGGCCGAACGTGTTGGATCCATCCTCAAGCACCTGAGCCCCAGCTCCAGCATGGACCAGATGTATGTTCTCCCCGTCATTCTTCTAAAGAAGAGCAAAAAAGAACAAAAAAAAACTAACCGTTGACGTGACCTCCCAGCCTCGCCAAGAACCCCGATGACATCGTCATCACCCTCGCCGCCCGCACCCCCTCTGCAAAGCCCACAAGGGCGGCTTCAAGGACACCACCCTCGAGTACATGGTCTACGCCCTCCTCAAGGAAGTCCGCGAGCGCTCCAACCTCGACCCCCGCCTCGTCGAGGACATTGCCCTCGGCAACGTCTCCGACGGCAAGGCCGCCTACAAGCTCCGCGCCGCCGCCCTCGCCGCCGGTTTCCCCAACACCGCCTCCGCCTACTCCCTCAACCGCTTCTGCTCCTCCGGCCTCAAGGCCACCGCCGACATTGCCCACGCCATCACCAACGGCTCCATCAAGGTCGGCATCGCCATGGGCGCCGAGAACATGACCATCGGCGGCGACGCCCTCACCGAGCCCTTTGACACCGCCGTCACCTCGGCGTCCAAGGAGGCCGAGGATTGCACCATGCCCATGGGCTGGACCTCGGAGAACGTTGCCCGCGACTTCGCCATCTCCCGTACCGAAATCGACCGCTACGCCGCCGAGTCCTTTGCCAAGGCCGAGCGCGCCCAGGACGCCGGCCACTTTGACGACGAAATCGTCCCCATCACCACCAAGGTCAAGGCCAAGGACGGCTCCGTCCAGGAGGTCACCCTCACCAAGGACGAGGGCATCCGCCGCGGTACCACCTTTGAGGGCCTCAACAAGATCCGCGCCGCTTTCCCCCAGTGGGGCCCCGCCACCACCGGCGGCAACGCCTCCCAGCTCACCGACGGCGCTTCCGCCCTCCTCCTCATGAAGCGCTCCACCGCCCAGCAGCTCGGCCAGCCCATTCTCGGCAAGTACGTCTCCTCCACCACCGCCGGTCTCGCTCCCCGCATCATGGGCATCGGCCCCACCGTCGCCATCCCCAAGCTCCTCGCCATCAACAACATTACCCTCAACGACGTTGACGTCGTCGAGATCAACGAGGCCTTCGCCTCCATGGCCGTCTACTGCAAGCAGAACCTCGGCCTCACCTCCGAGAAGATGAACCCCCGCGGCGGCGCCATCGCCCTCGGCCACCCTCTCGGTGCTACCGGTGCCAGGCTCGTCGTCACTGGTCTCTCCGAGCTCAGGAGGCAGAAGAAGAAGGTCCTCATCGTCAGCATGTGCGTCGGTACCGGCATGGGCATGGCCGGTCTCTTCGTCAACGAGGTCTTGTAAGAAGCTTAAAACACATCAATGGGGAAGTGGGGGCCCGGGGGTTTTCTTTAAAGGGAGATCTTCTCTCTCCCCTTGCATCCTGTAGATATATAGATTTTCTCTTTTTTTAAGCCGATTTGGCAAAGTATAAATGAAAGCATTTAATGAGTTCACACTACAAAATCCTTCTCCCATTTTGAATATGGCCGACCCATGTGTGATTACTCATGGCAGATTTGCCAGGTATACGATAACGACTGGGCCGGGGGTTTTTCTTTTTAAATGCGCATGCAAATGTTTTATTGGCTAGATGTGTCTAGAAGTTCCAATTCGACAATGTAGTGGGACTGTCATGTCTGTAAAAATGCAAGAGGTCCACGCTAGTATTGGCCACGAGTGAATGCTAAAGCAAAACGTAAACGAAGGATACATAACAACAAGCGTCGGCCAAAGGGGAAAAATAAAAAAGAGATAATCGTTTTGGTAGGAAAAAAGTAAACGCGGACGGACCGTGCCAAGGATAGCCAAAAAGAAACGAATGCAACCCAAGTCTGAACGAGCACAGCACGCCTTTTCTCCTGGCTCACATGTATGCAAAAAGAAGACGCAAAAAGTGAAATGAACACATCAATGCATGCGGTATATACTTGATAAACTCCACAGCCCGGCTCCAGCACCTCGACGAGCGAAACGTAGAGGTGGCGTTTGATGAACTAAAACGAAAAAGGGGTATATAGAGGTGGGAGAGAGAGAGAGAGGGAGAGGATGGAATCACTCGACACATCGTCATCACGTCCATCAACTCTCAAACAGGTTCGACCCGTCATCATCAGCCCTGCTCCTCGAAGCAGTCACCACGCCCTCGACGCTATCCTCCAGCTCAGTCATGTTCAGTGCCTCGTGCACGTCGTCGACATAGTGTCGAGGTCCCCGATGAGCTCCATGATGCCCGACCTCTCAATGAGTTTGCGCACCGGGTGCTTCGGGTCCTTGGGTCCCCGGCTAAAGAAGACGCGGGCGTTGCGCTCCCTATACGACCTCACGATATCCTCGAGGACCTGGGTGCCCGAACCGTCCATGGACGTCACGCCATGGATATCAAAAATGATATTCTTGTTGGATTCCTCGCGGCGCAGGCGCGGCAGCGCGGGGTGCGCCATGCTTGTACCGTAAAACTCAAGGCGGCGCAGGCGCGTCTTGAGCTCACCCGTATTGGCAAAAGTGAGGGGCTCGGGAATCTTGACAATCAAACAGCCATCGACGAGCTCGACACGATCCGCGTGGGTCTCGGCGCTTTCGAACCGGCGGGTGCCGGGCATGCGGCCAAGAATCTGGATGCGTGGGCGCGTGGCGTGGCGGATGACTTGAAGGACGGAGAGGCCGATACCGATGGCGATACCCAGAGGAAGGGAGTAAAAGATGGTCGAGAGGAAGATGACGGACATGAGACCGAGCTCGCGCCATCCGTGGATGCGCAAGAAAAAGATGACGTCATGAGGCGCTTCTTCGATGAGCGAAATGGCCACGACAGTAATCATGGCCGATAGCACGGGTTTCTATGGATTGGTTAGACCCGAAGCCTAGACGGACAGAAGAAGAAAACAAGAAAAAAAGAAAAAAGGGCGGCGAAAGCTTACCGGTAGGTAGTACATATAAGGCAAGAGGAAGCTGATCGTGAATAGTGCAATCAAGCTCAGGAACACACACGACATGGGGCTCTTGCCTCCCGTGGCAGCCTTGACTTTGCTCTTACCGTAGCCGCCAAACGCGGGCAGGGCCATGAAGCAGCCGCCAACAAGGTTCGCCACGCCAAGGGCAACCAGTTCGCGATTGGCGCTCAGCTGCATGCCCGGGAAGTCGACGGAGCGGCCGAGATTCTTGGCAACGACATTGGACTCAAAGAACCCAAGGAGGGCGATCAAAAACGACGTGCTCATGGCCTCGCGGATGTGCTTCATGTTGGAAGGCATGAGAGGCCAGCGGAAGGTGAAGAGGTTGCCCGAAGCGGACCTGATGGCGCCAATGATGGGCACGCCGTTCTGGTCCCACTCGAGCTTCCAGCAGAGGATGGAGGCGACGACGACGATGACGAAGCGATCGGGGACGTACGCGACGGAAGGATAGCGGGGCTGAAGCTTCTTCTTGATCTGGCGGCACACCATGATGACGACAAAGGCCGTAAGGGAGATAGTGAAGGTGAGTTTATGGGCGTGTTCCCAGTTGTGGATCAAGAAATTGAGCTTTTCAATGGAGCTGCCGTGGCTCACGCCCGCCTTCTTAGCCGCTTCCGACAGACCCGTCTGCGGGAGCAGTTGGTCAACAACAATGACGAAGCCAATGGCGGAAATGAAGCCGCGGAGAAACGGCCTGCTAAGAACGCTGTCCAAGAAGCCGATGCGCACGAGGCCGGCTGCTAGCAGGGTGGCACCGGCGATACCGCCGATAATACCACAGATTTGTGCCTGCATCACGTCATTGTCCTCGTTGCCGCCCGAATCAACGGACCTCTTGATAACGGAGCCAACGAGCAGGGAGACGGTAGCGTCTGGGCCAACCAAGAGAGCGGGGAGCTCCCAAAGATGGCGTAGATGAGGGGATTGAAGAAGAAGCTGTAAAGTCCGTGGATGGGAGGAACGTGGGCGAGGTTGTCGGCGAGCGAGAGCACCATGGGCAGGTAAAACGAGGCCACGGTCAAGGACGCGATGAAGTCACCCCACAAATATGAGGCCTTGTACTCTCGGAGCCACGTGAGGCACGGGATGTAGTATGAAAAGTACCTATTCCGACGCGAATTACGGATTAGACAAAGCTGCCACGCGACGCCCAAAATCTTATTTGCTTGCCCGCGAATCCCGGGCTGCCCTTTGGGTCGCCGCCTTGGGAGGGCGTTGGGGTAAACTCACATGTACCAATTGGCCTCCACGCCAGCTTCCCGCGCTAGGTGACGCGAGTTTCTGATCTTCTTGCTCTTGATCCGCCGCGAAAGGCGTGCTCGCCAGCTTTTCCCTTGGGAGCGGACCCGTCACCGGGGGCATTGGGGAGTCGTACTCGTACTCGGACGCGATATCGGACCCGGTTCTCAGACTCTCGTTGCCAGGCGAAAGGTTCCATGGCTCGAGCCCCGATAGCTGGGCCCTTCGTTGAGTGCTTCGAGAAGAGACGAGGTTTCGATCGGTAGGATGGGCATCGATCGACCGGCATGGGAGGGTTCTGGCCGGGACGCTGTCTCGTGGGTGGGCGAACCGGAGGCCGAAGGCGTGTGGCTTTGGCGGAGACCGCTGGGGTTCGTCGGGAGGTGGTCTTGTCGGCCGCCTGATGGCGAAGGGCCACCGGAGGGTCGGACATGGCTACGGCAACGACGAGACGAGTGTGCGGGGGATTTAGAGAAGGGTGGACTTGTCGCTATAACCCAAGGGCCATCGAGTGGAGCTTGCAGCAGATTTTAGAGGGCGAGATCAAAGACAAGAGTGAGCCCGCTATGCAGTTGCCGCTCAAGAACGTGAAAAGGCAACAAGTTGACGAGGCTGATGTCTGCTCGTCCTACTCGATGACGACAGACGGTTGATGTAAGGGGGAGCTTTTAGCGCAGAAAGCAAAGACGAGAGCAAGGTGATATCACGAATACCATCGAGGGAGCAAAGCCGCTTGATGTTGCGAATAAAAACAAGTTTCTAGGGTGCTGGAGGACGATATTCCGTATCTACTACGAGGTTGAGAAAAGAGGCGGGGGCCGAAATACGGCGGATGGGCAGCAAAGCACACTCTTTTGAGCTTTTTCCTTTTTGCATTGACGTGCGGCGTCTCATCCAAGGGAGCAGCAGAGCCCAGTGTGAGTTTCTGAGGTGGAAGGAGCTGTTTTGTAAGGAGCCTGCACGCTTAAATAGGAAGCGGGCTGTGTTCAATGTTGTTTTTCACTGTGTTGGGGGTCTCGTGGGCTGCCGCATTTTAGCCCAGGAACCAATCGGAGACCCCAAAAGGCCAGCCAGCGGGGAGACAGTTTCGGCTTGGCGCAGCGTTTGTGTGCTTTTGTGCTCAAAGTTGTGATGGCAGGTGCATCTGCCTGCTGTTGCTGGCTGTCTTGCGGTGCCTGGACCCTTTTCAGGCCCAAACTCTTTGTCGCTTACAGACTCGACATCCCACGCATCCATCCCTCCTTCCCGATCTCCATTGATGCATCCATAGATGTCCTCTCCCAGTCATCAGCGAGGACTTGGAGAAACCTTGAGTGGCTTTCCGAGACGCCAATGCTATGACAAACTCATCATTCCCGTAGTTCAAGTCAATGGACACATTCATCTCCTGGGCTTTCCGTTCCGAGCATAGCACCCTTGAGCGGGCCATTTCTGAACCAACGGATTTGGCCACCTGCTGAAGAAATGGTTCCTTACTCGTTGACATGCGCAGCACCAATTACAGCTCCGCTCGATGACCAATTTAATCCACGGACCTTGCCACCAAAAGACCAGGCGAGAGAAGAGAAGAGAAACAAAGGAGAAAAAAATAGTGAAGTAAGATTTATGAAGCATAAGCATTTAATCCATATATTCGGGTCTTCGCTGTTAGGCGTACCATATTCGACAACCAAAAGAAAGGAAAAAAAAAAAAAAAAGACAAAGCCCAAGAGGGGGCAAGGGTGAAGAGCAAGGCTTCAATTACACGGAGATGAGACCGAGACAAATTGCATCATCTGCGGCACATTTACAGTAATCGAAGTTCAACCATGGAGCTAGACTGTCGGTTCGGTTCACCGTCTCTTGGCGGTTGGGACACTTACAAATATGAGAACTTAAAAGACGCAGCCAAACTTCAAGTTCAAGTTGAATTTCAGGATAGCACGTGATGTCGCGTTGCTTTCGTGCCCCGCCCCGTCGGGCTTGTTGAGGTCGATCGACGATGCGTGCCTGGTCTTAAGCGAAAAAGGTTGGTCACACACGAGATGCAAACCCTTGCGGGGACGAGGGTGCAACCAGGGGCTCGGCACCGACCCAGGCCAGGCCCCGTCCGGATCCCGACCTAGGGTGTCGGTGCGGCTCTTGCGGTGTAGTTCTCATCACCAACAATCGAGAACGACATGGATCCGGCATATCAACCTTTCGATGCTCAGGTGGGTTTTCATTTTCGGTCCCCTCGCATAACAACCCATTGAGCCAGGTCCGCCATCAACATTGAATTTTTCAAGACAAAGCGCCTTCCCCCCTCCCCCTCCCCCACCGCCGCTAACCACCAGCGAGCTGCGCCATCACGTCCGGTGGCTTTAGTGACCTTGTATTTAGTATACCGTCGTGTGCTCGCCGTTGTCCATCTCGTTGAACACCGTGAGGAACCTGAACAGACATGTTTAGGCAGCACCCGCTCGTGGGGAGGGTTGCATTTCACTCCAGAAGGGCGCAGCTGTCGTGCATATGCTGCCGGAAGGGAAGTTAAAATTGACATGCGACTCTTGGAATGCGCGTCCCTTTTCCCCGCCCGTGTTCACGGCTGTCAAGCGAAAGTGGCCTTTTTCTTGTTATTTCCTTTTTCTTTTTCTTTTCAGCTTCTATAGAAATTCCAATGTTAAAAGCCTGAGGTTCCTGTCACTCCTCCCCGTTGATCTCGAGTACATTCACACACCTACTTAGTTTTCCCTTGTCTTCGGGTCGATCCAGCCGGTTCCCCGGCCGCGCCCCAGCAAACCCAGCCATGCTCACCCTGACGACCTGTGTCTACGCTCGCCCAGCGGGCTTGGACATCGAGTGCGACGTCTATGAAGATGATGATTATCCCGTTGCCTCGCCAGTGGTTCTCTTCTTCCACTCGGGCGGTTTAGTTGGAGGTTCGCGCAAAAGGCTCGGCCCATGGATCGTGCAGGTGTGTATTACAGCAACCCTTCCATAACTCACCAGATGGACCGTATGTCTATACCGAAGCCGTTTACTGACAACATAGCACACCCTATAGGCCTGCAAGCAGAGAAAATGGACTTTAATCAGCGCAGACTACCGTTTCCTCCCCCAAGCCAAGGCAACAGATCTCCTCGAAGACGTAGCCGCAGCGTACACCTTTGCCCGGAACTGGAAAGCCCCGTCGAGGAGAGTGATAGTAGCAGGAGCCAGCGCCGGTAGGGTCCCAGTCAACCATCACACCCTCACAAATCTCAGCTTTGCCACCTTCCTAGCTAACACGCAAGCCCCTCCCCCAGGATTCTTCATGGCGACCCTCGCAGCCCACCACCTCCACCCCCACCTCTCGCCCTATTCGGCATCACACCCATCACCACCTTCCAACACCCCTTCTTCTCTTCTTCCATCCTCTTAACCCCCGAGCCCCTCACACCCGAATTCATGGGCTCCACCCTCGACCCTCACGGCCCCATCCTCCACCACCTCGAGAACGGCCCCACCCCTTCGACCCGGACCGGCTCACCCCGCCGGCACCAAAACCCGCACTACGTGACCCCCGTCGAAATGCCTCTCGATCACCCCCGGTGCTTCCAGTACGGATACTACCTCAACCACAACGAATTCCCCTCGCTCGTGGGGGCCGTGGACCCGGGCTACGGCCCCGTGTGCCCGGAAGCCGAGGAACCCCGCTGCGGGGCAAACCCTGGCCGCCCACCGTGCTCATCCACGGCGACGACGACTACGACGTGAGCATGGACGTGAGCGTGCACATGGCCCAGTCCCTCGGCGAAGACAGAATCAAGCTCTTGCTCGCCGAGCGCCAGGGCCACCTGTTCGAGTCCGAATCGTTCCTCGAAGACGACGGGGAAGGCGCGGAGGCCATGGCGGTGGTGAGGAGGCGGTGGATTGCCTGGCCGCCGTCGTCTCGGGCTCCTCGTAGGGAAGCCATTAGCCGAAGGCAGAAGTGCCAGCAAACCCTTGCCTACCCGGCCATGCTACCTCTCTCTCTCTCCTCTCACTATTCGTGAGAGGATGCCCTATCTTAGACGCGGATACGTCCTGTCCCGCGATTGACGCATAGATGTTAATGATAATACTATTATGCCCCTTTGCCATCCTTTCTTGTTATCCCCACACTAGCTCACCCAACCGAGCAACAAGATCTTGGCCGAACTCGAGAATTCCCAATAAACTTGCGGCGGGTTGCCCGCTCCCAAGGCCCACACTCCCACCAACCCCATCCACGCAAGGGCTAATGATAATCATCCATATATAAACACAAGAAAGTCTTTATTCCCCCAACGCCGTATCCGTCTAAGAATACGAAGTGAGCCGACTTGCCATCTCCCGGAAAGTGAAGAGAGTAACACTGAGAAAAAGGGAATCCGAGGGAAGAAAAACAAGGGAAAGAAATTTCTCCGAGTCCCCACCCGGCACCCGCCCCACGGCCCGCTCAAGGAAGAGTTTTTTTCCTTCACATCATCCCTCGACCCGCTCGATCTCCCGCCGTCCCATTCCCCCTTTGCGAACCACCCCCTCCCTTCCAGGGACAAATAACGAGAGGGACCCATGGCCTAGAGCTTTCAAATGAGGACTATGGCCCCTTGGCTTTCAACGAATCCGACTCATTCAATCGAGAATGGCCTAGTGGCCCAATGGCAAGGCGTTTGACTACGAATCAAGAGATTGCAGGTTCGATCCCTGCCTAGGTCAATTCGGTTTCTATTTTTGTATTTCTTTTGGCCGTTCCCCTTCTTGGTAAATGGATTGATGTGAAAAGTGCGTGCCTTTTTTTTTTTTTACGATATGTAAAGTCTTCATGGCCGACTTCTGCGCCAATCTTGCTCACCTATTCACAATTTGAGATACTCTCTTCCACGACACAGGGCTGGTGACGAGATGAAGCATGAACTTAGGTCTATGACCACTATTTTTTGATCTTATCATTATTGTGTTATATTACGTTTACTTTGTTACTATTTAGATAGAGAGCAGTAGAGTACCACCGTATTTTGTCCAAGTCGGTATCCAGCCAGCCCATTCAACTGCCATTATTCAACTTATTCATGTCCCCATTTCCAAGTCTCCCTATCCATCACGTAACTGAATTCCCAGTTGTCCATCCCCAGGTCGTACTCTCTCCGTTGTTCGCACCTCTGCCACCCTCCCGTGACTACGCAGCCCTTTCCTTCTCAGCGTCTGCGCCAGCATTGTGCTTCTTGCGCACAAGGGTCTCCTTGTAGCCATCAATGACATTCTCCTCGACGGACTCGACAAAGACGTCGACTTCGGTAGACTCGAATTTGCGCGCCGATACTTTGTGCTCAAAGAGAACGTCTAGTTCGGCAAAGGAACGGCCACGGGGCTCCGGAACACGGAAGTAAGTGTAAATCACGCAAAGGAAGCAAATTCCGCCCTGATATTTCGCCACCATGTTAGAGGACCTGCTTTTAATCAAAGGCGGCGAGCACAATCGTCAGAGTATAGTCATTTTACTCACCCAGAAGAAGCCGGCATAGTTGCTCCAGTTCCAAGCACCAGGGTTCAGCATGTGCGGCGTTAGAACGCTGTTGACGATTCCAACAATGTTGCTACAATATCGGTTAGCCATGCTCGCTCACTCGCAAGGATAAAGCGCCAACTTACTAAAGGTTGCGGCCTAGCACCACAGTCTTGATCTGCAGCCTCCTAGAACTCAATTCGCTAACCAGCGAATAGCACACGGTACCCACGGTGAGCTGGTAGCATAGAGCCCACACCAACATGATGCTTCCAGTCGCCAGCGAGGCTTGGTCGCGGTGAGTGTCGGGAACGAGGCCAAGGAAGCCGAGGATGAAAAGCATTGTGCAGAGAAGGGCGAGACCGTAGAGGTAAAGCGTGCGGCGTCCGATACCGATAGACATGAGGAACCAAGCACCGAAGACGCCAGCCATATTGATGGCGTACTGACCGAGGGCGAAGCTGTAGGCCTTGCGCGGCGCCAGGCCAGCCTGCTCGAGGAAGTAGGTTGAGTAGTTCGAGAATGAGTTACCACTGAGGTTCTGCATGGCCCAGACCATGCACACAATCTAGTTTACCACGTATTAGTCTACGCCCGTATAGGTATAGTCCAAGAGATGAGGGGCAATGAAGCGCTCTTTCCTGATAAAACGGCCAGGGAAAGAGGCAAATAGTGTACGCAACTAGGGGGATAGGAAGAAGGAAAGATTACCTCTGTCCTTCGCAGATCAGTTCCCTTGAAACAGTCCCAGTAGGAGGCGCCAGACGTCATCTTTTCTTCGAGCGCAGTTGTATGCACCATCATGGCAATGGTCTCGTCGGCGTCAAAGTCGGTCTCACGATCAAGGCTGGTTAGGCGCAGGAGAGATTGCTTGGCCTCTTCAACACGACCCTTGCGGACCAGCCACCAAGGGGACTCGGGAGCGAAATAGATACCAATAAAGAGGGGCAGGGGCCACATCCATTGGAGGGCGTAGGGACTACGGAAAGGGTCAGTATCATGTGTTGTGGGCCGTATGAGGAAGGACATGTGAAGAGAGAAAGAGAAACTCACATGCGATAGGCCCACTCATCCTTGCGGTCAAGCATAGACATGATGACTCCAATGCCGATCTCCTGGCCTAGACCCCAGCAGAAGTTGATGTAGGTTGTAAGGTATCCGCGAAGGGCGACAGGGCAAACCTCGCAGGCATAGGTGATGGTGAGGGTTTGGAAAATGCCCCATGGCTATGGATACGTTGTTAGAGTCGGCCCAAGCTGAGTCAAAAGAAAGGTAATGCCAGAGATAGAGAGCCGAGAGGCTTGTCGAGGAAAGGGGTGGTCGGGGAATGAATAAAGGGAGGTTAGATCCAAACAACTTACGATACCACAGAGAATCTCAGCGACGAGCAGGGTCTGAACATTTTGGGCGGTGAAGAAGATGGCAGTGAATCCCGCGATGCAGACAAGGCTGGCGAGGACGGTCCATCTGTACCCAAAACGTTCCGACACGATACCATTGATGAATAGGCCGATGATCTCGCCGACGTTGGCACCCTATGCGGGGTACGTCAATAGCCTACTCCGAGATATTGGGCAAGGCCCATTTTTAAGAAATAAAGGTGCCGCGACTTACATTGCTGAGACCGGCCTGCCAACTGGCGGGTACTTGATATGAGCCATCAGGTAGCTGCTGGCCGTATTTGCGGTTAAACTGATCAAAGGCGTCTAAAGGTCCTGTATGAGACGAAGGGATACAAATTGGAAGGGCAGGGGATGCGATGTGCATCTCGTTCATAGGACTCACAAAAGTTGTTTACCAGACTAATGTCATAGCCCTCCATGACGATACAGGTCGAGATGAGGACACTCCACGCTATAGCCTTGGGATACAGCTTCACGCCCTGCCACAAAGTCATTTTCCTCTCCTTCTCGGCCGCCGCCTTCGCATCTCGCAGGACAAACCCGCCGGAGCCATCAGAGAGCGCCGCGTTGTCCTCCGGAGCGGCGGTGTTTAGTTCCGGGGCCGGGCGGCCCTTTTCATCCGCCATGGTGCCTGTTGCTTGGCGCTGTTGGTCTGTTTCGGGAATCTACAAAGTGACGTTCCGAATTCCGAGAGATATGTACGCACAAGATACGCACTGGACCAACCAGGGAAAGAAAGGATCGGAAGACACGATGAGAGTGGGAGGAAGAAGAAAAAAGAAGCGGGAAAAAACCCTTCAGCTGCGAGGCTATGTGTGGAGGAGTGTCTGGTGGGGAATGGAGATGGGACCGGAAGGGTGGGCGGGTGGAAAAGTGGGCTCACCGACCAAGGATGTTGGGAGCAAAAGGGGAGGAAGTGGGCTTTATCGCTTTTATCGCAGTCGCCTGTTAGTTGAGGGTGCACAACTGTGGAACGCGAGGCAAGGTTTCGTTTCCACTCTTTTTCTTGTAGCCGTGGTGAGGGTAGAGCTCAATACTAGAAACTAAGAGGCCGATAAGACGACAGAAGGCGGTAGGGCTGATAGGGACAGTGGATAGGAGAACCCTTCAAGCCAGTGTTTGCACCGCAGACTGATAGCGGATGGGAGAGGGAAGAAAAAGGTCACTGGGAGGAGGAGAGAAGGAGAGAGAGAACAAGAGGAAGAGAAGGATTAGGAAAGTGGAAGTGAAGACGAATGACTAGAAATGTAGAGTTTTCCCTCTCCACTTCAAAGGGCCAGGACGAACGTTGCGCCTGCCCTCTTCGTCCTCGCCGCTAGTTAAAGGAGTGCGGAAGGAGGGGCGATAGGAAGGAGCACCAGCCGGCGGAAAGTGCGACCCAAAAAATAATGGGAGCAAAAAAAAATTAACATGCAGTATCCACAATAATAATCGACACCATCATGAACCTCGGGGATCGTCGCCTCAACTCTCCACTCTCCACTTTCCCCCACAATGTCAAAAGGGGAGGGATGGGGTCCTATGCTTGATGTTTGTCACCGAATCTTTGCAACGTGACCACGCCCGGGGAGAGGTGTGCCGGATCAAATATGCATACTCCATCTGTGCCTCGTCTTAGTTGCTCGATTTCAACAACGCACCTAGAACCCTCCGACCCCTCCCTCTCCCCGTACTCTCGTGCATTAATACTGACAACCCCTCCTCCCCCGATGATCAACATATACAATTCATACGAACCCTCCCCCTCCCTCCCCCGGCGACGTCCGTTCGCCAGTCCTGGTGTTGGGTCGGGGGTCGAGAAAGGGCCTTTTTCTACTATCGTCATCCTGCAGCTGGCTCGCCACAGGTCAGGTTGAGGTTTGGAGCCGACAAATTGATTGGTCGGGTTATTAAAACAAGGGAACCGACGTGGGATGGATGGATGGTACGAAGAAAGTGCCGGTGTTCATGAGGGGACATTGAAGGATCTCATACCGCCTGTCGAACCACTCTGTTTGTGTCTAAGTGCAGCATGGTGCAGACATCCACAGATCCGTCTTGCACCGCTGTACGGCATCAAAGTGGGATGTGGGAGTTCTGCGGTCTACAATTTTTTTTTTTTTTTTACTTCCTTCCCTTTCCCGTCCCCTCAACCCCCTTCGTCGCGTCCTCACGAGCTTCCGCGTCCGTCGCACCGGGCTCGACCTCATCCTAGCGCGGTGTCCAGAATGGGCCCGTAATCACATTTCTAGCGACCTGAATCGGCTATCAAGCGGCGTTTCCTGCGCGCGCGAGCTGCTCCTGATATTAGTCCCCACCGCCCCTTCGGTCGAGAATGGGCCATTGCTTCATCTTTCCTCTTTGGGCTCCTGGATCGGACTAGTAAAAGGATTTCGAAATTCTTTGAGGTTCCCCCATCCGGATTAGTCCTTCCTTCAAACTAGACGGCGCCGGTCCTTTTTTTTTTTTTTCATCTGCCCCATTCGTCCAATGGCGGCCCAGGGCACAATGTTAGTAGGTTGCCGACACACAGCACCAGGAACACCCTCGTGCCTCTTCCCCCATGACCCGAGCCGAGCAAAAGACGCAGAAGGACGCGGGAGCAAAATCCCTTTCCGGCCTCGCTCCGGCTTTCCTCATATTCCAACATCCACCACCCATGCTCCAGGCGGGAAATGGCGGGAATCCAATGGGTGGCCGGTATGCCTTCTTCCTAACACCGAGGGTATAGTTCCACGCTTCCTTTTGCCCCCTTATTTTTTTGGCCCCTTCTTTGTTATTGCTACGATTTTGGCCTTGAGGCCGTGATACCGAGGTGCCTGCACTTGCCCTCCCTCCTTCCGAGCAGCCCTCATTCTTGACAACCATGTAGACCTATTGATCAATCCGCCATTGGAAGAGAAGCCGCCCGGTAACTCAAAGCCGGAAGACCCCGACCGCCTTGGTACGCATGACAGCCTCTCAAAATCGGCTCCTGATCGCCCCCACTCCACCGGGTTATCCCGTTACTATGTTCCTCGCCTCCCACTACTAATTCTCACGCAAACCGTCTCGTGACCTTTTTCCTCCTATAGTTACATGTACGCTCCTTCATAGGTGAGCGCCTAAAGGTGACGTTCAATGAGCGTCGTTGCACGAGAACAAGGCGATGAGACGTCTAGCTACGCAAAAGGTCGCGAGGCATTAAAAGTAGGCGCAACCTCCGTCGCCGAAGCCGTCCGGGTCGCCAAGAACTCGGAGGCCATCACCGTGGCCCTGGCCTCCTCCCAGAAGGCGGGCGGCTTAATAGGGCGGCACCGCAAAGAGCCGAAGTCAAAAATTGACTAAGGTAGTCGAAAAACGATGCACGCCGACACGACCGTATTGCTACGCTTGCAACAGGCGCCAATCGGCAAGGGTCTTGGGTGGGCTTCAAAACAAAGAAGCGACTGAGACAGAACTCTCAATGACCCACATATCGAGACGGTAACCTGGCTCTAGTGTTCCAGACTTCCATCATGGCCCTTAGCTTCTTAAGAGACCGCCAAAACAGAAGGCTGCGCAAGACATCGGGATTGCATGTGAACGGTGGAAGCGAGGGTGCAGGTTTGTATTCGCGTCATATCCTCTACATATCGTACATCCACAAGCAGACTTCCTCCAATAACAACCTAAATCACCCGTCCGTTTCTCATCTCCCACAGCAAAAGCTCGGTTTAGTCCGAGACTAATGTGTGAGGCCTATTTTTGTCTTATCCTTCATTCATGAACAAATCATTTTCATCCCCGTAGGTATCGACAAAGCCTGTCCGCCCGCACCGAGGGGCCTCTTCTGAAGAAAAAAAAAGACGCGGTGACAAGATAGAAGCCCGGCTAAGGCACGTGCTTGACGAACAAAGCAAGTGCATTAAAATATGAGGTTGAAAGCCAACCCAGCAATGAGAAAGGGAAAAGCGTAAAAATCACTAGGAACAAAGGAAAGGGGTATAACTGTTTGCGACTACCAGTCACAAAATGATGACAGTAAAAGTAAAATTGGCAAGGAACGGATGATGCGTATCCAGTCCCTCGCCCTCCTCCTTGAGCACTCGCGGTTGACGCAAATGCTGTATAAATGCAAACGCGAGGCAAAGTAGGATATCCCTTAGGCGTCAAGATAGCACCGTCACAAGAGCCTCTTCCGTCGGACGGGAGCAGTGGAAGGCCACGAGGATAAGCTTAAGAGACATCTGCTGGTCGGCGCCATCTGTTGGCCGTTGAAAATGCAAGATGCAATGGGCAGGAAAAAAACAAAGGGTTGGATTAAGTTGAAATAAGCAGGGAAAAAAGGGGGCCGTTGTCCCGACAGCGCTGTTGAAAATGTGCACTGGACATGCTGATCTTGATATGTACGTTGTCGATTTAAACACCGCCACCCATAAACGCGGCGAGATCATCAAGCTCCATGAGCTGGCGCTCAAAGGCAGAGCAGAGCTCAGATGCGGTCATATCAGCAGGGGCATCTGTCTCGATCTTGGGCTGCACGGCAACCGTCGCAACAGCGGCCGCCGCCGCCGCCGCGGCAGCGGTGGCAGCGGCAGAATCAGAATGAGCGCCGCTGAGGGGGCGAGGTGCCGGCGGCAGGCGTCGAAGAGCCTCCGCCGTTGATCGTCGTGAACCCAGACTTGCGGGCCATGGGAGGCTCGCTATCACCTCGCGCACTTCCACCTACTGAGTTGTTCGTAGCCGCGGCCGCGTCGGCATCGCCCGTGTCCATGGCACTGTCCGCATTGGAAGCTGCCTCGTCCTTTACAGAGACAGGAGTCCGATCTTGCGCAACGGCACCGGCAGTTTGGGGGCCGCCGGCCTGCTGCGACTCAGTCTTGAGGACGCGTTGCATGACACTGAGGTGTCGGAGCCAAGGCGTGATGAGGGGCCAAATCTCGACGGACTCTTCCATAAGGTGAAGCCCATCCTTGACAATGGCGCCGGCAGTCTCGATCGAGTTCGGAGGCGTGAGGCCCTTGAGCGAGAGGTAGGCAATGGTGGCACTGGCAGTGAAGGCCGAGAAGAGCATGAAGAGTGGGTAACAGACGACTGAGTCCTTGTCTGTGCCTTGCTCGAGGGCAACGAGCAGGGCAGTAGTGCTGTGGCAAGAAGCCATGAGTCGATCCACAATATCGTGGCACAGGGGTGTGTGCTTGAATTCGTCAATGTCGACACCCTCGGTTGTGATCGAGTGCAGTAGCCGGCGTCGGTGAAGGAAGATGGTGGCACAGTGAAGGATGCAATGAAGCATAGCAAAAGTGATTCCGGAGCCCATCGTGATGTGCAAGTTGACCTGCCCAGGCTTGTCAATGAATTGCATCGGCAACGACGCCCTCAGCTGTTCTACGGAACTCATGAGCGAAGCACAAGCCTCAGCGTTGAACGTCTGCATGCATCCAGTCAGCATCTGAACCACGTCGCGCCAGATAGTAGTGGCCAGAACGATGTGCCCGAATTCGCCAATCTCCCCAGTCTGGGTGCCAGGAGGGAGGCCGAGGGGCTCATGAAGCATGAGAGTCTTGACATAGACGGCATTGCCAAAGGCAAAGTTCATATCGGAGCAGGGTAGCGGGACGCCTGCATAGTCTCCGGGCGACAATGCGGGGTAGCGACCGGGAGTGCTGGCCAGGAGGCAGTCGAGAATGTAGATGAGCCACAGGGTGCGGCGCCAGGACTCATCCTTGAGGAAGCGCTCGGCTTCGGGCTGAGCATGGTGGCTGTTGAGGATACGATGCATCTGCATCATGCGTACGGCCTGGCCCAGGTAAATGTAAGCTCGAACAGCGTTGCGCGAGCCCCACTCGTGGATAACAATCAAGCAAAGAGCTTGGATGTCGGAGAGGGAAGGGTGGTCAAGGGACTCATTGATGCGAGCCATGGCCTTGCTAGCAAAGTGCTCGGCAGCAGCCGTCGCACCGTTTTGGCCACCATATCGGCGCGTGATGTTCGGAGAGCTCCTAAAAACGGAAGACCGTATTAGCGTTGGGCGTCACGTGATGTGCAAGGGCCGCCGGTTGCGACCGGAGAAGGACGCGCAAGGCCCGGGACCAAAGGCAAGAAATCGCCAGTCCGACCACGCAAGCCGCCACGCTTGGTGAGAGGGCGTCGTTAGGCAGCACTCTGTGCACGCGCGACTTCGAAAAAGGCGCAAAGGAAAACGGAGGGGCAAAACCAAGGCACTTATTTTAAAGGGGTGGTTAACCTACCGAGATGCGCAGCACAAAAGTGCATAGACGAGCGACTGGTCCAACGTAAACGTCTTCATCTGCTGGATGAAAGAGGGTTTGTGGAAGGCGACGCAGGCAGGGAAAGATTTTGACAGAATGCGCTCACATTCCTGCATCAACTCAGGCCCGATTCTGGATCTATGTGTTAGCGCTGCGCGTTCTTGAGTCGAAAGACCCAAATTTAGTATGCGAGGGGCGCGGCGGGAAAAGAAAAGCGTCCAACAAGATGGCTGCAAAACACGATGAATGCAGCCCTCAAGTGCGAGGCGACGTGGCGATGCAAAGGCGGTGCAGCCATAGCTTGTAGTCGCGGCTTGATGTGCAACGAGCCATGATAGAGCGCAATCCATCAAGCGAACAAGGGCAAACGAGAGGAGGGGCAAAAGACAAGAAAATGGGATGGCATCACTCACTTCTCACTGGTGTTTGGGGCCGCTCGCGAAGGAAGCGCGCCGGGGAGCGCGCTTCGAGTGTCTGCAGCAGGACCCGATCCGGGCAGGCTGTCGCGAGCAGGGCGGCTCTGGGTGCGAGTTGGAGTTTGGCCATGAATATGGGCGTTGGACTCCGAGGGCAGATAGCAATCGTGCATTCCCTTTGCACAGTTCCGGCAGGGAGCGCGTCCATTTTCGTAGACACACTTGGTCTTGCCCTTGCGGCAGCGCACACAGGCGCCGCCGGCCCTGAGGGCAGTCTGGCGTACGGCGCCAGAGGAAGACATCGTGCTTCGCGATGGATGGCACTGGTTGCTTCCGAGCAGGTCAAATGGGATGAGGGCGTGTTGGGTGGGAGCGGGATGGAAAGGGGGAAAACAATCAGAGACGGCTGTTTGCGCGATCACTGATGCGATGGAATGCAGTACGACAAGAGGCTGCTGCTTCGCGCAAACCGATAATCAAGTCGCGAATTTCAGGTTTGATGCGTAGTGTTGTGTGGATGAAGGGGAGGGGAAGGGAAGGGGGAAAAAAATAGAGGAGAGGGTTTTTTTCCTAGGGAGGTAGGGGAGGGAAGGAAAAGGAGGAGAGGAAAAGGAAACACGGAGGGAGCGGCCGGGGCGGCTCTGGTGATTTGGGTGGTGAGAAAAATGGGAAAGGCTGAAACTGGGGAGCTAGGGGAGGGAAGGAAGGAAAAGGGCGGAAGGTTTTTCGGGGGTGGTGGGCTGTTTAGTGAGGCGTAAAATCGGCTTTCTGGCTCCCTCTGGCCCCTTTTGGGTCTGGGGTCGGCCGGCCGAAGCGTGGGAGCTGCCCCGGGCGGGGGTGCCTGAGGAAGAAAAAAAGAAAAGGAAAAGGAAAGAAGTGGAAAAAAGGCAGATTACAAGCCCCCGATTGCTCTTTCCGAACAACACCCTATCCGTGGGGTGGCGCGCCTCGGACGAACCGGAGTACGCGTGTGGGCGTGATGGCCACCGAACAATCCGACCAAGAGGTTGATGATCCCCTAGACAAGAAGAAAAGGAAGAGAAGACAGCGATGGAGCGGTTTGAAGCCAGGTCTTTGCTGCGAAACCCTTGAACCAGGGCTGTCGAGGAAGCCCTGAACTCGGGCGCGGGATCTCTGGGCAGGTGGAGTCTTGGCAGTCGTCAAAGTCGGGCGTGCGTCGGCAACGGCTATCCGACTTACTGTGGGACACGAGAATATTAACCTTCCCCACGGAGAAGGTTGATAAAATGAAATGGAAAAATCGTGCCAAAAGGATAGCGTGAACAGTTGATGAAACTCGGGTTATTTGGCGATGCTGAGGGATGGAGAGGAAGATGGAAATCGAAAGGGGACGAAGAAAGTGGACGGGATGCAGAACTGTTTGTGGGTGACGCGAGGGTTTCGGAGCCACTTAGAGCAAGTTGAAAATTCGCGGGGGCGCAAGGCGGAAGGGGAAGGAACGCTGCAATGAACACAGACCGAAGGGAGAGGGAAAGTGAGAGGGGTGGGCGGGTTGGCAAGGCCAAGGCGCGTGTGCGCGCTGGGGGCACCGAATCACGGACTGAGGTGGACGAGTCAGATGAAAGAAAAATCAATGGGTTTGACGGCGGTCAATTTCGGGCGGGAGGGTCGGGGCGGATGCTTCACCAAGTTGACGAGAGGGGATCAACGGCGAGGGCCCTGCTCCAGTCGCGAGCGTTGTTGCGAGCAAATCCCAAGGAGGAGTTTCGGTACCGCAACACACTGGCGCACTGAGCACTTGAACCGTCCCAGCGGCCTACTAGGGTTCTGCTGCTTCAACTGATTTGATGAAGCCAATCGCCCCCGCCGAGATTGTGCTATGTTAAACCGAGGCCAGTGGGCTGGCAGCTAGGTACTTGAGCGATGACCACCCCAAGGGCCCGAAGCTCACCATTCGAAAATGCCGCACCGGAGCCTTGGCGAAGCCGAAAGAATGGAGAACCAGAGGACAACAAACTGCAGCCACGGCACAAGGACGGGGATCAATCCACACATCGTTTCTCAATTCTTGCTAGCGATGTTACCGACCGGTAATCGCCATGTTTGATTCGGACACGTACGACAAAATGAGCGATCCCAGTTGAGCGATGACCAGCGGCGACCGGTTCGACAGTTGGGATTGACCCAAGGCTCGAAGGCCCGGACGGGTCGGATGTTGTTGCCGGAAGCCCAGCATTCAGCGCCCTAAATCCCAGCGTAGGCGCTGCAGAGGCACAACCTCCCTGTTCAGCCCCCGCCACAACTTGCCATCACAATCTCCCCCATCATCGGGATCTAATAAATGGTGTCAAGAAAAGAGATAAAACCCTGGCTACGACAAGGAGAAAAAAAAGAAGAAGAAAGAGGATTAAAATCTTCTTTGCGAATTCCCTTTTCTCTCATTCGCAGATAGATTCAAGGACACGCTCGACTCCTTCCGTAACCTTCTCGAATTCTTACTCCGAACAAACAACAATTGCGAGGTGGTGAGTGTGGTCGCCGGCCGATGTGGCTGAAATCTCGGGGGCAGTGTGAAATCAACTTGACGGAGGAGTGCTGGGGGCTGAGGGAAGAGACCGGGGAAGGGACCACCAAGGCTCCTTCCCCCGCCCCGTGGAGACAGATGAAAATTCCACAACGCGCCATCTCGGTCCCGTCCACTCTCTCGAGCACCCCCTTCCCAACGGGGAGTACCTAGGGCTTCTCCCCGCCGCAGAGGAGCGACAAACGAGAAAGAACTACCCAAAGGCTCAGAGGCTCGTGCTGAGGAATGTCGAAACTTCGCGCGTTCGCCGCCAAGCCCCCTTCGAACCCAATTTTCTTTGGTTCAAATACCGTCGAAAAATGTTCTTTTTACCTGTCCCCTTCATCTACCCCCGATCTGGCGCCGCGCGCTCTCCCTTGCAAATGAAGCGCATCACGCTCATCTTCGACGCGAAACACCACCGGCAGGCGCCCTGGCCGAGGCAACCCTCTTTTTCTCTCCCCTTCTTTTTCGCGTGCGACCCTGGGTGGGCCATATGTTCCGACTTCTGGCGAACGTGACCTCCTGGCGCTTGGTGGCCCATGGGAGACGGAGGCTGCTACAAGAGCTGGCTCTCAATCATCCCGAATCCCGCCAAACAAGAACAAGTCCTGTCTTGGGTCGATACCAAACCCAGTTTAGCGAGAGCTTGGCAGGCTCAACTTGCCCCAAACACAGTGCCGAGGCGTCGGGAGATTAGCAACTCCGGACGTACCTCGTTGATCCCATTCGGTCCATCTCACGGCAGTGGCATACCTAGGCCAGGGCAAGTTCTCAATGTACCTCGTACAGTGCTCCGTACAGTATTACACGGCAACCCCTACTCCCCTCCCTCACCACTGAATCCTCCCCCGTCGCCCGTCGTCGCCCGTCAGAGAGCGCTCCTGCTGGGACGGAGCCTGGCCTCTCCATCAGCTCGTCTGTTTGTCGTGAGCGCGCCGGGCCCAAGCACGAAGGGTCCTAGATTCCGTGTCGCCCCTGCCCCTTCTGCCCTTCCTTCTCGTGTTTCCTCGCCTTCCATCCTCTTCTTACCGCTTGATCGACACGGTGACGAACGTCCGAGGCACCCATCCCGTCCTTGCTGTCCCCGCCCCGAGCTATCCGTCATCCGTCCTCGCCCTCGGTATCACTCAAGGATCCGGTTGATTTTCTTATTTTTCTTGCTCCTGAAAAGAACAAGGCGCAGAAAAATAAACCCAAAATAGTCATCATCCGTTTTCATTTTCAAGCCCTCGTGCTTTCCTTCTTTTTTTTTTTTTCTTGTTTTCTTTTTTTTTTTTTTTTTTCTTTTTTACCCTCAGATTCGATTGCCAATTAACCCGTCTCATCCCTACTGCTTGCTCGCGAGACGGAATTCCACGGGTCACCATCTTCAGTAGCTACCCTTCGAGCCAGGGGATATTGCTTTCTGTGGCGTCCCGAGGACTCGGAAGAAACAGTAGGAGACACACAGTGCTCCTGGCCCCCTGTGCATGCAAACGAACAGAGGAAAGAAAAAGGCGTGCTTTTTATGTCCGTCCGGAGCCACCGTTGATTGTACCGCCGATCGACTGGAGCTGTTGGCCCAATTTCCAAGGGTTGGCGAATCACCCTCTTGGTTGAAAACGGGAGTACAGTGGTACACGTAGGCTGTTTTGACAAGGTACGACACGGCGAGGGGGCGGGGAGCGAGGACGAGGACGAGGAGAAGGCTGGCCCTGCAACGGCTCAACACCCTCCAGTTTTTTTCGGTCAAACCTCCCAGCACCCCTTGGCAACGTAATGGCATGGCGACGTTGAAGCGAGACTTAGCCCACCTTGAACTCTGACTCTTGGAACGTGGATTATTGTCTCCTTTGTGTCGCTCACCTCAACATTTCCGCCTTTTTCGTTTATCAGCAGCAAAGTTCAAGGACAAGGTCAGTGAAACGGAAGTTCCGGTCCAGGGATCAGTCGAGAATTTGTCGGAGACACGGTTGTCTTTTTCGGGGCGCGGCACGCGCGAGGACCGGCGGATCGCCCAGAAATGGCTAGCATCCTACGCCCGTTTCTGACTGGCTGGCGAGCCCCCGAAGCTCACGCTGAATCCAAAAATACAAAATTCATTCGTCCAGCCCGTCACGCATGGGACGGTGGACGGGGGCGGTACGTCAGAGAGGAGCAAGAATTGGCTAGACTCTCGCGACAAAGCCCCGACGCCCCGGCGCGCAAAAATCGATACACGAAATGAGCCCACGCCTGCCTGCCGCTTCAGACAGCCAGCTCCGCTTTCGTCAGTCGCAAGCTCAGGCCTTGTGGTCCCCTTCGCTCCTCATTCCTTCAACCTACAAGACGAGTTTTCACAGAATCGTCTTCCACTCGCCTCAGTGACTTCCCGAAAATTTCTTCGGAGAATGAGCTAGATATACAGCTATTCGGCCGTTCTCCCTGTAGCCATAACTTAGTCCTCCCCTCTTCCCCTTTGGTCGAGAAATCCGAGGGGGAAGGGTCGAAACTAAGAGGGTGTGGGGAAGGTCACCCGGGCGGGCGGCGCACGCGATGGAGCCAAGTCGGAAGAGGGTGGGAAAAAAGGTGGGGAAGCGCACAAATTTCCCAGCACCCTCTGAGACTAGAAGGACATGAGGAGCTGGTTGACGCAAGCAGCTATGGCAGTGGGAGCAGAAGCCAGCAGCAATAGTAGCCGTCAGAGAGAGAAAAAAAGGCTCGGCGCACATCACTCCACACTTGTTCACGGGGTAGATTCATTATCGACGCTTTGCGTAAAAGCGGGCAGGGGCGATGTCCGAGCCATCTCCGACCACGCCGGTATCAGTCGTGGGAGCAACTCTTGACACTTGAAGCCTAGAGACTTTGCCGCATCAAGGCAGAGGCTATGGAGGAGGGAGAGCGGCCGAGAGAGGTTGATCGTGAGAGCATCCCCGCCGCCGGCGGCGAGGAAGTCTCGACCTCAAAAGAATCTCCCAACAGGCGATTATCGGCCCATGCGTCATGTCCTAACACATGCTGTGGGCTGAAATACTTGTACAAAGAGACCAGAGGGTGAAGCTCTGTTGGCGACCCTGTGCCCGATCTTCCGCCCGAGCCCCGGGCCTTCGGAGGTACGGGTCATGGACCCTCCCTGTGGCGGGTTTCTTGCGTCGCCTCAATGCCTTGTGAATTTTACCTTTGCCGGTGCCCAGGCTAAATATCCGCTGTGGGAGAGCCAACCCCTTTCCAGTTGTGATACCCTACAGGCTCGACGGGGCGACCTACCTTGGGTGGGAAAAGAAAAACAACGATTTGCTCTCCCTTGTTTCTCAGGGACCCAACAAATGGTTGGTGAGAAAAAGGGGGAGGGAGGAGAGAGAAAACCACGCATCTGCCGATGACCTCTCTCAATTGACGATACCCATGCATCGTGCCTTTATTTCGCCATGCTGGCCGCGCGTGTCAAAGTGTGTGGCATCGGCGCGCCCACGGGCCGATTTCAGTTTTCCATGATGCAACCCAGGGCAAGACCACCGAGGCAAGATCATGAGGCCGCTCTCGAGCAAGCACGCGACAGCGCCTGGGAGCGGTGTTTAGGAACTCCCCGTGCGGCGGAGATCAGTCACGATCACGATGCCTCGCCGCTCTAAGTACCAAAGCCCGAAAATAAATAAGAAAATGGAGAGGAAGAAAAGGGGTCAAGAAGAAGACAAAAGGATCGCAAAAGGGGGGGCAGCGGCGGGCACTTGCCCCGGATAACCCGCCTTCCGACGAACGTGAGCCCCGTCGACGGCAGTATCACAGCAGCCACGGCGAACGGTGGGCTGACTGCGCATGCATCCAGAGGTGAGAGAACGAATGGAGAAAGACACAATAAGAGACAAGAAAAGCAAATACGAAACCATCCTCCCGCTCACCCTCCCGCCCTCTTCGGAGGGTTTTTTTTCTTCTTGCTCTTTTTATTCTTATTTTATCCATTCGCTGTCCCGTGTTTCTCTCGTTTTCGGCCCCGTGGTGCCCCGGGGACCCAAATCGAACGGTCTGCCACGCTTCGCCCTCTCCCCCCACGCCCAGCTAAACCCTTTCTCTCAATGTAACCATCCGTGTCGTATTGTTTTCCTCCTTTGGGCTCAAGCCTTTCTCTTTTCCGTTTATTGATAGAACGTGCCCCTTGCTACGATCTCACGATTATCAGCAGCTCATTACTATCGCGGAGTTAAGGTGGCGACAACTTGTTCAGCCGCTTAGCTTCTCTCCCTTCCTTGTTTCCCGCGTCTTCTAATTTGCCTGGTGGGGGAGGCAGTGGTGGGTTCAGATTGCGCGAGTGCGAAAGGGGACCGCCCCAGTGGGGGCGGGCGGGCCATGGCCAAAGAGAAAAAAATAGAAGGAGAAAAAGGATCTCCGTTACCGGACGGAACGGCCGGACGGTTCACGATTCCCGCGTCAAAATTAACTTTCGGCACCGTCTAGATCCGGGACCGTCTTTTGCCCAACCGGCCGGACATCCCCTCCGTCGAGCCTTTGCTTTCATCTACCATTTCCTTTTATTCTCAACATTCTCAACCGGCCGGTCTTCGGAAAAGAGCGGCGGAAAAGGCGAAAGGGGAAGATGAAGGAAAATAATTAAAACAACGAAAAGAAAGAGGGGAGAAAAAGAGTACGATTCCGTCTCTTGTTGAGCAACGGGGTCAAAGGCGAGCATTTCCAAGTAATCGCTCCACAAGTAGGCATAGATGGGATAGAGCATGGCCCATGTACCGGGCAAAGAACGCCGGAGGCTAGCACTGCTCTTTGTCACAGATGAACAATGACGGGCCGAGCATGCTAATGCTGACATTGTCGATGCGTCCATGATGGCTTTGGTATATCCCCGCGCATCTCTCTCATTCCTAGGGTAGTTTATTCTGTCGGTATAGCAAGACTATATCATCTAACTGCCCTACTTGACCCCATCAGTATATCATTAATATGTGGTACTACATTTATTGCTTAAGATCTATGGATATCCTTTCACCTCGCCGTGTTGATGAGCCCGGCCCAGGACCAGTTTCCACCAGGGAAGGATAACGGGCCATTATACCAGTCTGACCTTTGAAGCTATGATGTCCTTTGTCGTGGCAGGTGTATCTCTTTACAATGAGGTTAGCTATCACAGGCCCTTTGTGGGCCTCATTAGACTCCTGTATATTTGGTCCTTGGCCCCGAGAGCCACTAAATCCAACATCGCGATCACCCATTGCCCAAATCTTATGTGCACTCCCCAGCTAGCGTAACTGAAATTGCACTCATCAATATGCCCCCAACAAAAGAGAACGAAGACTAACAGCATCTACGATGTCTTTCCCCGGCAAGCCGCGGGATCGACGAAGAAGGAGCGCCAGTGGACAGCGGGACGAGAAGACATCCAGCAGCAAACAGCTCACCCCACGGCCCCGCCGGCGGGCAAGTACTGGGTCGCCTTTTCCCCGGATATCTCTCTCCCTACAGGCCAAAAGTTGGCAAGGGCGACGCCCTCAACAGGCTCCGGCCGGCGCTCCACCCCGACGACGTTGTGGCCTCCAGCACCGGCAACCCGAGCGAAGACATCCACCCGTCGGCCTGGGCCAAGCGATGGGGCCTGCACTTGGAAGGCCCGCCGGGCCGGTCGCGGACGACGCCGACGAGGGAGGATTTTGCCTTTTCCGCGGCAGACGACCCGGAGGGCGCGGCGCCCGTGACGAAGAAGTGGCTGATGGAGTATTTCGATGGCGTCGCGCTCGACTATAAGCTGGATGTGTCCGACTGGATCGAGGATATCTTGCCGTCCTTGCACCTCTCGAACGACGACAGAGCATACCTGGAGTGGCTGGATAAGTTGAGAGAAGACGAGGCGTGGCAGTCTCTCCTTTTGGTGATTTGACTTCCAACGATGTAAGTATGCATGCGCTAGCACGGCGTCCTAAGATGGGGAGATTGTTCGCGAGTATACTGGATCCGAGGACTAACGGAATTCTCGATATGCTCTAGCTCGTCGATACTGATGTTTTCACTATGCGAGCTGTAAACATTGCAGATCCAATCGACGGCCCCATCCACCCGTAAGTTTTCCCATCCCTTCCCCTATGCTACGCAATCTTTGTGACTGGGGACTTTCATCCCGTCCCCTTTTCTTTCTTCCATCCCTCTTCATTTGATTAGAGAGCTGCTAATCACAACCGTGTCCTAGGATCTTGGAGAGATCTAAATGGCCAGTCCCTGTCAATGACCATAATGTCGGCACTGATCCTGATGAGCCCCGTTGGTTTTACCAAACTAGCTCAACCCGGGGGAGTTGGATGTTCAGGTATGTAGGCCCTCGCACGAACGCCTCACCACTTTGCTTCCCATCACACTAGATGATGATTGCTAACATGCGTGTTCTCCTGCTCCGTGGGGAGAGCTTTGTCCGCCAGCATAACGACGATCTATGGGCCGCGATGCAGCCCGCGCTGCGACTCGTCAGCAAGGTCCTCTACCAAAACCCAGCGTTCCTCAGCGCGGCCGTGCGAGTCTGGGACCGCAAGATCGTACAGCCATTCCGGGATAAGCGCCCACCAAGCACCAGCGGTAACCAGATAAGCCTTCAGACCTTTGATCTCTCACCCCGGATCCCGTCGGGCTGAACCCGTTTAAGGAACTAGACTTCCTTCGCACGGCTTACTACGACGACTTGGTCGATGTCATGTGGGAATTCGTCGAAGACAGTGTACAGTGGTGCGTCCAGGGCGACCCTGGTAGTTGGGCCATCACCGCAACCCACGTGTGGCCCCCGCCCAACCATGGTCGCGTCAACCAGTTTGTGCTCATTAACGCCGATGTATTGATGCCACTGTTGGAGCCGACTTATAGCGAGAGTGAGAAACTCGCTGCGAGCTTCGTTCTCGCAACCACTATGCTACACGAGCTTGGCGTAAGTAACAATACAATCCCTTTTTGCCTCCAGCCTCCTCTCTCCTCCTGCCCCCGCCCCCAACGCCCCCTCCCTGGGCCCATTCCTACCACGTATCGTTACCCCTAGCGTAGATTAGGTTAAGGTGACGAAAACAAAAGGGGGCTATCATGAAATTGCTAACTCCGGGAACGTAGCACGCCTTTTCATCCAGCGGCGAGACGTTGCTATGTTCACCCAAAGCGGTTCTAGGCTCCTTATATCGCGCGGACCACAAACAGTTCTTCAAGGATGCTTATGCTATATTTAAGCATAATCTGACTGAGCCATACTTTGAGTCGGAACAAGTGGCCGAGGTGGGATTTGCCTTTGAGAACTGGGTAAGTTTATATCCTAGAGACGACCGCTCGCCTTTTCCGGCGAGCACGCCGCCCAGAATACTAACAATCCCCCTTCCCCCTTAGCTTTTCGGTGGTGCAGCAACTTCTTTGCTCTCGAACATGAGCAGAGAACTCCCGGAGGATTACTGGTACAACACCTCGGCCTGCCGAATGGAGCGCTGGCCCTCTCCCGCGCATGAGGAGAACAAGTTCGGGGCTCCTGTCCTGGGCTGGCCGCCGTCTCACCCAGACCCATACCAGCTCTGCCTGCCGATCCACACGTTTGAAAAGCTGTTCAGCAAGGAATTCTGGGACGTGGTCATCCCATCCCACGGACTCGGGGCCCTCCGGATCCAAGCCACCAACTACCCCCACAAGCTGACGACACAGCTCCTCGAAAACCGGTGGACGCACTTCGTCGCCTGCTACAAAAGCCTCCCGGCCATCGAAAGAGAGATTGAGGACGCCATCGAGTTTCTCAGCGAAGCGAATTTCCCTATCGCGGTCAACTACATAATCTGTCTCCTCGGGGAAAAGAGTCGTCTCAATATTGCCATGAGTAGGTGGAAGAAATTCCGAGAAGTTTTTGATATCCGCATGATGCAGCTCGAGGAGAAGCTGTTTGCGCTGAAGTGCGTGCTCATCGAAGTGAACACGTACTACCGCGCCCAGAATTTGACCGATCCGGCCTTGAGCCAGTTTGTTCAGTACATGCTGCAGGAGTGGTTGCTTATGGTCATGACCTTGCCAGGCATGAAGGCCCCAACGGGGTCGGAGCATGTCAAGTCTGATGACGCAGTAGGCTTTCTCACCAGTTTGCAACTCGGCGCGCAATTCTACTCCCGCCGGATCAAAGTTCTCATACTTGAAATCCTCTCCCTGTATAACTGGGAATTGGACTTTTGGAAAACGTCATCTTTGACATGTACGCTATGCAGACCAGAGACCGCGAAACAATGGCCAATACGTATAGCGAAGAGATGAAGGACTCGCTGGGCCAGATCCTCCAGCAAGTTCGCGAGTTCATCATGCTGGTCGTGCCCGTCATGAACTATGATACTAGCCTCCGCTTCTGGAACGCGGAGCTCGTAGCCTGCTCCGAGCGCATAGGCACACTGCTGGATTACGTGACTACCGACCAGACCCAGCTGAACCCGTCCGGGTGGCGTGCCGCCCTCAAGACCCTGGGCCGCGGCAAAGCGACGCGGCGAACGCCCTCTAGACTGTGGGCGCGGCACGTCACCGACTCGCTCAAGAGGATGACCACCCAGCAGATTGCGCGATTCGATCGGGCCGTGACCCTGATCAACGGCGTCACGCCGGTGCCCTTGTACAAGCAAGTACGCCCCCTGAACGAGATGGGCCAGACCCTGGCGGACCCCGCACCAGGGCCGGTGCAGTTTCCCAACATGCTGATGAGCGCCGAAAGGCGCCAGCAGCTCAGGACCGCAGATATGATGGTAGGACTGGGCCAGTTGGGCGTGGCGCACGGCAACCCGGCGGCGGCGGTCTCGGCCATCCCCATTATCCAGACGGCCTCCGCCGAGCAAGAGCGCCTCGCCCTTCTCATCGTGGCCAAGGAAGCGGAGCTCCAGGATCTCCATACCCGGCGCCGGGTAACCGACCCCGCCTACAAGGCGCAGATGGAGCTCACGGAAGCCGAGGCCAAGTGCCAACAGCTCGCGACGGAGTTGATGGACCTGAGAGCGCGGCAGGCCCATGTTCACCTCGGCGGGGGTAAGGTGGTCAGCACGCAAGACATTGACCTGGCGGATGCGCTGCTCGCGGACCAAGTCGAGCAGGTGAGACGATGCGAGAATGAGGTGGCGTTCTTGCAGGGGATGAATATCGTGTCCGCGGAGGAACTCGAACACAATAAACTCGTCCAGGAGTTAACGGCGCTGCGAGAAGCGCACAGAAAGGAGAATGGACTTGCGCAGAGAGCCATCCGCCAACACATGAACTTGTACCCGTCCATCAAAAAGGACGAAGACGCCATGTCCGATGGAAGCAACGATGATACCCTTACCGCCCGCCTCCGGCGCCCTACCGGTTCTCTCCACCTCCCGGAGCCCCAAGGTACGAGATGCGAAGCACTCATATGCGAGACACGGGGGTGCGGGAGAAGGACTTTATCGCACTTGAAAAAGCGCGGGCGCGGCTGGTGGAAGAAAACGCGAGGCGGTCGGAAGAGGTCGCCAGGAAAGAGGCGCACACGCCTAAAAAGACTCCTCTGGTTCTAGATGGGCGGGCAGTTCCTCGGCAGAGAGCCGTTACCAACGTGCGGACGGCAGGGCTCGAGTCGCTCGTGCGAGATCCACCCTCGCACAGGCGCCCTTTGGGATAGCGGGAGCGCCTCGTCCCTTTGCCACGCACGACCGGTTCGCGAACCAGTTTGAGGCTTTCCGCCGCGGGGCTATCGAGACGAGCCAGCGAAGCCGTGCGGAGACACGGACGAAGATTTAGTTTTCAAGATTGCGGAAGAGGCGGAGGCCTATCCTCGGGATAGGTTGCTCGATGGTTACACGTTGCCTGAGGGGGCGATAGATGCCCTGTGGAGGTTTGCTCGCCGGGTCCTGCCTCGAACGAGAGAAGAGGCAGCGTTGGGGCAACCCCGCCGCCGTGGCGCGTAAGTTAGGATTTACACGAGAGAGGTTGTGTGGGACAAGGATGCGCAAGAAATCATGACTATCTTGAACACTATGGATGGGCCTTTTGCCGTCGCTCTTGAATGAGAATGCTAGTAATAACAAGAATGCCAATGTTAGGGTCCACTTTGAATTGCTACCACCTACCCACTGGCTCCATGGATATTCTCATATCTCCCATCCAAGTCATATTTCCAGCGGTTTCATTCTAATTTAACTACTTGTTGGGGGAAAGATTTCACTATAAGAGTATCATGGTTAGTACACACTCAAGCCTGCAAGAGGGGCCCAGAAGAGGGGAGGAATGCTCTGGTTTTGCTTACGGCAGCGTCTCTCCATACGCCTCAACGTCCTTGGTTTCAAACGTAACAAAGATTACCCGAGTCAACTTGTCCCCATCCGGGCCTTCGAGAAACTTCCTCGTTGTCTCGGCAGCAACTCGGGAGGCATCCAAGCTCGGGTAGCCATAGATGCCAGTGCTGATGGAGCTAAACGCAACGCTCCCGCAGCCGTGTTCGGCGGCAAGCTCGAGGCTCTTCTGGTAGCAGCCCGCCAAAGCGGCCTTGGCCTCCTCTGCCTTGGCCGCTTTGTAGACGGCCCACGGCGTGTATGACCCTCTCGGCGGGGAGGTCGTAGCCCTTTGTGATCTTGGCAGAGCCGGTTTCGCAGCCGTCCAGGGTAGCGCACTCCCGGACGAGCTGAGGACCGGCGGCGCGGTGGATGGCGTAGTCGACGCCTCCCCCCAAGCAGGCGCCCGTTGGCGGCGTTGACGATGGCGCCGACCTCGAGTTTCGTAATGTCCCCGCGGTACACGCTCACGCGATCATTGAAGGATTGGGAGGGGGGTACGGGCTGCTTGCGGCTGCGGTGAGCTGCCCCGCTTGTACAGCTCCGCGATGGTGGGGATATTTTCAACAGTGGTGATGGCCATTGTGTACAGAAATCGATGTGATGTGACGTGTCTTGGGAGCGTCAAGCTTGCGACTTGGCAAGGTACGAGTAGGTTTGTGTGTGGAATTAGGAAATTCGATGTTGTTCTAGAAGAGGTGGCGGAGGTGTATAATCGCTGTTTGGGGCTTGGGTTAGGTGGGGTTGAGGTCTCGCGAAAGGTGCTGATTCAGAGGTGAGGTGCTGGTGAGTTGACAGGATTAGCTAGAGCTTCCCGAAGCTGGATGATGGGGCAGTTGGTCGACTTGATGGACGTAGAAAAACTGATGAGCAGAGGACAGGACCAAGCTCTCTGTCGAATTGGATTGCGCTTTATAGTCTTCAAGGTCATGGATGATATCTATATCTGGAAGAGGGCTTCATTCCACACATCCAGCATGATCCTGTATGTCATCATACCAATTCCAACTCGACACGCCAGGATTCCAGGGTATTCTCCATGCTCTTTTCCCCTCCTCAATTCTTCTCTCAACCTCTTTAGACCTCAAATTTCCATGGGGTAGTATAAGTCGAATTCCAGCTCATAGGCTGGCTGCTATTCACTGCGCCTTAACGTGCTTTAAAACATCACTTCTGGAGCCTTTTGGCCCACAAGGAAACGGCTAGAGGTAGGGAGGAAGCGTTGATGAGAATTGATCTTCCTTCTCAACCATCAATTGATTTGCCAACATTGAACTCATCATCTTTGTTTCCCCCTTGCTTGCATCCACCATTTCTGTTTTCGTATTTAGCAACCGAAAGTTTCCAAGCGGTGCCATCTACATTCCACCTCTCACAATTTCAGGAATCATCGACTGGACTCTGAGAAGAGCGATTTCGCCTTGCGCATCATTCCACCCTCCCGCAGCTGTCCTCGGCCCAGCCTTGCATACTTGATTTTTAGTTGGTGAGGTTGCCCATCAAGAATGCGCTGGAGCAGCAAATGCGCTGGGGCGCGGGAATCGCTCTTCCGGAATTTGTTCCAAGATACCTTAGTACCAAGGTAGATAGTAAAGAAATCAAGTCATGACTGAAAGTCCCCGCTCTCCTCGGCATCGCCCACAGTTGCCTCCAGCTCAGTCAGCATCGACAACCCTCGCAAGCAAGAAACAGCTGGCGAAGGTTCTGCCCATGCCCCTTGTCCTTTACACGAGCGCTAGGTATTTTTAAACGAGCGAGTATACAGCGAACGATAGGCTGGTATTTGATTTGATAAGTGTTCAACCGGTCCAGTCTTGAACCCGAGGGTTCCTTGCAGATATCGCAAATACGGGGCCTCTAGGCAAGGGGCGGCCTTGTGGGGAGCGACGGCGAAGGGCGGTCCCGCTGGTCGCGAATATTTACCCGGATGTGCGAGAGGTGGAACCAAAAACCTGTGCGAAGAGAGAGGTGCGTGATAGCTCCTAGATGGTGAAATCTCTACCTCACGACCAAGCGTCTCGCTAAATGGTCGGAGCTAAATCTAGAGCCCAGTTCACCATCTCGTTCCCCGACACCGAGATGATTGCGCCAGAATGGTAATTGGTGTATCCACCATAGATCTCATGATCTCCTCCTACTATGGGATATAGCTCGTGTCGTAGAGTGCTCCTGGCGCTGCTGAGGTACGTGATCGCTTGATCAAGTCCTTTGACTAGCTGCATAGGGGTCCCTCCCATGGTTGTGGTCTGCTTGGGCCAGCCAGGATTGCCGCGAGATAGAAAGAGGAAAAAAACCTATCCAGTGATGACGTTGACAGGGCCAACTCGCCCTCTGATCGGGCCCGCAATCTGTCCCCCGGATTGATGTGCAGACAATAGATTTTTACCCGCCTGCGCAAGTGGGCCCATGATGGCCGCTCAGTGCCACCAGAGAGGGAGAATCGGTTAAAAGGGCGACGAAGAAGAGAGAACTTGGGGGCAGAATTTTTGTTTCATGACAGGAGACCCTGAGAGGGTTAATGAGCCCGTGGGCTGTCAAAGTGCCAAATGTCGGATTCATGCATTGCGGCTTTGGAGGAGATTGCAAGTAAGAGCAACGGGCTTCACTTCAGAATCTCACGCCAGCCCACGCTCAGGCACCGCAAGGCACCGCGAGGCACCGCACGCACAATCCGAAACATCCAAGGGAGGGAAGGTACATTCTATCGCCGAGCACCACGCCACAATCGCTCGGGGAAGGTGCATAGGACGACGAGAAAATATCGAGGGGTTCAAAAACAAAGAAAATAATTAAAAATGACTCGTGATTGAATTTCAGCATCGTATCCATCTCCTTTCCTTTTGGTGGCTTTGCAGCTCGCTGGGGCTCATTATTTGCTTCTTCGGCGATGTCACCCCTCCACCCATGGTCATTGTTCGTGCTTGTCCAGTCCATGTACCGCCCAAAGAGGACTTGCCCACCAAAATCTGTGACACGGCTCACACAACCGCCATGGAGGCGTCAGTTTCATACCCTTGTCGCCTGGTCTCAGTCTGCCGTCCACCGATTCAGGCTCGACGTTTGCCTCCCAACACCCTCCTCCATCGCGCCATTCCGCCGTTCCGCCAACCGGAAACCCATCTCGAACTACCTGGGAGCGTCTTGTTGGCTGAGGGAAAGGCTGCTGGCCCAGCCTCCGCTATTTGAGCGAGGAGCCCCTCCCCCAGCTTAAAGCAGCTCACTATTACGAAACAAAAAATGGCGGAACAAGTCGGCGATGGGCCAATCTTGGAGGGTTTCCAAGAATCGCCAATGATGCCGGCTCGCCGGCCGAGGGCCTCGCGGGGTGCTCGTCTGAAACGGTCCTACCTCGCTCACCGTGTGCGTCGAGTTCGGATGCTTAGCAATGGGATGTTTGGTCTCCATTTCTCTTAGGAAAGAATAGACCCAAAAGATAAAACAAAGGAAGAGAAAAAAAAACATAGTAAAGAAAAAAACAAGGAGATCAAGGCAAGTTGGGATCCGGCTCACGCCGCCCCGCCCCGCTACGCCACGCTGAAGCGAAGCTGCAGGATGCTAGCATCAACACGAGGTAGGCATCAAGCCCGGCGATATCAAAGTAGATAACACATGGAGACTCTTTTTACGCCAAGCTCCGCGGGCAACGGGCCTAGGGTCAACGAGGGCTGCCCAGAGCTTGGTGGGGAGTCTCATCACTCTGCTATCCGAACAGTCGACGCTGATCCCCGTACGACACCCCCTTCATCCCGGCTCCGTCTTGGCCCCCAGATCATCCCCTTCTTTTAAATACCTACTCCAGCGCTCTGTTGCTTGTGATCCTTGCCACCCCCGGCTACCGTTTATCAATGCTCATCATTCAATGCCTGGTTCTTTCTCCTCCTCACTTACGTAGCTTACTCTCTCTTGCAGGCCGATACGTCTAGCCTATGCATCCCATCTCCTCATCCACTTGTACATAACCGTGCCAAGAGCCTCGACCCTGCTCGATCAATGCCGCACCATCACAGATTGATCTGCTCATCACTTAATTAGCGAGACAGCGAGAAGGAGACGATCCGCCGTGCAAGAAGAACATCCGAACCACATCAGTCTTCGTCCAGCTTCTGACTCCGCTCCTCTCTTTCTTTCGGTTCCGCCATTAGAACCGTCTCACATTTTCTTACCCCACACCATTTCCTGGTTGTTGCTGACTGGCTTGGATAACAAGACAGCCCAACACCTTAGGATCGTGCGATATCGACGGCATCTTACTTCCTCACACCAACTTTGCGGAAACACCACACTCGTTCCTGTCTCTTTCCGACAAACAAGCGACATTCTTTTGAGATGGTCCGAAATCTTAACTGAAAGAGGGCCACGCTAATCTACGATTCCTGCTACTTCCAAGTCTGACACAAATTGATCGTCCTCATACATCGCTGAGCGCCGCTTGAGCTTTGCACCGCAATACCCAACAACACAACCGCAGCCTTCGATTGCGACGGTCTCCTTCACCGGAAAACCCTTGCGAAAGAAAAGTTCAACGTACCATGATGATTCTCGACATCTATATGGTGCGAGTGCTGGGGTAGTTCCTGCCGGATATTGACGAGCTGATAGCTGAATCAAGCTCCATTTCGAGCTTGCATTCCCCATATCAGTCTTCCCTGACTCAGGAAGCTTCAAGCAATGTCTCTCTTTAACATTCCAATACGCACAGGGAGCCCTCCTCAGAATCGTGAAGCGGCGGCCAAAACCTACCTGGACTCTTATCACAAATTCATCCGGGAGGCAAGCCGACGCCCTCCTCCAATCTCCTCTAGCCGACTCGCCACTCCCGAATCGAGTGCTCCTATACCCTCCCCCGAACGATCCTACCACCGTGCAAACACCTCGTTTAGTGCTCCCCGCAGGGCCCACCGGCATCTGCCTTGCCCACAGGTCCGAAGCAACCCTCCGGAACTCTCGTCCTCTCACATGCCGCGACCCGGTACCTCATCCTCTTCCTCCTCACAGTGGCCTGAATTTCCTCTTACAAAACCCATTGCTGGTCCTGGCGTATCTAAAAAGGAAAGGCCCAGACCACGGTCTCGGTTCGCGCCCTCGATAGGGACCGAGACTCACCTGTAGAAATTGCCGCCGAAGAAGGCAAACTCAGCGCGGCGCTTCCATGGAGGCCGCGGTATCTTCGATGGCCCGTCTTGGTCAGTTTTGCCTTGGCCTTTGCTACCCTGATAGCTGTAGCACAGGCCCTTCTCAACTACTCGAACAAGAACGGCGGGTTGGGATCACCCAGGAGATATACGCACTATTTCTGGCAATATGGCGGCACCGTAGTCATCACCTTACTCCTCGCCACTTGGACTCGGGTAGAGTATCAAGCTAAATCCACCACCCCGTGGCGCCGGCTTTTCAAGGGCCCGATACGAGCAGAACAGAGTTTATTACTTGACTATGCTTCTGACTTGCGCATTGTGGCGATATTTAAGGCTTTAGCTAACGGTGACTTCCTTGTCGCCATCACGGCATCTATTACCATCCTCTTCTGGCTTCTTGTCCTTGTCGCCACCGCCCTCATCTCACCGGCGTTCATTGGCATTTTGAAGCCGTCAACACCCATCACCCTTCAAACAGTGTTTACCGAAACGAACGCTGGTCTTCAATCACTCGGCCCCGCGCCTTTTCTTTCCATGGTCGGCGTCGCACTGACTGATTTGAGCTTCCCCGACTGCATTTCCGACACGATCGCGTATCAATCGTTCACGGCCAATCTACCGGCGTCTGCGAGATTGGATGTGGTCGTCGATGGATTCACGAGCGCATTGGATTGCGAACCAGCGGGGATTACCCTCGATAGCCTTCGTTACGTCTCTTCCGGCGCTTATGCAGTTATTGGCTTGACGGTTGCGACGGCATCCTGCTCTATCAGGATCGAAGTGGCGACTTCAGCCCTAGCAAATACATTACAGGGACACAGCAGCACGTATATTCTCTCCTTCCAGCCCGGTTCCTGTGGAGGCTCGGGATCTCCAGACGACCAGAGGGTTGCCGTCATCTTCCCCGAGATCGATATCGACCACGACAGCTCATCAGTCAATGATGATGCTGAGGTGAGGATCTATCTTACGCTCTACCCAGGTCCTGTGTAAGCCACGGTATAGCATCACCTCGGTTGGTGTCGTTAAGATTGGAGACGAGCTCGAGACCATTGGCACAACCAAGGGCGCGACTTCCCGCCAACTAGCCAACGTTAACGTAGCTGATTTGATTGGAGCCCACACGAGGAGCTACCAGTCTGTCGACCAGAATGGGGTCTCGAATGGCCCTTATTCGGATCCCGCCCAACTCGTCGGCAGCAACACGTTTATCGATGCCAACCTTCCAATGCTTGCAGCCTTGAACTACAAAGCCCGAAGGTCGTCGGCCGCTCCGAGTCTCAGTAATCTCGAAGACAGCAACTTTCTATCAAAGATGGTTGACGAGTACTTTCAGCAGTACATGGTGTTTATCGCGCGAGAGGGCTTATGGAGCCGGCCTCAGAGCCTTCCACAGGGCTGGCTACGGTCATCAGCGATAGGCTTGTCGTTAGGGCGCTGCCTGTCCATATTTTGACTGGGCTATTGGGGTTCTGTATCGCTCTCTGCGTGATTGGCCTTTACTTCTTACCTAGGAACGGGTTTCTTCCACGTGCGCCTACCTCAATTATAAGTAAGGCAACACTCGTGGCTCATAGCAAAACCCTTCTCCAGGCACTGCGAGGAACTGGCGCTGCGGACGCCCAGGTTCTCCAGGACCGTCTCAAAGACTCTACCTACTCTGTTGGGGTGGAGCCATATGAGCGCAAAACCGAGGATGGTCTGGGTTATTTTAAAATTTATGCCAGCAATCCCACCGATGCCGGCGGACCGGCTCCGGTGGGCAAAGCTGTGAGCCCTCTCTTTAACCTGGTTAGCTAGAGGGCTCGGTCTCGTGGTAATGGCGGGAATGGTCGCTGGCTTGCAAGTCCTGCTAACCCACTCAGAGGATGGAGGAGGGTTTGTCGATATCCGCGACGACGGGGTATGTCATATGCTCTGGACCACGGCCGGCCCTGCTCTCCTATTGGGTCTCGTTGCCGTGTATATCTCCGCCGCGGACTTCTCCCTCAAGGGACTGCTACCCTACGCCAATCTAGCAAAGGGTGGATCTTTTGAGCAGTCTGTAGCACTGGACCTGCTTGATAAGTCTCTCCCTCGCATTCTCAGGACCTCGTTTGCCACGCGAAGCTTCACCGCCCTGTCATCTGCGCTTGCCGTTGTTTTCGCCGCCACGCTCGCCATCTTTTCGGGCACGTTATTCTCGGCAGTCTCTGTGCCCCTATCACAAGACCTTGCCATTCCGACAGTCGATTTCTTTCCGAGCGCCCTTGCAGATTCATCCAACGTGGCACCCGTAAGCTGTGCGACCTGTTCCTCTGCCGCAGACGCTCTAACCGCCTCTCTCATCCTCGCCGCTAATTTCTCGTATCCTCGTTTCACTTTTGAAAATCTCGTGTTCCAAACACTCGGCCTCGAGGCACCGCCCGAGGAGGTCTCTCTTCTCGATCAAGAGACAGACGAGGCCAATGACCCCGAAGAGCTGATTGCCTCCGTCGTACTCCCCGCTATTCGGCCCAAGATGTCGTGCCGGCTCTTCGCCTTTACGGAGCTAGACTTGAATCTTACGGCTGGAGACTACCGGATCCAAGGCCGCCGAAATCCACTTCGTATTGACGTCCCTGGTGAGAGGTGTTTTGACGGCAAGGGCGGCGACGAAGTGAGCAATGCTCTGCTATCGACCATACCCAACAGTGGCACAATTGCTAGCGGCGACCTACAGTTCGGACTCTCCCTCTCAGCACGGGACGTGACTCAATGCTCGGATTGGCTCTATATCTGGGGTAATCTCGCTGACCCGGGGACAAACGATACCAGCGTTACCAGTGCGGGGGCCTTGGCATGTAACGAAACCGTTGAAGTAGTCGACACGACTGTCAACTTTCACGGCCGAATGTTTGAGATCAGCCCCAGCGACCCGCCCATCACGGATGAATCGACGGCCCGCGAGTCCCCGATGGAGTTGGAAACGTTGGCGTATGAATCCCTTGTCAAGATATCGAGTGACGACCTTCTCGATCCATTCTTCAGCCTCCTTGTGAACTCGCGCTACGCCATCCCCGCGGACGCTCTATCGACCGAAGGTGATACCGCTATGCAAGTAGTGGCTGATGGCATAATTGAGCACCACGGCATCTTCCGCGCGCAGTCTATCAATTCGAAACGGCGGGCCTCGGTTCTCTCCAATTCCCAGAGGGTAATTGGGGATGTGTCGAATATGCCCTCGGGCGTCACCAGCGTAATGGACCCTCGGCTTTGACAACCAGCATGCAACCCATTATCAAAGCCTCTGTACGCTCCACCTCGGCCGTCTCCGGCCTCCGACGCCTGGAACAGGACCCCATCACCACGCGCGTCCTTCAAGCCGTCCTATCCGCCATGATTGCCCTCTCGATCATCTCTTGGATGCTAACGCCCTCGTTCAAGATGGCACACTCGCCGCACTCGATTGCATCCACAGTCTCCTTCCTCGCCGACGGCAACATCTTTGGCTTCCTACCGCGCGGCGCGGAGTGGATGTCCGAGTCGGACCTGAAACTTGCTTCGTGGGCGCCGGCGGCGCCACGGGCTTCAAGCTGAGCTGGGAGTCTGCCCGGCGGCGCAGGAGAGCGCCCGTCCGAGGCAACGGAGACCCACAGGCTGAAACGTTTGCTATCCGGGCTTCCAAGGCGACCGGTCGAGCGGACGGCGAGGATGCTGGATCCGGATTTTTCGCGAGGTTGATTGCGAGCCCTCGTCGTGCTTTTGGACGGGGCTAGATGACTACGACGCAGGGCTCCCACTTAATACGCCATTTTGCAAGCCTTTGCTAGGTCGCCTGGCTCTGTTGGCTGGCATGTAGGGATCCATCGATATCTATTAGGATATCCTACCCTTTATAACCCCCACATCACACAACACCTCTTTTCTTTTTCTATTTCTAACCTTCTACTGTATTCCTCCCATCTCTTATTCTTGCCCCGTGGAGTTCTCATATGGAGTTTTGAAACCGGGGAGGTGGTCTACATTTTGCCTGCATTGTGCTACAATACTCGTTGCCCAGAGCCATCATTGTCCATTGGTTTCCCGGAGTCGGGCTTGGCGTTGTCTCTCTCTCTCTCATCTCCTCACTTTTTTCTCTTTCTTTCTACCACTTCCCCCTTGTTCTTTTTTTGATAGGGATCCTTGTTGGAAGCTGTTGTTTTCGGGATATTAGGGGAATCGGGCATTTGCATTTTCTTTTTCTTTTTCTCTCCTTTTATTCCAACTTTTGGATGACATGGGCGAGGGCGGGCTTGATTTGGCGCGCCAAACCCCGAAATTTGCATGTACGACTTGCGGAGTAAACGTAGAGCTAAGCATGAATGATATCCATTGATTTTTCTTTTGCTTTGTTTCCGCTTTTCAATATAGAGGCATTGGAACAACGTCATCTTTGTCAAGAGAGTAACTAGGGCCTGTGTGACGTGACGCCAATCTTCATTCCACCAAGCGATGGTACACACAGGAGTCGCGGAAGCAAACTTGAAGGCACAGATTACATGATGATTCATTTTAAAGAATAAAAAGGCGCTTTCCATCTTATTTCCTCAATAGCGCTTATAAACATAAAGTGGAAGAAGAGAGGCAAGGCACGCTCGATGGGCGCGGCAAACAAACCAAGGCAGAGATCGCGTCGGAGTGCAAAGAGGGTAGAGGTGGACAGACGTTAGAAATTTAGTGGGGGCATTGGCAGAAAAGCAGAAACGGGGGAAGAGATCGCTGGAGGAAAGCAAGGACTTGGTGATGGTCTATACATGGGTGAGACGGGGCTTAAGAGGAATCGGTACGGCGCTCAAAGGAAACGTGGTGGAAATGTGATGAAGAAAAAAGCCAATCGCTTGCCTGTCCAGCCTTTGTCCTGATATGTTTTACATGCATGAGAAAAACACTCACAGACATCTCAAGCCTCAAAAATGTGGATTTGACGCAGCAACGAAAAAGGAAAAAAAGAAAAATGAGTCCCCCATTTGATTCCATCAACAAACAAGTATGCATTGGTCTGTGCCGGGTTTGGAAAATGGAAATAATCAAATGGGAGCAAACCCTGAACATACCGGCTGCGATCAAGAAGATTAGAAATAACTTCTCATCGCCTCCTGGTAGCCTGTTCCTCCCTTCAGGTCGCGATCGAAGCTGGTCAACACATCGAGCACCTGGCGAATATGCTTCATGCTAAGAGGTTCGCCACGGTTGACAGCTAGTGCCTGAGCCGTGCGGACCGTATTCTTGATCTGGCGACCGTTGAGATCGTGCTTGGCCAAGTTGGTGTAGTCTTCCTCGGTGAATGGCATGAGATCAGCCTTTTCGAGAACCCGAACCCTCTCGATGAAGATCTTGAAAATCTTCTTCTTTGCCTTCTGGTCAAGCGAATCGTAGCGGAGGGCGATGTGGATACGTGATTGGAAGGCGTCGTCAAAGGTCTGAACAAAGCGAAATTGTTAGCGAGTTACCTTGCACGAGCCTTGCTTTTCTTTTTTACTTACCTCAACACGATTGGTCGTCAAGAACAGGATGCCCTGGAAATATTCCAGCTGACGAAGGAAGATGCTCACGAGGGCATTACGGTGCAGGTCATGCATGTTTCGCTTCTCAAGGAACACATCGGCTTCGTCAAGGAGGAGGATGGCTCCCCAAGCGTGGCAGATGTCGAGAATCTTCTGAAGCTCGGCCTCAAGATATCGCGAGTCTGTGCCGAGTTCACCAGCAGAGGCCATGTACAGCGGACATTTGAGGAGTTCGCTGATACCCTCTGCGGTAAGCGTCTTGCCCGTTCCTGGAGGCCCGTGGAGGACAGCTGACGTGCAAGGTTAGCAAAGTTACACAGTTGATCAAGAGGTCTACCCGATGCTTACCAACAAGACCCTTGCCCTTGCCTTGGATCACATCGTCTATGCTTTCAGCGGCATGGTATTTGTGGGATTCAACGAGAGCCTGGGAAAGGTATAGTGTAAGTATTCATGATGATCCGTTAAGGAGTGAGCCGGGGACCGAGGGGCCAGTGTACATACCTTGACAATGTCCTTTGTTTTGGGCTCAAGTACGAGAGAGTCGTACGCCGTGTCATTCCACTGGATTTCCTTAATACCAGATACCGTGAATTCGAGCCAAAGTTTTTCGGAAAACGCGAAACCCAGAACAACGGGCGACGCGATTAGGTACTCCTCGTCAGAGAATTCGGGGATAGCAGGCTTTTCCGGCTTGGCACTCTCCTCATCCTTGTTCTCTTCTTCCTTGCCTTCGTCAGCCTTGCCAGCACCCTCCTTGTTCGTTGTCTGGACGGCATCAAGGCCTTCCGCATCGTCGTCGTCAGACTCGTCACGCGGAACCCGAATGGCGCGCACGTTGCCGTTCTTGTCCTTCACGAACTTGACCTTGAACTTTGGCTTCTCATCCTCCGAGTTTGATCCATCGCTGTGGCCCCCGCTACCATCGTCACTATCCGTCTCGTAGCAGCAGCTATCGTCATCTCCATCGGATTCCTCGCCAGAAGAAGCATCGTTGTCTCTTGGGCGGACTCGAGAAATTGGGTAGTTGGGGTTGATTCGCCGGTGGATCGCAGGGTCTACCATGATCCTTCCGTTGATATTGACCTTGACCACTGCCTTCTTCTTTTGAAGTACGCCATGCCTTGGTGATTCTTGTAATGAACCCCAGAAAGCTGCACGAACTTCTTTCCGCGCTCAATGAGGGTCTTTCGGAGTTCGGCTTCGTTCTTATGGTAGTTGAGCGGGCAGGGAAGACTGGTGATCTTCCGGGCACCTTGAAATCCCCAATGTCGACAGACATACTACCGTGGCCGTACTTCTTGCCGTCGTACTCGAAGTACTACTAACGGTTAGCCTCATCATATCCAAATTGGAGGGGTTTCAAGATTGTATTGAGAGTACCTTTCCTTCGACCCAATAGAAATCGCCGCGGGCCATTGAGAAATGCTTCTCCGCCATGTCTGCCTTGAACACTCTGGGCTCATCATGGCACCCGTAGGTCGCGGTGTAGACTAGCGTACCTGGCTTCCACAGTGCCCACATTAAGTCGAACGTGATGAGACCATTCTCCAGCATGGGATATAAACTTAAATTCAGTTAGTCAAAATGTCCGTCCAGCACGAGCTACTTGTGTAAATAGGGAGTTAGGAATTTACCTCTTCATCACCTCGGCGTAATCGTGATCGAGGTACTTTATTAGAGTCTTGAGGTGTTGTCGCTTGGTTTCGTTCCTCTTCTTGTCTCGCTTCTTCTCCTTCTTGTTCTTGCCGGTCGGCTTCTGCTTCTTAAGTTTCTTAACGTGCGCTCTCATATCCTCGAGGTACAGGAACAAGATGTTAGGGTCGAGCTTGGGGGTTTCCTCTACCAAGCTGATGCCTTTGATGTGGCCCATGATATCCTTGAGACAATCTCGCAGAACCTTGCTCTTAATGTCAACATAGGTGGACTTGTATTTGCCCTCCCAGTCAAAGGTGCGCCGGATGTGGAAGATGTAACCCTTGTACTTGGGATCCGGCGATGTCTGCGTGGTGTCTTGGAGTTTATAGTTGTGTATGGTGCTGTCCCAGACTTGATCCACACGCTTGAAGTCCAATCGGCCGTTCTTACCCGCCTTGTCAGAAGCCTTTCCCTTATCCGACTTCTTCTTCTTATTGTTCTCGTCGCTGGGAGGAGGGGGCATACGACCCGCCGGCCTGGCGTTGCCGCGAGCATTGAGCTGCGCAGCCAGTCCTTGGTTGAGAAGCTGAGCTTGATTGGCTAGAGGATTGGCTACCTGACCACCCCCGAGAAGACCAAGCTGAAGGGGAGGAAACCATATTGCCCAAGTCCTTGAAGCTGGAGCTGCTGTTGAAGTTGAAGCTGCTGAAGCTGCTGTTGCAGGCTGAGTTGTAGCTTGGACTGGAGGTCTTGCTGGCTTTGCTTCGTTGCCTGGGCATTAGCATCGTTCGACGTCTCCGTTTCATCAGTTTCGTTACTGTCATCCGTCTCAGCGCTCTCGTCGGCCTCCTCCTCGTTATCAGCAGCATCGGAGTCGCTCGACTCAAAATCAGAGTCATCCGATGACTCCGCCTTCTTGGCCTTTCTCTTCTTCTTCTTCTTTGACTTGGACTTCTTCTCCTTGTGGCGGTCGGATTGCTTTTGGGATATCCTCTTCGACTTCTTTTTCGTCGCCTTCTCCAACTCGGAATCAGATATCTCACTGTCGTCGTCGCTATCGGCGGGGCTAGAATCGGAATCAGAGTCCGAGTCGGAGGATTCGGGCTCGACGACCTTCTTCTTGGGCTTCTTTGCCTTTTTAGAGCCTTGCCATTCTTCTTCGTGCGGCTCTTCTTGATCTTGTCCTTTGTATCCTCTTTGCACTCCGTCACCTTTGAGTCTGCCTCAGCCTGCTTCTTAGTCGTGGACTTTTCAGAGCCGACGATAGTGGACTCATTCGTAGACTCGGGCTTCGGCGGCGGCGCGTCCATTCGCCGACAAGAAGTCTCCTGTGGCTCCATCGCACCAGGCTAGCTCTGGAGAAGGAATATGTTAACTAGCGAAACAAACGGATGGGTATAGGGGATATGGTTTGGAGGGGAATAGTAGATATAGGCTGAAAAGTAACGATGAACAACAAATATCTCTCTATTGATTATGAGAAGAGAGAAGGGTATCGATGTTAGGAGGGGTTTGTTGTAGAGCGAGTGCTCACTATCAATGATGTTTTCCGCTTGGATAGGAGATGAACGTGCTAACACATAAAACGCTCTTTCCTAATGATTTGGTTCCTAAGCCCTTCACAGAAGGAGGAGGGGAAGGGCAAAGGGCGAGGGCAGTAGCCTTTCCTTTTGAGTTGCACTTGCCAAAGACCAACAAGGAGATGAAGTATAGATTAGGACTAACGTTGAGGTTGCTGAGCACACAGGTGCAGCTAGAAATGGGAAGGGGAGATGGAGGCCAGTAGGAACTAGGTGGATCCAAGTGGCTGAAAGAGATGAGGCTGAAGGGAAAGGGAAAGGGCAGCAAAGTGGTGCTTCCGTTTTTGGGAAGGATCATGGGATGGAAATGTTCGGCAGGTGCCCCCGCCTCATCTAGAAAAGAGGCAAAGGGAAGGCACCCATGTTAGCATCAAGCGAGCCTCGCCCTAGGCCACGCCATCTGCCATGTGATGGTGGGGGAGGAAGTCAAGGACTGGCAAAATCGGAGCTACTCAGCCACCTTGCGCCCATTGCACTTTGATCCAACATTGCGTGGTTGAACGAAAGGGAACAACCAGTACATGGTACATTCGTTATCCGCACACTTGAATGAATTTGAAGAAGCTCATTGTTACAGGTGCGAGGAACACGCGGGCCAGCTTTAACGGGCACAGGGTGCGAACGTCGAGCTGCACCGTCCTGCCAGGCGGACCTCTCCAGGGGGTTCTCAGATCGTGGTTGGTCGGTCAGACTGGTTCGGTTGCGGTGGGGGCGGGGCGGAGACCGAGATCATCTTTCAATTGGTACAGGCCATCACGAGACGACAAGTTGAGAGACACCCACTCCCGGCATCCCTTGGCTCATGCCAGATGGGAGACATCTTGACAGACCAGACGACTAGATAACCACGCAAAGACGAAGGAAAACGGAAACGATCGAGGATTTGTAGGGAAGGGCGTGGGTCAAGGGAAAACACCAGGGAATCAGAACAATGTCTGGTTTACTCCAACACGAGGTGAGGGGATGAAGGTTTGGTGCAACGAGAGGACGAAAACAACTTATTCAATCGAGAAGGACCATTTATCATCTCAAGATGAGGCGATGACTTACTGTGAGGCGAGGGAGATGGAGAGTAGGAAATAGAAAAAAAGAGGCGGCCTTGAGCGTCACGGTATTTCAGACAGAGGTATCGAGCGTCTATAATTCGAAGGTCTCCGGAAGGGTGGCGCGGGTCGCTCAGAGGCGTTCAAATGAAGGAGAGGAAATCTATGCAGGCTGCCGGCTTTGTTGGCCAGATGAATACCGAAATCAGATGGACGGGAATTCTCTAGAGCCTGAAGAAAGATGAAAGGCCACTCGCAGGTTTTCAGAGTCGGTGAGATGAGGTTAAAACGTGAGACAAGCTCGACAGCTGGGATCAAGTCATGCTCGCTTGTTGAGTATGACAGGTACGTCGAGGCGGGCCGAGGGGACAAAATCCACGGCGAGCAGGAGTTAGGGTAAAATTCAAAAGGGAGAGCAGGAGAGAGAGAGACAGAGAGGGGAGAGAGAGAAAGAGTGAGAGGGACGATGCTCGCCCCAAGGGAACGAAAGGTCGGGCAGGGAGCCCGTCTTCTTGTACTACTCGGAGCGGCATGGATGACAGCCATGGTGTGGTGGGCTAGTGCAAGGCATCAATGGGTCCATGAAATCCGTCCTCACCGGAGTAGGAGTGGCCAACAGGAGGCGGTGAGAGCCGGGACAGTAATTGATGGGCCAGCCACGTCGGTCAATGTCGAACTCTTTTGAGGGTGGTACCCGGCAAATTCAGTGGGGAAGGGGCCCAAATGAGAGAGCACTGAGATGGGCGGAACCAATTGTGACGGTTCTAGGCCAGCTGTGCAACGTGCCAGGGGTGCACCACGGGGCAGTCTTCCTGGACACGGTCGTGAACACGCGAACAGGGGTACCCAAGTTGCATGCGAGGCACGATCATGGAGCTAGGTCGGTTGTCGTTTTCAGATGCTTTCAGATTGTGGTAAAGAGTCGGGCCCGTTGACATCGAAGCATCGAATTGATCTAGGATGCCTTCCAGCGGCGAGAGGCGGCGGCTTTGCTGCCTGCTCACTACCGCCTGCTCCCGCTCGCTACCCGCCTCCAAGTGCTCTGCTGCCTGCGATCCCGCGGAAAACCGCAAGACCCGACCAAAGAGCTTGGTTCATAATACCGAGACCAGCTCAAACTTGGTGTGTGCTAAATCTGCCCATTGGCAACATCAGCTCCCCCATCGCGGGGAGACAATAAAAGAGGTGGCCCATCCCCAAAGCTGACAGGATCAATGGAATAGGATATCTGCCTAGTGCTGTTGCCTGCCTCGCCGGGCCACTCTAGGCCAGAACCCAAGCCCCGCCTGCCATATCTGGATCCAAGACCCGCCCTCGAAGATCGATCAAGCCTTCCGAAATCCCCACATGCGGTGCACGCCCTACGTTCAATTTGACGCGAACCGCCTCTTGCTCGCCGTCTGACGCATGGGTGGCCGTTCTTGAAATCACCAACCAGATCAAAAAGCGCGAAGAGACTCGAGGAAGCCAGGGCAATCTGACCGAGTGCCCGGCCGTCCCTGGCAGACCGTGATCCTTGATGGAGAAGAAAGTGGAAGAAGTCAAACGCACAGGTAAAGGGAAGGCTCGATTGACGTGGAATCACGAAAACGCACTGCATTGGTTCAGCAATCCTTGCACCAGCTCTTGCATGCCGCACTGTCTCACCCTCGCATAATTGCAAACCCACTTCGAATGCTTGTCGTGAGGCTGGCTGTTCCTTAAAGGAGTATGCGAAGGTAGTCAGTCACCTGAGTCGTCGGACTAGCCAAGCTCCCGTTGCAGAATGAAGAGAGGCGGTGCCGTCGCTCGCCTAGCCCCATCTCAGAAGCGCAGGCACACCACGTTGAAAATCATATTCAGAGTAGCTCGTCTCGAGGATGGGTAGTGAACGATATTCCAAGGATCAGACTAGGCAAGATCTCGGGCGGCCTCTTCCGGCTTAGTGGGCCGAAGGAACTATTATTGTCTGACCCTGACTGCATTATTCAACCAACCTGTTTAACCCCTGATTGGAAGCATCAACTGAAGGCAGGGAGACAGGCTGATTCGACAGGCGGATGTTGACGGGGGCTGACGGGGATAAAAATATAAACTCGGTCCCAGCAGAATCCCGATATCATATAAATTCAAGGAATTTTGCCGCTCAGCGCTGCTGCCTTGCTACAAATGGAACTCGCTCCTTGTTGCTCTTACCGTCTTCCCTTCCTCGACAACCCCTTAGAGCCTTTACCTTGATGTTTTTTTTTTCCTTTTTATGCATCAAGGCTGACGATTCTACTGTTCAATGACGATCAAATGGTTGAGAATGGACATGGCCGCTCGGCGCATCGCCTTGTCACCTGCCCCAGACGCCCCGGACGTTTGACCCATAAAAGCACGAGAGAAGTCTGCCGTGTGGGGAAAGACTACTAGTATTGGCCGACTACTTGACAGCCTAGAGTTACGATGATGGAAGACGATATTGCGTTGTGCGAGCTGGGCGCCGGATCAAGAAGGCCATCGATCCTTCTCCCGTCCGGGCTACAAAGATTGGAGCAGCCTAGTAAGCTGGGCTATTTTAGTTCCCGAGGGTGGTAACGGGCTCTGAAGGAACGCTCAGAACGGCTCCGGAAGCTCATTTCCTAGCCTGATCCAAAATCGACGCTTCAAGTATTTTTGCTTCTCTTCGCCCCCATCTCCTTGGCTCAAGATGGAGGAGGGAAGATTAGCAATAAGATGCGGTTGGGCTGCTGCTTGTTGCTCTCAACAAATGCTGCACCCTCCAAAGTCCCCACTCAACAAAGAAAGGGACGGAGTATTATTAGTTGTATTGGAAGCATGGACCTCAGACTCTGATGAGACTTCGCAACCCTGGACCTGCAGTACTCCGGTCTCCCATACCTAATCTGGAGACCTCTGGCTCATTAGCTTCACCTGGGCATCAAGGGCAGCCCCAAAGACGAGGTGTTGAGAGTCTACACTTTGCTTTTTCCCTTGTCTATTTTCTCTCTTTTCTTTTCCTTACTTTCTCCTATCCGACCCGGGAACAATCACTTCGTCGGCCGGGCTTGGGAGATCGTTCAGGGGAGAAGGATTGATGAAATCATCACCGCAGGAAGATACCGGGAGCCCAGAGCTGACAACCCTTTCCAAAGAGACCCGCCCCAGCACCGGAAACGCTGCCAGACTAAAGCCGTCCCGTTCCCCGGTTGCGGCAGTCCAGCGCCAGCATCCGCCCGTCTTGGCGGAAGCAATGAATGGACCCAACCCAGCTCCTACCCTTGTTGAAATTCCCTTTTGTTCCCACCTCGTACTCAAGCGGGCCTTCTCTCAAAATCGATCTTGGAGCGAACTAGCACCCTTGTTCGGGTTGGGAGTGTAGGTTGGGCGAGGCGGCCGCCGGTTGCTACAAGTATGTAGTCCCCTCGAAGCACGCAAGCCACATCTAGACTTTTTTTTTTTTTTTTCTTGCTCCATCCAACAAGCAGCAAAAAGCCCCTTTCAGTCTGGCAGAGCGCCCCCGGCCAACCAAGGCATGCTGACTTTCTTCGAGGGTGTCTATCACCAACAACAGGAGATGCATTTGCCTGGCGCTCCTGCAGAAAGAGGCTGCCGCGGGAAACCCACTTTGTTGCTGCGTTGGCCGACCTAGAGCCACTCTGCCCAGTGTCGTTTTCCTGAGCAACGCAGGCGAAGAGGATTTGCGCCCGCATCTGAGCTGCGTGTGCTTGCATGCGCAGCGGTCGTCACTGCATATCGGTGCGATATGTCCTGACTCTAGCTTCGCAGGTCTCGGGATGACCGACGCAGGCTTTGGAAGCCGCGGCTTGGGTCCTCACACCTCACCCACTGGCAAAATTCGTGTGGTGGCATAGATCCAAGCGTCTGTGGCCCCAAGTGGTCACGGCCAGCCAACGGGGTCAACCGGGAAGGCTGCCACCTCGGGGAAAGCAGGCAAGCAAGCAATACTTTGCGTTACCCTTAAATACTCTTTGCTGTCGCCAATTGTAATCCGTAATCCGCGCGACAACGGCCAGAGTCTAAGATGCATATTTATAACCAGGAAGAACACTTCCTGCCAAAGGGAAGTGGGCCAAATAAAGAAATAGAAGTTTTACCGAAAGCAGTAACAAAATTACAAGTTAGGAAGAAAACGTGTCGCCAGCCATTCCTTCGCCCACGAATATTTACCAAACCTGTCTTTGCTTCCTTCTTTCCAAACAAAGCATCGCCATCACGCGGGTCCATGAGACGACTCCCAAGGCATTGTTTGCTCACGCACAGTGGCGCACATGCGTCCCGACCAGATGGCAGGTCGCCTTCACGAAGCAGTAGATACGATGTACGTGCGCGCCCAAGCTAGAGACCATTTATCATGAGGGCTACGGAGCATTTTGCGATACCGAGTTGGGCCCAGGAGATCAACACCGGAAATCAGCATCTCAGAAAAAAGCCATCCGGAGAAGCTGATAAGTGCCACACCTACCTGCAAGCTTGATCGCATGGAGCAATCATGACTTGCCAGACATGTATTGATCTTCAAAAACCTCACCAGTCTCAAGCCTCTCCAGTACTAGACTATCAGACAACCGATGCGGGGTATGCAGGTAACTAAAATTATAGGAGAATGGGAAAAAGGGAATCGATGTTGGCCTTTATTCTACTCTCACGAGATCTCGACCAAGATGTCCTACTCTTTTCGTGTCCGAATGTGGAAGTTTACTTGTTCTTGAAGTTGGTAGCCGGCAAGCAGGTGGTGAGTGCCACCACTGAATTAATTCAAGGGTCATCTCCCTCGAGAGCTACCATTTGCCCGGAACGCTTTAATCCTCACATTGGAGCCGGGTTTGCTTCCTCGTCGTCTTTCCGAGCCGCCTCCATCCAGCTTGATGAATACACATGCTCCCATCATGCATCTGATTCTCCCTGCACCGACTGAGTGCGAGCGGTTGAGAGGTGGTGTATGGAGAGGACCCCAAGACAACCGTCCCTCCGTTCCACGGGAGAGCACCATCGTCGATCTAGATCAATGGCTCAACTTCAAGACGGAGGCTAAAGTGCTAGAGCCATGCTTGTGCTCCCCTGTGCTTGTGCTTCCTCATCGACCACCACTCACCTTGACCCCGACCCACCCAATCGCTCCGGGCTAGTGATGGCGCAGCAAGGCCATGGCAGCTGAATCCGGATAGTCGAAAAGTATCCCCTAATGCTTTTAGGGCGAACTTTCAAGCCAAATTAGATAAAGAGGTACCTGTAGCTCCTCCCGCACCCCCTTGTTCGGTGCAGAGTTGCATCGAAAGCGAGAGCTCTGATCAGGATTGACCAAGCTACAGACGTCATTCCACTCCTGGTGATGCCGCCGAAAAGCATCAATTGCCTCCGCACCGTCCATTAGCCGGGTCCGGTTGGCCTTTTCATAGTGTCAATCGCTTGGGAGATTGATGCCATTTTTAGCCTGGTTCCAAGGTTTTGAGCCCTCCCTTTCCATTGAAACGGGCCCAACCGAGCTGCGAGACGATATTCATTGGCGTAAACTAGTTGCGCACTGCTTCCCTAGTGTTGCCGCGCCCTTTATCTCGTGATTTTGGGCTGAGGGGTTTTTCCTCTCTTTTTTTTCTTCTTCTTCAATCCCGGGATAAGGGCCCTCCTGCCACACTTGTGTTCACGTCCACCCCGCTTGGCTGTTTCCTCCCTCGCTCCTCCCTCCGCTAATTTCCGCTGAGGCCTGGACGACATATGAGCTACATTTCCATTTGGTGAGAGGGGTAATAGCATTTCTAGTGAAGTAGCGAAAGCACTGAGAGGCCAGCGGACATTATCAAGCACTCCTACTCAAGATGCCTGCGCGTACTAGCCGAATGACGCTGGGCCGGCTGCTCGGCCTGTCTCGAGAAAACAATCGGGCTCGCGACTGGTTCTTCGAGGATAGCGGCAACCGTACGTTACCAATCGGTCCTCCCTTCATCTGCCGCAAGCTCTCCAAATCCCGTCAATGCCACTAACAAATCTTTCTCCTCAGTGCTTCCCCACCACAGGCATCACGAACTCAATCCTTCTATTCCGCCGCTCGAGGTCACCAAAATCGCTCTTCGTCTGCGCCACCTCATTGAAGAATGCGTCCCGTGCGAGCTCGAAGAAAGCCTTATCACGCAAGCCCACAGCCGAGTCATCACAAGGGAGGTTGTCCTGGCTGCCAAGGAAGCGGGCGGTGAAGAGTATCGATCCTGCGTTGTGTTTGCTCTGCTTGTGTGCTCTCGGTGGTTCAAGCGGCAGGCTCACTTGGAGCTGTGGGATGCCACTCTACACAATGTTCGGTCTACTGCTTGCGAGGTGATTGCGAAGGCCATGTGAGTTTTTGTCCCGGATAATTCGTACCTTGGGAGGAGTTGGGCTGTGCAGGAAAGAGAAGCGAAGAAGGAGTGGCGGATGCGATCTCTCTATCAATAGGAAAACTAACGCTATGGATACCCCGTGTTTAGTATCGAGGGCGAAGAAGACATGAGCTATCTCCTCCACACCGTCCTCCTCCATCGGTTCTCCATTCTCGTCAACGGCAAGCCGACGCCGCCTGCGAACGCCGTCGAAAAGGCCGTTGACCTGCACGCGCTCCGTGTAATCTGCTCCTCGGGATACCAAAAGTGTCTTCAGTACCTATGGAGAGGTTGGCTGGTGCAAGACGAGGATGATCCCACAGTGTTTGTGGACTACCGGGGTCGCGATGACCAGCGCTATATCGTGCATCTCGATCCGGACCGCCTTCGCGCGCCCGTTTATCAGAATATCGCCCGACTTCTCTTCTCTTTCATCTACCTAGCTCTGTACACCATGTCCATCAACTCCGTAAACCCCAATGGCGAGTTCGACGCTGCCGAAATTCTCCTTTTCCTCTTCACCCTAGGCTTCATCTGCGACGAGTTTACAAAGTTCTGGAAGGCCGGTTACCACATCCTGAGTTTCTGGTCCGCCTTCAACGGGGTACTCTACGCTGTGTTAACCGTCTCTTTTGTATGTCGCATGATTGGCCTCAGCTACCCTATCGGCCACGAGCTCCGCCACAGCTACGATAGCCTCAGCTACAACTTCCTCGCCTTCGCCGCCCCCATGTTCTGGATCCGCCTGCTGCTGTACCTAGACAGCTTCCGCTTCTTCGGCGCTATGCTCGTCGTTCTCAAGGTCATGATGAAGGAGTCCATCATCTTCTTCGCTTTACTCGCCGTCATGGTTGTGGGTTTCCTGCAAGCCTTTATCGGCCTTGACCTTGCTGAGGATTTGAAGACGGACGAGATCTGGTTCATCATCCAGGCCATGGCCAACTCGGTGATGCAGAGTCCTGAATTTGATGGCTTCGAAAAGTTTGCACCGCCGTTTGGCATCCTACTCTACTATGTATTCACATTTATCGTCATGGTAAGCAAAGCTCACTCCCCTTTCGGTGATCGGAGATAAAGGAAAACGAAAGAGATGTCTAGTTTTTTTAGGACTTTCTTTGGCTAACTCCACTAGGTCATTCTCCTCAACATCCTCATTGCCTTGTACGGCTCTGCCTATAGCGATATCTATGAAAACGCCGACGACGAGTACATGGCCCTCTTTGCCCAGAAGACGATGGAGTTTGTCCGCGCACCCGACGAGAACGTTTACATTGCGCCCTTCAACCTCGTCGAGATTGGTGTCATCGTTCTCTTCTCCTGGTGGCTCCCCAAGCGCCAGTACGAGTTCGTCAATGACGTTGTCATGGCCATTCTCTACTCGCCCCTCCTCCTCATCGCCGCCTACTTCGAGTCTCGAAAGGCCGGCGAGATCCGCCGCAACCGTTCCCGCGGCGAAGACGACGACGATACGGTCGAGGAGTGGGAGCAGATTGAGGACCAAATCGACTTTGAAGCCGAAGGTTGGACTAAGCGGTGCGCGGCCGTCAAGGCCAACGTCGAGACGGACCCGGCTGTCATTGAAGTTAGGAAGCTCATGGACGAAGTGGCGGAGCTCAAGTTGATGATTGCGGAGCTGAAGAAGGGCATGGATGGGGCTAATGGGAAGAAGAAGGATGATGTGAAGAAGGGTAGTGAGGGTGATGGCGAAGACTCGTAATGAATGTATGATGGGCGGATGTAATGGGGCGCTCCCGGTCGCTTCGAGGTGAAGGGTATGGTACTACTGCACGCCAAATCAGTTTGATAATTTTACTTAATACATTCTGTCTATGTGGCTCTGCCGACTAGCTTCGACTAAGGAACCTCGGCTACCCATTTACGTGCAGCGAGGGGCTCATTGCCAACCTTCTGGCCTCCTATGGCCTTGAGGGTTTGTATCCTTCTTCTCTATTGTCTACTCCCGCGTTGTTCAGTTTGCTGCCGGAAGGAGCAAACGAGGTGAGCAGTAGAGATACCAGGTGCAACATGGGCCAGATACCTCAAGAATGTTTACGCTTGCTCACTCAGGTCAAGAAATATATAAACGCAGATAAGCGCTGTGTGATGTATTTTTAGTGTTGTTTATCTCTTGTGTTATTGTAGTTGTTGTTGGAGGGGGCTCGAATTAGAATCGAAAGCCACTAAATATGCTATATACAGGACGAGCCAAGCGTCATTTCATAAACCTTCATCCTCATGCAACCACGCCCAAACTTCTCCCATTTCCCCCTTCTATCTTTCACAGCGCTCCTCTAGCAGGTGATGGGCCTGGGGCCAGCAGCCTGGAAGGGCTGGTTGTTGTTGTTGGGGACACCGGCGGCGCCGTAGATGTTGGCGAGGATGGCGGGGTCGTTCTGCTGGTAGGCGCCGGGGAGCTTGACGGTCTGGGTGGGGGCAAAGGTACCGGAGCCGGTGACCTCGATCTGGGCGCACGAGGTGTAGAACTGGGCGCCCATGTTCTGGTGGGCGCTGTGGAGGGCGAGGAGCTCGATGCGGAGGAGGTAGTGGCCGGGGGCGATGCACTGGGGCATGGTGAAGTAGTGCCAGCCGTTGCCCTTGACCATGTTGTCGACGCCCCAGACGCCAGAGCCGGTGTCGTAGCTGTCCTCGGCGACCTTGAACCAGTCGACGCCGGCGTGGGAGGCGGAGGCGGCGTTGTCGACCTTGGCGAGCCAGGCGGTCACGGGCCCGTGGTGGGAGGGGGCGATGGGGTTGTCAGGGTCGTTGGGGAACTGGGCACCGCCGATGACGTGCTGCCACCAGGAGCCGACCTTGGCACCGGCGGGGACGGTGATGACGGTCTCGGACTTGAGGCGACGACGCCGCAGGCGATGTCGGGGGACTGGACGTTTTGGACGGGGTTGTTCTGGTTGGGGGCGCGGAGGCCGACGAGGGAACCCTGGTCTTGTCCGTCTACGGAGAGACGCTGTGATGGGGTTGTGCGTGTTAGTTACGGGATCGGGCGAGGCATGTCGAGGGGCTAATAGAGGGGAGGGAATGGAACTTTGACGCTGTTCTATGTGTGCAAGGTAAAGGGGAGGGGAGACAAACCTGGAAGATGGTGTGAGCCGAGGCGACGGCACTGCAGGCCAGCACGGAGGCGAGAGAGAACTTCATAATGGGCGACCGGAAACCGAAGCAACGACAATACAGAAACAATGGACTGGATAGTGGAAGGCTGGGATGAGAAGCTTATCCTGTTCTTTCGTCGACAAGATCCAGGCTCCAAGATATTGTGGGAGACAGGGGGACTATATATATTCATCTCGAACATCGCTGGACGGCGCCGGACGGCGCCTTTGCCTCGTGGGTACGTCTTACACCCTCCCAAGCTCCAGGCCCAAACGCTTGACCCCCTCTCCTTTCCTTAAGCCAAGACCAGGAAACAATAACTCTCACTCAACAACTAAGCGGCATATACCCAGTGACAAGACTCACATATATCATCAAATAGATTGCGGGAGGGCGGGCGAGCGTCACGCAGAGGGGGCTGCCATGGAGAGAAGGACGGAAATGAACGACGATCTCCTCCTATTACTATTCGTCCCGCGCAGAAGCCGTGGGGCATCCATATATTCCTTGCTGCTTATGCTTACTTTCCATCTGCGCCTCTCTCTCCTTGGCTTCTGGCCCCATGACGGTATATGGGCCTGCTGGCTTCTGCCGTCCCGAAAAGAAAGGGCATTATAGAAAATAGATGCGGATCTGGGGCGTTCCCCACGGGATTTCTGGGCCGGGTCCGGGGTGGCAATTAAGGGGAGGACTCGAAATGAAGGGAAGAAGCCCCCAAAGACAACCAACCATATTTGCAATGGCAAATCATGGGCTGCAAAAGAGACTGGGCAGTTTTGAGGCCAAAGGATACCAATGACACACAAAAAGTCGCAAAACAAGAACGACCTTCGATAGATGAACGGATGGCAACGAAGGCCAAGGACTCGGCAAGCACTCGCTTCACGTTGCCCTCGAATACAAACCCGCCTTCCTAAATTGACCAACGGGTCACTTGATGGCCCAAACAGACTCGAAAAGAAGGTGCATCTGATAATAGCGAGGCGACAAGTGAGAAGGAAAGAGCGACAAACGTAGAGGGTAGGTGCACCTGTGCCTTGGAGAAGTAATAGAATCAATGTCGATCCGTTGGGATCGCATGGATCTGATTGCTGTTCTGTTTGGCTCGGGTAGAGCTCCCGCGCTAATCTTCGTTGATCAATCTCATGCATCTACTATCGCGAGCTCTCATTCTGCAACTGCTCGTCCTAAAAGAGATCCCAATGAGTTCCACTATTTTAGAAAGCTGCAGTTGAGTGGCTGGTCGCTTTTCGGACGACTCAAGCGGGCTCCGTAAGGGTAGCACCAGTTTAGACAGCGACGACATCACGAACGCGTTGGCGCCTCGCTTACACCCCCTTGAAGGAAAGCAATAATAAAGGGACCGTTAGGACGAAAACCCATGAGGGAAAACGCAAAATGGATGAGCATACGCATCAATAAAGAGGAAATCAAAGAATAAGTGGCGATAAGCAGTGAAGTTGGGCTAACGAGAGCAGACCACACTCGCGCGCGCACCCACGCACACACCACCCACGCGATTGCCGAAGCTGCACCCCAGGAAAGTGTCAACTGCCAGCTAAGCGAAGCACGACTCGAGGATTTAGAGGGAAGAAAAAAGCCGAAACACCGCCTGTCCTCCATTCTGGCGCCCAGGACGGCATGCCTATGACAAGACCTGTTTAATATCGTCTCGTGGTCCGAATGGATAGCCAAGATGGGCAAGAATCAACCCAAGAAAATGCGGGCTGGGGGTGAAGAAGCAAGCAGCGAGAAAAAGAGGGGCAGCAGACATTAGCGACGTCTTTTTGACAGCGCGGGATATTAGATTGCGGCCGCCTAGGAGGTAGATGAGCGTAGAGTCGATTTTTTGAGGGGCCGTTTTTCTTTTTCTTTTCCTCCTACATCTTTCTTCCTTGCTCTAGATCTGTAGCTCTGGAAGCGTGGCGCGGCAAGCGGTGGTTGGCGATCCCCTCACAATCATTCGCATGACAGATCTGCTGAGATTCTCAAAGCCGCAGGGCTGGAATCAATCTTCCAAATCTCGGCTCGCTGATCTACATGAGGACGAGAAGGATGACCGGCATGAACATCAAGCATCATTGAGGACCAAATATGGCATTGGGAATAAGATGGGAGAAGAGGAAGGGGAAAAAAAACAAAGGAACGCATCGCCATTCATCTCTAAGTTCAAGCAACCCAGAACTTGAGGGCCCGCCGGAGTCCTCGCAAGATTATTTCACTTGCCTCCTTGGCTTCGCCGTGCACAGCCCTGGGTGTCAATGTCAAGAGAAAACTATCGGACAAGATGCTCCCCGCAAACCGGGACGTATAAATTTCCCTTTGTTCGATATATGTGGGGGTCGTATAGGCGAGATTTGCCGCCATCAAGCCCAAATTGCAATTTGGAAACGCTCCGAATAGCATAGTGCTTTGGCCTGGCTTGTGTTGGGCGCCTGGATACACAAGACGAGAAGGAGGGTGGGGGAGAGGAACAACTGGAGGTGATTTGTGTATGCCTGCTCTGGTGTGCCGCTCTGTGCCGTCTCCACGAGGGACAGAGGGGACGGGAATTTCGGGCGAGACGGCCGAGCATCGGGGTGCGGCACGTGCTTGGCTCTGGTCTGGGGTTGATTGCCTTCAATTGTTGGGAAGCATAGGTGCCTCTGAGGAGAGAGTGAGGTATTATGATACTGACGTATAGCTCTCTTCTTCTTCTCTTCCTCTTTGGTAGTGGCCACTTGGACCCGGACTGACGATGATTTCCTGCCTCGCCCACCCTGGCCAGAATGATTGAGAGATCTGGTCCAGTGTAACCTTGGTCTTTGAGTCAAGACAAGACAAGCTTCTTGGAGAACCTAGAGCCACCATTCTTTTGCAGGGCCGGTGCGCTTCACGTATACGATTGACTACCAGACGATGAACTGACTTGGTACTGATTTCCCTTGCCAAATAAAAAGAATGTCGATGGAAGGAAGGGGAGCGGTCATCGGGAAACAAAAAGATGAAAAAAGATGCTGCATACAGTAATTTCTTGCATCGAGGACCTTCCCATCTACCTCCCATCGCCCTCTCTCTCACGATGTCATTCCTCCTGCACCTCCTCTCACGCGGTCCCTGGTCCCGGCCCCGAACTCCGTCCGAACCCGGGCACGGGGAGGGGGCTCGCCCCAGTTCCAGCGTCTCCTTGCCCTGCAACCTTTGCACCCTCTTTTCCAACCAAAACTGCCGTGCCCTGCCAGCGCCTTGGTATTCTTCCTCGTTCTTCCCCCACCTCCTTGGCTGGCTCCCGCTTTTCGGGGCCTTGGCCTGTGCCCGCCATTCATTTGGCGGGTATAAGAAAAAAAAGCGCAGGAGCGTGCTTGGCGGCGCGAAAAAGTCATTGCATCATGCCATGTTTTCTTTTGTTCTTGTGTCATTTCTTGCTTGACTTTGTTTCGCGTTCGCGATGAGTGAGGTAGGGCTGCTACTCTAGCGAACATGGGTGGATTGGTGGGATGGATTGATCGTTTGCTTCTTCTACGGTCACTTGGCTACTTGCCAAGCATCGCGCAAGGAAGAATAACAAGAAAAGAAAAAGCATACGGGTATATTGCGTTGTGGGCATCTATTCGCCCTGGCGCATGTTCCCTAAACTGGGCGGGAATTGGCCGTTGGGCAATCATCAATAGTCACAAGGTTGTCAAAGAGGCAAGGGATCGATTATGAAATATAAAACTCTTCCATTTCTATCTGAAGCCAACTATTACGTGGCAGAGAGAAAAAGCAAAAAAATCGCGGCTTGTCTAGACGGCCGCCAAGTTGATCGGAACGGCTGCCGCTGCTCGTGCTCTCCTCGTTACCATCGAGATGATGATGCGAAAAAGAGGAGCGAGAAAACAAAAAACTTGCATTGTCCATGAATTCTTCTTTTCCGTCACAGCATAAACAAAACAAAAAAGGTACTTTTGGATACCGCCCTCCGGAGTGACAAAAAACAAGAGAGACAAAAGATCAAAAAAGGAGCACACACGTAAACGCCAAACATGTAGAGTCGTAAGAAAGAAAGGCGAAGCCCACATACACACAAGACATTAAGAACCACATCCCGTCAGCCTACGCAGGAACGATGCGTAAAAGTTTTCGGGGAGTGGTAGGAAACATAAACAGGCGAGGGAGGCGTTGAGAACGAGTTTACTCGTCCTCATCGGAGAAGACCTCCTCACCACGCTTGCGGCGGGCCATGCGCTCCTTCTTCTTCTTGCGAGCCTCGCTGGACGAGAGCTTGCTCTTCTTCTTGGAGGCGGTGATCTTGTTACCCATGGCATCGAACTTGTCCTCGCCATCGTCGTCCTTGGCCGAGAGACGGGGGCCGGAACCCTGGCCCTGGACCCAGTTGTGGCCGGAAGGAGTCATCTTGCCGTCCATGACAGCCCAGACTTCCTCAGTCAAGTCCTTGGTGAACTCGGCAGAGTGAGTGATGATGATGACACCACCCTCGAAGTTCTTGAGCGCCTTGGAGAGGGCACCGAGAGAGTCACGATCGAGATAGTTGGTAGGCTCGTCAAGAACGATCAAGTGAGGTCGCTGCCACGAGCAAGCGGCGAGGACAACCTTGACACGCTGACCACCGGAGAGACCGCGCATGCGGGAGTGAGAGACGAGTTCGGCATCGAGGCCGAAGTTGGCGCAGTGAGTCTCGATCTCGCGGCGGACCAGAGGGCGGAACTGACCCGAGGCGAGGGCCTCCTTCATATCGACATCGGCAACCATCTTCTGATGGGTGGCGAGGATCTCGGTACGGGGAGCCACTGGTTGTCCGCAGTCATCATGGGAGTCCAGCGCTCGTTCTTCTGGCCAACGTTCTCGCCGAGGCTGAACGAGCACTCGTACTCGTAGCTGTTCTTGAACTTGCGGCGAGAGTGGATGCCAATGACACGACGCTCGGTGCCGTCAATCTTGTAGATCTTGTTCATGGCCTGCTCGTCGTCCTCGGTGATGATCTTGTTGGCGCGATCCATGGTCTCGCGATCCTCACCAGTCTGGAAACGCCACTGGATGTACTCGGAGGGAGTCTTGTCCAAGTGGTTATCAATATGCGCGAAAGCGTGCTGCTTGATGTAGGCAATACGCATGTTCTCGTGCTGGTAGATCTCACCCTCGGTGGGGATGAGCTCACCAGTGAGCACGTTGATGAGGGTCGACTTGCCAGCACCGTTGGGGCCAATGACGGCGATACGGGAGCCGAGCGAGCACTGGAAGGTGATGTCGGTGAGCTGGGGCTTGCTGGTACCGGCGTACTGGAAGCTCATCCTGGTGGCACGGAGAATGGCCTTGGCCTTGGTCTTGACACCCTCAAGGAAACCGGGCTCGGGGAAGGAGAACTCGATCTCGGAGGCGCCGAGCTCGTAGTAGGAGCGAGCAGAGGGGCACTTGCGGACAAACTCCTTGAGGTTACCCTTGTAACGCTTGAGCTTGAAGCGCTCGTAGTGGATGATGTGCTGGCAGACATTGTCGAGGAAGCCGGTGTCGTGAGACACGATGATGGAAGTGCAGGGGAGTTCATGAGGTAGTCCTCGAGCCACTTGACGTTCTTCACGTCCAAATGGTTGGTAGGCTCGTCGAGAAGCAGAATATCGGGAGCCTCGAAGACGGCACGGCACAGAGCCAGCTTCATCTTCCAACCACCGGAGAGGGCGGTGATCTCGCCGCTGACCATGCCATCGGTGAAGCCGAACTCGTTGAGGGTCTTGATGACCTCCTCCTTGGAGGTGGTGACCTTGGCCTCCTCGAGCTTCTTCATGGTCCAGTCAATGGTGGTCATCTCAGTATCAGCAGAGTCGAGATCGTGCTCGACGAAGACGGTCTTGACCTCGGACTGCTTGGGGAAACCCTCAACCTGCTCGTTGTTGATAGCACGCATGAGAGTAGACTTGCCGGAACCGTTGGGACCGCAAAGACCATAGCGCTGGCCACGCTTGAGACGGAGGCTAGTCTGGTTGAGAAGAATCTTGGCACCGTAGGCGAGGGAGAAGGTGCAGTTGCAGAGGTCCTCACCCTCCTCATCATCCTCATCAGCCTCGTCGGCCTCAGCAGCGCCGGGGAGGCACGCTTGCGGAGGGTCTCGACAACGGAGTCAGACTCGGCATCGCCGACAACGACGGTGATGTAGGGCTTGATGTTCTCGGCCCAGGTGGAGGAGTCAGTCTCCTTCTCGTCGATGAGCTGGCCGGCGAGAGCGGCAGCGTACTCGAGGACGGGAGCGAGCTTCTCAGCGACAGCAGCGTGCTTGCCGGAAAGGATATCCTTGAGCTTGCCGAGGACGACAGCGATATCACCGTCGAGGCGGACCTCGGGGATCTTGCCATCCTTGACGGCACCGACACGGGTGAGGGTCTCGAGGGCCTGCTTGGTCTTCTCACGAGCCTCGGGGTCGGCTAGGGTATCGTGGTTCTTCTCAAGAGCGGGCATCATCTTGGGCAAGAAAGGAGCGACAACGTTGGGGTCGTCGACGAGCTTACACATGTTGTCAACGATGACGGCAGCCTTTCGCTTGATAGCGGTCTCACGCTCGGCAAGACCACGGTCGAGAAGAGGAACCATGAGGGCAAGGGTGGGCTCCTGGACCTCGGTGACGAAAGTGGTGGCACCGAGCAAGTGAACAGTCTCGGGGACGTTCTCAGGCTTGGAGATACACTTGATGAGCTCGGGAATGAAGCGCTCGATATCCTTGTTGACAATGAGAGAGCAGATCTTCTCCATCGTCTTGTAGGCACGGTCCTTGACATCCTTCTTGGTGTCCCACATCGACTCGGAGACGACGGGAATCAAGTCAGGGACGCGGAAAGAGACCTGGGTAGGGGCGGTCTTGACGAGGGCGTCGAGGAAGTCGAGAGCGAGCATCTTCTCCTGCCACTTCTGGGCGGTGGTGATGGAGCTCATGACGGCAGGAAGAACGGCCTTGACGGCGTTGGGGTTGATGGCCTCGCCGATGGCGAGGGCGGCGGCGGTAGCCTCATTCTTGACAGCGGCAATCTTGTCACCGGCAGCAGCGAAGATGGCGGGAAGGAGAGCGACGAGGAAAGGCTCGACGTGGGCCGAAACCTCGGAGTGCTTGGCGATAGCGTTGATGGCGACCAGAGCCTTTTCACGGGCGAGGGCATCCTTCTTGCTGGCAAGCTGCTTCTGGAGGGCTTCGATGGTCCTACAACGGAGAATCCGCGGTTAGCGTCCTGCCTGCAAATTTCATTTCTGGCTTGGTTCAATGTGGCCACTAAGAAAAATCTGCCACCCAACTCCAACTTGGCGGGGTAAAAGCAAAGAATTTTTTTGGTGGGGAAGGAGGGGAGAATTATGTGGGGCAAGGGGGCGAGTTTGGCGGTGTCGGATTGTGCGGTGAAGTGGGGTTGCCACCTTGGGGCGCGGGAAGTGGAATGGAGGTCTGCAGCGCACTGCACTGCACTGCAGGAATCTGCGCGGCGCTGCCCACCGTCTCCAAGGGGACACGGGCGAGGGGCGAACATTGGCTGAATCCACCCGAAAAGGGTTGACTTGAACGAAGAAAATTTTCTCCCTCGAGGCTCTTGCTCCCACCCAAGCCCCCAAGCACCGGAAATAGGCGCCTTGCATGAAACAAGGGAGACCCGTAGGTTGGGTCCACGCTTCCAGTTCCAGTTCCTGTTGGCCCCGACCCAGCCCGGACACCTCTCTAGAACGATACGGTGGGCGGGATGGGTCGGCGAAAACCCCGTAATTGTAATCCTGTGTCCCTGATAGGGAACCTGTCCCAAAAAGCTTGATCTCGCAGACCAAGCCCTATCAAGCAGGCTTACCCGCCCAGGAAGTGCCAGGAGGGAAAAAAAGAAAAAAAGTGAAAACAGGGCAAAATGGAACAAGGGTTCAAAACGGCAAGACACAATTGTGCCACCAAACCTCCGAGGGAAATCTGGCAGGGTTGTGTTTCCAAAACTTACTTGGTAGGGACGTCCTTGTCCTCAATGCGACCGTTCATGAAGGACGCAAGGGCAGCGGAAGCATCCTTGATGGCGGGGGCCTCCTTGGAGATGGTGAGCTGCTGCATGAGCTCATCCAAAACCTTGAGGGATTGCGCGTTCTCGGAAGGCATTGTGAAGGGGTTTTTTCGAATTAAGTCGTGAAAAAGGGAGAAATGTGTGCTTTTCGTTTCTTCGTTCCGAAAGGGTATCTCGTAGGCTCTATTCGTCTATGTCGAAATCCAAACGTCTAGTCCAGTCTATCGTCGCACTTGAAAGAATCGAGAGCGTGTCGAGGACGTAGGGCTGATCTTGTCCAGGAGGAAACTCCGGGCAAGATCGTGGTCTAAAACGACAGTTTAACAGACTGAGGGGAGAGGGTCTATGATGGATAATGTTCCCTGGGGGAGAGGTCCCGTAGGAAGGAAAAGAAAGGAAAAAGAAAAAGAGAAAGGAAGAGTTGGAAGAGTAAGAAAGGGAAGAGAGACGCCGGAGCAGAAGTGTGAGGGAAGGAAAGTCTTTTTATGGCTGCCCAGGACCTGCTCCAGTCTTCGCTTGCACCAGGACGTATGCGTGCGTATGTGTGTGCTGGCGGCGGATTATTTTCTGGCGTTGGCCTTGATTTTTCTTTTCGTTCTTTTTCTCTTTTTTCTTTTCTTCGGTCGCTCTTCCCCGTTGAGCTTTGGTGCGGAACCTCGACGATGCGCCAGAAGTACCGCAAAGCATTTACAGCCCCACTGTACAAGTTGGAACTTGGGGTACGAGGTATCAATACTTTTGGGCAGGGCTACGCTGCTGGCGACCTTCCCTTCCAGAGCAGCCATCCCCACCAACCGCTGCGATCCAAACTTTTTTGGATTGCCCGTCTGCACGTTGCCCCTCACTACTGGCCGGAGGGACCTCGATCTTATCCTTTATCGCGGCTTATCAAGCCCGCTATTCTAAATCAGGAAATACTTCTGGGGGCGGTGAACGATTTTTCATGCACACCACCCGGAGGGGTCTGGATGGTCAAAATCACAGGCTGGCAGAATTTAAATTTTTTTTTTTTGGAACCACCTCTCCCTCAACCCTGTTCTTTGGCCGCTTTTCCGCCTTTCTTTTTTTTTCTTTTTCTTTCCCACAAACCCATTGATCCAATCGAGGCAGGCATCAAGGCAAAAGCGTTGAGTGGCTCGAAATGCAAGAACAGAGCTGAATCTCCTTTCTTTTCCCTTGCTCTTCGAAGCAGCTCCCCGGGGGTTTACTAAGTACTGATACCTCACAATTTCTGTAATAATACCCAATATTCCTTGTCCGTCGAGGGAGGCGGTATGACCCCGGCTGAGGATTGGAATGGCCCGCCACCCTGGCGTACTTTTTTTTTTTTTTTTTTGCGGGGATTCTTCTTCTTTTTCTTCTTTCGTTCGGGCCCTGTTTTCGGTTGAGGACCAAGCTTCAAAATCCCTTGCCACTGATCAAACGCACAACATCTGTAGCTACTGTACAAGAAACGGCTTCCAAACTCACCCTAGCAACATGTCCACTCCTCCCATTCAACATAGTGTAGTCTACATGTAACTCATTCTAGCCCTCTCCATAATAATATCACTCCCGAACCCGTCCAAGAACGTCCTTGCGCGAAATATTGTGGGGATGTAAAATTTTTTCTTCCTCTTTCTTCCTTCCAATGTCACTTTTTTCCGGACGCTGGACAAGGTCCCTGGGCCGACCGGTAGCTACATGAGAAAACTTCATATTACTCTCCTTGCCGCCGTTACCATGGAGAGAGGTGGTTTCCGGGGAAGCTGGGAAACCTGGGAACCAGCATGTTGGCGGAGAACGGAGCAGGCTGGGCAGATACCCATACCTCTGCCTATTCTACTTATGTATGTTCTGAGGCACTTGGTAGATTGTCATTTTCATGAAGTAGCAAATCATAGAGGCGATAAAGATGCTGTATCTACCTATTATGTTTAGTGAGGATATGACGAGCCTGTTCACTATGCGCAAGATGGCAAGCACTGTCGTCAACCGGTGTCTTGCCCGGCGGGGCAATAATGAGGTGGTCAGTGGGAGCGATAAGCCCTACGAGGTTCCACAAAAATTGTGGCCAGCGATGGTTACCCCTCCAAATCCCTGACTTTTTTCTCTCGCCCACTGGCTGGTGTCCTCTGCTTTGTTTTTGCTTCCTCGCTCAACCGAGCCAACGAGCCCAGCCCAGCCCCCTGTAGCAACGCCCCCTAGTGCTCGCCCCTCGGCCGGGCTTCGTTCGGGGCATGCACTCAAAGATCCCCGTACGCCGCCACGGAATTACGAGCAGGACCTTCAGAACCTCATACCCAGTCCCTCCGATGTCGTCAACATGCGACCCTGCCCCAGAGCGATCAACATGGCCAGCGAGACAACTCACGCAAATGTGACAGATTGCCCATTTGAGTTCCTTCTTCTCTTCCCTTTTCCGTCCCGTTTTGTTCCACTTCCTTGTGGGTGGGTACCTGCCGTCACGTCCAACATGTCCCGGAAAAAGAAATCTAGAAGAAAAAGAGACGGGACCCCTCGAGTCCACCTTCGAGCCGAGGAGCTTAGCGCCGGTGAGCCACTCACGAAAATGGGATTACGCGGTGAAAAATAACAGTGTATGTACCCCATGAGAAAGCCCAGCACAGGACAGAGTGACTGATTGAGTAGTTCGCCTCAGTCCCTCGGTACTTGAAGGAAAACGAAACCCCCGTGAACTGGAGCCGGAATTTGATCCCTTAATTTAATACATTAGAATCATATCAGACACTGTGGCGACGAGATGAAAGGGCATTGTTGAACAACGGATCGAGGAATGCAGCTCTTTGAGCTTTGGTCCACGTCCGGATTTTCGGCCAAGGCCAGCAAACCATGCAATGTTGTCGCACCGGCTGATGTTGCCCAAGCAGATCGAGCGGCTCAGATCTGATACAGGAACCGACGCCCCTAATCTCTGTCGAGGCAACTAAGAACGAAGGATCTTGCTCCAAACCACAGGAGAGCACCAAATAAAGAAAAAGGGGGAGTGTCGGGTCGACGAACCCGACCGTACCGCCTACGAGGCAGCCAGACAAAAAAGCTGTGCTGTGCTGGTGCTGCGCCGTGTCGTCCTCTAAGAGTTCGGAGTGGATAAGCGTTGAAGAATAGCTGGAAGCCTATTGATCGGCTTTCCGACCTGGGTCTGAGGTCCTGACATCTGGCATGTGGTTGGCAGGAGCCGAGCTGCACTGTTAATCCAAGACCACTTTAAACTCCCGAGCTGGTCCTTTGAGGGAGGCAGAGTTGTTACCCACATTGGGTACCGATACATCTCAGACGTGTACATTTCCTGCCGCCCTGGGAAGGTACCTTGCACAGAGGCGCAACAAAGACTCTTTCGCCGAAGAATGGTCAGTTTGAGAAGGCGAAAAAAAAAAAAAAAAAAAGAGAGAGAGAACGGGGAGGCGGTCTTAACTTTCAACCCTTCTCCTGAGGAATCAGGGGATCTCCTGAACCCAAAATCGTTCCTCTACTCACAAACAGTCGCCACTGGCGGCATTCTCACAGTTTTAGGTTCTGTGCCTCTCGACCGTCTTCTTCGCCTTCTGGACAGGCTAGGGGACGCCGTAGCCGTGTACTTGTGGTGCGCGGCTGCCGAAGCCTGCCTTCGTCCTCCCCCAAGGTATCAGCAACCCTTTTTCTTCTTCTTTTTTTTTTCTTGCTTTAATTTTTTAAACCCATTTGGACAAGAACGTGCGGATGGTGGGGGCAAACGGGCCGCCCAAGTGTATGGAGGGTTGGTTGAGGTCCCATCAACCCTGCATCAAATCAAAGAGCTCAGACGGAACATATGGCCTAGCAACATGGAGAAACTGGCAGACTGGGTCTAGCCAACTTGGAGATGCGGTTTGATTGAGATTGCGAAAACTTCCACACCGCCTTGCGATTCAAGTTTTCTCCCCACTAATGCTCCCTTCTCTTTAAATCCCTCTCTCGGGTGTGGATAAGAGAAAGCGAAGTGACAAGAGCCAGAAAGGAAACGCGAGAATTAAAAAAGAAAAGGGGAGAGAAGGAAAGGAACCCACCCTTTCCGGCGGCTTTGCGTCATCCTCAGCCACCATCTCACGGTGCCCGGACGGTGTAACAACCATCAACGAGCAAAGAAGAGGGAGGTCAGAAAAAAAGAAATAGGAACAGAAGAAACCCGTCAAGCTGAGCTGTGCTGCTTGTGCCTGGTCAGCATCCCATCCCGCCCACCCCCTTCGTCGCTTGTCATCCAATCACAGCGCGTCTGATAATGAGATTCAAGGCGATCAAGGTCGGGACGTCCCCCACCTAAAGATTAATAAAAGAGGAAAGAAAAATGTTTCCTGTCTCACTTACCCTTGCCAAAGTGCCCTCCCACCACGTCCTGTTAGGGCAAGCCAGAAAGAGAGGATAGCCAGGGGAGATAAGAAAAAAAAGTACCTGCCTGGCAGAGGGCGCAAAATTTTCCGGAGCTGACTTACACCAAACTTCCGTGCCTTTATGCGATACATTGGACAGGGACATCCCGGATGGGGTACACGAAACTTGCTAAGGGAAGACCCAAAATCAAGATTTTTCCCTTCCTTGAAAAGAAACAAGGAGAAGAGAGAGACACACGCAGAGGATGTCTGGTCCGGCGAGAGACACGCTCGATTTTTCCCCTCCAAGCATCAAGTTATCTCTTCAGTGACACCGAGGCACAAGACGTGGCCCTCGCATGCTGATGTGATTCGTTCTGCTGACCAGATACAATCGAGATCTAATTTTGTGCGTCGTACATGAGGTACCTTGTGTACGCTCCAGTTATCGACCTGCGGCTGAGGCGCAAGCCAACCACTCCCGATCCCTACCTGCTTGGCTTTTACCTACCTCTTTTCTCGATCTAGCCGGAGAAAAAAATAGGAAAAATGCCCGAGAAAAGGAAAAAGAAAAAAGAAATTAGCCTTCCCCTCAAATCGAGGTCGTTATGGCTATGTAAGAGTACGAGTGGAAGGCTTGGAAAAATACACCACGCGGAATCCCCACTCGGCCAAGATCTCTAGAAAGCAAGAAACCTCCCGTCCCATGAGTATCATCGAAGAAATGGGCGAGACCGAGCTCTCCTGGTTAGTTCCAGCAACCTCACGGCGGTCGTCACCTCGTTTCTTCTTCTTTCCCCTAGTCTAGTCCCCTTCCCTCGAGCCATCTCAGCCTTGTAGCAAGACGGCCAAACTGCTAGCAAGTGTTTAGCATTCCTCTTTCTATCTACAATCTTCACAAAAGAAGAGCAGCCTGACAAGGTCAAATCCTCCCGCCACATCACAAAAGTCGCGTGTTATGACGTTCACGAGATAGCGCGTCTATGCTCCACGCATACGCAAACACGCACACATACACACATACATCCATAACACAAACACTCACAGATGCATGTACCCCAGTTTCTCGTCTTCTCTTTCCACAAACTGCCCACAGTCGACGCTTTCCGGGATCATGGGACCACCCGCTTGGCGTCAGGGACGGGGCCAAAAAGGAAGAAGAAAGAAGACAGGCACAGAAAGAGAAGAAACAATCACGCACCCCCTTTCTCGATCACTCTCCGCCCCCTTCCACCCTCCTAGCGCCTCGCGGCCGGGGAAGAGCTTGAGGTGTAAGAGACAGTTGGCCCATGCCTTCTCCCACGCAAGCTCACGCTCACGCCCCCGGGAACGACCCAAACTTTCCGCTCTTTGATGGGGAAGGCGAAGCGCGGAGAGAGCAAAGGGGACCCGCGACCGCTCAGCCGGTAAGCGCCCCCATCCCCCCTGGTCGAGTTCATCGCCGGACGGGGCGCGGGTACGGGTACGAATAGTGGGCACGAGGCGTAGTACCTTTCTGTCTTCAAGGGTCCGGGAGTACTTACTCGCTCACTTGGGACATGAAAAGAAAATTTCCATCGATAGTTTTTGTGGGGAACCTGGTTGCCTCGCTCGCCCCCTACCTTTTTCCAACTCGCAAAGGTGGAGTCCCCCAATTGCCACAGAGCATGCACCTATCGTTAGGTACACCTCTCCTTCCTTCCCGCTGCTGCCCGTGTTATTCCCCAAGGGGTGGGCAATGGACATGGTTGTTATTCCCCGAGCCACTGCACACCTTGCGTGCGGCGGCCACCAGTCAGCATTTGGATCAGGGGAGATTTGGTGAAAAGAAACCTTAAATTGATCCCTCGTTAGTGTCGTTAACCTAATCCCTGTATGCATACATTCATCAACCCTTGCCCCCTCCCCGGCCAGCCTTCTTGGTCCAAAAGCTTGGTTCCCGTCTCCCACGGCTGCTTGTGTCTCCTCCTTCATCCCCCTTGCTTGCCTTAGCTTAGGCAACGGGCCAGTTCTTGTTCACGGTAATGGTCGATCCGTTCGAGGCGTGGGCAACGTTTCGGTCGGCATAGAAGATGCAGTACTTGGCAACATCCTCAAGAGGCACGCCCGTGGTGGCAGGGTTGAACCCCGGGTTGAGTTGGTGAGAGACGCCCATGTTGGCTTGGTTGGGCGCCGAAAGGGCAAAGGCGTCGACAATGTTGGTATTTGTCATTGCTCCAACGAGCAAGACAATAGAGTAGATGCCCTTGTCTCCGTAGAACCCGGCGGTATTCTTGGTGAGGCCGAGAACGGCATGCTTGCTGGCCGTGTAGGCAGCGCCGGCCATGGTACCCTGTAGCTCGCAGTGGACCCAATGTTGATGATGGTACCAGAACCCGCAGCCGTCATGACGTTAACTGCTGCCTTGGTCATGAGGAAAAGGCCAGTGACGTTGACGTTCATGACGCGGTCCCAGACCGTCTTGTCGGTCGTGCCGATGGGGTCGAAGGAATCCATGATACCGGCATTGTTGATGAGCATGTCAAGCTTGCCAAACTTGGCGACGACGGAATCGACAAAGGCCTGGGAAGCGGCCTCGTCGGTGATATCAGCCGTCGCGGCGATAAATTTACCAGAGTGGGACGCCTCCCACTCGGTCGTAACTTCGGCGATGCGGGGCGCGGAGACATCGCAGACGGCGACCTGGCTGCCCGCAGCGAGGAAAGCGGTGGCAATGGCCTTGCCGAGGCCGCCGGCTCCGCCGGTAACAATAACAGCGAGGTTCTCGAGCGAGGCCATGGTAGATATGCGTGACTGTGAAAGGAATGAATCAAGGCAAGAGGGGACGGGGCTCGTTGGGGTAAGATGATTGCGGCGAAAAGTTAAAATCCCAGAGTAGTCGAAGATTCCTCCACTTGATCAAACTTCAAAGTTGAGCAATGAACCCCTATTTATATAAAAGCATCCCGAGGGGGAACCGGGTGGCATGGAGTAGTCTGTCTGTCAGCTTAGGCCACGACACAACTCCCCTGTTTCGTTCGATGCTCCGCCCGCGAACCCGCACCCCGCACGGAACAGGCCAATTGAGCAATGGCGGCCGCGTGCCCCGGGGCTGCTCCTCACAAACCTGCACGAATACGCCGCGTACCCCCATCGCCCAGTAATTCGAGGATGGACATTGCGGACGAGTGTTGCAGAATAGCACTAACAAGGGTCAGTTCTCCTGGATGTTCCGCTCTCGCAGGATAGCCGCCAATACGAGTACGAGAACTGGGGGTAACCCCGCAATTTTATCTCGACCTCTCGTTCGATGCCCCTCCGGACGTTGTAAGTGCAGCAAAGTCAATAGAACACCAAAAAAACTGTCATGGCTGTTGGGGCCTGTGCAAAAAGATGTTGGAGGATTTGTGGCTAATATTAGGGACGGGTATTCGATGTACTGAGTCCTGATACTATTCGAAAATTTGTCAAAACCCGGCGATGTGGTCCCTTGCGAACCAGGCATCCCAGATTTTGCGGTTCCGTGAGTCTGAGATTGGAGATTCGTCGGTGCCTGAAAGTCCTGTCGCCCCACCCCGCGTATGGATGGACGGGTGGGGATCAATTGGATGACAACACAGCCCGCCGGGGTGCTTCAACTCCCCGATGCTCCAAAGGGAGAGACCACGAGGACATTGACCTCTACTCTGTACTTTTGCGGGAAGAGACTGTCAGTGGAAGCAAGTTTGGCTCACACAGGGCCGTTTCTTTTTCATATTTTCCATCACGAGGAAAACTTGAAAACGTTTGGTGACATCAAGGACTCAATCTGGTCTGCTTAGGTTAGCCAAGACTCTATGTTGTCCTGAGCTGAAAAGATCAAGGAGCAAGTGCGCAAGCTAATGGATGGACGGGGTCAATATCCCTGCCCCCGAGACGATAGGGCCATGTGCGGGAAAGCGCCTTATTAGGTTTTTGAACCGCGAGAAAGAGAGGAATGGGAGGCGCCAGACGCCGGAGAGGACTGTTAGGATTGGCTCATGTCCCTTATATGAAGGTGGGAGAACACCACAACGGGAAAAGTCTCGCAAAAGACTACACTTCTCATGCGCAGAGCGGCGATATGGGGGTGCAGTGCGTGCTCGAGAGTTTGAGGATCCCAGTTAACTCCCAGAGTCGGCCAGAGTGAAGCCACTTCGTGTCCACCAAACGCCACCGAACGGCTCCGAACGGCGCCGGCAGATTCCGACATTCCATGACCAACGCATGCCTGTCGTCTCCCGGGCACTCGCACCGGCGCCTCGTGCTTGATGCTATTTATGGGGCGTGTTGAAATCCGCGAGCTTGGCAGAGTAACACTGACTCACTTCATGGGCGCGACTCAGCTGAATCGAACTCGGGCTCCCGCTCACCGTGGCAAGTCGTGTGACGATGCTGTCGCGACCCGTACGAGGCTTCCTTTCGTACCTGAATTTCTTTTTCCTTTTTCCTCTCTTCTACACCGAAAAGCCTCCGCCACGAGGGTCCGCCACTAGATGAGCACGCGGCGAGATTGTGCGATCGGGCGGGCGCTCGGCCCACCGGTGGCCCGCTGGCCTTGCAATGTGGATGCAAGGACCGATACCGTTGAGCATACATGCGGTACGAGGGGGATATATCGGACGTGCGGGTCGGGACAGGAGAAGAAATTCGAAGCTTTGAAAGATGGAAAGGTACGGGCACGGGGTGCGAAGAGCGGGAACGGCTGGTCATAGGAGAAGTTGTGCCTTGCACTGCACAGAGCTGACTTGGCTGAGAGAGTGGATATCGCAAACGGATGTCCCAAGACTTCATCTCCGGCTCTAGCTTGGCTATCCGGCTGCAGCTTGCTGTATTTCATGACCAGTCGAGTTATGAGGTCCGGACGACGTGGCGTCCATCTTGACGACCCGCTGGTTGCCCCTGAGTAACAGTTTTAAAGAGAGCCTGAATGACCTCAGGTGTATCTGAGTGCAGTCCCACTTGGAGGAAAGGCGGATCATGACAAGGAAAGGACTCTCCGAGTCAGCAGTCGCACGCAAAACAGCGGAGGTAGAAGGTGAAGGGTTGAATCATCCAACACGAACGGAACCGGTGGGTATCCCTACGGCATGCTGGCCCGCTCCCATGTTATCATTGCGCAGTTGACTTGCAGCGTCCTGGGAAGTATGCAATCGGTCAAGTTATTTTTCAGGGTATTTGGTCAAATCAGATTCCAACTTTTCTCCGCCTCGTTCCTGCGTTCGATTACTTCGTGATAGTTGCGGGGGCCGCTGTTTAATGACGTTTCCCGATGATCGCGTGACGGACCAGGCTTGGTGAATAGCCCGATCCTAGACACCTCGGAGAAAGAGAAAGAAAGCAAAGAGCGGTCTTCAATTTCGGAACAGTTCAGGCCCAGGAGCTTTCAACACTTGAAAACCGACCTTCTGGTCGTCTAGATTCGAGGAAATTTGCAGCTTTGGCTGGGCTGTCTGGCTCCTGGCTGCGATGCCGGACTCGGCTGTTGAATCATGGGTCACGATTGTGGGGCAGGCGGAAGAGGCGAAGCCACAAAGCAGCCCTATTTTTTCAACGCTAAAAGCAAACGGCTGTGGCTTGCGCACAAGAGGAAGAGGCGGGCTTCTCGAACTGCCCCAGGCCTTTCGGGGGACCCTTGTAATTGATCTGAAACCTCATCGAGAGTTCATGGAACGATCTTCGTTGCGCCGAATTCAAATAATACTCTCCGCGTTGAACCATGGAATCACAATGTGGGGATGAAAGTTGGAGAGAGACATCGAGTTGGGCCGTACATGCGACGGTGCACTCAATCACAGACGTGCGTGCCTCTCCCGCCAACCAACGGGCCAACCCATCATCAAATACTGATGAGAGATGAGAGTAGTTATTATCATCTTGCCCAATGCGGTAATGCACGAGAATCTATCTGAATCGTGTGCAGGAGTGTCCAACTCATCCGTTTACTTCTCAGACCGCCCTGCTCTAAGCACGGCAGTTGCGGGCTTTTCCTTTCCCCTTCCCCAGCCACAATGGAACACACTCCCTCTCTCGATCTCCGATGAGTTCCTGCAGCTTCGATGCTGCGCTGCCTGCCACATCCAAAGGGGGTTCTTTTGTTCGCTGGTCGCGCCAAGGACGGAATGCGCCAAGGGGGAGGAGGAGCGCGCCATCCACCCGCATCCATCAAACGGCCGCCGCGCCGCTCGAGTATGCGGAGCTCTGAGACATTCCACTCACTAAGGGCAAGAGATGTTCCAACTTCATTGAATGGCACCGCGTCGGAACCACCCTCCAGCTGCACGTAATAATACGAAAAAGGAAGGAAAAGGTAAAACAATGAGTGATTGGCAGGAGTGATCATGTCCAGCTGGAAGGAGCTGTAATGTTTTCAACAAATGAAGTCGGGGCAATTCGTTTTCAGGTTCATGCCTCGATTATGGAATAATCTCGTCAGGGTGCCCTCTGGACCAAGCAACGTTCCACTTCCATTCTATATCCCTGGGGTGGATAATAAGGAACGAGAAAGAAAAAAATGGGGAAAAGAGAGGCTGAGCAGCTCGGGAGGTGAGGTGAGGTGAGGTCTGTAATCGCAGGACCTTGAGCTCTCGGGACAGCAGGGCGCGCGGGAACAGGCGAAACGAAACGAACGGTAAGAACGAGGTAGCACATCCAACGAGGGAGTGAAATAAAGCAAAGCACCGAAATAGCAGCGACGTGCTTATACGAAAAGCCGGGATTTGCAGTGGTCTCGGTCCTCTCTTAGCTGTGGGCCGGATTGCGGGTATTCGATGGGCGGCGGTGGAGCGGGCAGATGATGTGTGTTCATCAATTTTACCGGACCACCACGAATTGCAACGAATGACACACCCTACTCTTGTCCCTGCACCTGAGCTGACCCAGCTTGGGACCCAGGCAACCAGGAAATGATAGGGAAGAGAGAAGGAGAGCATGCCCATGGCCCATTCTACGGTTTTCGTGTTATGGGAAAGGTTTTTGGTGGCACAGTGATGGCGACGGGAAATTGCATCGCTATGCCCGAGCAATGGGCCAGCCAACACCGCCGCCAAAAGGGGTGCGATAGGCGAGACTGAGTGGTCTGGATATTTCAAACGTAATCTCGTCGCAAGAGGCATGTTTGGTTGCCGCTTGTTGGGAGAGAGAGGCAAAGGACGACCAGTCAGTCAGCTCGATCATTCCTCGGCTGTCGCCCCTTTCGCCCCCTTTTTTTTTCCTCGTCTTTTCTTTTTAACTTTTTCTCTTTTTCTTTTTTGCTGCGCTGTTCAAGGTCGTACTAGCATTTTTGAATTTTTTCGTGGTCCCTCCCTCGACGCTTCTTTTGGGTTTTTCAGCCTTTTCTAGAAAGGATAGGTGTTAGTGCCTGGCAAGCGGGTTGCTTAGCTGGCGATCGACCGCATCGCTGATTCCGGGTGCCGAGCGTGACGCTGTTCAATGACGTCTGTCCTGGGGACCTTGGAGTCACTTCGCAGGACAAACAACTCCCCCGGAAGAGCAAAGAGAGCAAGTGGGCCACATACCTAACGCTCCTCGAGAGGTGGTTGGGCCTCCGCCGTGGCCATGCCTCTTCTCCACTGATCGGCTCCCGAGATTGCCCCTCCGAGAGAAGTAATGCAACGGGGCGAATCGCTGGGGGTCTTTTGGGGAGACGAAAAAGGGTTCAAAGGAGCTCGTTAAAATTGGGTCGAATCTATACATTGCGCATCCCTGGAACGAAAGCGAATTGGTACCAGGAGGAAATGGGGGCTGTAGACAAAATTGTGGACACCGTTTGAACGTTGCTGCGTCCGCTATCAAGTATGTGTATGTATTATACGATGCCCTGCGCGCGTGCGTGGGCGGAGCGAGGTGAGTGAGCCCGGGCGATCCTCCGGGATGAGGGTGTCAGTATCCTACCCTCTGGTATTGCAATGGAACCAAACGCCGAAGCGAAGAAAAGTCACGATGCGAAAATACAAATACGAGGTCTTGTCCCCTCCCTTTTTTCTGGACATGCTGTTTTGGTTTTGTGAAGTTGCTTTGTGGTATCCCTGAACCAAGCTTTTCACTTCTTTACCAAATAGTTCCCTCTAAACCCAAGTGCCATCGCAATCCTTCAACTTCCTTTTAAAGAGCATCTTCCTTCTCTCCCTCTCCCCATCTTCTTCTCTCCCACCTCCATCCCTCTCTCACTCTTTGCCTTTCAAGTTCAAGCACGACGTCCTGACATCAACCTGATCTACCTGACGGCTCGCCTCTCATTGCCTGTGGGATATATTACACACACACCCACGACGCAACCCCCGAACCCGGTTTTCCCGCATCACCCATCAATACCCACACCACACCACACCCACCGCTACCAAACGTCCTTTTTACCCGTTTTCGCCATGAAGTCGATTCTCTCTTCCATCCTCCTCCTCACCCCCGCCGTGCTGGCCCTCCCGGCGCCCCAGACGACCGCCCCATCTGCGCCAATCTCCACCAAGCCTGCCCAAACCTGCAGCCAAAAGTCGCAGCACTTTGTCAGCTGGGAGCTCGTCGACTTCACCTACTCCCCGCTCGCGCCCTCGTCCGAGGATGATGCTTCTGTCCCGGAGACGTCCGTCTCCTTTGCCATTGTGCATAACGTGATCGAGCACCAGACCATCTGCACGGCCACCAGCCAGACGGCGTTTGACGGCACCGAGACGTTTGATTGCGAGGATGTGCCCACTGGCGATGACCCGTCGACGTTTGAGGGTGGCATGGCGCAGTTCAGCTTCGATGCCTCTACGGGTAACGTGACGTTGACCCAGAGGTGGATCTGCCACGATGATCCCATTTGGCCGTAAGTCTACATCCCCCTTGTGATGACCTCGTATTCTGCACTTGCTATATTATACTCTTGTTCTTTTCCTTCGTTTGCAATCTACGAGAGAGAAACAGCCGGTGCTAATTCAATATATTTCTAGGACTTACTTCACCGCCCTCGGATCCGGCATCGCTGGTCTTGGCTGCCCTGCTACCGGTAGCACTGCCGAGGATGTGGCTTCAACGGCCGACTGTGCCGGCTCGACCGTCCAGGTCAACGTCACCGAGATCTCAGCCATTGCCTAAACACCTTTAACGTTGAAGAAAGAAAGAAAGAAAGAAAAATAAAACAAAAAAAAGCTATGCCTTAAGACCTGGGTAATTCTTAATAGCCAACCATCCCTTCATCTTTCATCTACAATCTGTTGCTTGTACATGTATCCAAAAGATGAGGCATTTGGTCGGTTTCTTGGACATGGAGTACGAGATGCACTCTTTTATGATTTGTTTGTTCTCTTTTTTGCTTTCCCCGATCATTTCTTATCCGTTCAACGTCGTACACGGAAAGCAGGGGTGGATACTAGACAGGTCACGAAACTCATGAATCATTTTTTGAGCATACACACTTCTACAGACGTCAATAGAAGCTTCAAGTCCAATCTTAGTTTTGATACATCACTCACACGTGCTTTCTGTGACTACAAGGTTCGAGGTTCCACACGGATCGATCGAATTCTGCCTTGAAACTGTCTGTCGATCCGTAGCATTGGGTATCGTGGCGTGGACTGCCAGTATCACACCCATGGTCTAGACGGGCCGTTCGATGCGCCGGTATGTGGATATAAGCTTAAAATTGGCCGATATAATGTATCTGTTTGAAGGCTGCCTCAAGGTTATCACGTCTACACATAATGTTCTTGCTTATATGCAATCAGGGAGGTAGTCTAAGAAAAAGATGATTTCTACCAAAAGGAAAACTTCAATGCTAGATAAGTAGGTTCAGACAACTATCACACCCCCATGTCGTCACACACATCAGATACTGAATCGTGGGTTCGTAGATTATTCACTATGACTTGCCAAATTCAGACCTCTCACCATGCCCGATTGCCTGCCCTTTTCCCATGAAAGAAGAACCTTGCTATGGGACCATAACCTGGCAGAACTTAAAAGTGGCATGAGAAAGGCTGCTTCACTATTCGACACACTTCGGCGAACACAATCAATAACCTACTCGCACATCTAGCCTAATCCCCAGGCCGTGAAAGACCCCCGCCCCGCCGCGAGGTATCTAGAACGCACGACGACGAACGGGATCTGATTCCAAGATCAAGAGGCTCGAGAAGGCGCGAGCCTAGTGTTCTTTTAATATGTGAATTAGAGAAACTCGCCGCCTTGGACCTCGAGCACGTTCCTTATAACGAACGTTTTCCCTCCTTCAGCTCTCACCGTCATCCATTCTTGGAATTGAAGATTCTACGAAGCACGACGCCCAGCGGCCAAGAAACACTCACACTTTTGGGGGAGAGGAGTGTCTCACCGAATTCAAGAGCGACTACAAGACCGACGCTATTTTCTGTCATTCTAGATTCACTCTTTTCTTCAACGACCATTGATCAGAATCCTGCCGGGAGGAGATAGGGTGGGAGATACCAATGTCCGGAACGCCTTTCGTGAACGATGTGGAGTTTGCATCTCCGAAATGGGATCCGGTCCCCGAAGATCCGGGAGCCTCGTCATCAGCATCGATTTCGGCGCTTCATATACCAAGTACGTCGTGCAAGTGAATTAATGGCCGCCCATCAATATCCTAAACCCCTTCTTCCGCGCCTTGATCACTGCAATAGTTTCTGTTCTGTTTCGAGGAAAAAGAAGCAACCCCGATTTCCCTGTACTAATAACTGATACATACATACATCCATCCATTGACATTTCCATAGGGTCGCCTACGCATTCGCCGCCGATCCAGAAGTCATCAACCTCGTCTCCAACTGGCCGGAGGCCCCGACCCGAGTAGCACCTGCGTGCCCTCTACCGTCCTCCTCCGGACTAGCGGATGGCCCTCCAAGTTCGGCTACGAGCTCGACCTGGGCTCTGCATGGGAAAAATTCACCGCCATACCTCTCTACCTCCGCTCGCACCAGCAGACACCGTACACTGTCACCCTGCCCTTCTACTCCCCGAAATTTCGCTGGAATCCCAGGTACCTCGCCTGGGGGTTCCTGTTCTTGCTCCGGCGGCACGTTTTGGCCGAAATCGAGGCTAAATTCGCCGACAAAGCCTTCTTCCACTGTCACAAACAAGAATATGTCATCTCTGTCCCCGCGCACTGGGATGAAAAGTCGGTGCAAATCCTGCAGGAGGTGAGATGGTCCGATGAGGCCAGCCCCCCCTTTCCCTTTCGTCCGACATCAGAATTCAGCGGGGGCCGGAGGGTGATATATGAGGTAAACCTGGAAATGAAAAATGATTCTAACAGTGTCTGGAATTAGGCGGCCACCATGGCGGGCCTCAGTTCGGTCGAGATCGTGAGGGATCCGGAAGCCGTCATAATGTACCGACTGACTATGATCAAGAGTAAAGGCTATAGGGTATGTTAGCATTCAGGCCAGCTCTTCTCACCGAAGAAGTGGCGAGGCCTCATATCGGAGTTTGGAGAGCTAATTCCTTGCGCCCATGCCATATAGGTGGGAGACGTCATTACCGTCTGCGACGTTGGAGGCAGGACGACCAATCTTTCCACATATGAGATTCAAAGTCTGGATCCGTTTCGGGTTGATCAGATCGCACCGCCCACAGGTAATGACTGCTGCTGCATTCCGGTCTGGTAACGGCCAGACTGTGCTTCCTTCTTTTCAAGACTAGTGATTTTCCCGCCCCTTTTCGTTGCCTTTGTTGGGTCCTCGTCGTGAAAGGGGAGCCGCCGTGTATGTTAATGGGTTGACGACAGAGTTGTGCTGATTATTGGATACATGTAGGTTCATTCCATGGTGTAGTCTCCTTAAACGAAAAGCTGCAAGCCCTCGTTCGGGCCAACACAAAGCAGAGAGATTTTGACAGGCTTATAAGAACGGCCTTCTACAAGAAATCAATACTGAAATTCGAGACCGAAATCAGACCCGCCATGACCTCTTGCGCCGCGAGCCGCATGGACAAGGCGGTACCTTACCAAGTGAGCAGGACGACAATCTTCCACGGCCAGAATCTCCGCTACTGCCGCCACGTCTTCCTCACAGGGTGAGTCTCTCGAAGGACTGATATTCCGTTGGCCATTATTTGACGAGTATTGGAGGGCCAAAATCTTGCCGCACATGAAGACGTGATGTGATGAGGTCGATGGGTTGATCACTGACTCATTGTTTTTTCATAGGACTCTCATTAAAAGTTGGTCAGCGGACATTAAGCAAGTGGCCACTTCACTTGCCGAAAATCAAATGAAGTCAATTCAAGGGTCCAGGAGACGTAGAACGGTTAGTCTGTCCTGTGAAGAGGAGCTGGTAGTTTCGCACACTTGTCTGACTGCCTAGGGGAACCAATATAGAGCTACTTCTACGTCGGTGGGTTCGCGTCCATTGTAGAACCTCCGTCAAGACCGCGGGGAGCGCAGCACTTTGAGTTTGGACCAGAAGAAGCGTGAGTCATGAGATAGAAACGACAGAGACGGAGGGGGCAAAGAGAGAGGCGAGATTTGTGGGACAGCGCTGATGAGTTTGTTCTTTAGACGTACCGCTGTAGCAAAGTACGCCCCCTTTCCACCCATCCACCCAGCCATCCATCCGTGGATGAATGGTCCGGAGACTGCTAACCCCTATACCCTCAGAGGAGCCATCATGTTAAAACTAGGCATAGCCCCGATCGCGAGACCGACCGTGGCCCCCGCAAGTTACGGCATCATGGTATCCGCGCCTATGGATCCCGTCAGAGATAACAATAAGCCGTGGTATGTCGACGTGCTCAGCCAAGAGCACCGCTGTAACATCATGGAGTGGTTCATGTCCTACGTAAGTGAAAACGGAAGATTCTAAATCCCCTACGCAGACGGCCCCGTAGAGGTTAACATTGATCTCCTTTGGCAACGATTTCCAGGGCCAGGACATAGTTCGTGGGAGAAAGATAAGAGTACAGCAGTCTCAAAACTTTCCTTACTTGGACTCGAACCGAACTATCCATAAAGATTTGCACAAATGGATTCAGTTCCCGGACGAGCCTGTTCATTACGATGCGCTAGGTAGGAACCCGTGAACCTATTAATCCTATGACGGGTTTGAAGAAACTGACGCGGAGTGGGGGATTACGCACAGTTCCTGTTGTCTGCACCTTGAGCGTCGACGTTTCCTCGATCCCCGACAGCTTTTACTTCTATCACCTAAGGCCAAGCGACCATTTTGAGTACTTCATTCTATACTATGACATAGTATTCCAGTTTGACCATCATGGGTCTATTAGGTTCGCCTTGGAAGTTGGGGGAGTCGAGCGCGGACACGTCGTCGTGAAACCCCACATGTATTTGTAGACGAAGGGCAGAATCCATGAACGCATCCATTACTAGCTGAACCACGGATCAGGAAGGCTCTGGCCGCGCAGCTATTGCTTATTTGTTGTACGGTATAGTTGGCGCTTGATTCGGCATGGTAATAATAAATACGGTTTTTCGCCTCCCAAAGATCCCGTGCCTTGCCCGGATGTGATTACGCGGGCTGCCGAGCGCGGCTTCGCGAGAAAAGTAGGCCGCTCAGCTTGGCTCGGTGATGGTTTGGCTTATTAGTCACGCATACGGATTGCGTCGGAGCTCACTGACGAGGTCACGGCAATTGACCAAGGGGAGCAAAGAAGGCATGGGGTACGCTGAGGCAGTCATGTTTATAAATCGACATGTGGCGCTTCATCCCGTTCGAGCCTGGCTTCAGTGGCTTCCGTGGCTGCAGCATGCCCTTTTCACATCTTCTTGGCTTGCCAGCTTACTCCGATGCATATCAACGAAAAGGAATAATCGGCTATGACCATCATATTCGTCCTAGATTGATAAGTTGGCGCTCAACGCCTCTCCGAATCTGTGCTTGCTTCCCATCTTGGCCGAGTTTAGATTCAAGCCAATATCACGAATGCATTCCCTTGCTATTCTCATAGCTTGATGGAACGATCCCTCGTAGGCAGACGAACAATTGAGTCGGGTGGAGAACGAAGATGAGTACTTGTAGGTTATGATGAGGCCTACTGCTTATGTGATATGTTGTGAGCCGTGGGGTAGGGCGAGGGTTGGGAGGGTTGGGAGCATCGAGTTTCCTTTTCAAGACGAGTTTGTCTCGGTTGACCAATCCATTCAATTCTTGTGTAGCCACGGTTTCAGCCGCCAGCTTTTCAGGGCCCTGACAGGGTGGGCGGGGAAGTAAGGAAGTGAGGAAGAGGGAAGGGGGAAAGAAAACCCTGCGTTGCGGCATGGCATCCTGTGCCACGCTATTGATGGTTCCCGCGGGTGCGATTTGCGATTTGCATCCCACCAGTGGGAGATGGCGGTGTTCCCATGCACGACTGCTCGAGTTTGGGAAGGGTGCGAAACGCAAGCCATCGATATTCATGATGTTGAACAAACAACACTCGAAGTTGGTTTGGGACTTTCTTATGACGACTTTGAAAGCTCCATGATAAAGCACTCGGGCATGTGATAGTCTAGAAGCCCATTCCTTTTGGCGAATCACCAACGCGGACAAGGGCACCCGGTTTGACCCTTCGCTGTTGAGGCCCGGAGAGGATCGGGTTCGCCCCTCACCACCACAACCACGTATAACCTCGAAATAGTGCCTATCTTCCCATATCCATGTGAAATGGAGGACGACGTGCGTGGATCCCTGGCTCTCACAGGCAGGAACAGCCACAGGCGTCCAAACAAAGGAGGGGGATTAGGAAATGGGGACCGGACGGAAAGGCACGTCCACGACCGCCACTGCACAAGAAGGGTAATGGCAACGGGTTATCCATGAATGGCTTCCCATAGCCTCCCCATCCCGGCAAGGACAGACGCTCGAGGCGGGGCTAGGCCCGAAAAGAAAACAAACGAGCGTACGTGAGATGACAAGAAGAGGGCAGACCAGCCAGTTCGTTATTGTAGCTTTGGGAGTTAAAAGCGGATACGTTAGACATCGACGCATGAGGTTGCGAAAACGGGCGAATGAGGGGCAGACGTGGGGTATCCTGGCAGCACAGCACCTCCTCACTGGCCCCCAGGGCGGCGTAGTGGGGGTGCGCCGAGGGGCACTCGTTCTCGATTTTGACGCAGCCAGCGGCAAGGGCAGTTTTTTCTCGCTACGGGAGTCTGGGCCTAGAGGGATAAAAGAATACCGGGAACAGAGACGCACAAGGGTGGGCAAAAGGGTGAGGATACTGGGAGAGAGAAGAAAATTCATAAGGGGACGCACACGAAAATAATACCTCGTCGGATGACCGGGAAGGCAAGTGCTGCTGTCTCGAGTACTGGAGAGGGGAAAGCGGCAGGAAGGCCTGGACGGATACAACCGAACCCAGTGCTCCTTCCCGATATCAAAATACAAAAAGTAAACTCCCCTGTTCTTTTTGAACAGTAAAGAGATGTGGGTTTTGCGGTTGCTGTACCAATTTTCCAGCTTAGGACCTACATCTCAACAAGGACCCGAAGAGCCTTGAATTGTTGTGGTTTCTTGGCCCACCTCCCTGGCTGGCTGGTTTCCATCTCGGAATTCGCGAACCTTCTTCACTCGATATCCATCGGTGGGGCCCCCATTGCCCCGTCTCCCTCACAAGAGTTGGGATCGTGGCTCTCCCTCACTTGCTAGCTCTCTTTATTCTTCCAACGCGCAAGACAGCATCTTGCTGTGCAGTGGGCCGTTCAATCCCTTAGAAGACGGTAGAAGCCGAGCCCCTCACTTATAGCCCTGCTCCGAATAGCGGCTCAAGCCACGGACGACGGCGACAGTATTAAACATAGGCTTTTCTCCCTACCCACGAACTGGGAGTTTCTACATCGATACAGCTTGAGTTTTATCTTCGTTTCGATATTCTTTGTCATTATTCATTCACCCTCGGATCGTACCTACCACCCCCGATCATCGAGTACTTCCACCGCGAGAGCGACCCCGGCTACCTGACTGAGTCGGCAGCACACACAGCCTCGAACGGCGAGATGGAGTCTATACAACTTGCCAACGTCAGAGAAGCATCGGCTATGGGGACTGAAGGCACACTTTCCCGGCACCTGCCCTACGCCGCTCTTGAACTTCTGCTCCCCACCATCGAGACCGCATTTCGGATCCGCAGCCTCATCGATTTTTTTGTCCTTCCCCTCGCCGCTCATATGCATCTACTTACGAGAAAGATCATTGGTCTCGCAATCCCTGCCGCGGGCATTACAAGGATTATCGTCTGGCGGTTGGCCATATTTTCGTTTGCCGCTTTTGCCTTCAGCATGGCTATATCCAAGAGGGCATTAAGCTATACGGCTAGTATCCCTGCAACAAAAGGTTTCGAAAAAGCTTGAGATGGAAATCTATAGTTTTCTTCTCGGCCCTGGCAACGCGGTACTCAAGCTCGGCTTTTGGATTGGCTGGTGGTGGCTGGTATGGACGGTTATTAGAGCGCCATGGTGGTATTTCACCAGCTGAAATAGTATTGCTTGGGAGAATCATCAAGTGATGCAAGTCCGCACACAAGCCTACGACATAGTGTAGGGAGGCGAACTCCCTTCCCTTGGCGGCGCTGGGTTTACGGCCTGGGTTGAAACAACTATAGGCTATCTATCCGCGTCGCCGTCTCACTTGGAGTAGAAGAAGGCGTTGCCTCCCAGATCTCTTCGAATCTGGTTTTGGTAGTCCTTTTCAGGATCGAACTCTTGCCAGAGGCTTGCTGGATATATGTGCTTATTACGTTCATACCAGCGCCGATCTACGACTTTGGTTATCGTTGGGTCGTCGTGAGCGCCCTCGAGCGTTGATATGGGGGTAGGGCCTTGATAGCAGCTGCCTTGTACGCAGCCGCCGTTTGGAGACCGCCAGTGGTCTCTTTTGTTCCTCCTCATCATCGGAGTCATCGGCGTCAGCGGGTTTTTGCATCTTGGGCGCATCGGAGCTATAATCGAAAATTCGCTTGCCATCCGGCCCGACGCATTTGTTGATAGCGAAAAATAAAAGTCGTAATGCTATTTAAAAAGTTTGTGTTAGCAACGAGAAAAATTTCCGGGCGTTTGATACACTCGTGTCTTGTAGCTCCTGCTATGTAAAGAAGGAACAGTGGAAAAGGAGAGGGCGAACTCACATGTGGGATGATGATGCTTCCCCGGACGAGGACGAGATCGTCCACGCCCACTCTTGCCCATTGCTTGCGTGCGGTGACCTTGTCTCCCCACCTGCATTTCGGCACCAACTTTGCGGCTTTTATCGAGGAAGACCCAGACAAAATCGCCCTTCTTCACGCGGACAACCCCGCCGGGAATGTTGGTTCCGTCATAAAAGACGAAGGGTACGGCGATTTCGGTCGCTTTGACTGCGTCCTGGATCTGAAGGAACTCTCGTCGGAGAGACTCTCGCTCGGCTGCCTCCTGCTTGATGGCAGCCTTGGTGAGGGTCTTTGGCACGATGCCCACAGACGCGTTGGCCTCGAGCTTAGGTTTCTTCGGGCTGGCGCCGTTGTTTCCGAGCGAGTCTTCCGCGCCCTCCTCCTCCTCATCGTCGCCAAACGACAGCTTTGTGGCACCGACCTTCTTCTTTTCTTCTGCCTCAGCTTCTTCGCCGGTTGCTCGGAACCGCTGCCCGTGTCCCCACTCACATTTCCCGAGACAGGCGTCCGGCTGAGGAGCGGTTCGGCGCCGAGTTCGTGGATAGGAGTACATCTCTCGCCTCCCGCTCCTGCTGCTCGATAACCTCTGCACGGCGCTTTCGGAAGTCGGAAAGCTTGACGAGACCGACGGTGGTGGTCGACAGCCGCTCGTGCGTCGTCTTGTTTTGGGTGACGAACCTTGACGGGTTCTCGTTCGACATTTGTGGGAGGAGGGGGATTCCTGTTCGATTCGACGGGGGTGCGGAGAGGGGAAAAAGAACGGCTCGAGGTGTTATTTTGGAGAAAGCTGTGGGAATATCAAACGCTTGTTTGGTGGCTGAGTACCGCCGATCAGATGGGCCGTGGGTTGTGGAGAGAACGGATCCGAGCAAGGCCAAAGCTCGACGGGCGAGGGGTACAGTGGTATAAAGGGTCCTTCTGAACGAAGAAAATTCTCGATTGAGGTGCCTGGATGGCGAGAAACAGTGGGTGAAGATGCGCAAAGGCCTCGCGACGCTCTAGACTTCACACTTGGCACTTTGTTCAACCGGCTAATATTCTCGTCGAACAATGACGGACTGCCTGCAGGCTGTCGAAAGGAAGCAGGTGGGAAATGCGGCGAGGGAGCTCTGGAATGCTTGGTGTGGGACAAAAATGGAACACTGGAGGATAAAGCCCGGGTAATTAATTCTAAGGTTCGTCCGCACAGCTGGGAACACTTGGGCAGGAGGGTCGCACGAGCAAATATGTAATCCGGGATTTTGCTTGGCTTGGGCAGGGATGGACAGTGTCTGAGTGTAAACCGACATTTCGCCGACCTGTTCTTTTTCGGTGCTGGTGGGCCTCGCCGACTACGTCTTCGCACATATGGCTGGGACTGCACCACTGGGAACCCGAGGCCGAAGTTCATAGGTCGGAATTTTTTTCTGGAAAGCACAAAGAAAAGCACCAGCTCAAAACCTGGGCTCCCAATCTCTCACACACACACGCACCGAGACTTTGCATTCACCCCAAGGCTTGTTGAACCCGCGCGAATCCTAAACTCCTAACCAGAAACACAACTTTTTCCAAATCTATCTCCTCTCCTCAAAAATCATCTCTGGTTTTTGAGCTCCATCGTCTATTTTATTTTCTTTCACGAACGAGCCTTCTGCGAATCCCTCGAGCTTAGCCCACCTTCCTTTGTATTCTTCCGTCCATTTCGACACCCAGAAAATCCAGCTCGTGTTCAGGCTTGGCGATCAATCGACCACCTATTCTTCTCCTGACGCGAACGTCTTCTTTTTTTTTCCGCACTGCATTGCAAAGGCCGTCGGAATCCCCAACCGTTTGACAACGAACCACGATAGCTCAGAGCTAGGCCCCGAACCCATCGATCCCGAGCCTATCCAACACAATACTTAGCCATGACGACCAATCTCCCGTCAAGCTTCGCGTCCGCAGCCGCAGGCCAAAATGCCAATCGCGATTCTCGGGGTGCCAGAGCTGATGGACGGGGTGCTGAATGGTGAGTTTACATTTTTTCGTTTTTGCTTTCGTGTTTTTTGCCCCCGTCACCGACCACAGCTTTGGGGTGAAGTGGTTAGCGGTGGTCGGTGGACCCACGACAACATATGCATGACCTCGAGATCGAGACCATTACTTGCATCCCCGTGCCATCAATTCGTTTATTATCCCCCTATACGTTGCTACAACTTTCGAACCTTCGCCAAATCAATGGTTGGGGACCAGACGCTTTTCGGATCCTTTCAGTCTTCGTTCTCAACCTCTTTCCTCTCCCACACGACCACCGCCCCTTTTGAGCTTCTCAGGGGGATGGTTTCGGATATTCCAGATTTTTAGTTCCCGAAAGAGCTACCAATTGAGTTGCAAAAAGCAATTCAATCTGGATCACACTTTCATAATTAGTTGGCCAAATTTGCTAATGCTTTTTCTCCCTGTTGCTTCTTAGGTCTCGGCGAGACGGACGATCGAGTAATGGCACTCTTACCCTCCGTCGGCCCTCAGCCGCTCCTCAAAACCAAGCTTCCCAGCCCGCTACCGCGCTAGAGAATTCGATCCAGTCCTCAACCGACCCATCTCTTAGTATTGCGGCTGCCTCTGCGCCTCTACATGCGGACATTGCGGCTGCAAGGTATTCGAAAGAACAACTATTGGAGCTGTACAGAGAACGCTACGCCCATACAGCACCGGACAATATCTCGCACCTTTACGTCGACGGCTGGAATCCGGGTGCTAGCCAAGTAAACGGTCATTCATCACGCAGCTGGGGCAAGCCGCAAGAAACCCAACCCTCTCAGGACTCGGACCTTTGTTGGTATAATACGGCTGATATGAAGCCCTTGGCATTCCAGGACATGTCGTCAGAGGAGAAGGAGGTTCGTTGATCAATCTTCCTTCTTTTTTTCTTTTTTCCTCTCTTTTGGTCCGCTAATCCTCTTCTTCTCCTCGCTCCAGATGTTCCAATCCGACGTCAACTCTCTGATGAAGCCACCTCCACAGAACAAGGAGGGGAATCAGGCTCCTGGGCCTAATGGTCGTAAGGCATCCGTGTCACAAGGCACTGGGCACCCATATAACCTTACATCTCCGACTTCCGCACGACCGGGAAACCGTCGCCGAGAGTCGGTGGAACCAAGCCCGTTTTCACCCGCCCTTGCCTCACCTACTGGTGTCAACCGATACACGAGGGATGAGAATTCCCCTGGTTTAGTAGGAGGGGCACCGATCTGAAGGAGAGTGAGTCTGCTGAGGTGGACGCTGACGTTACCTCCAAAGAACAAGGTCAACCCAGGCCTTCTTTCGGGTCGCTCTTGCGTGGCAGTAGCGCTACATCTTCCGGTGCCATCGGGAGTCTGTGGCAAACCCGCAACCACCGTCGGCTGGAGCTGGTGCTTCGGGTATCGGAACCTTTGGCAATTTTGCCCTGCCCGCGCCTTCGTCTAAACCTTTCAGCAACACGCGCGGTGAAAGCCGCCTTGCTCACCTTATTCCCAAGGACAGCTCCGAAAACATTGCCGCCAAGGCCAGCGAGCCGGCTAACCCCGACATCAACCGATCCTGGCGATCCCGACCGCGAACCGATACCGATCCCTTTGGAGACGATAACATGAGCGGGAGTGGCTTGATCGGCTCCGCCCGAGGCGAGACCCCACCCGTGTCAAAGCAGGCCGCCGACCAAGGCCAAGTGTCCTTTGATGCCATGGCTCAGGGAACCCTTAACGACCTCGGTCTTGCCGGACTGCAGCTGGGCGAGCAGGGCGATGCGCCACTTAGTCCGTCGCATACCAATCCCTATCGCAGTCCGCCCGCCGAGCGTGTCGAAAACGAAGATCACGAACAGTCCGAGTTTGATAACTTGCGCGGTGGTGGCGCCGAGCCCACCCATGGGTTCGGAGCTGCAGGCGCCCGAGGCTATCCCACCAACGCGTTCGATGGCAGCGATAGAAGCCAGACTAGTAGTGCCGGTGCCCGCTACCCGACCTTGAGTTCGCTTGGCGGATGGCCGGCTCCTGGCGCTGTTTCTGGCACGCCCGATCGCGAACGTCCTGCCTTTGGATCCGCGTTCGGAAATGCTCTGTTCAGCCCCGTAGGTGAGGTGCCCACGGGTGGCCTGGCTGCGCTCGGCGGTGTCTTTGGGGCTCCTAGCACTGGCTCCATTGGCCATGGCCGTGGGAGCAAGCTTGGCTCTCTCTTCCCGCCTACCATGCAGGCTCAGATGCAGGGCCAGCAAGATCATGATGCCCTAGGCGACCATGATCTTCGACAAAACAATCCCCTCGGAGCTATTGGTCGTGGTGCTATCCCTAGCGCGGGCCGTGATGTAGATGGCCAGCCCCGCCCCGGCCAGGTCATGTTCGATGACGCATTCGGTGCAGGACCATCCCGGGCCATTTTCACCTCGGCGGATATGCAGGCCGGTCTTACCAGCGCTGTTCCTTTTGCCGGTGGACAAGTCCCTACCGATGGTCCTGGCGCGCAAGTCCGGCAGATGGTGATGCCTGATCGCATGCGATGGGTGTATCTGGATCCCCAGGGCCACGTGCAAGGGCCTTTTACCGGGCTGGAGATGAATGATTGGTACAAGGCCAACTTTTTCACTCCTGACCTGCGAGTAAAGAAGATTGAAGACCCGGACTTTGAGCCTCTTGGCCAGCTCATCCGCCGCATTGGGAATTCGCGCGAGCCTTTCCTTGTTCCCCAGATCGGTATCCCCCACGGCCCTCCCCTCAGACGGGCCCGTTCTCGCCTTCAGGCAACAGCGGCGTGATTCCACCCCTTAGCGGGGTCTTCCCTAGCTATGGCAGGACACTCACGGCTGAAGAGCAAAACAATTTGGAGCGACGCAAGCAGGAGGAGCAATTCCTCATGGCCCAGCAGCGTGAGTTTATGCTTCGCCAGCAGGCTCTTACTAAGTTCCAGATTCCTGGCGCCGCTGGGGCCATTCCTGGAGCTCTCCATCACCACTCGAGCGCCCACAGCCTTCAGAGCCAACCCAGCTTTGGAAATATCGCGTCGCCTCTTGCCGGGCCCGGCGGCCAAGGCGCCATTGGCCAGAACCAGGGCCCCGGTGCCCCAGGTGGCCTTTTGACCCCAGCCTCGGTCACCTTGGTGGCCCCGACGTCAATCCGGATATTTTTCGTGACGAAGAGCTCGTCAACCTTTCCACGCCTGAACGGCAGGTACTAGCATCTCTTCAGGGCCCCACAGGCGCCCCCGGACCCTTTCAGCAATCCCGTTCCGGTTCCCAAGATGATGGCGGTGCTAGTCTTCGAGGCCAACTGCCCTCTACCGAACAGCTTCTCCAGGACCCCCAGGGTTTTCGAGAACGCTTGATGGAATTCGAGCAGCTGCAGCGCGAGAAGGAGGAGGCCGCCACGGCTGAAGCCTCTGTCGCCAGCCCCGAGTACGAAGCTCCTGCTGAGCTGGCCGCTTCACCAGACCCCATCTCCGCCCCTGCTCCCGCGAGGGACAGCGATCGAAAGGCCCGGCACTCCGAGGAGGCTCGAGCCGCCTCTGCCAGGGCTGCTCAGGCTCAAGCCCTAGCCCAGGCTCAGGCCCAGGCCTCCGCCGCCGCCGCTGCCGCCTCGGCTGCCGCATCCGGAATGCCCATGCCCTTCCCACCTCCCGAGCCCCTCCCCGAAGAGGAGAGTCCCGAGTTCTCTCCTGCTCAGCCTGCGCAGCCCCTCCGATGGCACCCTGGGCTAAGGAGCTCAGCAATGACAACCAGCACAAGGGACCAAGCCTCAAGGAGATTCAGGAGGCCGAGGCCCGCAAGGCTGCTAGAGCCGAGCAGGCGGCCCAGGCAGCCCGCCGCGCCGTACTTGAGCAGGAGGCTGCCGAACTTCGCGAGAAGGAGAGAGTTGCTTCCGCCATCCTTCCTGGGCTACCTACATCTAGCACCTGGGGTCAGCAATCTCCCGTAAATGCCACCAGCCCCTGGACTAAGCCGGTCGGGGTCAAGCCTCCTTCTGGTGCACTTTCTGCTGCTGAGAAGAAGCGCAAGACGCTAGCGGACATTCAGCGCGAGGAAGAGGCGCGCAAGGCCAAGGCCAAGGAAACGGCCATTCAGTCGGGTGCCAGCCTGACTGGCGCCGGCAAGCGATACGCAGATCTGGCCAGCAAGCCCAACCCGGTGGCCCTTCAGCACGGTGCTCCCGCTGTTGCTGTCCTCGCCCCTCCTCCTGGTGCCGGTTGGGCTACCGTCGGAGCTGGTGGCAAGGTCAAGACACCTACTGGCCCGGCCCCGATTCAGCAGCGATCTGCCAGTGTCAATGCCGTGAAGCAAGCTCCAGCTGTCAAGGCCGCTCCCAAGCCCGTTGCTCCCATCGGTGCTCCCAAGGATAACGCGACCTTGGCCATGGATGAGTTCAAGAAGTGGCTGCACGCCACTCTGTCCCGTGGCATCACGGGTGTCGCTAACAGTAAGTCCCTCCTCTATGTTTGATGCCTCCTGACATGCCTCTTTTCTCTTCTCTTCAAGCCCAAGCCAAGTAGTGCTAACAATTTGGTGCGTGATTAGTCGACGACTTTGCTGCCACGCTCACCCTCCTCCCTCTCGATGCTGAGATGATTTCGGACGCTGTGTACGCCAACTCGACAACGATGAATGGACAGCACTTTGCCGACGAATTTATCCGACGCAAGAGACTCGCAGACAAGGGTGTGATTGAGAAGCAGTCCTCTGCGGATGGTGGCAAGGCCGGAGCCTCGTCGGGCGCAGGTGGCTGGAGTGAGGTAGCCAAGAAGGGCGGCCACGGAACGGCATCCGCCAAGGATCAGGGGTCCTCGGAAGCCATCATGGGCGGCGCCGGCTTCAAGGTTGTTCCCGGACGCAAGAAGGGTGGCAAGAAATGAAGTGACTGATTCCATGGGGGCCGAACAACAGCAATGACCATGCTGAACACCATCGCAAAACGATGAAGGCCTAACCTCGGATAAACACTTGCTCTTAGTTTTTATGCGAGACGATGCAAGCGGAGCAGTTGCTTTTTATCTTTTGTCTTTGCCATAGCGTATCAGGGCGGCCAACTCATTTTACACTTTTGTTTCTGGAGAGGAAGTTGGGCGACGATGTGGTATACCCGTACATGTATGGATAGTGCCGACTTTGTTGTACTTGTAGTCGTCTGTCGTGTCCCTCCTTATCAGCCAAAGTAGAAATGCAAGCGGAAATGCCTAGCTTTGAAATGAAGCGTGTTGTCACTTGAGCTTATCTTTATACTGCATTAACCTGTAGTTCTTCGATGCAATCAATGCCGCCCAGAGTGAGCCATGTGGTGACATTGCGCTCGGTGAGTCTCGGTGAAGGTGGGGTTGCCCGATTAGTCAGTGCTAAAAATTATTCTTTGCGTCGTTGCTTGTGCCCCGCCAAAATTTGTAATGCGCCGATGTTGATCGAAGGACCAAGAATCTCTTCACCATTGCGGGACAAGCGAGAGGTTTTTGAGGCTTTCTAGGTCCAGTTTTCTATTTTATAGGAATTTTGATCTATTTTTGATTTTGATTTCAGCGTCCTACCGGCTACGAATTCCTAGTCCTCGCGCACTTGTTCACCTCAAAAGTTTTGACCCCGCCATCGGTGCAGGTCCTGGCCTCTTAAGGCAGGCAGCGCAAGAGTTTCTACAACTATTTTTTTGGAGGGGCAACAGCAGCTAAATACACATTCGCCTGGGCCAGCCACGAGCGCCAGCATGGCGAGTGGGGCAAGCACACACCAGGAGCTTCTCCAAGAGGTATCCAAGGGCGCGTATATTTCCGTGCTCACCTCTCCAGCGGCCAAGACGGCGATAGCGCAATGCGTCGCATCCCTCGAAGCGGCGGCGGAAGAGGTGCGCGGCGACGGACCGGGGGCGACGCAGGAAAGTGGGCTTGACGAGTGGCGCTCCAGGGTTGCGGTCGGGCTCGCGGCGTTTAATGCCTTTCTACAATTCAACGTGACGGGGCCGGTGCTGGAAGGCGCGGCGCGGGTCGAGGCCGTGTTCTCCGGGGCCGGCGGCGGTGGTGCTGGCGCGTCGCTCGAGGACCTGCGAAAACGGTGCCTCAAGGCGCTCGAGGTGGACGGGGTGTCGCCGTACGCGTATATACCGCACCTAGAGTTCTTTTACCTTGCGCGGTTCATTGCGCTGGATCCGGCGCTGGATGCGTTGCGGGGGAGAAGGTGGGGGTGGTGGAGGAGGGCGCGGGGTTTCGCTGGGGTGGCTGCGCCTCCGGATCTTGGTGTGGCATTATAGGCTTCTTACGCAGCCGACGCTGGGACCGGGGTCGTCGTATAACAAGAGTTCGCAGTGGAGCGATGTCCCAGCGCTCATCTCGAGGGTGCACGATGCGATGGATGCGGTCAAGGGTGAGGTGGTTGGTGGGGGCGAGGGCGGCGGTGATTCGGCTGCCACTACTAGCACTGGTGTCTCTGAGCCGTGGTCGACCGAGGAGAAGATTCGGTGCCTGCTCGAGTTGGCGAACTACGACATCATGCTGGGGCGGGATGAGAAGGCGAGGGAGAATATCACCAAGGCTACGGAACTAAGTCGCTTCGAGTACGCGCTGACGGGTGCGCTCGGCAAAAAGACAAAGTACCAGGAGAACAGCACGAGCCAGCTCGTCATCGTGGCGCGCAGCGCCGGAAGCGAGATCACGCCGCCCGAGAAGCCCATGCCCATTCCCGGAGCGCTGCCGCTGAATGACGATACCCTGCTCGAGAGGATCGCCTTTGAGGGAAGCAAGGAAAACGGCGTACGAGACGCGGCGAGCCTCAGCCAAGGGCTCAAGGGCATGGATATCGACGACCAGCCGGCGCTCACGACCCTTGACCAGATTATTTTGTTGACCGAGGCCACGCTGAGAGATGCCTTTTCGCCGCTCGACGCCCTCACGTCCGAAGAGATCTTGCCGTACGCTGAGAGGGTGCTCCAGGATAAATCGACCAACTGGCAGGTGTACACGCAAGCGCTCATTGTGCGATCTAGGGTTGAAGTGCATAGGAGTAGAACGGTGGAGAGGGGTGTCTTGCAGATGCAGGCGGTGGTGGACCAGGTCGTGGTGGACACTTTGACACCCGAATCTTCTTCCGAGACGGCCGGAGCAGGGCGGCGATGGCACCATTCCTGCCATCGCGGTCAGCACACCCCACGACGAAGCGGCCCCCGTCGAAGACAAGCCGACGAGCTTCTTCCGCGCGCCCGAGGCAGTCGATTCGGCACCCGCACAAGATCGGCTGCGGTACATCCACGCCATCTCCACGCCCCCGCGATGGCACCTCGAGTCCGAGCTCGCGTACGGCTGGACGGGCGTCGGCGCGCTCGTGTCCGCGCTCGAGATCTTCAAGCGCCTCCGCCTATGGGCCGAAGTCGCCCTCTGCCTCGCCAGCGCGGCCGCCTACGCCGAAGACGACGAGAACGGCCGCGGAAGCGGCGGCGAGGAAAAAGCGCGAGCCATTGTGCGCTGGCGTCTCTTCAACAAGACAGGGCGTCCGGCCTCCGAGTCCCTCGACGCCGACGACGAGTCGCTCGATGCAGACCCGACGCAGCTCAAACCTGCCGACTTCCAGGGCCCCGAGCGCGACCCACCCCGCCCAACGCCCCCGCCTGTTCTGCATCCTCGCCGACTTGGAAGATGACGCGTCGTACTACGAGCGCGCCTGGGTTGTGTCGGGCGGCCGCTACTCCCGCGCCCAAAAGAGCCTCGCGGAGCACTACCTGCAAAGAAGGACTTTGCCGCCGCGCGCGACGCCTACAAAAAGGCCGTCTACGTCAACCGCCTCAGTTCCGAGATGTGGTCCCGCCTCGGCGATATCCACCTCCGCCTCGGAGAGATGGAAGACGCCGTCCAGGCCTTTAGCAAGGCCATCTCTTCCGCCAACGACGTCGTCGGCGGCGAGGACGCCCGCACCTGGAGCAACCTCGGCAGCGCCCTCTGGACCCTCTACCTCGACGCCATCGAAACCCTCAAGAAGGGACCCTCCCCTTCCGCGGCGGCGGCGGCCGCCGCGCGCGCCCCCAAACCCCCAAGCTCGACGACGAGCAAACCGACGACGAGGACGAAGACGACACCCCGCCGTCCGCGACGCCCGCGACGCCGCCGCCCTCTCAACCAGGCCCTCCAGGCCTACAAGCGCGGCGCGAACCTCGCCCGCGAAAACTGGCGCATCTGGGACAACGTCCTCACCATCGCCTCCCGCGCCCGCCCCTTACGTCGCCGACATGGTGCACGCCCTGCAAAACATCCTCCGCATCCGCCAGACCGAGACCGCCGTCGACGACGCCGTCCTCCGCCTGCTCCTCACCGAAACCGTCCTCGCCAAGGAGAAGCGCGAACCCGCCGGGGCTAGCCCCACGGGCGTGTACGAGTTGCCTCGCGGCACCGAGGAGCGCGCCGTCGTCGACCTCCTCGAGCGCGACGTCATGCCCCTCATTACCGCCCGCTCCGAGCTGTGGGAGCTCGTCGCCCGCGAGCGCGCCTGGAAGCGAGACTACGCCGGCGCCGTCGAGGCGTCCGAGCGAGCGTGGCGCGCTGCCATTGGCATGTCCGCCTCCTCTGCCTCGAGCCTCGCCCCGGCAACGGTGCTGGAGGAGCTGACCCCGCTGCAGCTACGTCGTGGCAGACGGATGTGGAGCCCTGGCTCGTGGTCGTCAAGCGCACCGACGAGCTGGTCTCCGTGTTGGAGAACTACGGGCCCGAGGTCGAGGCCATTGGCGACAAGTGGAAGGGCAAAGCCCGCAGCGCCGTGCGTAGCGTCATGAGCAAGGGCAAGGCCAGATGGGAAGGTGGCGAGGGTTGGAGTACCTTGGAGAGCTTGATGGAGGAGCTAAAGAGGTAGCAGGGGGTTGAGATATCGGCTTGTTTAACGTTTATCTGACATGTCATACGGTTTCTATACATGAGGGGCTTTTCCCTTTCTTTCTTTTTTTGCGCTGTAGATCTGGGAATTCAAAAGCATCACAAAAGTTGTTCTTCCTTTCACTTACTATAAGAGTCACTCGTAGATGCTATAAGAAACGAGAATAGAGACACTTTGAATAAAAGAAAACGTCAAAAGATAAAAACTAGAACGCTAACACCCAACCGACGCCAAGCACCCGGAAACGCCGACGACCCTCGCCCACCCTGTAGACACACAATCCGGGGTTCCAACCGCAACTCGTCGTTTCTCCATATCCCAACACGTCGACCCAGTGCCCAGACACAAAAGCAACCCCTCCTGACTCCCCACAGACGCAGCCACCATTCCGCCCAGGGCTAGCCGATCTCCTGCTCTCCACCATCCAAAAAGAAATATAAAAGAAATAAAAAAGAAAGAAAAGAGAGAAAAACAAGGGACTCGACGAAAGAAGAAGGGCAATTAAAAAGAAGCGGTAGAACCAAAGAAAGATGCTAGCGCCACGCATCTACGTCTCCTTGGCGAAGCCTTTCAACGCCATCATACACTCATCTTCGCTAGAGGAATACCCATCACGCTGGCCGTCACATGCCCTACCCCGGCATCAAAGTAGTCCAGCAGCGGTCGCACCTGCTCCAGCAACCTCTCATCCGCCTCCGTCATATTTGGTTCCGGCGAGGGGCGCCGTTGCCCCGCCGCTCTGGCCTGCACCGTTCGGCTGGCCTGCTGCTTGGCCATCTGGCGCTGCTCTTCGTCCCACGTGGACGGCATAAACATCGAGTACGTGCTATGCGGCCAGCTCTCCGGGAGGGCCCGGCGCTTGGGAGCCGGCTCGCGCCTCTCCTCTACGTCGGGCCTTCGTAGCCTCTTGCGGCCGTGCGGAAGCGGGAGCAACCTGTCGGGCTCCTTGAGCTCCACGACGGGCAGCTTCACGCGCCTAGTCTTCCGCGTCGTCTTTTGATTCCAAACATCCAGCGCCAGATTATGCTGCTCCTGAAGCTCGCGGTAGTAGATTCTCCGGTCGCGCAGGTGCGCGCGCTGAAGCGCGTGCTGGATCCATTGGTGGTTGTCGAGGTCTTTGTGGCGGTGCCCACGCCTGAGCGCCTGCTGGAGCTTCTCGGGCGTAAACACGGGCAGATCGGGGGCCCGGGCTCGAATCGGACCTGTCGAGCGCCCGAGGTGCGCGAGCAGGTCGTGAGTCTTGCTAAAGTCGCCTAGGGCAGAGTTTCGTCTCGGATTCAAAGGAGTGCGGGGGCTGCTGGCTCCTCGTCGCGGCGTAGGCGCCTGGCATAACTGCGGTAGTTTTCGCACGTCGAGGTAGCGCAGGGTTTGCGGAAACAGCTTTCCCTAGCCAAGGGCGCATTGCCGGCCGCTATGTGAGCTTGATGCGCCAGTAGAGTGGCCTCCCAGGTTGGGGCCGTGCTGGCCTCCCGTGCAATCGCCCGGCCGTCGAAGTACCCGCTCAAGCGTTCAACCTCATCGAAAATGAACTTTCTGCCGCACAGTCCTTTGATTCTATCTCTTAGAACTGGGTTGCCGTATCTGGCAAGGCCTAGGAGGATTTGTTAGATCTAGGCTCCCATAATTGCATCGCCACCGTTGCCCCCTTGCCTTGTTTATATGCCTTGGCTATATCAAAGGAAGCCCTCGGGCGTCAAACTTACTCGTAGCATTGTAAACCACGGCTCCAACCGCAATCCATCCCTCTTCATGCATCGGTCGAATTACATAGGCCCTGCACGTCCTGCGATCTGAACCATGTACCGCCGGCAAAACCTCATCTAGGTCCTCGTCGGTCAGGCTCGCGAGGGTGGGCATGCCCAACGAGGTAACCGGCAGCAGCTGGCTCAATTGCACCTTTGCAATGATGAGCTCAGGGTACCTCGCCAACATCATGGCCTCCTTGTTGCCAGCTTTGATCAAGCCAGTGACATCGACTTGGGTGCGGAGGCTGGCGAGGCTCCCGAGCAGATGCGTCCGCAGTGTCATATCAAGCACCTTGTTCTTTTTAGGGCCTAGTCCTATTATTAGAAATATTCGGTACTCAAAACGGCCCATACGCCAAAACGTGCACCGGGAACTCCGTGCGACTCACTTAGACTATAGACATTCTCGCCGAGAAGGAACTCGTCCGGGAGACATCCCCGGGCAAGCGGCTTTGTACGGTTCTACCCACAGCTAGATGCTGGATTGAGTCTAGTACCGCTCCCGGATCGCCGTGGGCCGCATAAAAGATATCTGTGCAATTAGTTCCCACCGCAAACTCTTCCAACACGCTTGTCCCGCCCGGGTGCCAGTGTATAAAGTCTAGGCATGCGTCGGAAAGAACGCCAAGTTGTCAGTAATTATGAGCCTTATACAAGCGAGAAGATTAGGGCGAAAAGAAAGGCAGGACGAAATACCAGAGAGATCATAAATCACATCATCCACAGAAGTGTACCTCCCCGTCACCTCAGACACGAACCAATTTACATCCTTCGCGACATACGCGGGACCAGACCCGGGATGTAAGTCGAATGGTCGGCGCACCCTGCCTATCCTATAGTCGCTCAATCTCGCCTTCACCTCCAAGAGGTCCACGTCATCACCCTGCCACTCGTGGAGAACCGTAGCTAGGTTGCGACCGCGGGCCTTGGTGAGAAGAGGACCAAGGTCCCCCAGTGTTCTAATGGCGTCTTGTATAGTTTGTTAGATTACAGCTGTCGTTTTATCAACTCTTGAATAGGACGAGGCATATATAGACTTACCGGTGATGTCGTATACGTCCTCTCCAATACAGATCCAGGCGTGTTCGTCTGTTCGAGCTTCACCCACCTCCTCAAGTTTGAATTCTTGTAGCAGATAGCCCATATGGACCGCTTTGGCAGAGCGCCTTTTTCCAAAGACGTCTTCGATACTGGAGCCTCGCAAAACTCGTCCGTAACGAGAATACCCAATAGTCTTTGACGTATTGAAAAAGAATGACGAGGCCAACGCTGATTCAACGATGTAGTTAGCATATATCCCAGCACCTGTGCCTCTGGCTCTCTCCAAACCCCCACTTTAGCGATAATGATGTAGAGAGGAGGTACTTGCCTGTGATATCGTACACCTTGTATCGGCTTTCCTCGAGGAGAAGCGCCCAAAACTCCCCTCGGCGAAATTGGTCCGCTACTTGACCGACGGTCCAGATGGCGGTGCTGGGGTCCACAGGAATCGGTGGGTCTGGAAGCAAAGGCGCGAGGTCCGGTACTTGATTTATGGAGCGTCGTTCAAAATACCGGCGGTCCATATTCAACGTGTACTTTGACGGGCGTTGCGGGCGAGCTCGCGCCATTCGAGCCTGGTTTTGATCATGATACTTGGGGATTCTGAAGAACAGATCCAGCCACCTTCCCGCCACATCAACAGCTTGCGTTTCTCCCGTCAAGTTCTTGTCTGCCAGGATATGTAATGGCGTCAAGTCCTCAATGAAATGGCGGAGCTGCTGAATTTGTAGTTCCAGAAGCCTCACGATGTTTGGGAGGGAGAGATCTTGAGCTCGATATAGACCCAGGCTCGCTTGTGCTTCGTCAAGTAGCTGAGTCCTCACCGACACTACTCTTGCATCGTCCTCTCCTATGTGCCTCCGAGGCAATGTGAATTTCGGGGCTGGCTGATCCGCCCACCAATGCTCCATGACACGGATAGGGTTGCGTGCTTTCCCTCCTCGGCGTCCTTGCTGAGCTTCCACAATTTCTCCCTTTGCTTGATCTGGATAGGTCCGGCCCGCGGGCAAGTCTTCTCTGTTTGCCGACCAGGAAGTGCAGCCAAGACTATCAAGCCCATTGTTCGACAGAGATAAGCGTTGGCATGGAAGACACTCGGCACCTCCGGATGCCCGGATTGATCCTGTACTCTTGATAAAAGGCAGGCATAATGATCCATCGGCGCGCAATCTGACTTGCTCTGTATTCGTCGTACTCTGATTTTCGAACAAAGCATTCGTCAGTGATCTGCTGCAACTCTTCGCGGAAGTCGATATTGGAGTAGGAGGAAATCCCAGCTGCTGTACATTTCCCGATACCACTTCTTTCGCAACTTATTCCACAGTTGGCGCCTCGTCTGTAGCTGTTTTATGAGTACACGAACCGAATCACTCGGCAGGGCGATGCGGGCTGGCGAGAACAGGCCCAGCCTTCGTGCCGCGTTGATGGCACTGGAAGCCTCGAGCTCGCTGTCCATATTCCAGGATGCCTGGCCGGCTCGGCACCCTGTCATGCTCCAGGCAGGGTGGAACATGCTCTCGCAGAGAAAGTGCTTGGGAAGCTGAAGCCCCTGAAGCCCGAGCTTTGCGCAGCTAATCGTCCAGAAATCCTCGTTCATCATCGAAATCTGCCACAAGCTTGGTATCGGCCAGGACAAATGCCGATAACGTGCTCTCGGATGAAACGCCAGACCAAGAGGTCCTGTAAGCTCGCCAATAGCAAATAGTTGCTGAAGCGCCTCCGCATGTGTCGGGAACTCTCGAGCCGCTATGGGCATCACGTACCCGGTCTTGCTGAGACCTCCACCGCGATAGAGCGGAAACTCAAGCTTCCCACCAAAGACTGATTTTGAGAAGGATGCACGATGGTCGGCTACAAACTCATCTCCAAAGTACTAGCTGCTAGATTAGCGTATCTACGCACATGGGTCGAGTTGCGAGATTGTATCGGGGTGCGGTGAACGTCGCCTACCAGTTGAAATTGCGCTGGGTTAGCTACTCTCGGGTCCTTGGTTAGCTCCTTTTGAAGGAAGAAAAGGCCTCGATTTCGTGCTAGAGCATCCTGATGTCGAGGGAAAAAGGAGAGAAAAGTTAGTTCAGAGGTTAGTTTGCCCAAGAGATTGATTCCGAGTGGTAGCAAGATGACTTACAACGAATGCTAGAACCATCTGATATGCCGGGGACCACAAGACGTAAGTAAGCGTTTGGGCTCATGATGTTCGTGGAAAGGGGTGGGCAGGGGTCAGAATTACGAACATTAACGCCAACGGTATGCTGAATCATTGATCTCTCCTCCTCGCTCACATTCCAGCTGAGCAGGGGCTTGATAGCGGATATATCCAAGGATATGCTCATCTGGCAAGATCCTCCTTGCACCAGAGCCTGGCAGTCAACAAGGCACATCGTCTGGCCCCGAAATGGTTCGGGCGTGGGGAACTCACGGTGGGCGTCGAAGAATGACCAAGAAAACAGGTAGCTGATCGAATCTATGAAGGCGGCCGTGGTTCTAGGATCGAGGCGACGATGGGCGGCGACCTCGACAAACCTTCGATATATTACTCCTTCTTCCTCTTTACTGATCTCTCCGGTGTCCCAATTCACCTCATACCGAGAACCGTGTGCACTCTCATGAGCTGATGAATCCAGAAGTGACGAAAGCCTTGTAAACTCTAGGGTTAGCTTCAATGAGCCTCTTTTTTTTGTTGGTAAAGCCGAGGCCTTTCTCACGTTTTGGAAATTTCCAATATCGATGATCAGGCCTATCCTCTACTTACCAAGACCCGTGACATGCTTGGTGAAGAATTCTGTTGGCAAGCTCGATGGCTGGAGACAGTTGTTCCCAAACCGCGGGGTTATCGACAGACCAAATTGCGTCCTCGCCGCCATAGGTTCGGGGCTTGTCGATCGCGGAGTCTTTAAGCTTCATACAGTAGTCAATCCAGCGGTTCTTTTTAAAGACCGAACACCATTCGGCTTCATTGACGACAAGCCGCCGAGCTTCGTTCCCGTGCGTTACGAGTTCGTTTCCGTCTTGATAAGCCTTGACGTTTTTGAAAAGCATAACTTCCCAAGTGCGTAGGCCGGAGAATCTCTCCATTTGAATAGACTCGGACGCAAAGAGTTGGTCGGCGGCGTCGCCTTGTGGGGCGTTCACAAAGTCTTGGTCGCCATCCCCGATGAATGCTGCGATGGAGTGTGCCTCAGTTGGGCCAAAGTTTGGAAATATGGGGCAGAGCCACGACCTGTTGACGTCCGTGAACAGGCCTGGCTTTTGATCGTGTATGCCATAGCGGCTAGCCCAGTCGTCTTGAATTGTATCCGTCACCGTCGATTCTCCCGATTGCGAACCATCATTCCCACCGCTGTTCGCCATAGCCGACACTCGGGTCGCTCTTGGCCACAGCAGTATTAAGGGCGCGTTGTCTCTGGCCTTTCTGCAAGCAAAAATTATCGTCCAAGTTAAAGGAATAGTGAAGATGACGAGAGTGGTGGTTGATTTCGGGTATATCAAACATTCAACCCAAGCCCTTGAAAAGTCTGGTTCACGATATTCGATAAAGATGGAGTGTAGGCGGTAAAACCGATAAGGCCCAAGGGATCTTTAGATGATGGTGATGAAGGAAATGAGAAGGTGCAAGATTGGGACGTTTCGTCGAAGGGGGAAAGGACATCGGAAAGGGAAATGAATGAGGATGGAGGTGGTACAGCCCCTTTGACGCGATCACAGCCCGCATCGCGAAGCAATGTTCAAAGTTGACTTAGTTGATGTTTCCGGATGTGTAATAAAGCCCATTCCAGCATCGATGCTTTCCTTTCACGGTAGAGTCGGCCTCAACCATCATCTCGACCGCATTCATATACTGTGAAAGAAATCAAGAAAATTCCACATTATTCTAAATATAAGAAGTTCGCTAATTCCAGAGGAGACCACCCTCCCATCCTTTGGCAAAGGACCATTTGACACAAATTTCAGATATCTAGACACCCGCACATAGGTAGTATTACCCAAGGCGAAGCGATCTCTTCTCCTTTCCGCCATTTACGTGGCTTATTATGCATGTAGCACCTCCTCTCGAACTTGAGCTCAGGTAGGTTGGGGTATTCCCACCAGTTACTATGCCGTGCCGTTGTACTCTTGTCTAGGGCGGTGGCGCATCTTTGGCCAAGATGGTTGAAACTAGATGGAGGTGTTAGTCGTGAGTTGTTTTAGGCATGTGTGGGCGGGAGCCGTGGGTTCATAGATGTCGTTATGGAGCAACTCGTTCTGCGGTAACACAGGGAAGGGTGGTCCATTCATTCCGAATGTTCCTAAGCTGTCTATGTCAAAGGTAGTCTCGAATACTGGCGAGGAAGCTATGATATTCTCGGCACTACCCTGAGTAGCTTCGTCCAATGTAGCCAACCTACTTTTGCAAGCAACTCAAGCTAAGCAACACGAGATGGGGAGCCGGCCATCAGGGTAGTTCTAGCAAAACCCCCACCTCTACAAAGACCAAACACCACCAACGATTTTCTGGCGAGAAACCTCTTCGGCGGAGATTACTCCATATTTCTCCCGAGAACCACTTGAGAAGTTGCCGGGACCATCATCGGTGGATGGACGCCAAAGCAGGAACCAACGTCAAAATGCACATCACCCTCCCGTCCCTCGCATACACTTCGCCTTGCGTGTTGCATCTTCCCGAGCTGAAAGCCATAAAGTGCACATGCGTTAGCGAGATCGTCTCCCAAGGGTGGATCAGCCTGAGCAAGGGTCTTCGCGCCTCTCAGGGTATGTTCAAGAGGTTATTGGCGCGGGAGCCCCTGGCCGGAATGCTCGCTTTGGGAGTCAATGCCCGAACCTGGAAATGGAGTCCTGCCCATGTTCAAAGGTTAAGAACCTTGATGGACTATATTAAGCCATTTGTGTGAGTGGCGTGCATTCCGTAGGAACGTTTCCGCATATGTATCGTTTGCATTCGGCATCTGCATGAAGCCAGGCGTGCTGCCAAGGCTTGACTAACATCTATTACAGCTCCAACTAGCTGCTGGTGGGGGCTCATACGCATTCCTGTTCCTGCCATGTTCCTATCATGATGGAAGTAAGTTAAGTGTCGGTTTCCGTCGAAAGAGGGTGTGCGGAATTCGAAAAAGGAACGAACGATTTGTGTAACCGTGGAAGAAACGCCGCCCTCCTGCAACTCCTGGTCGAACTGTCATATATGCCTAGCTCCTCTAAGTGAAGGACTTGCCCGCACATCCGATATGGAAGGAAGCCAGATAATGGGCATCTCGCCTCGGTCGTTACTCGTTCAGCCTGGATTCATCGTTCCTTCCGGTCCCAGCGAGTGTCCCGCGCTATATCCCCCGACCTGCTCCTTCCCCTTCTGACGGTGGCAAAGAACTTAGTCTTATATACCAAAATATGGCAAGAACTTCCAACCGAGCAGCTCAAGCACCGGCCACGCGACTGGATTAGCCTAACGGCGAGTCTGGAGCGCTCATAAAGTTAGAAAAATAAGATTTTCGAGAGGTTGCATCCTACCAGGAGGGGTCGAGTGATCGAAACCACAGTCGGGCTGGAGGCTTCCTTTTTTTTTTCTGTTTCTTTTTAAAGCCCAAATTGATTTTTCTTTTAAAAAGAATTATCTATCTATTTTATCATCTTTTATATTTATTTACACTTCTTAAGCTAAATATGATCTCTTTCTTTTAATGATTCTACGCTGCTAGTCCTCCCCATACCGAACCGGTGCAGTCTGTTGTAGAACTATGGTTGTGAACTCAACCACCCCGCCCGCAGCCACGAGCAAGTCATGACATGACACCTTGAACGACCGGGTTCGGAGGAACTGAACCCTCTTTGAAAGAACTAAAATTACGTCCATCTTTTCTACAGTATGATACGGATTCGACAAAATTGTGTCGACATCAGCACTGTTGGTTAAAGATTACTCCCTCTTCCGAGCAACCCAAAACTGGGCATCGTAAGCGTTTCTCGTCAACGCCCTCTCGTTGAACCCATACACCGCAGTCATCCCTTTAGCTTTGCCTCCGACTCCGGCCGTGGCTTTTCCACAGTTCTCCCCTGTTTCCAGAAACTCGAAACCCATGGCCTCGGCGACTTGATTATCTCTTCCAGCGATAGCTGAACAAAGGGACCCGTTCCATAGAGCAGGGGACCAAAGTTGACCCAGTAACCTCCGGGCCGGAGGACGCGGTGGATGGTGTCAAAGTAGGAAATCAAGTTGCGTGCCGTATCGATGAAGAAGTGAGTGACGACGGAATCGAAGTGGGCCGTGTTTTCCGCGAAGGCAGTGGTGAAGTCACCCTCTACGAGAAGGACGCTGCTCGAGTTGATGGGCTTATCCGGGAAGGAGATGGGGCGCATCATGTCGACGTTGGAGACGTGGTGGGACCAGTAGTCGACGAAAGGGTAGACTGTGTCTAACGAGGTCGAGGTAATAGTGTCGAGGAAGCGGGACATGACGTTCATGTACATGGACCACTCGTTGCTAGTAACTTCGAATCCTGTTGAAGAGGAGACCCATAACGGTTATCCAAGCTGTGCAAGTCATACGGTCAAGTGGACCAAAATGTGAATGAGTATTTCGATTCCTTACCTCCCAGCGACGCGACTTCATGACCTAGCCGCCCAAGCCCAGCCCCAGGCAGAAGCACCTTGACCTCCTCGCCGGCGCTACCTCTCTCGGGAAACAGGCCGCTCATAGTTTCCAAAAGGCACGGAAACGCATCACCGCGCTCGCTCAGCCCCTCCTCGGACCAATCGCGCACAATGTGCTTGAGCGATTGCGAAACGCTCACCCTGTCCGCGAGCTTGTTGTCCTTCTCGGCCTGCTTGATGTGCTCGTCGAGCTCTGACGGATCCACGCCGTAGAAGTCGAGGGCGGCGCGGACGACGCGATCGCATAGGTGCTGGTTCTCGGCGAGAAAGTGTTCTGTCTTGACAAACTTTTGAGAATACTGGATGGTAGTCTCGAGCAACTGTGACGTGCGAGGATACAGCTTTTGTTAGCAGGGATGTTGAGCACTTGATGAGGGAGGGAACGGCGAGGGCGAGGGATGCAGAGAAGTGAAAGAAATATGAGAATAATAGAGAGGGAAAAGAACAGGGATCGTCCTACCTTTTTCTGGGCAGGAGAGACGTGCTTGTAGAGCTTCTTCCACCGCCTGACCTCTTCAGCGTTTCTGTCAAAGTACTTGCGAAACCCATAGAGGGTATCCAGCAGTCTCCATCGCGGATGGCCTGAATCCCACTTCCCTTGGTCGCGGCTCAACCTCTGCAGCAGCTTCTCCTTCTCGGCTATGTGCCGCGCAGACTCCTTCTGCTTCGCGAGGTCCTGGACCGTCACATACACCTGGTGGATCTCGGAAGGCGAATCGATCTAAAGGAAGCAATTTGTTAACAATATGTGGTCAACATCCATAGTGATCAGTGCTGGAGTCTTACTGCACTTTCTCCAAGCGGGCCGTCCCTTTCTGAACCGACGAGGACTTTCTGGTCATCTGGCTGAATCTGTCCATCCGGAGCTCCTGCAAGATTGCTCCCCGCCGCAGCAGAGAGCATTAGGGCCGCAGAGATCAATCTAAGGACGAACATGTTTATCTCTCTTCACAAACTCCAATCTAAGCAGGAACAAGAAACTCTACGATGAGAGGAGTAGGAAAGAGAAGTGGCACAAGGTCAACTGTCCTCCTGTGCTTCCTTCAGCCTAGTCTCCTTACTTTTGTTTCTTTTTTTCTTTCCTTTTTGTTCTACATCCCCCCGCCCCCTCGACTCGACCTAGATGGATCACAAATGTCAAGCTTCCACGCCTCCCTAGAGCTTGCGCGAAGCTGCCAGGGTCCTTCGTATTGACAATGCACGATGCGGGTTCGGTTCCAAGAAACCCCACCAACACCCCCAAGAAAGTAGCCCGCCACAAAATCCATCTCCAAAGGGGGAAGAGAGAGAAAAGTAAGAAAAATCCTCTCCCCCAATGCGATGACGATTGAAAGGGATCAAGGTAACCCTCCTACTCCAAGGATCCATCACACCACAATACTTGCCCGAAAAGAGCAAGTCATTACCGCACCACACACCCCAACTTGGAGGGCTAGGGAATAGTAAGCATACTCGAAGGCGGTAGAGGAGGGGTTGAGAGCGGGATGCGGTGATAAGAATAGGCCAAGGTGAGAAAATTACAGGAAGCCGCCACCGGGAGTGTGGAGCTGTCGAGTACCCGGATGGACACGTTCGAGTCCCTTGATGGCTCGCCTGCTCCAACAACGAGCGAAAATCGTGGACCCGGCCAGCCTTGGCATTCCAACCTCCCACGCCGGATTTTCCATCTCGTCCAATCATGCCGCCGGCGAAGGCGGAAGAAAAAAGTTGCTCGCTTGAAATGAGTAGTCGTCCGCGGATTGTGTGATGCGCCGGGCCCAATTTTATTTTTCTTATTGGGTTTCTTCTCCTCCCCCTCCTCCTTTCGTACGGGGTCTCCCCCACGCGCTTTCCGTCCTCGAGAGACCCGGGGACCTGGACCGACCAGGAAACTGGGTTTATTACGCAATATTGGGAAACGGGAAAACATGACCATCACGGTTGATGGTATACCTGGTTCGTCAATGGGGTGAGCTCAGGGCCAAGAAAAGATACATTTCGCCACACAACATTAGACCCGGAAAGAGACGTACGGACCTAGGACATGGTTGGGCCGGATCCGCGTGGAGCGCGTGAGCGAGATACTAGCTGTTGGTAGTCTGCCATTGGCGATGGATCGAGCCAAGGATGCCTCCTGCACGCTTCCTGCAGGCCCGTCTACCTTTCCGTTCCCGAGGCTTTCCGCAGCTGTAGACGGGGCAAGAGACAGAGAGAGAGGGAAAGTGGGTGAGGGAGAGAGAAGGTATAAAGATACAGACCGGTTCTTCCAAGAAGCATGACAGAAATCTCTTCCTCTTCACTTGTCCTTCATCACCAGTTCTTTACGCTCACTCGCTTGCTCCAGTCGACATTCGTTTGATTTCAAGCTCTTCTACTCAAGACCAACGCCTCTTTTTCTCTCCACCCTAAACACTCAAACCCCGTCAACATGAAGTTCACCTCCACCTTTGCGCTTTTGGGCATGCTCCAAGCTGTCCTCGCCCAGAGCCTGGCTCCCTCCCCCACCGAGTCTATCGGCTGCGAGCCCCACGGTGATCACTGGTACGTTGATGCTGCCTTCTTGCCCCCTTCCACCATTTCCCCGCTCGCCATATTCGTTCCGTGTTATGCATCTCTGGGCCAGCGTTAACCTCCCTCTTTCTATACAGGCACTGCGAGGCCGCCCGCCCTACCGAAGCCGGCGAGCCCTCTACCCAGCCCCCGCTCCCACCGTCAGCACCCCCGTTGAGGAGGACCATGACCACGAGGACGAGGAGGACCACGACCACGAAGGCGGAGAGTCTGCCAGCCTCTCCCCTTCTCCCACCGAGTCCATCGGCTGCGAGCCCCACGGCGACCACTGGCACTGCGAGGGCCCCCGCGTCACCGACGGCGCCGAGCAACCCACCTCTACCGATGACGATGCTGCGTCCGAGACTACCCCCATCGTGCAGGTCCCCACCGGTGCCGCTGCGGGTCTCCAGATCGGCAGCTTCGTGCCTGTCGTCGCCGTCGCCATCTTTGCCCAGGCCGCTTTTTAAGCTAAAGAGGAGAAAAGATTGCCTCGGCGGTTGGCGGAGTCCATTTGCTTTATCTTACATTGGGAAAACAACGGCTTCTAGGATTTGATGTCCGTTGTCTTGGTCGGTTTTATTCTTTCGAATTACCCCTTTTTGTTCTTCAAGTTGTATGTACTGCCTTTATCAACTTCTTGTCTGAGACCGTCTCAAGACGAAACGGATCCATGGATGGTTTGGGAAAATAAACAGGTTCATCCTATTTTGAGTGTCAACACTCGTATATAGCTTAATTTACATATCAAAACCCCCAATTTCTTTGAATTGCCAAGTCTCCAAAATGTGTCTAATACATCATTGGATCTATTCAACAGATCTTTGTTTGGTCGCTTGTATTATTTGTGCTTGTTAGGGTCAGTGTTCTGCTCTGTGTGGTTCGGCCAATGGGAAGCAGGTCTTGATCTTGCCGGTTTCCATATTAGGAAGTTTCGACCCAGACCCTTCACCTGGACCCCTGCTATGAGTGCATTCGTCACTCTACATGAATTTCAAGAGTCTCGAGCCATGAGGTGGTCTATATAGCTAGGAAGAGTATCCCATTTCCAAACTAAGCTATCTTATATTGCAGGTGGCCGGTGACATTGCTGAGGATAGCAAGCGCAGCGGGCAGTTCACGACCTTGTCGGGCAGTCCCCTCACATAACAGGAGAGGCTGTGGATTCTTCAAACTAAGCCTCTGGTTTGGGAATTGGGACCATGGGGAATTATCGATTGATCTGCCGTCTATCGAATGTTGAAAACAAAGGCCAAAGTTCCGAAAGCGAAGAACTGCAGATACAGACTCCAGGTTTGCGAATCCGACGGACTTGTGCAACGATGGTTCGGCCACTTCCAAGGTGGGCTATCCATAACCTGATAATCTTGGACAGGGACCTACTTGTAGATACATTGATATTTGTAAGAGGGAACCCAAAAACGCAAGAAGGAGAAGGATTAAAGCAGGGACAAGGAGGAGGTCAAGAGGACGAAAACAGACCAAGAGGGCTTGGCGTGTCCTTGATTCCACCTGAATCGATGGACCCCTGCGGCTTCGAGGGTGGGGAAATCCCGACGCCATCAACTGATTCTACATGTCCGAGACTTCCGCCGCCATCTTGACAACCTCATCGCACCGTTCCACTACCATCGGCAAAAGGACGGCATAATTGAGTTTGCGACATACCACACCTCATTGACGAGGTCCGACATTATAAGGTTTTGAGTTTTCGACACCTCAGAGGACCCAAGCACGCCCTGAGATCTCTTCCGTGAAACCCCGCCAAACCTCCGCCATCCCAACACCTTCTCCGCCAAGTCCCATCGCCAACCTCCAAGAGAAGGAGAAAAAAGAGAACAGACAACCCCTCAAAAGTCCCACCATCAAGACGAAAAACAAAAAAAAAAGATGCCAACAGCCAACTACATCGCCTACACGGCGCCCATCAACCCCCAGCGCCACGCCCGTCCTCACCCTCGAGCACATCTGGCCCCTCCTCCGCCGCAAGATTGCCCGCGCCCAAGACTTTGTCGGCGGCGCCCTCGTCGCCACCGACGTCCTGTCCACCTCGGTCTGCCCCGTCACCGGCAACCCCGTCACCTCCCGCGAGGTCACCTTTGCCCCGGAGAAGGGCGGCCACAAGATGCGCGAGGACTGCGTCGAGTACTACCCCGTCAAGGTCGAGTTCCTCCAGCCCGGCGAGAACGGCGGCCGCGTGCAAAACATTGTGTCTGATGGTGCCGACGGCGCGCTGTACATGACGTATACTTTTGAGTGGCCGCACCCGGAGCTCGAGGGGGACGAGGAGGGCCTGAAGAAGAAGCTTCAGCAGGAAAAGGCCATGGCCAAGGTGGCAGTGGAGGAGACTATCAAGGCGATGCGGGAGATGGTGGTGGATGGGAGGTGGCAGGAGAAATTTTAGGTACACAGGGGCATGTCACAAACAGAATTATGCTGAAAGCAAACGTTGCGTGTTCATTGAAGTCGAGCTATCTTTTTTTTGGTTTTATATGGTTCACCATTTTGTTCGAGCTGCTTCTACGCCTGACTACTCCTAGCTACTTGTCCTAGCTTAGGAACCTATCTCGCCAATGTCATGATTAACTATCCCTCGTCCTGTAACATCCTCCTGGAGCACATGTTCCCCCCAGAAGTTCCTCCAGAGTGCTCTTCAATGATCCCCAGGACACTTGGGAGGAACGCCAAACGGCAGGTCAGCAACCCAGCTAACGTCACCCTCTCCCTTGTAGGGATCCGCGCAAACCTTGCGGTACTTCACATCGGGGTGGTCGCAGAACCTCTCGGGAGGCACGCAGATGCAGTACTCGGTGCAGGCTCGCACGTCTCCGCAACACCCGCTGTACTGTGCCTTGCACCAGGCGTCCCATGCCTTGCAGGCACACACCTGGCGAGAGATGTTGGGGCCTTTCTCGTAGCAGCAGCGCTTCTGCAGCTTGAACGAGGCTGGTGGGGGCGGGATGCCCGGCATGATAAAGTCGGGGGACTCTGGAATGACGTTGTTGGGCATGTTGCAGAGGGGCGAGACGGGGATGAGGCCAGGCTCGCCCTCTGGGACCGGGGTGGCCGCCGCGAGGTAAGGGGAGGCAATGACGGCCAGAAAGGTAATACCAGCGATACCCTATATATTATTTTGACAGTTGTCAATTCGTTAGATTGGTATTTTTGTGGTGGCGGCTTTCTTGATGGTCTTGAACAACCATTTGGAAAGAGAATGGGCTTTAGAGACTGGGGGCTAGACCTTACCATCTTAGGGAGCAAAACTCGAAGAGAAGACATTTTGAGTATTTCTCCGTTTGATCTTTGCTATCTCTTGAATAGACACGCCTGTGTTTATTGTCCGCGAGCTGCTTCTTAGCTCTGTTGATGTTGATGTAGTAGGTGATTGGTGAGAAGATGTCTTGGTCGAGTGAGAATGTGGGGGATGTCTCACGGAAGCTTAGAATCTTTAGAAGAAATCGTAGAGGAGCATTATATATTCAATCAGAAAGGGTGATTGAGGACTCCTGATTCACTTGAGGAGCGTTGTGGTGTTGGGAAGGAGCACTTCTATTAGCCTCTGATCCAGTGGTGCACTGGAGCATCGACGCGGCAGGAGAGATAGAGTACTAAAGCCTCTTCAAACAGACTACATATGTCTAGCTACATGTAATATCTAAAGGGCTGTTTGAAGTTTGCATTTCATAGGGAAGGGATGCAAGTGTCCGAGGTAAGCACGAGGGGCCAGCAGGAAGTGTATATCCACAAGTTGATACATGGATGATCAACAATTGATGCGGCTTTGTTTTGAATTGCGGAGTATCTTTGATTTAAAAGTCTTGATTATGGATATATATGCTGGGTGCTTTCCCGAGTCTAATGGAATATCTATGTCGCCCTCTCTATATCCCATCTTTCCATCTAGTCATTAATAGTATGCAAAACAGAAAAGAAAAGTCGCCCAAGGAAAAGAAAAAACGTAGATGCTTCCTTGGCACAGCCAAGACCGATCCCAAAAGAAATTGCTCCTCTCTCTAAGCCGAACCATCGCCGGACCGAATGCTGTTATCCGACTTCTTCGGCCGCCCCAAGGGCCGACCATCCTTGACCTTGGCATTCCGCACAGCCGCTCCCACCGCACCCACCAAATCACCATGGAAGAGCGGCCGGTCCACAGCATACACGGCCGCGACCTTGGACGCGCACACGCCATCAGGCGCCGCCGCCCTCACGCGCTGCGCTTCCAACTCTGCCACATCATCCCCATCTCCAGCATGCAGACGAGGCTGCGTCATCGCCGCCGACGGACAGTGCGGCCTCAAGTAGGTAACGCACGCGCCTTCCTCCCGCCCGAGCTCCGAGCACCCCGCCATCTCGCCGACGGTGTAGCGCGGCTTGTACCCTTCCATGGAGTTGTCTCCGTCCGCGTCGACGGGGTAGCCGAATCCGGAGATGGCGAGGGCGCGGCGCGTCCAGCGGTTGTACATGTTGGCAAAGTGCCATTCCACGGCGTCGGGCGCGGCGTAGCGGTCTAGCGCGTCGCGGAGGTGCACGAGGCCGTGGATGGTGGTGATGTCGAGCCGGTTAACGGCGGAGAAGTCGAGCACGACGGCGCGGAGAGGGGGAGGTTGGTGGTGGTGGATTCGGTGACTTGTGCGGGGGCGTCGCACCATAAGCGGTCCTGGAAAACGGGGGAAAAGGTTAGCAAAGGAGGTCTTATCGGCAGAAGCGGAGAAGGGCAAGGGAAAAAGAATCGGACTTACAGAAGGGTGCTCGAGCTTTTCGTCCGTGGTGCGCCTGGTCGTCTTTTCGATATATGTTCGAAGAACGTCAATGTGGTGTGCGTGGTTGGTGTAGTTGAAGCCCTCGGGGAACCGGTAGATGATGACGCCGGGGTACGGCACTCGAACCTCCACTTCGGGGTTCACTCCGCCGCTCTTGTCCAGAGGCACAAAGATGAAGCGGCCACCGTCGCCGTCCTCCTCTTCCATGATGGACGGGGTGGGGGTGGCATCAGGATCGTGCTTCGACTCATCCGAGGCGCTCGTCCGGGTAATGTCGTACACCTTGACGCGCCCCACAAACTTGCCAGTCGATCGGGAGAGCCCGATGAGAAGGACCACGATGGACAAGCTGATGGTCACGTACATGGAGACTTCAAGAGACTCGAAGAATGCGCAGACGACACCAATCACCCAGATGCACGTCTCGATCTGAGACAGCTGCCAGTACCCATACAAAGTGGCCGGGGACGCCACAAGGTTGCTCACGGCGTGAATGATGAGGGCGGCGAGCGCGGCCATGGGAATGTAGAAAAAGACTCCGGTAAGTACGTAGAGAGCAAGGATCAGCAGACCGGCGCTAAAGAGGCCGGAGGCGGGCGTGCGGACGCCGGCCTTGGAAAGAACGGCCGACGCGCCAAAGGAGCCGGTGCACGAGTAGCCGCCGACAAAGGGCCCGAGAAGATTGGCGGCACCTTGGGCGACAATCTCCTGCGACGCGACGACGGTGTAGTTGTACATGCGGCCAAACGACTTGGCAATGGCAATGTGCTCGATGATGAGGATAATCAGGATCGCGGGGAGTTCGGGAAGAATGGTCTTGAGCAGCTCCACATCCATCTTGGGGGCCCGGCGTGGCTGAAGCCGACTTCAATCTTGTTCACGAGGCGGAACTTGGGGTGGTCACGATGATTGCGGTTGACGATGAAGCTGATGACGGTGAAGATGAGCATGGCGGCCACCTGCCTCAGGGACGACGCCGCCTCCCACAGGCGCCGCTTATGGGGCTGCCGGCGGGCCATGTGGGCACAGAATTCCCTCACGACAAGGAGCAACACGAGGCACGACACGCCAATGGCGGCGTCAAGTCTGGCATTCGGCAGAGCCTTGAGAGTATTTCCCAGCACGCGGTAGGGAGACTCCCGCGTGTTGAGGCCGGGGATGCCCAAGCATACAGGAAGCTGAGTCAACATGATGGTGATGCTGGCAGAGGTGACAAAGGCGGAGATGGGGATGTAGGGGATGAACTCGATAACCCAACCCAGGCGCAGGAGACCGATGATGAGGAGTATGACGCCAGATACCAGAGAGACCGTCTTGGCAACATCTTCGGGGGCATACACTCCGGGCTTTTGGTCTTCAACGGACGTTACGATGCTACCAACCAACAAGGAGCCAACAGCCGTAGTCTAAAGCACGAAAAGAAGAAGGTGGGTGTTAGTCAAGTAGGCACACACACACAAGTTTCGTTGACTGATCATCGTCATTTAGACTTACCCCTATCACGATATCTCGAGAGGTACCAAATAACCAGTACAAAACGGCACCGGAGAAGGAGGTGTATAAGCCAAACTCGGGGCTGAGCTGGGCGAGTAGGGCATAGGCCATGGCCTGGGGGACCACGACGAAGCCAACGGTGATACCTATAGACGCAAGATTAAAACACGGCTCCCATCAACAATGGCTCCCATTCAAGAGGCAAGGTGAACAGGAACGAAAGGAAAAGAAAGCAAACGTACCGGCGATAAGATCTCCAGTAAGCCACCGTAGGTTATATCGAGGGATCCATTGCGTGCAAGGAAATAGTTCACGAGCGTAGTTTACGACACCCTCCTTTGTAGGCTTCAGTTCCCGAAACACTTCCCTGAGGGTGGGCTCTTCTTCGACGTAAACGCCTTCGGGCTGGAGGTCCTGCCTCGCCCGGTCTTCCAGGTCTTTGGATAGTTTGGTGTATCGGTCATTTGTTTGGATTCCGAGGGCCTTGGTGGCCATGTCAAGCATTCGACTAGACGCCATAGCAAGTGGTAGTGCCTCGTGTGTCGAGACAGGACATCAGAGGCGGAGATGAGAGACGGGGGTTGTAAGCGGTAGAGAGGAAGGACAGCAAGAGATAGTCAAGATATGTATCAGGTCAAGAGTGTTATACCCAGTCAAGAGTTGGATGTGTTCCAAAAGAAGGACGTTCACAGGAGTAAGAGAAAGGTTGGAGAAGAAAGGGGAGGCGGGTACGGGTGGAAGGGATGTGGAGTTAGCTTGGGAAGAGAGAATATGGTAAAAACGCTAGATCATCTTCGAGGGGGCGAACCAAGGTATATTAATAAAGACCGGGAATGGCTTCTCTCCTTTGCAAAGAACAGACGTCGGAAGGCGGGACTCCTGCCAGAGGGACCATTGAAGCCAACAAGAGTCCCACACAAAAAGAAAAAAGGTCTTGAACAGGGAAGTCCACGCCGGGAAAGCGCACCCCCTTCCTTCCGCCTCCGTGCTGGACCCCGTACCTCCCTAATCATCATTCATGGCTAAGCCGGGTGGATCCAGCGGCGTTTGGACCCATCGGTTCCCCGATCAAAGGTGCCACGAAGGGTTTAGCTTGCACTTCTCAACCCCAACCCACCACCACTCGCCAGTTTGTGCGTTCTCTTGCCCATTCTATTGCTCGTCTTGTCGACGATTCGTATCATCAGTCGTCCAGGGGTCTGAGCCGACAAAGCCGATGTCTCTTTTTCCTCTTCTTCGCATCCGTCACCGTCACTGTCCCTGGACAACAGAATGTCGGCCTATATCCATGTGCCACGCCACGTAGCGTAGCATAGGAAGCCTCGATATCGAAAACCCGTCAGCATCTCGGCCCACTTCCAAGGGGAGTTCAAAGGCTGCTTCCGCTGCCAAGACCAAAAGAGAGGGGCGTGAACTATCATCACGGCCGCTTCTCCGTCTCCCGAAACACTAATTCTTCTCTCTTGTAGATCAAGACATCTACTCTCGTTGCTCTGCTCTCGTTGCTCTGCTCTTCAGAAAGAGAAGGGGGACGTGAGAAGCAGCGTTTTTGTCGTATGCACTCTGTCATCCCAAGTCTTAACTTGGTTTTTCGACGCCTACTACTTGGCATGGCTAGTGCCGCGCCTCTGCCGGTTGGGGGTGGAAAAGGGTCACAAGAGACAAAAAATAAAAATAAAGAAAGGGACAGAGCTACTTCGTACAAGTGCTGACGTTGGTGTCGCTTGTCGCCGTCTGTACATGCAATTCTTTCTGGTGTACGACACAAAATCGTCGATTCCCTTCTTATTCCCCATTGGAAAATGGAAAAGGCGGCCGGAAAAGCGCACGCCGCTACCCCGGACCTTATCTTTTGTGATGGCTTGTTTTTGCTTGCGGGAACTTTGCCTCCTTGGGATTCGGTCAATTCCATGTCATCCAGTCAGTCCTTGGAAAGGGAGAGAACAGAACGGGGATGGGGCGGGGAGCCGGCCTTGGTCCAGCCGCAACGTGTGCCTGCGCCTGCGCGATTCCAAGATTATGATGTCCCTTTTGCGCTCCCCAACAAGGCTCAAATCAAGAAGAGCCAAAGTACCCCCTTGCAAATAGTGGCTGCAAGTCGTGCATATAGTCGTGTTTAATAATCGTAAAATTCCCGCTTTTTTCTCTTCTTTCTTCTTCTTCTGCTCCACTCCACTCCACCCTCGCCTCGCAGGCCCCACCACAGCCAGAAATCAACGTTTTTCTGGGGGAGGAGGAGGGGAATTTGTCGAACGGGAAGACGGAGTGAAATGGGCCTGGCCTGATCAAAGTCCCTTTTAGCCAGACACGAAACAGAAAAAGAATTGAGAGAAAATTGGCTCGGAGCGCCCCCTGCTGAGCAGGAACGGGCTCCACTTCCTCGGTTATAGCTGGCATCCATAGACTCGTGAATCCCTTTGCACGCTGATACGATACACTTCGCTGGGCGAGAAACCAATCGCCGATCTCCCTCTGCCCTGGTCCCCGGAACGTCGACGGCCTCCCACTCGCCTGATTGGTTCTCCGCCGGCGTATCTGTTGGGTCGGCGTTGTACAGGGATTGAGGAAAAAAGGCTTTCTCGTTGATTAATATTCTCTTTCTCCTGCAGCTTGCGCACTATGACTCTACAAGGAGTAGGTGTGACTCCTCTCCCTGCGGTTTCTTTCGTTGCCGAGCGCGCGACTGTCATTGTACTATGCACTTTTTCCTTTTTTTTTTTTTTTTTTCTTTTTCTCTTCTTCTTTGGGTCAGAATGGATCCATTCGATAACAAAAGTCGCCGTTCACTCGTGCAAAGTCTCCGACAAATTCTCCAGCACCGGGACCGCGGACCAAAAATTCTATCAGTCTGGTCGCCGTCCTTCCGGTTCCCGCCACCTAAGCCCAAAACGGCTATAACAGACTCCGTTGACGGGAGCCGGGCGATAAAACCCCAAGCCCGAGAACCTCAGCTCTTGTCTATCTTGACGACGCTTGAAGAGAAGGCGGGGTTACTGACCCATCTTTCTTTCCTTCCTTTTTGTTTCCCTTCCCCTCCTCTCCGCTCGAGAAAGATAACAAAACGAATACAAACGCGGCCGCGCAATCGAAAGTGAATGTATGTTGCTTGTTCTCTCTAGTAGAGGGCGGGAGAAGAACGAAAAAAGAAAAAAGACTGTCGAGAGGCTATGTGTAAAGTGACGCTCACCGACATTGCCGAGTCGAACCCGCCCCACACAAGAGCATATTGGAACGGGTCCGAGTTGATGAAATCCACAATGTCTCTCTTGGCTGGGGCAATAAGGGGACACTTGGTGCCAAAGAGCGGAACTACGACGACTCGTCTTTCTCTTAGCCATCAAAGAGAGGAATGAACGAATAAAAAAAAGCATCTATGGTGTATTTACATATAGTTCCGCGGTTCGTCGAGTCATGAATATCCGAATACCCCTTTCCTAGCTCTTGGAGGACACGGAGGGTGTGAGAAGGTGTGAGGCGGGGAGGTGTAGAGGGCGTAGAGGGAGAGAGGTGTGAGGTGTGAGGTATGAGGTGTGAGGTGAGGCCCAAGGTGTGAGACGAAATGTTCACTAATCGTTGACCCTCGTCTATTTGCGGCCTCACCGCTGACTCTGCGCCCCTGCTGCATGAGAACCGTTCGTACATATGAGAATTCGTAGAATATTATTAGCCCCAGGGGAGCCGGGGGCACCAGAGCGAGTCGAGCCTACCAGGGCCTCACCCGATCAACCCCAGCTCCGAGGCAAGGCGCGCGCTGCAGGTCCTCTCGCCGAGTCCCGGCTCTCGGCACCCGAGTTTGCGCGCCACCCGGATGCCAGACTCGCCTGTTTGGTCTTGCATTCATTCCCTTTTGCCCTTTCGGCGTGGGTGACCTGCATCACACCACAACTGTGCCAGACGTCATGCTAGCCTAATCCTCCAAATCCGCTTTCCGGGCTCATCTCTGCTTCCCCCTCCTCGCCAGCCCGTGCAGCCAGCCCTTCCGAGTGTTCAGGTGACCAAGAACCGGCTCCAACTTCGGAAGCCACACACAACCAGCCATTGGTCGGGAGGAAGAATTCCTTGGTATTGTCCTCGCTTGATTTGAGGGGCGATGAAAGGAGAATAAAAAAATCAGGGAAGAGGAAAATCCGAGGGAAAATGGAGGAAAGAATTTCCCAGTCTCCCAAAAGGAAACCACCCACAACGAGGCAAGCTCGCAAGTTAGTAGTATCCCCGTCGTCGCCTCCATCGTCGCCATCATCACCATCCGCCTCCCCATCATCAAAGTACGCTTCGGCATCGTAATCGCCCGCGTCCTCATCGTCGTAAGCATAGTCCTCCTCCTCCTCCTCAGCAGCCTCTGAATCATACGCCGCCTCCTCCTGGCCCTCCTCCGGCGCCTCGCCCATCTCCAGCTTCTTCATCAGGGCCGCGTCGAACCCTTCCCCGCCCGCACCATTCATCCTGTACACCTCCTCTGCCGTCCGCAGCGACGTCACGGAGCTGAGCTTCAGCTTCTTGTCCTGCTGCTGCTGTCTCTTCTTGCTGCGCGCAGGCCCGTCGGTGCCGTCCAGGGTCGTGTGCAGCTCGGCCGGGAATATGCGCTTGACGTAGGGCCGCGTCGAGAAATCGGGCAGGGTGCGCTCGTGGGGCTTGAAGCGTGACGACCAGGTCTCGACGGCGGTGAACACGTCGACCGTGGCCTTTGTCTTGACGGCGTACTGCTTGTTTCGCTGCTGCTGGTCGTAGATGCGCCGCGGGCGCGTGGGGTCTCGCACCGTGTGCTTCTTTGTGTTGAGGGGTCCCTCGTGGACCTGCCGCTGGTAGAGGAGGAAGTTGGTGACGTAACGATTCTCGGCGTCGGTCAGGGAGCCGGCGGGTCGGAATGAGTAGGCCTGCGGGAAGCGGTATCATGACACGCGTTAGTCTTTTCTGAAACAGAAATGCGAGAGCGCCAAATGCCAATGCCGTCAAATCCGAAAGTGATCGCTAGAGAAAAACGCAGGCCGAAAGAGGCCAAGAGAACGGGGGTATAGAGTGCGTAGAGGAGAGACAAACGAACCGGAAATGTCTCCGAGGGCCTGCCGTCCACTTCATCCGATTCCCAAGGCAGGGCAGGACCGCCTCGTCCACCGCGGCCACCTCCACGGCCGCCGCGTCCGCCTCGAAATCCGCCGCCGCCACGGGACATTGGCTAACGGGACGTCGTTTGTCGTAAAAATAAGGAAGAAAAATACAAAAGGACCCAATCGATAGATAGAAATACCCCTTAGCCTCGGGAGGGGAAGACTGAATTGCGGGATGGGGTTCGCGAGAGCGTCGAGGCGGCGCGAGGAGATGTTCTCTTTTTTTTTCCCCTACATCACATGCTGGAGAGGCTGAGGTGGGGTGGGAAAAAAGTTGCGCCTTTGTCTCGAATGCGGAAAGGTGGGCGGCCAGGCACGCTGGTAGGCGCCAAGGCCAGTCCAGCCTGACATCACAGACCACACCAGCGTCAATTGTTAATGTCCCCCGCCTTCCACCACAGTCAGCAAACGAGCTTTTAGTGACGGCTCCAGTGGCTTGTGCTCCCCGCTGGCTTCTAGACCAGTCGAAACAGACCAGTATTTTGAAGTGCTCTTGGAGTGCTTCCCAACTAGGCAATTGATCATACCCAGATCGCAGATGATTTGACTCTGATGGCCAAGCAAAGAGCCCTTTTGTCTTTTGTCGATCACCCGGTTTGCACGAACCCCGTTCCTTGAGGATTTCCCAGATGACGCCTCGCAGCGCTGCGAACGATGCCAAGCATCTGCCGCTGCACTTTGAAAGGACCGCATCTCAGAGTGAAACCGCCACTCGTCGTCCAGGACCTTCTTCGTCGACGATTACTGATCAGCTCTCTGTCTCAGCACAGCCGCCCGCCCGCTCTCGTCTAGTCTTTCCTCACACGCGAAGGGAGTCCCATCGAGGAGAGTGGATCCCAAGGCTTACCCTTCATATCAATTTTAGCTAGTATTTTTCTGACATTGGCGCATGGGGGTATACGAAGCAGGAGGAGGAAAAAGAAAAGAAAAGAGGACTGTGAGAGAGAGCCAAAGGGGGTCGTGCTACGTCATTATACGAATCAGAGACATGACGCAGTATAGCACCGACCGATCTTCATTAAACAAGCTTGACATGAATAAATTTCCCTCCTCCAAAAACACCATCAGAGTGAGCCTGATCCTTTTTATCTTATGCAACGGGGACGTTCGGTCCCAAGCCGAAAAAAGTGATACGAAACATAGGGGGAAGGTTTCCAACCAGGCGCACCGTGAACAAAAATGCTAGAAGAAACATACATGGGCTGCGTGTGTTGCAGAATAAACGCGTAAGGGTACAGAACGGCAGAAACCAAGGGGGCAGCCGGGAGGGGGCCGGTAAAAGAGGGAACAAGAGAGGAAAAACAAAACCACCACTACCACGATCGCCATCATTACCCTCAGATCATGGGGTTCAAGAATGCCATCTGCAACTTTGTCAACGCCTCTCTTGTCTTGCCCACCTCCACCGCCTGCCTAATTATGGCGTTCCTCATGTCGACGAGCGTCGCCTTCATCTCCTCAAACGCGGTGTTAGAGCTGCCCATGTGGTTCTGCAGCGCCGTGAGCTTCTGATACAGGCCCCCTTCCACGTTGGGCATGTGTTGTTGGATCTCGGAGAGGTACGCCCGCAGCTTGTGATCTCGCTCGCTCAGTTGCGCGCACTGCCGGTTGAAGAAGCCAATGAGATCCGTCTCGTTGGGATCCCCGGCAAAGCTGGTGTTGGCGCCCGATGACGTCCACAGGCCGGGCAGATGATAGTGCGCGGGAAGCTTGAGGTTCTCGACGGCCCGACCCACCGTTTGGGCATCGTCAATGTTCTTGTTGCCGAGGTTGCGGAGCTCCTGTACGGCAGCAACGTCGCCCTCGAGCACGGCTCGCTTGACTAGCTCGTACTTGTTTTGCAAGTAGGCCACGTCGACGGCGAGCTGCTTGATTTCCTGCTCGTGCACAGGCGTGTAGCCCGCTATCTCGTCCTTCCATTTGCTGACTTTCTGGATGCCCATTTCAATGGCTGTGATGAGGGCCTGGCCTTCCTTGGTCAGATCGTCAAATTTGGTAGACCCCTTCACCTGCGAGAGGTCAACCCTGACGCCGGGCGCGGCTTGTTGGGCTTGCTGCTGCTGACCACCACTGTGTTTCGAGCGCATTAGCTGAATGTTGAGTTCCATGGATTTTTGTGTTTACAAGCTTGCCCAAGCTCGTTCGTAGATTCTCATAGGGCGCATGCTTCGCACGCACAGGACCCAGAGCGAAAGGAGCCAGGTATGAAGGTGAAGAAAGAAAAACAAAGAGGGGCTGAGAACTTACAGAATGCTCCCCATTTGTGCCTGCTGAGGTTGACCGAGCAGATAACCGCCCTGCGCCGCGGTATTGGTTGTGCTAGCTCCGAACAGACCACCGGCGGGCCGCTGCTGCTGCTGCTGCTGCGCGCCTCCAAAAAGCGACGTTGTTTGCTGAGGCTGTTGGGCAGCGGTAGCCGAGGCGCCAAATAGGCCCGGCCTCGCTGCTTGAGTGCTGCCCCCAAACAGACCGCCCCCGGCTTGCTGCTGCGGAGCTTGTTGGTTCCCGAAAAGCCCGCCCGCCTGGGCTGGTTGTTGTTGCTGTTGCTGTTGCTGTTGCTGCTGATTTTGTTGGTTCCCGAACAACCCACCACCCTGAGCCGGTTGCGTCGCCTGGGTCGCCCCACCGAAAAGTCCTCCTGCCGCTGGCGCTGGGTCGTGGATTGTGCAGCACCGAAAAGTCCGCCCGCTTGCTGGGGCTGGGTGGTTGCCGTAGAGTTTCCGAAGAGACCACCGGTTGCGGGCCTCGCGGCAGTGCTTCCAAATAGACCGCCGGTCGCGGGAGCTTGAGTCGTCGCGGCAGCTTGCCCAAAAAGTCCTCCCGCGGCGGGAGCCTGGGATGAACCAGAGCCACTACATCGAGATCATCGTAGGTTAGCATCGAGATTGCGTAGATCAACATAATCAAACACCCGGAGGTTCGTGTCGACGGCTATTGAAACATTCTTGGAACAATTCCAATAAATTTTCGAATCCAATCCAATAGTAGCCGCCTCACAAGCGCGCGAGGGGCTACATACAAAGATTGGCAGTTCCAGTGTTGATAGAGAGCCCGCCAGGGCCGCTGGCCGATCGTGCGAGAGCCATCGTCGGGCTTGCACGTAGTAACCCGCAAGATAATATCGGATGCGAAGCGATCGAGCAGAGAGATATATCGTCGGGGAGTGGGCCGAGGCGAGGCAGCGGGTGAGGGGGTCGACGGGTTTCGGGGATGCGGGATTGCGCCGCTGTCAGGCTCGAAAAGTTTCGATGCAAACGCGAGATGGGAGCTTTGGGAATTGTTTTGTCAATATTGCCGTGGAGCCTTGCAAGGAGAGAGCTGGAATGCACCGTGGATGAATTTGGAAGGCGGTGTGAACGTCTTGCCAAGGCTGGTCAGCTGGAGAGAAGCTGGCTTACCTAACAACCCGCCAACAAGCAACAAGCTCATCAACAAGCCAAGCCCACGCATGGTAACCATTTGAGGATTGGTGATGTGAAAATGGGTTGTCAAATTCCTTTGGTCCTTTCATCAGTGGTGCTCCTAATATGTCTACATATTTAAACTCCCGAAGTCTTTCACTAAATAACCGAAACTAAAAGGTTCACAGTGGCACAGGGATTTTATGAATCTTCCGGCAAGATGAAGCGAACAGAGTACGTTCCAGCAAGCTCTTTCCGGCGACTTGACTGACAGTGAAGAGCTAAGCTACCAAATCCTGGAATCGAAAGAACTGGGACTTGGTTCTCCAATTGTTGCCGATATGGAAGAATATATGACTAGAATGTCCCACACTAATAATTGATTGCGCCAGTAAAAGCCATAGGGCTGAACTGATCCAAGAGGATGAGGTAGGTCCCAGTCGGGGAAACATAGATTTGTGCGGAGACACCAGGTAGCATCGATTCATACTTCACTGAGAACCCAAATGTTCCCCACAAATAGATACGATAAGTCGCATCCGCTATCCACGTGAGTGCCTTGGGTCTGCGCCTCGTATCAGTTACTTCTGTGAACGGGTCCTAAAACCTTCAAAACTACAATCTTCTCCGGTCACAAGTCCGGCCGAAGGCCCAGTTGCCTGGCGGTCCGGGAGGGACTTGCAACCTGACTGAGTGAGTGGACGTCTTTCTACAAAACATGTGGACAAGGAAGGCAAAGAAGGAGCCAACGCGACCTTCCTCAGGCATCTTCCAACAAGGGGAAGGGAAGATGCTTTTCAAGGCTCTGCCAGTCTCTAGCGCTACATGCAGTAACATAACGCATACCTCTCTTGAGAACCACTCACTCGAAGCGGTCTACAGAGCGACCGGTTACAGGTATGGGTTAAACAGAAGCAAGGAAACCCGCGCCTGGTATTCTCTCAAGTTTGTGCTTACGCAAGTGCGTGACGGGCTTGCGTAGGCGCGAGATGTGATGCAGCAGAAAATATGTGCAGGTCGAACGCCCCTTTTCACGTCGGAGGACTCCTGGTATTATCGCGGCAGACGGGTAGGGTAGCAGGGAAGGCAGAGCACTGGCAATGGTATGGGCATATAGAACTTGGTACGCGTGTTTAGTTTGGGAGTGGCGAGTGAGAGGAGGGCGGTTGGCCCCGAAATTGCGTATGGAGCTGTCGTTTGGCACTATCGATTTCAGGAGACGCGCTAACTGCACGAATTTTTGGGTGAGCAGATGAACTTCCTGAAGATACATGTAAGCTTGCACCACGACTACGCAAGCCCAGCATGGCAGTGCATTAACTAGGGAGAAATGTCCTGGTCGGAAACAAATTGAGCGAGAAGGGGGCAACGCGGCGAACATCCATGAGGAAGCAGAAGGCTCGAGGCGGACGTGGATCTATTCCATTGACCAGTCTTGATCAATATTGATGTTGCGAGATTGTAACCAACCAACAGTGCATGGGGAAAAAATTAGTTGGTGTCGATCTCTGCGTGATGTGGCTCTGCCGTTGTCGCCTCAAGGCCCGTTCGCTGATACCGAACCGTTTGCAATCTTTATCCTTGTGATTCTCTTCGAACCATGTGCCGGAGCGCCACAACCACTTCTCTTTCTTCGTTTGGTCTTTGACACCAACCTTTGACTCTTGAGCACTGAATTGCTGACAGAACCCCGCAACTTGGAGTGTACTTGTTTACCCAGCTGATTTCCTGGTTTTGGGCAGGCATCGCAGCAGGGCATCGCCATTGTGGAGCCAGCTGGTGTGGACATGCAGCTAGTGTATGCCAGGGCTTGACCTGTCGATCCGCTGTCCGAGCTAGATCTTTCTAGGAGCAGAGTTTCCGTGGTTGGCTGAAAATGGACAGGAGGAGAGGAGGGCAGCGGCGGAGAGGGCGAGAGAAGAAGGCTCGCATACTCATCTGCAATAAAGGACCGCTTTCGCCGAAGCCCGCTTTCGTCGCTTCACTGCGCGGAAGATCCAACTTCTCCGTTCATTCTTTATTTTTTTTGTTTGTTGCCTTCGTTTGTAAAGCAAGCCCTTCGTTCTTTATACAAGCAAGCGATCTCTCGCACTTACACTCGTTTATACCATACTTTGAGGAATTCCTCCCCACGACATCCAGGATGGGCCCTTCCAAGTTCCTCGTGGCCGCTATTTCCGCCCTTGCTCTCTCCGGTGGCGTCGAGGGAAGCAGGCATAGGCGCCGTAACGGTGGCGGCTGTAGCCCCAAGCCTATCGAGACCACGGTCACGGATGTTGTTGAGCCTACCGCGACTTCGGTCACGGACATCTTTGAGCCTACCGAGACGTCTATCACGGACATTATCGAAACCACCATCACAGACGTCGTTGAGCCCACGGAGACTTCTATCACGGACATTGTTGAGACGATCGAAACCTCTATCACAGACGCTCTTGAGCCTACCGAGACTTCAGTGACGGACATTATCGAGACTGCTGAAACCACCGTCACAGACGTCGTTGAGCCTACGGAGACTTCGGTGACGGACATCTTCGAACCTACTGAAACAACCATCACGGATATTGTTGAGCCTACCGAGACCACCGCCACTGACACCTTGGAGCCCGTCGAGACCATCGAGACCACTGTCACCGAGATTGTCATCCCCATCGAGACCGTCGCCACCGACATTGAAACAACCGAGACTTCCGTCACCGAGATCATTGAGCCGACTCCTACTCCCACCACCAGCATCCCTGATGAGGAATCTACGACGTCTATTGAGGTCCCGGTCTGCACCGACGCCTTTGAAAACCCCAGTTTTGAGCTCCCTTGGACACCGATCCCGAGTTCGCCAGGGGTTGGAGAGTCGACGGTTTGATCGTAGATAGCGACCCCAATTCCGTCACCGCCCCCGATGGCAGTAAATACGCGTAAGTCGTGCTTTCCCGCTCTCATTAAAGTTGTTGCTCTTCCTTGTCGCCCCGGGATAAACTAACATGGACTTGCTGATACTCCCCTTCTCGCAGTCTCATCACCGCCAACCAGTATAGCAGCGCGTCCGTTCAGCAGATACCCGCTTTCCTCGACGCCCAGTCCACCTACAAGCTCACCTTCCAGTGGGCTTACGGCCAGCAGCAAAGCGACGTAGCTGGATGTTATTTCGGCGTCATTGCTGGCGGCGATGAGCTGGGCGAGGTCCAGCTCACAACCGGTACTGTCGGCGCTTTCACCAAGGTCACCTATACTTTTACACCGATTGCCGACCTGATTGGGTTCGCCGTCAGTGCTAATTGCGACAGGAACGTTGGGCCGGTCGATATTCTCTTGGATGACTTCTCCCTCGTCAACTGGAACGATCCTGCCTGCAATCCCGACGCGACTACTCCCGCTCCCTAAACCCGTGCTCAGAGGTAGATGTGTTGTGGGCACAGGACCTGTTTCTCCTCACAGATGAACCGTTTTTTTCATTTTTGGGTTGTGTTGATACCTGAACTATACCTAGCTCGCTATTAAAGGACCAAGCGTATGGCATTCCAAAGTCGGTGTGTGCTGCGAAGTGGTGGTTGAAGGAAGTGTTGGCATTAAAATCACTCAAAAGGATGCAACCTTCCAAGACATTCATAAATCTCTACGCCAGGGATGAGGGCTGCCGTGTGGGTGATAGTCAGTCCAGTGATAGCAACTTGAATTCAAAATCCTTAAAATCGATCCATGTAGCGCCTGGGAGCTGAACTTCTTCTACCAAAGTAGACCATCAGTCTTGAGATATTCTCATGGCCAACTTTCTTTAGTTTAATCGGGCGAGAGCTATGACACTGCGGCCCTGCCACTGCTAGGCATATTGTGGTTGCAGCCTCCAAGTGCAGTTGAAATCGATGGACAACCCTGATGAGAGCTGCGCCTACCTCGCGCAGTCTTCATCCGACGAATCATCGCCGTGCTTTTAGGTTAAAAAAAAAGAATATCAACGTAGTCCATAAGTGCGAATCCTCATTACTTTGTTTAAGACCACGGGTCCCGACGGGGAGACATGCGTGGCTGGCCATGGTTATCAAAGCCATTTGTTAAGTCCCCGGTTAGACCAAGCTGGCTGCCGAAATGCGGCTTCGAGCCTCCGGACCTTCGGGGGTGCCTCCACCTTCCACGCGTGCATCCGTCAATGAACTCAGGTCCACCATCATCACTCCCTGTTGGGATATTCTCTAACGCGCTTAGGGATTCAATGTATCTTGAAATCTTATTCCTGGCGTAAAAGCCTTTTTTCGCATTTCTTTCTCTATTGAAAGCAAAGCAAACGTCCTTTTCAAGCCGTTTGCTCAACCGACAGGAGGCTGTCAAGTAGGACCACGTGACCAATACGCACCCCAGCTGTGAACAGCCGACAATGCTCTTCAGCCTTCCAAGAGCTTGAGGCTTCCCGCACCTCGCGTTCAACCAAGCTTCGCAGGCTCAACTTCCTCCCCAAGAAAAGCTAATCAACCCACAACTAAGCTCCTCTCGCAAAGCAGCTTCCACCATGGATATCGAAGACGAAGATGATTTCTACTCCCCGAGGAGCCAAACCCCACCGCCGCCAAAGATGCGAGCTCGGCTGCCAAGCCTCAAGCTCCGACGACCGCTTCACCCAACGACGACGAGCTAGAGGAGGGCGAGGAGGAAGATGAGGGCGGTATCATTGTGGAGGACGAGGACGAGGATTCGGTACGTTCGCGCAAGCCTTTCCCTTTTGAAGGGGTGCCAAACTATCTTCCCGACTCAAATTGCTAATTGGCATCTAGGACGTCGACTTCATCATCGAAAACAAGGATGGCGAGAAGGCGGCCCCTCCCCAGTATGTCTCGCCCTCGTCCCCTTTGGTAGCGCGGCGCAAGGCGTCTCCGACAGCTCGCCTTTCAGGGTGCCTCTAACATAACCTCTTCTCACTCTTTACAGGCAATCCCGCTACAGCGACATCAAGAACATTCCTCAGCGCACCACCTCTGGCGAGATCGCCTCGAAACCCGCGCCGGCGAAGAACGACCAAAAGCCTCTCCCAGTGCCCCTAGCCGACCAGGCAGCGGCAGCGGCGAGGAGCTCCAAGATCAACATTAACGCTGCCCCGGTCTACCCCCGGCCGGCAAGCCCATCACCCAGGTCAACATTGACAATGGTACGCCTCTTTTCCTTCCCAATTCTCGCTTGCCTCCCCCAAAACAGAAATGACCCGGTCAAGTCACTAACTTCCTCGGCGCCCCGCGCTCAACCAGATCTCCCCGAAAACGACAAGCCTTGGCGAAAGCCCGGTACCGATCTCAGCGACTACTTCAACTACGGCTTCGACGAGTTCACGTGGGCCCTCTACGCCTCGAAGCAGGAGTCCGTCCGCGCCGAGTACAACCCCGACCTCGTTGCCGCCAGCAACAAGAAGATGATGGAAGACTTCAACAACATGATGATGATGGGCGGCATGGGTATGCCCGGCGGTCCTGGAGCCGGAGGCGCCGGCGGCGGTATGGGAGGAATGCCCGGCATGGATGGCATGACCCCGAGATGCAGCAGATGATGCAGCAGATGATGCAATCGGGGATGGACCCTAGTCAGATGGACCCGGCCGCCATGGCTGCCATGTTCTCCGGCATGCAGAACCCTGCCGCCGCCGCTGCCGCCGCGGGCCAGGGCGGCCAAGGCCAGAACTACCAGGGCTTTGGCGGCAACCAGAACCAAGGCTACGGAGGTTTCGATCAGGGTATGGGCGGAGGTGGCGGCGGTGGCGGCGGTGGAAGGGGAGGCTTCGGAGGCAGGGGTCGCGGACGCCGCTGGTAAATTCGACCAGCTGGATCGACGGCGGTCTGTTCGCATCTCGCCGCGCTTTTGCGTTCTGCTTCCCCAGTTGCCACGATTTCCTCATGTTTATAGCGCACGGGATATTGGGGTCCATCTTTTTCTTTTATCAATCTCACGGTCATCTGAGAGGCGTTCAGGGTACCAAAGGCTTGACCACGTAGGCATGGCGGCTTTCTAAAATAGTAGCATTAGCTCACGAAAAGGACATAGTAAAGGGTGGGGACGGCACGAAGGTCACGAAGTCGGAGAACAATTTCTACATGAATTATGTTCCGCATTGAGCGGTTGTGCTAACTTTCTTTCTCCCCTTTACTGTATCGCTATTCCTTGTCCTCCACGTGCCGTATCTTCGTGTGTGCCGGTCCGCATAATCATTCCTTGCCATCAAGGGGAGCCCTGCACGAGCGACTTATTCATCCTTGAGGACTGCCGGACCCAGCGAGCCCTTTATTGGCTCGCCGCCCCAACAACTTTATCGATAAAGCTTGCAAATGCCTGCCTCTCCTCATCCGCCTGGACCTCTCTCTTCAGTTCCGCCACAGCTCTGACAGCCGCTGTATCCCCTCGATGGTTTCTCACAAAGTCTGTGAAACGCTCACCGGCTGCGGGATTTCCCGGCTGGCCATCACTGTTGCCCGAGTCTGAGGGGAGACGGCAGCGAAGACTTGGGTGAAGAGGTCCTTGTAGAACTGCACGAGGACGAGATACATGGCGATATCATCCCTGTCAACGAAGTCGATCGCCATCTGCAGGAGGGTGTTAGAGCTAGCCGGGCGACGGGGTAGAGTGGCGGATGCAAGTGCAGGAAAGTCAAGACGCGCAAGGCGGGGTAGAAGGCCGAGAAGGCGGGTCTGCGAGAGGGAGGCCTGGCGTTCGTCCGTGTCCTGGACGCAGATATCTACGATCGCGATAGCTGCCTGTCCGCGCAGGAGATCCTCCCACATGTCTAGCACGTACTCTTCCTCGTTTTCATCATCTTCAAGGGAGAGTCGTTGAGCAGCATCCGTAAGGGCAGCGTCCCCTCGCGCCGTCCGCCTCAATAGGTTCTCAATGGCCTCTTCTCCACGCTGGGCAACCTCGACTACCTTTGAGCGCAACCAACAGTTCACCAACGCATCCACAACCTCCCGCTCCAGCACCACCTCGGCGCCCTCGGTACCCTCAGCTCGGCGCAGGATATCCAAGGCCAGGAGGTTAGCGGCTGGATGAGGCGCCCCCAGGGCAGCTACAAGCATCTCCGGCTCCGCAAACGAGAGAACAGCGCTAGTAGGCATGCGAGCCAGCAGGGCGTCTAGGAGCCCCGCCACGGTCCGAATAGAGGCATCCTCTGTCAGGATAAAGAGGGCGGCGACAAGGCGCGTCAGTAGCGCTCGGTAGGCCCCCTTGTGGTCGGCAAAGGGGAGCGAGTAAAACGATAACTCATTTTGGATCCTATCAAAAAGGGCGGTCTGGACCGGGGTGGTGTCCGGCGCGGCGACGACGGCGTCCAGATGTAAAAGGAGCGGGGAATGCCGATGGAGGCGGGGTCGCCTTTGGGTTTCTCTTCAGGCATGGCGATGGTGGGGCTACAGTACTGGTTTTCGTGGCGGGGGAGCGATATAGCGTGATAGGTCTCTGCGGTCTCTTTATTATTCGTAGTCGTCCTCCAGCGAGGTTAGGATAGACTCATCCTTGAGAGATGGAAAAAGATGCGAGGAGCCTAGATTTAGTGATAATGAGTGGACAGGAGATGGATGAGGTGCTGTCGTAGGCCGGCGAGCGCTGAGGAAGGCGACATGTGAGAAGCGCGAGCGAGATGGTGGGGTCGCGACTTCCGAATAAGGGCAGGCAGAACAGCAAACGTACATCCTCGATATTCTACGTGATGAAATCGGCAGGAACACATCGAATTCGTAAGCTAGTGGCGCCTGCCACATGAGGAAGCAACTTCCCACCATTACACGGCCCTAGAACTATTCTCCGATCCTGTCCGACAGTGGGAAATCAACGGCCGGATGGAAGAAGACGTCCAATTTTGGTGTCGTCAACTTTTGGAGGGGCATTTCAGCCATTTCACTATTACATGTAGATATCAATGAGACGGACTCGTTTGCGGGTTGTGATACATGCGTGCCGCCAACCATCACACAAAGTAACAAAACTTGGACCAGATTGGAGACATTCCTTCCTCGCCTCTACGGAGGGAAGAGAACAACATATATAAGTACATGTACAGAAACGTTTAGAAAAAAAAAAGGGAGCCAAAGGATGAAAATGAACACGACACAACTTGTATGGTTTCTAGGATCATGGACATCATGACGGTCTACAATTGTCGGCAAGGGAGGATCGAGAAGATCCGAGAACTCTGGAGAAAAACCAACCCTCTCTCAGCTGCAGAGGGCGGAAGAAAAACAAACGAAGCCTACTCCGCCCGTACCCGTGCGTCCTTGGATAACCCAACATTCCGTCTCTCTTTTTTACACAACTCAAGGGCCAACAAGAAAAAAGACACAAAAAAGCTTGCGCGGTAAAAAGAAGAATAAACCCCTAGTTCTTTTACGCATCCCGCGAGACAGGTCTCCTCATCCTCTCCGCTGCATCGACCTCTGCACCATTCCCGTTACCACTTCCCAGAGTGACACTCTCCCTCCTCTCCTTCTTGGTGCTCATGTCCTTGATACCAAGCCCTACCGCGCCCACGCGCCTCAGCACGAGAAGCAGCGCCGTCCTCAATTCCGTGTTGAGCTCTCTCGTCACGAGCTCAATGATAAGAGGGTAGAAACCGGGCAGATTCTCGCGGAATGCCGGCTCCGGAAACGATGCGAAGCCTTCGAGCACGTCAACGACCACGGGTCGCCAGGCAACAATGTTGCGGTGCTGGCTCTCCTCCTCTAGCGTGATGTAGCTTCCAATCACATCCTTGCAAAGTGGAACAAGGGCGGCCTCGATATCTGATCGACTGGCTTCACGCTCGGCTGACGTATCCGCAAACATGCGGAACAAGATGGAAATGTACGTGGCCGCGCTCCCCGACTCTTGCTTGAGGAGGTTGGGAGGTTGACCCATGAATCCTTGCCGCCAGAGCTGCATGCGCAGCTCTTTGTCGTTGTTGAAGCGCCGCGCGAACAAGTACGACTTCTTGAGTAGTGCCATGAGGCGCAGCAGCTCAATAGATGGAATCTGTACATATACTGCCTCATTGCTGAAAAGCTCATTGACGGTCTCGATCATCAGAAGGTGCAGCACGCAGCGCGAGATGATGCGGTTGAAGAATCGCCTCCTGGCCGACGTAACCACGACCGGTTGTTGCTGAAGAGCCGGCGAAGGCTTGTAGTCCTCCAGGGGAACATGGGACACAGACGCGCCCACTGCAGACGCGCTACTCTCCTCATCTACCGCGAGCGTGCTCCTCGCCGTTTTGGGCGTCTGTGCGGGTGAGCTGCTAGCCTCTGATGCCTCGTCATTGCCACCGTTGATCTTGAGTGATTTTGAGTCAACGTCCTCGCGCGCAGGGCTAAGCGCGCCGGGGAAGATGTGGCCATTGCTCACGGGTGACAGTGTTGTCGCAGCATCGAGGGTCGTGGCAAAGAAGAGCTCCTTGGCGGTTGTGCGCTCAAACAACTCGCAGAATGCACCCACGATCTGCGCCCAGTGATCGGGTGAGAATTTTTGACGTTCTTGAGGATGAGCTGCTGCAAGCAATTGCTACCAATACGGGCAATTGTGTCGTTCTCCTGGCAGATACACAGCGCCAAGAGCTTGAGGATACGGTCCAGCATGTATTCGAGGGCCCCAAAGAAATGGGTAAAGAGGCCAATCATGTTGCGCAAAGCCTGAATCATCGTTGTCGATAGCCACACCGAAAGCTCCTCGTGGTTCAGCGCATTATTCAGCTCCGGCCGCGACCGGAGAACCATGAAAATGGGCTCAAGCTGTTGCCTCCACAAAATATCCCAAAACTCTGGCGCAAAGTCGCCACCGTACTTCTGAAGAGTGTCGAAAAAGTACTCGAGGGCGCTTGATCGTACCTCCAGATCCTCCCCAGTCATCAAGATGTCGTGGAACGCAAATAATACGGGGAACCAATACCCTTCCTCAACCGAGGTGCGGCCTTGCTGGAGCTGCATCGACGGTGACTTGAGTGCCACCTCGGCATTGGCGGCTAGGCTATCGAAATTACGAGACAACGGACACTCGGGGGTCTTGAGCAACCGCGGGATGATAGATTTGAGAGCCTCGAGTGCCTGTAAGCTCTTCTTCTGGAACCTCATATTCTTGGAGAATTCCGTCAGACACACGATGAGGTCGGTAAAGGCGCCTTGTGAGATAACGACGCCAAACTTGCTCTTGTACACCTGGTTAACGTTCTCGTAGGCGAGGCTGACAATGCTCTCGTAAGGTTCCCGAGCCGCCACCGTGAACACGCCAAACATAGTCCGCCAGCCCGATCGGATGTTGTCACCTTTAGCCAGGATCATCTGAATCAGACACCGGAGAACCATGTCCTTGACGGCCACATTGTGCGAGTTGGAGAGCACGTGTTCGAACGGCTTCAGGAAGTCCTTTTGGAACTTGAAACCAGGAAGCTCCTCAATCTCCATGAACCGCATCGAAAGCTGTCGCAGCGAGTCGAGCGTGAAGAAGACAATGGTTGTGTTGTTGTGGCAGCCCACCTTATTGAAGTGCTCTCCCAAGACATCCCAAATCTGCGTCCACTCGAAACGCACACGCGTCATGTTGTAGTAGCTGATTTCAACAATCTTTGCAAGCTGTACGTGCGGGGCGAGTCATTAGAGCCCGAGACCTTGATCTCATCCCAGCTCACTTCAGTCAGCGCGCGGGCAAAGTGGACAATGGCGTCACCTGATAGGTTGGCTGTATTGGTAAAGATGCGGTCCACACTCTTGATGACTTCGTCAGACCGACTTTCAAGCGCAATCTCGGTAGAGAATCGGTTCGAAACTCCAGACCTCGCCCGGCTACGGCGCTTGCTCCGGATCGACGCAGCATCGCTATCCTTCGGGGGCGGCAGGAAGCGAGCCTGGGATACGTCGGGCACGGCGCTCTCGTCAACTCCGCCCGAGATGAGCTGTAGGCGATCGAGCTGGCTGATGCACATGAGGATGTCCTTCCACGATTCGTTGAGAACATTGCCCTCAGTCTGGCCCAAGTCGAGGAGAACCTTGAGGGCCTCGACATTCTTGGCGTGGATCTCGTGGGGGTTGTTGAGATTCGTCGTGTTCTTAATAGCATTGATAAAGGCCACTCGGGGGTAGCGAGGTCAAACATGCACGCAATCTTGGTCGCCATCTTCATGCCGTCGAGACACAGCTTATTGACTTCAAGGTTGTGCGTCTTTTGCATCTGGCTCGAGAGTGCCGAGAAGTACGACATCCACGTCACGTCAAACATGGAACCGACATGGCGGAAGGAGGTGGCGGGAATGAACCGCGTGCCGTTCTTGGTCGCGTTCCTTCGCTGGTTTTTGAACAAAGTCTTGAAGAGATGCTCGGACCGTGATGCAATCTCCTCGGACTGTTGAAGGTACGCTTCCCTACGGAGATCGCGACCGACGTTGGCGAGCGCCTGTCCGAGACCTGCAGCGATGCCCCCGAACCCTGTACGGGGAGAGTGCCGGCAGCAGCGGCAGCTTCACGCTCGCTCTTGAGGACAATCTCGTTATTCTGAATTTCTTCGTAGATGGCGATGAGGTACTCTTCAGGAAGATCGGCGTTATCGTTGATGCCCCTATTGTTCTTGATGAAGTCCTCCTTGGTCATGCGTCGCGCAACCTTGCCGCTGTGAAGATCGGTGTTGAGCATGATGACGGAGTACGAAAGGACGTACGCGGTATCAGCGTTTGCAAAGGCATTGGGGTTACCCATGACGTATCGGTTGGCGAATTTCAACATGAAGCGATCAATTTTCTGGGCTTCGCCGGGGAGTCGGAAGGACTGAAGGAACAGCCTGAGGGCATCAACAAAGCGCTTCTTTGTGAAGTCCATCTGATCGACAAAGGCGTGCATGATTTCAATGTTCTTCTGGTCGCCTTCGCCTAGGTACTCGCCAATCTGGGCCTTGTCCAAACGCTCGTCGGCTAGGAGGAACCTGGCGATATCTTCGGGGCTGTCGCTGGGAATGAAGCCCTCCTGGATGAGGGCCTTGATGCCTCTCTTTGGCTTGAAGTTGAACTGGTTCACCGCATTGGTCATGGCCGTCTTCCTAGCCTTGATCTTCTCAAGCTGCTCCGGGTCATCCTCGACCACCGGAGTGCCTGGGTGGCTAATACCCGTTTGAGGAGAGTCAGACGCGTAGATAGAAGGATCAATTGACGCACGGATATCTTCGAGGGATTGTCTAATGTCGGCATCGCCAGGAGTCCGCGAGGCATCGGGTCGGACGGAGGCGGACCACGTAACCAGAGACCTCAACGCTTCAACAAGAGCATCCAGGGCAACGCGTTTCAAGGTGTACTCGCGGGGAATATCAGGCTCGGACTCGGTAAGAGGAGCAATCGCGGCGACGGTGAGGGGCGGAGGGAGAATTGTCTTTACCTGCCATTCGGCAGCGGACGGGACCCTTGCACTCTTCTCCTCGTAGGCCTGCTCGTGAAGAGTGGTGATCAACACGGGCGCGGTGGAGTATTTGGACAAATCTTCAATGATTGTTTGATAGATGTTTGTAATGCTGCCGTCGCAGTCGTAGTTTAGGAAGATCTCGACGAGCGCACGAGGATCGGCGCAAAGGCGGCCGAGAATATTGACTACGTAAAGCTTCTGGGTGATGGGCGCGGTTCGGCGGGCTAAGAGGGCGAGGTAGATTTCGTTGAGGAAGACCTCGATCTCTTTCTGTAACAAGGAGTTAGACAACTAAAATCTCAAGTTTCCCCTACTTGGTTTCAAGGGTACAGAGGGGAGAGACAAACCTTGAACGGGGCCCGCATGAACTTGAGCATGAGCCAGAAGAGCTCGGCGGTGACGTCAAAGACTTTGTCGACAGCACAGGCGCCATTTCTGGTGATGGTGAGGCAGATGTAGTATTTTATAGCCTGGAGAAAGCTCGTGAACTCGCTGCTCTTGGAGTTCTTGATCCTGCAAAGGGGAGAGATGAAGACTTGGATGTGGTTATTGAGGACGGTGTGGATGAGGTGGATGGAAACGAGCTTGGAGCGCATGGCTTGGCCGCGGACATCGTAAAGCTGATCGGGCGGGAGGACCTTGGTGGCAAGGTTACAGAAGGCGCGGAAGACGAGATAGGCATCCCGGATGTAGACCTCGTCTTCGGCATCGAGCGCCTCTGGGCTCTCTTCGGCGGAGGACTCGGCAATGGACTGCTCCGACACGGAGCGGGCGGTCCGCTTCATGGTCTTGAGCTGGGTGACCATTGTGGGGCCCTCGCCCATGTGGGTGTCGTCGAAGCTCTTGCGGTGCTCGAGGTCTTTGAGGGTCAGCTTCGTCTCGCCTTCTCCGGCTGTGGTAGCAACGTCAGCGCCATCTTCCTCGTCGTTGTCATCGGCCTCGGTTTCGGCATCATCGTCGGCATCGTCATCTTTTTCGCTAGCGCCATCCCGCACGGTGTCGTCGTCCTCGTCGTCGGGAGACTCGGCCCGCTCAAAGGTGGTGTTGCTGGAGTGCAGCTTGAGCTTGGAAAGGCTCATGCGGGCCTCCTTCATCTGTAGACGGGTTTTGACCCTCTCGAACACGGTGCCGACCATCTGGGTGAGGGTGCCCTGGGCGATTTGCTGGTTGGCCGTGTTCCGCGAGAGCAGGAAGACGTTGTAGATTTGGCGGATGGCCTTGAGCAGGCCGGCGCCGTGGACGACGATCTTGTCATTGAGGACGGCGGCGAGGAGGGATTTGACAATTTGGAGCTGGACGTCGACGGGGGTGGTCTCGCCCTGGAAGCAGTCGCATATAGTGTCAATGGCCCGCTCGATCAGGGCGCCCTGCCGGCGGCGGGGGTCTTTCCGCCCTCTTCGCCGTCCTCCTCGCGGGATTCATAGTCGATAGCAGTGAAGTACGAGTAAGATATGAGCTTGCCGATGCAGTCGAGAGCGGTGGTGGTGAGTTGGGGGCTCGTGGACTTGGTGGCGAGCTGGAGGGGCGCGAAGACGATTTCGGGATCGGGAAGCTGGGGATCCGTCTCTTTTATCGCGGAGATGGCGGCCTGGGCGAATTCGGCGAGTTGCTTGTTCTTGTGGGCCTCTTTGGAGGTGGCTATGGCATCCAGAGAGGATACCACAAACGAGAGCGAGCTCATCGGGGAGCACGGAGGGAGCGCTGGGCCATATGAGTTCGCAGAGGGGACTCGGGGTCTTTCGTTCGGCGGGTTTCGGGGGTCAACGGGCCTTGTGGCCTGTGCCTCCCTCGCTCTTGTTGTATTTGTTCTTTTGTTAGCCGCGGTCGCCTTGTGGGAAGGCGGAAAAGGGGCGATGCTGCCGTTGGGCAATGGAGACGTTGTCTTGTTTTTTCGGTTTCGATTAACGGCCCGTCGCGATGGCCAGGAGTGGTGCTTGAAGGGCCAACGAGCAGGTTTATGGTGGTTGGGGGCCGAGGCAGGTGGGAATTTAACACGCTTCCAAAAAGAATCTACGCTAGGTTGCGACTTTCGTCGTCTTGGCTCGGGGTTCAGCTCAGGCCAAAGATTGGATTTTGCTGGACCCGCTCGCACAGACAGCAGCGTCCGCTAGAAGGTAATAATAGCGCCAGAACGAACCCGGGACAGCACCATTGAGCCACAAAGAGGAATGCGTACGCAGGGAGAAACACGAGGCCCAGCCCCAAACGGGTACCAGTCGACAACAGCTGGGCTGGCTGGGCGACTTATTACGTGGAGGCCCTGAATTATTCAAATTGTCGCTGACAGGAGGCTAGGCTACCCCTGTAACGATTGACCCCTTTATGGATCAATAGTTCTAGGGTCGACGAGCAGGTAGCAACGAACTAGAGCTATCGAAGTGGCCAATTGACGTATTATCGTCTGGTGCTCTCCCAATCTGTCAATCCACAAGCTGTTCTTTGAGGATTAGGATCCCCGGTCCTTGGGTCCGTCGAATTTCGTCCAACAAACTCGAAGATCTTCCGTCGCCCCATGAGATTGATTCCTCCATTCAAACATTGAAGAGAATACACAAGAAACTAAAAAGGAAAAGAGGCTGAAAGAAAAAGGGGGCCGCAGTCCTTGCTCTTTTGCTTTCTTAGCACCCGAGAAGTAACACAAGGGTTTCTGGCTTGCCCCTGAGCATGACAGCATCTCCAGCTCCACGTGTTTGGGAGGGCAGGGGAATGCACCCGACACATTGATAACCAAGTGGGAGTCGCCTAGAACGCCTGAAGCTGGCTAGTACTCGTGCACGAGTATTCAATTGAAGCTTCCCAACTTACCCAGCAACTACATGGAGAAACGAGGTGACCGGCTATAACCTCTGCTTAGGTAAACAGGTCAACCTTTGCTGCACATCCGGCTTCTACTCTGGAAGGTCCGGAACGATGCGCGAATTGAGCACGCGTGGACAACGGCCAAGATGATTGGGATTACAGCAATTTGTGCAATTTTTCTTAGGCAAAAAACACAGCGTTCTCTAAAGGCAGTAAACGCATCCGTTGCAAACTACTATCATCAATACAGTATTATCACATCCCGATACAATTGAAACCTTGAGATGTCTCGTACGCAAGAGACTGCCAGGGCTGGGAGAGGCAGAAGGGCTCTTTGCCAGAGAAGACAATGGGTGCGTACCGGATACATTACATAAGCTTCGGAACACGAAACACCCAGCTTGCCAACCCCCGTTCGGGAGCTGGGCCGGAAACCAGAACGTGTACCTTGTACCTCGCAGCCAACAGAAGCAAGCTTCGAGCGGTTTTTGGCGGGACGATAAGCCTACCCAATCAGGATTAGCGCCCCCAAGCTTTGCACTTGCCAACTTGCAGCAAGGGGATTCGGAGCTCAACGGAAAATCATCGTCAATGTGAGGGAGAAAAAAATAACGGCACGCCTGGACTACTCACCCGCCTCCTCTCTCCTCTCCCTGGAAATTCTCCATCACGTCCCACGCTCTCCCAATTCCATCTCTCTTCTCATCTCGTCAATTCGTTTGTCGTTTGACGTGTTTTCTTTCTTTCGTCGTCGCCCTTTTTTATTCCCCGTTGCCCTCGTTCGATCGAGTCGTACGCCTCGCCCCCTTCCGACGTCTCCTCCTCTGAAATAGCTCTCGCTAGCTTCCGAGCAGGACAGCAACCTTGACCTCCATCAAAAATCTCTCTCGAAGACCACAACAATGCTCGCTGCGGTTCTCCGAAGGCGGGCGCTTCAGCCCAACACACTGCGATATGGCCTCACGTCGCAACTGGTCCGATGCTATGCGTCGTTCCTCCTCACACCATTATCAAGATGCCCGCCCTTTCCCCGACGATGACGGCGGGAAACATTGGTTCGTGGCAGAAGAAGGCTGGTGACAGCGTTGTTCCCGGCGATGTCCTAGTGGAGATTGAGACGGATAAGGCCCAGATGGACTTTGAGTTCCAGGAGGAGGGCGTTATCGCCAAGCTCCTCAAGGAGTCTGGTGAGAAGGACGTTGCCGTTGGTAACGTAAGTTCACTTTTTTTTTTATGTTTCCATCTCTTTCCCTTGACTTTGCAGTCCTCCACAAGGACTCTAGTCTCGTCGCGAAACTCCTGAAAGTGTCATAGGATAACCGCGCATCGTCCAACATTGACTCATCATTGATATTTGGTTTTTTTCTAACTCTTTTTTGCCTTCTTCTATAGCCTATTGCCGTTTTGGTTGAAGAAGGAACCGACGTCTCCGCTTTCGAGAACTTCACCCTCAAGGATGCCGGTGGCGAGGCCGCCCCTGCGCCAGCTCCCAAGAAGGAGGAGGCCAAGGAGACCAAGCCTGAGCCCACTTCTGAATCCTCGGAAGAGCCCTCGCCCGGCGACACTCGTGACCACCTCGGGCGGCAGACTCGAAACCGCCCTCGACCGCGAACCCAACATTGCCCCGGCGGCTAAGCGATTGGCCCGCGAAAAGGGCATCTCTCTGGAGGGAATCAAGGGAACCGGCAAGGGCGGAAAGATTGTCGAGGAGGACATTAAGAAGGCTGCCTCTGGCGGTGCTGCGGCGGCCGGTGCGCCCGCTGCCGTGTACGAGGATATCCCCACCAGCGGCATGAGGAACGCCATTGCCAACAGGCTCAAGGAGTCTGTGCAGAACAACCCCACTTCTTCGTCACCAGCCGCATCTCAGTATCCAAGCTCCTCAAGCTCCGCCAGGCGCTCAACAGCTCGGCCAACGGCGAGTACAAGCTGTCGGTCAACGACTTCCTCATCAAGGCCATGGCGGTTGCCGCGCGCAAGGTGCCCGCCGTCAACTCGAGCTGGAGGGACGGCTTCATCAGGCAGTTCAACTCGGTGGACGTCTCGGTTGCCGTATCCACCCCGAGCGGCTTGATCACCCCCATCGTCACCGGTGTTGAGGGCCTCGGCCTCGAGTCCATCTCCTCCAAGGTTAAGGAGCTCGCCAAGAAGGCGCGCGACAACAAGCTCAAGCCCGAGGAGTACCAGGGTGGCACCATTTGCATCTCCAACATGGGCATGAACAGCGCGGTAGACCACTTCACCGCCATCATCAACCCCCTCAGTCTACCATCCTTGCTGTCGGCACGACCAAGAAGGTGGCGGTCCCTGTCGAGAACGAGGATGGCACGACGGGCATCGAGTGGGATGAGCAGGTGACGGTAACTGCCAGCTTCGACCACAAGGTTGTGGACGGTGCGGTAGGTGCTGAGTGGATCAAGGAGCTCAAGAAGGTGCTCGAGAACCCTCTTTCTCTCATGCTGTAAAGAAGGAGAAAGAGAGAGAGAGAGCAACCCTTGTACTTTTTTTTCCTTTTCTTATGGGAGAGGACAGTGAAGAGGTGGTCTCGATAGCAAGCGCTAAAATAGCAAAATGCTTGAGGGAGGGCACTAGATGTGTGGTGGCCTAGATGCCAACGACATGTTTACCTTTTCCACGGTGGGAGGAGAACGCATGATGTGTGTAAGAGAAGCAGAAGGGAAGGCGGAGAAGGTGACGGGAAGGAGGGGAAACAGAAACAGACCTTGGACAAACCAAGGAACCCTGTAGAACCACTTTTTTTTGCTTAAAAGGAACGGGAATCCATGCGTGAGGGTTGTCGTTATATAATATTGATTGCCAGCGCGAAAGGGATCCATGGATCTGTCGTTTTTTTTCTTTGTTCCTTCATTGCTCATCTTTTATTTCTTTCCACTTGTTTTTAGAATTTCCAATTAGGACCAAACAGGCAAACCGCTGGGCCCAGTGTTCGGACATGACCAGGTCTCATATATTGATAGCACATCCGGCGTGCACTTGTCTCCTAGACCTAGAGGAAGTCGTAGGTCTGATTGCGTGAAGTTCCGGAGGCTCCAACCAGTAGTGAAGCAGTCCGCCACGAGGGAGTTCTCATCTGTTGAGGCCATGCCATCTGTGTGGTCTTCTATCGTCCTGCATTGCGCCGGAAATCGATGGCGGAAGCAACCAGAAGTGTGCTCGCCACATGGGAAATCAATGGGACGAGAGGAGTGAGCAGAAAAGAGAGAGGGCATAAGTGGGATAGAAGAGTTGAAGCAAGGGGCACCACCGATGCCCAAGAAATTTTAAGAGGAAGAGATGAAGCGCAAGAAAGAAGAGAAGAAAGATAAATGGATTGAAGAAGAAGAAAAAAAGAAAAAAGGACAAAAAGACAAAAAGCGACCACGAGCATCGAGTTCGCCGGACCCCTGCGCGCGCGAAGTGGAAATAGAGGGTCCAGTCTTGAACCTCGGTAGTTCGTGGTGGGCTTCGGCGGTACGGGAAGCCGAGCGAAAACTTTTGGTGGAACATGGGCCAACGATGGATGCAGGGACGGAGGGTCGGCAGATGGACCGGGGGTCGACTCTTTGTGGGGAAGACCCGACGAGAGGGATATTGTCGTCGATCATGGTATTCAAATTCTGCTCTTGGGCCGTTTCTTTTAATTTTGTCCTCTTAGTTCTCATATGAAGGTAGCTGGAGGCTAGAGTCGGTGAAACTGGTTGAAAGAGGGTTGACATTCTTGCGTATATGGAGTGAGTTCAACACCCCTGATCTCTTAGAGGACTTCCTGAGGAGACTGCGATAATCCAGCCATAGACATTTAGGAATATTTATTGTGGGCGAGGTCATTCACAATATCCAAGATACATAAATCCCCGCGATGTCGAGGAAGCCTACAGGTGCGTTTTACGTAGTGGCTAGCTGGGTGGGAAGCGACTGGTTTCCGTCTGGAGAGCAGAATTAAAGCATCATCCTAGCTTAGCTGTTGGGTCCACTACTTCCATATCCCATTCATACATTGATGTACTTGCAACAACGGATCCATAGATCAATTGTTTATTAATGCAAACCATGCCCGTCCGGGACACGCAACACGCTGGCAACTCCGGGTTTGGCAGGCCGGAACCGGGAGCCCCACTGCTTGGAAGGGACCAGGGGTTAGGGGAGCGCTCGTGAGAGGGGGGCACGGATCTGATAAGGGAATCCGGGATATCCATGATGCGAACGGGAGGCTAGCATGTGCAACATCATACTACATGGCCCATTTGGGCGATGATTCAAGTCAAAATATTGTTGAGTTTCGTTCAATTGGCAGCATCCTTGGTCGCTCCATATTAAGGGAAAAGCAAAGACAAAGAGGAGAAGGGTAGAGGGTTCTCGCTTTATTTTGGGCGCCCTTTATTTTTCTCTTGGATATCAATTCGAGGTCGTTGGCTTTACAGGAAGGACGGCGCCTTCAATATCAAGCTGCCCGGGCGAACAGGGGAACGTGGGGAAAATGCCGAACACGTTTCGGCAATTTCGAGTTGAATCACGACAGTTTCGGGCTTAACTCCGTCGGCAATTTCCTCGTCGCCACAGTCTCGCACAAATCTCCAGACATCCCCGACCGGCACACACAATAAGCTGAAGAGAGGAGGGAACAAAACATTCCACACCTTATCAATCTGATTGAGGACCTCTCAAACCTATCTTGGAACGAGAAGGATCAATTGATAATACGTGTTTGGCTTTGCTTGCGTAAGCTCGTATTTTCGTCTTTGGTGGTGACTGCGGCGAAATCCTTGCTGTTTTCCCCGTATAAGCTACAGCGGCATAGTCCGGCCGGCGAATTGTTCGCTCTCATCGCCATCCCCTCGTCATTGCAGCCCTGTCTTCTTGAACGCCACTCTTGTGCTCTCGTCGACTTCATATTCTAAACTATAGCTCGCGTGAGCAGGAGCACGGGGACACTTGGCACCATCAACCAATCCCCGGCTCGCCGTCTAGCCCTCCGGCCAAAGCGCGGAACAGCCCATTCTTTTTCTTTTTTTTTCTTCACTTTTTTTTTCTCATCAACCCGTGCTGGGGAGATTAGAGCCATGGCCGACAATCTTCCCCAGGTAACCCTCCTCCCCCTTCTACCAAGAAGCGTCGGCGACCCGCCCTCTCCTGCGAGCAGTGCCGCCGGCGCAAAGTCCGGTGCGACCGCTTGTCCCCGTGCACCACATGCGTCCAGGCCGGCAACCGAGAGTGCTCCTACGCTACTCTCCCCAGCCGGCCCCTTTCCACCATGAGTGGTGGCAGTGGCGGCGGCGGCTCGAACTCGGCCGTGTCCCTTGGCGGTGCGCCCACCACTGCCTCGTCTTCGTGCTCTTCCTCCTCCATCTCCGCGCCCTCCGGTCCGGGCTCCACTCCCATCTTCCTACCGCGGCGTCCGGCGCCCGGTAGAACCGACTCTACTCAGCTGAGTCCGGAGATGGCTGCGGCGCTGCCCGTTGGCGGAGGCGGAGGCGGAGGCGGTGGCGGTGGCGGTGGAGGGTGGGGGCCGAGGACGTCGTCGCGGGATCTGTTTGGGCGCGACAATATCTGGGTCGATAACGCGGATGTGGAGAGCGGGGGTTGGACCCCGGGTTCTCGTGGACCGAATCAGGCAGCTGGAGTGGCAGGTGGAATCGCTGAGCGCGGGGAGGGGTGCCTCGAGCGGGTCGTCGGCGGGTCGGTCGTTCAAGGATGGGCCGGTGCCGATGAGGGGATGCTGCAGAAGACGAGGTTCTTGGGGCCTAGCCACTGGATCCATGCGTCTGTGCTGGTATGTACACACTGTTTCTGTCTCGTTTCGTCTTCTTCTCCGTCTCTCACCGACACACTCATACATATCTATGTTTATATCTATATATATATATATCTACATGGGGCTGCTTGCTAACGGTTTTGCTTCATTGCGCATTCGCATGGCTATAGTTCCACTTTATCATCGGCCTAGCCATGCGCTCCGAAAGCGCGCGAGCCAAATTTCGCATCACTCTCGGCGAGTGCAAGGCTCTCGCCCGCGCCATCAAGCGCCGCCGCATGCCCGTCCTGTCGACCAACGATCTAGGAAACTCCCTAGCCAACCGTGCCGTTGCCGACGGCCTCATCGACATTTACTTTTCCACCATGGAGGGGACGTACCGCATCTTGCACGTCCCATCGTTCCGCGCCGAGTACGAGCGCTATTGGCGCGACGGGGGTAGCAGCGGCGGTGGTGGTGATCGCGATAGGGGCGGGGGCCGCTGTCATCGAGGCGGCCGGGGCGGCGGCTGTGGCCGTGGAGGAGGTCCCGGGGGTTAGGCCTAGGAGGCCCCAACTGTGGTGGCAGAGCGGGCGGCATGGCCTTCCGAATGCAGATGCAGCTCTGCGCCGCCATCGGGGCGAGCATGGCCGACGACCGGTTCTCCTTGCGGGAGGCGGCGATGCGGTGGACCTACGAGGCGCGCATATGGCTCCTCATGCCGCCCGAGAAAGCCACCATCAGCATGGCCGGGGTACAAATCATGTGTCTGCTGCAGCTCGCGCGCCAGGCGTGCGGCGTCGGGGGCGGCGTGACGTGGCCGGACGCGGGGCCCTGCTCCGGGCGGCCATGTACGTGGGCTTGCACCGCGACCCGCGCCACCTACCGCCCATGACGGTGCTACGGGCCGAGATGCGCCGGCGGGTGTGGGCGACCATTCTCGAGATGGTGGTGCAGACCAGCATCGACTCGGGCGGACCGCCCCTCCTCTCGCTCGACGACTACGATACGGAACCGCCCTCGAACCTCGATGACGACAGTCTCTCCGACGACCTCTTCCCCACCGTGGCGTACGGCTCGAGCGCGGGCGACGCCGACCGCGAGACCGAGCCGTCCGAGCGCGGCGGAGACGCGGCGGCGCACACGCAAACCTCCCTCCAGCTCCTCCTGCTCCGCCACTTTCCCATCCGGCTCGCGGTCGCCAAGATGGTCAACGGCGCGGGCTCCCGGCCCGGCTTCGAGGAGACGTTGCGCCTCAACGCCGAGCTCACGGCCTCGTGCCACGCCATCTCCCGCGCGCTCACGCGCCTCGTCGCCACCACGGCGTCCTCGCCCTCGGCCGCCGTCACGGTTTTTCATCAGCGGTACGTGGAGATGCTGACCTACCGCTTCGTCGTGGCGCTGCACTACCCGCTCCTGCCCGTGGCGTTCGAGAACCCGGCCTACTACTTTTCGCGCAAGATGCTCGTCGAGTCGGCGCGCCGGCTCGGCGCCCTGATGGCGCGGGCCCCGGACGACGGGGATGCGACGACGACGACTCCTCCCACGCCCGGGTCCGTCTACTTTGCCAACTTTGCGACGTGCGCGTCCGGGTCGACGCGCGCGATCCTCATGCAGAGCGTCATGCTGATGGGCCACGAGCTGCTGACGGCGCAGCGGGAGGCGGCGCAGGGTCCGCTGGGCGAAGGGGGTCTGCAGCAAGGCGCGCCCGCGTCGCCGGGGGCCGGAGGCGTGGCGCTCGCGGCGGCGGACCCGGGTATGAAGGCGGCGATGAAGGAGGCTGGGGCGTGGATGGCCAAGAGGATCCGGGCCGGGGAGACGAATGTCAAGGCGATGCTGTTTTGCACGGCGCTGCTGAGCCAGGTGGAGGCGGGGGAGGAAGGGGTGGCGGCGGCGGAGCTGGAAGGGTGGATGATGGAGAGGATGAAGGTGGGCGTGGAGAAGGCGTACGAGCTCATGAAGGAGTCGGCGAGGTACTGTGGTGTGGATGTCGGCGATGGGCCGGCGGCGGAGGGTGGTGGTGCGGGGGTGAGGCGGGGGTGGAGGAGGCCGAGGTGCCTGTTGGCGAGCAGGAACAACTTCCTCAGGGCGTGCTTGGGGGTTGAGGTGGGGGATGGGGGTTGGGATATGAGCATGGCTATGGATGGGCAGAGTGATCCGTTTGATGTGATGAATTGGGAGGTTGAGTGGGATGACGATATGATCAACTTTCTGTAACAGTAGCGGTTAAGGGAGGAGACAATGACGCAACGAATGGTTTAGGGAATGCTTTTCTTTTTCTCTTATTACTTTCTTGTCTCCTGCGCGCAACGGTCTGGGAGGTTTTAGGATATCACAGGCTTGTCCCTCCTCGCAACTCAAAATCTTGTAACACAAATCACCACTCCACGTTATGGTGCCCTCTTCGTTTTGGCGCGACCCGGGTGGCGCGTTCGAGTACGCATGTGCATGCACGCGCGCGCCGGCATTGCGTCCTTTGCAATATCTCGAACTACAATCGAACATGCGGAAGAGAGGCGATGGGCATCCGCTCACAATCCCTGAGTGACATTCCGGTGTTTCTTGGCTTCACTGGAGCGCTCGCAGATACTCGTAGGAGAGAATCTCCAACCACCATGGAGTCTCTTCCCCTGCATTGCTGAGCCGCGATGTTCCCTTACATGGCTAGACATTCGTGTCTCTATTACTTGTAGGATTACTTGCGTGAATCGACCCTAGGCAGCTGGTTCATTTCCAGCTATGAGCGAGTGTGGCCTCACAAGGCTCTCCCGTCTACTGGCTCTTGGCTTTGATATCGGCTTCGGGCTCTCGTCACGGCGCCGAGCAACACGACACCCAAGCAAGTGTGAGACCAACAGTATCCCACGTAACTTGGCACAAGGCTCTCACCACTGGCTAGTTGCGGGCTTATCATGATCCCTATGGATGTATCGGCTGTCTGCCTCAGAATATTCCGGCTTTCAGTGAGGGAACCCTGATTCCTCTCTTTCCCCGCTCTCGTCCACGCTCGCCATTATATCGATAGATTCCCCTGTCTATAAATAGAACATCCCACACACCCTCCAAGTCATTTTTTAATATAAAAGCATACAACCTCTCTATCTCACCATTTCTGTGTCTACCTTGACCTCAATCTCTGTTTCTCGGTACCATCTCTGTTGCGGTCTTTTTGTTTCTATCGATTGTTTCTGGATGACTCTTTCACCTACAATGCTTCTCCTGGCCTCAATTGAGAATACTATAAACTATTGCTAGTTTATGATCGTAAAGGGGTAGAGAACGAGAGATAGAAAGAGGAGGGGGAGGGTGTGAGAAAGGGTGATAACGAATAGGACCATATCTGTATACATGGCAGGGGGTGCATGCCGCACTCAATATAATTTCTCGTCCCCTTTTATACCTCGATATTGTGATTTTGTCGGCCCCGATGCCCAACCTTAGACCAGCGCTGATGAGCCCGTACGCTTCTCCCCCAAGAAAACCCTAGTTAACGCCATTTGCGCGTGTTTTGTGGCAAGAGGAGGAGGGGTGGGCGGTGGGCGATGGGCGGTCACCTCATTTTATCCGGAGGAAGAAGAGGGTGGTCAACCTCCGGCCACCCAAGAGACTGGACACTCTGGGACTGGAGAAATCAAGAGAGAGACAAAGGGAGTAGAGGGTGCCCTATTCAACCGGGCCAAACAAAGGACAAAAGCCGCCTTTTCCACTTCCGTCGCCCTGGGTTGCGCCCTCTTTCTCGCTCCCGTTTCCGTGCAACTTGGTCTCTGTGGATATTAATTGCAATGGACCCGTCGTTTTCTTGCCCTCACGTGGCTCCGCTGGTTATATATTAGCTTCCCCGACGAGAATTGGCGTTGCTCCACGTCTTTTGCCATGGGGTCTTCTTTTCTTCGCCCTCTTGTCTTTCGTTCCTGTCTCCTTTTTTTTTTTCCTTAGGGGTTATTTGCCTATCCTCGTCTAGCCTCTCCCGGCTATTGGTACTAAGTTTTTCTTCTTACTTTTTTCTTTTTAATTTGAAAAATAAAATAAAACTTTTAACTCGAGAGAGGTCCTGCTTTGAAATCACTTATATCGCCGCAGCCCTCAACCCAACTTGCTCTCCGCCAAGAGGGAGCAACGCGATGTTGGAATACGTAGATATGGCCCAACGGGTGGACGGGTGTCCTTGCGCTCTTGCCGCAGCGGGTGGAGGCGAGGTGCCACGCCAAACGGAAACAGAAGCCAGGACAAGAGAAAAAGAAGAGGAATCAGAGGCTGCGTCCCAGCTCCACTGACTAAATTCTCGGCTCTACGTTTCTATCTGCCGGACTCGGCCTTTGCCGGAGTCCTACTGGCTTGGGCCTGCCGATAGGCACATATCGGCCGACGCCCACCCAGTCACTAACCGTCTTGTTCTCCCCTCGTCTGGGCAGTGAGGAAGAGGGGGTTTCCGTCGCATTCGCTATATATCCTAATAGTAAGAACTTGTAGCGAACTTTTTCTTGGCTCACCTCTCTAGCATAACCTCTGCTTTGAGGCCGTCAACATAAATCAGCTTGGCAAGCTAGCCGGCTATGGTTGAGATAGCAACTAAATCATTTCAAGGACTTGGTGGCGGCCAAGAAACAAACAGGCACAACATTTGAACTTTGAGAAATGGAAACGTTGCACTGGGGGCCCTCTTGGTGCCATCGACGACAGGCCGTCTTAAGCTGGGCTCGCACAACTATAGTTCGCGCGCCCAGAGAACCCGTCCGAGATAGATTGGGTCTCGCGTTTTATGCCTCCACTTTTGAGCTCCGATCGATATGTCCGGGAATTCCTTTCAGTGCTAGCCCCCAACGCGGTCTTTCTAAGGATGGCCGGCCTTTAGCCTGCGATGCTGGTGTCTAAGGTATGGCCACTGTTGACCCAAGAAGCTAGAGGGAGAGGTTACAAGGCGCGATGAAGAGGGCAGATCGACAGGGGCGGGTTCCAATAAGGACCCATTCTTAGGGATATATCCATCATAGATGGATATGTACAGTCGCTCAATAAATACATATAGGTAGGGAATATTCGGTCCAGTTCTTCTCCCCACCGAGAGGGGAACGGAGCGGATCTAGTCTGGATGGATCTTGGTTCCTAATAGAGCCTCCATGGCAACACTTGGCGTCCTAATTGTACGTCCTGATTGTACATCTATGGATCTATGTAGATTATCTATGGATGCTTCTTCAAAGTTCCCCACAGCACAGGATAGTCGTTTGTAACGGAGACGAGACTCAGGTCGTGCCATCCAACCTTTGCTTTTATATCAAATATCACCATCGCCCTCCACGCTTCACCCTGATCTATTGATCTATCCATCATCTATGGATGTACTCTCCTTGCCCAACAAATAACCGTAGGAGGACAGGATTTTAATAAAAGAATTTCAGGGAATGACCGGCTGCTCCACTCGCACGGGGAGGTCCACACGCCAAAAATAACCCCCAACTTTCGCCTTCCGTCCTGCATTTGACAAGCGGCACTAAGTGGTTTAGATCAATGGATCCATTGTATTTATTTTATATTCCCACGCCTCCTTCCTCTTGGTCTCGAATCACCCAACATCCATTGCAGACACTAGGTGCTAGAATACTCGACAGAGAAGCTAAATGAAGAGAAAACACATCGCTCCCCGCCGAATATAAATCCCAATACTAGACGTGGAACGGATTGAGGCAAGAACAGCGGGTTTACGACCAGACCACCCCGGAGACGACCAGGTCTTGCTTCCCGTCCTTCGACCTTTTGTTTCTTTATTGCTGGCTCACACCCATCGCCAAGTCGCCCTCGTGATACATCATCATATTTTTCCACATTTGTTCAATGTTCTCTCTTCCGGGTTCTATGCCCCTTGCTCTCTCACCTAGATGTTGCTACACACCATCAAATTTCAGTTTCTACACCTACGGCATGACACTAACAGATCATTCCCTGCACTGAAGACAAAGAAAGGGGAGATAGAGGTATTTCTATCCCAGAGGGGATAGGGCTATGTGTTAGATCACAAGTAAGGAGATCCAACATGAGAACCGAGAGCGTAATATACAGATCATAAAAGAGACGGTACCAATGTTGAGAATGAGAGCCTCTACGGGTTTAAGGATACGACAACCAACTTGACTTTCTGTGCAAACATGAACCTCTAAATCGATATCATATAGTTTATTTCCATTCTTGCGGTCCTTGGCCAAGAAGAGACTCGATTGAATTCAACCAAGCCAAACACGTTCCAGATAGCCAGCCGTTCAATCCGGTTTCCCGACTCTCCTATTGCTCTCCCAACCTCTTCTTCCTCTCAACGTCTCTCTCTCTTTTTTTCTTTGTTTCTTCCTTCCTTTTCTATTTTGGGGTCCCCCGTAACCTCTCTCTTCTTTCCTTCGGCGCACTTTCCTATATTTTCCAAGTGGATCCACGATACCGGACGTATCCGACCGAAGGCGCGACGGAAGTCTGGTAACGAACGCCCACACACGAAAACCAGGAAACCGCGCCCTTGCATCTCTTCCCTGTCAGCGTCTCTCCCATACACCCCCAAGCCAGACATCTCGAGAGCACTGTACCCCATTTCGTTGAACTTACTCGTCTCTCGTCTGTCCCTCTTTGTCTCCCCCTCCTTCCTTTCACACATCCACCACTTATATGTCTGCGGCCCTTCCGTCCGCTTTTCCTAGTCCCCAGGGGAAATGGGTGGCGTGGAGCTCGACTAGTATCTTTCGTTCACTCCTTCCTTCTTCAGACTCTCTCTTAATTCAAGGACACCTTGGAGAGCTGTACGTTGCCGCTTCTGTCGTTCCCCGATCACGTCCTACCTACGCCCCCTTGACCCACTTACACCCCCTCGCCCGCCCAACGGAACAGGATTCATCAATCTCACCACCGTCTCACCCTACTCTGGTCCCTTCCTGGTTCTCGGTAATAAGATTCGACAAGAGAAGAACCAAAAAGAATAAAGCAGAGATAGACAAGGGACCGCCACTAGATCTCGAAGGGCGCAAAGTGCACTGTGCAAAAGTGAACAGGTAGAAGAAGGGAGAGCTGACCCCAAGGAGAACTAGGCGAGCAAAGATAGTGGGAAAGAAGAAGTGCTAGGAAACCTGACATCGGCTGGATGCCACACATGCGCACCTCGATATTGGTTGCGACGCCAGCGTAATAACAAGAACCGCCCAACGGACAAGCCAAAGCCGACCGGAAGAGGAGGAGGGAAGGACGGCAGAAACACACAAAAAAAAAGAGAAACGAATGAGAGAAGTGGATTGGAAATAAGGGTGCGCATATCTTCTTCTTCCCATCTTTCGCCAACAGGTCACATCCTCTTCTACAAAAAACCGAACATCTGAAAATAAGTCACACAAACTGGTGCGTGCAGGAACGAAGGAAAGAACGAAATAAAGGTGAAAAGAGAAAAGGAAAGACGTTCGGCGGGAAGCACTCGTGATACACCCTCTTCCATCCACTCTTACCGCTTCGAAGTCGCCTGATAGCAACATCATATTGCGCCAAGGGGTTGGTTGCGAGTACTCCAAGAGGAGGGAGTGTCTGGAACTGGGAGAGTGCAGATTCGATCCCAACCAAAGCTCAGACAGAAGAAGTGTTCTTGATGCTCCGTCTGAGGTGGCTTTTTGTCTGATATTTATCTGGACCGCTTCCGCCCGCCTGCTTCCGTCAACTTTAGTTCTCTACCGAGGCTGTCCAATTCCACCCACCTACCTACACGCAAACCGACCACACCGGGCAGCTAGCGAAACAATTATACAGCAGACGACCCTCTTGCCTCCTATACAGAGAAACTATATCGCCGCCACAACTGCACATCTCATCGTGTAACTATATCGAAGTATCGCTATCTTACTTATCTACGGTGGCCACATCTCATCAGTGCTTTCCTCAGCTCTCCGCCATCTCTCTACTGGGCTCACTTGAAAACCGAGCCCAGCTCAATCAGGATATCCATCTTTTTATCCCTTCCCCCAAAATTTCACCCCATATCACGGTTAAGATGGTTTTATTACCGGTGCCTTACCGCACTGCGCAATTCTTCGCCTTCTTCCTTACTACCACAGCGGCTTATGCCCTTCCCCGGGCCACCCCGGCGCCGGCTTTGACGCCGGGACCACATGTGGCAGGACCGCCGGGAGATCCTCAGATTCTACCTTGCACTGCTACCATCGGGGTCACTTACTCCCGTCTGCCTACACCGCCTTACTGGCCATGGTGTACTGAAAATGGGGGTGTTGAACGCGTGTACGAAGCGACGCGCACGGTGCAGCAGCAGGTAGACTGCCGAGGCTGCCTCGCCGTGACCGTGGAGACCTTCCCTGCTGAAGCTTCATGCGAAGATGAGTACAGCGACTACTATAGCAATGATGGCGAGGACGATGATGGATACTACGCCGCTCGACCGAAGAAGAGGACTGAAGCAGCAGTTGGAACGAAGACGATATACGAGACGGTGTGCTCCCCACAACAACACCGATCAAGATTCAAGGCCGACAGGAGGAGCCGACACCTACACCAGTCGTCATTGGTGACGAAGGCGCAGCGCAAGCTCCGGCAGTATCGACACCGTGCGTGTCTACGTTGGTGGTACCCGAGGTTTGGGTCGGACTCACGGTGACTGTGTTCCTCGACATGATGACGGTGACGAGCAAGGTGGACTGTGGAGGTTGTGCGCTGCACCTGTCGACGCGGGTGGGCGGCCTAGGGCCGATTGTCCAGCCGGGGGTCACGGCGACGGTGGATGTAGCGACGACTGTGGTGTATGAGTGTTTATAGCGAGGGTGGAGGTGGAGGTCTTGGAGTTGTTTCAAGCGCTCTGAAGAGTCTGGTGGCAAGGGTGGCAAGGATGAGGCGAAGAGGGTAGAGATTATTGACAGCGGATGTTACAACTGGTCTTTTTACGTCTTTTCCCTTTCCCCTTTCCCGTGAGCACGCATTCATTTTGTCTACTTATTCTTTCAAGCGATGATTCCCTTCTGTTTCTTGACTTACCTTATGTCCACTCTAAACCACCCCCTTCACACTTGATTTCAATCACGACCTTCTTGTTCATATTCTTTTACCTTGCGCGGGCTGTGGTTTCCAGTGTATATCTCCCAACCATTCATACGGCGGGTTCGCAGCACACAAGGGCTAGAGGCTTTTCCAGCGTCGAAGTAAGCCGTGACTGGGGTTGCCGAATGATTTTTGAAGGTATAGGCGTCCCATAATCTAGCTTAATGAGGGTGTCTGTCCCCCTTTATGCCCGCTTCTGTTGGATTATTTTGGGTTATATGTAGTTGGAAGGAAATATGACCTATGGCAATAAATAATTTAACGACTTCGAATCCGCCATTCTTTACTTGTACTTCACGGATGGACTTTGGGAAATGTGTTAGACGGTGGTGACATCGAGAAAGAATTGTTCCACGTGTGCAAAGATCTTTCACTCGAGGGGATTAGACTCTCGCCCTGCCCATCGTGGCTTCCATCCAGCCTTTGCATTCTTGGAGTCACCAACCTGGAAAAGACCTCACATGGGCTAGGGTACCTGACATGCGGGGTGGACGAGGGCCGCATCGCGGGATATGTCCCGATAGAGGTGGAGCTGAGCCAGACCTACCCCCGAAATTGAAGAGCTGGTGTTTCCTTGTCTCATATACTCGCTGCTTTTCCTTGGTCCGGTGAATCTTGATTTCTTCTCCTTCCACTAGAGGGCCGTCGGGCTCGAGGCGACGTGCTCTGTGCTCGGTGCGCCTGGTCTGTGACGCGCGGCACTACTCCCTTGTCTTGCAGACGAAGCGACGCTACCTGATGCGGGTTTTACCTATCAAACCCGGGAACTACCCTAGGGTTTGATGGAACATTGAAGGGTCCGGTGGGGGTTAGGGGTGAAGAGAAGAGTCATGGGTCGATCAGGAGAATAGCACGATTTCGTTTGTTATGGGCGTGGGGAGAGCTCAGATCCGAGAGAGGCAAATTGTACGTACATGTACCTGATGGAGTGATTATGTGGCCAAATGAGGCTCTTTAACATGGAAAGTGAGGCCAAGAATAGAACAACCATTGGCAATTGAATGGCTATTTACAATTGATACGCCACGTGGATGGAGCAGAGTACATCTCTTGTGGATGATTATGAGATGGTTGACGGCAAAGAAGGCCAGAGAAGGGAAAAAGTATCTATAGTAACTTGTATTATAGGACTTAAGGAATGGAAGACTGAAGAGGTCTCGATGCCCCCAAGGGGTATGAAAATCGATCTGCGATCGATGCAGTAGCGTAATAACGGAGTCCCGGGGAATGCGACTCTCCCAACGAACGGCTACTACACTGTTCGGACGGACTGGATGTTCCATCAATGAGTTGTCGCCGGCGGGGTTGAAGCTTCGTCATCCGCGATTGAGTGCCACTCGAGCACGACTTGGAGACCGGGGCTACAAGTAGTTGGAATCGTTGACCGGCAGATGAGCCATTGATCGTCCGTCAATGACATCGAATTTCTAACCTTAATAACGGCGACTGCATCTCATCGCTCATTGAATTTTTTTCTTTTCCCCCTCGTTGTTAAGCCCTGTTACTGAGGGTCACGAAGAGTGGATGGGTTTCCTGAGAGCAAGAGCGGGACCGAGTTTTAATAGGAATTCCCGAAATGCGTGCTTCCCGAAATGCGTGCTTCATTAACCTGGCCAATCGCCTTCGACCTCATGGCCTCAATCAGGAGATGTCCTTTTAGACGATATGGAGAGAATGCTAGCCCCATGGATCACCGATCCATTTTGTAAACCCTTTTTCTCTAGATAAAAAAAAAAAGAAGAGGTGACTGTTCTTTGCGCAGCCAATAGATAAAAATAAAAGGAAGAAAAATGGAAGGCAAAGACAAACTTCTTCTTCCAGTCCGTTGGATCAGATTTGGGGTCCGGCGGCCGCGTGAGTCGGATCCCAAGGAGGCAGAGCGTGTAAGATCAGCCAGCACGTACACACGCCTCATTTGCACTTGGGAATTCGGGAGAGGAGGAAGGGGGAGGAGAGAGGAGGGGGATGGGGAGGGTTTCTTCCAATTCCCGGGTAAGTTGGTTAGGGGCGGCCGGTTCTCCGCGTGCGTTGGTGGGCATTTTTGTAGCTTTATATATATATCTTTTTTCTGCTTTTAATTGAGACGGGATCATGACCAGCCGATATCCTCGACATTGGGGATGTTTCCGGTGGGTGATTGATTTACCTGTACACCCCTCCCCGCTTTCGCGAGTGCCCCCGTAGTTTCTTGTATAACTCGTCTCTCTTTGCAGTTCCGCCTGTTCGAGGAGAAAACCGCCCTCTCTCCTCCCTCCCTCTTTCTCACTCCCTCTTACATTCAACTGGCCTTTTGGAAATTTGTCTATGGAATTGCGTTTGAGTATTTTTTTGGCATGAGAAAACAAGCTCGAGTCGTCGGAAAACAACCCGAACCAATATTGCGGGAGGGCGTCGTGAGCCTTTCCCCGATCAGGAACTAAAACACATCGCCGTCTCGAAGCCAATTTTAGTTCTTCCGTTCCACGACTGGCGGCCACTGCTCTTCCACAGCGAAGAAACTCTGCACCAGAAGGACAAGCCTCGCAAGGCCCCAAGCGCCGCCGCACTATTTCGATCTTGCCGTCTCGGTCAGGAGGGTTTGGCTAACCAACTGCGCGGATCCTGAGGTGGGTATCAAAAAGTGTGCTTCTCCCCGATCGCAGTTTCCTGTCGACCTTTGCCGACCCCTTCAACACTCGCTCTTTCCTCGGCCTCAGAAGCAGTAGGGCTTGGGATACATCAGCGCCACGACGATACGGAATTGCGTTCGGCTTCTTCTCACCTCTCTCACATCACGGTTTCGTCGCCAAAACTCTACGGCCTCGGTCCAACAGACTTGCATCAATCAATCGAGAAAAAGCCCCAAGGAAGCAACGCCCTTTGAAAGTTCTGCTGAGATTGGTTAGCGTGCTTCACTTGTCGAGGCGCACCATTCTCACAACACCTCGAGACCATCGCAGTGCTTATATACACCACCTACGTCAACCTGCCTCTCCCTTCGTGCACAAGAGCCCACTCCTCACCTAGCACATAAAAGGGCGATCTCAGCCCATTTATTGCAGGAGGGGTCTAGACATTTTCTTTCTAGAAAATAACTACTAGTCGTCGAAAACAACCAGGGTTCCTCTTACAACCTCACACACGATGGCCTCCAGAGCCATGACTATCTTAGCGCTCGCCGCTTTAGCTATTGCGGGACCCACACCCCGAGGGCCCATCGCCTTCCATTCTCAAGAACGGATAGGATCAGTCGGAGAAACGACATCGTCACTATCTCCCGCCGCGTTGCCTGGCGATCCTACGGGTTGCACCATGACCCTTACGCGATATCCTGACACTCGGCCCTCACCCACCCGCACGCTTTACGATGTTATCGAGACTGCCACTGCTCTCATACACTGTGGCTCCTGCCCCAACTTATTTATCAAGGAGTCCTTGGATGGTCCTTCGAACAGCCCCTCTACAACTGTCCGCGCCCCAGGAACCACCACCATCACCAACTTCCGATGCCGGCCGACCCAGACCCAAGACCCTATGGCTCGTCTTGAACTCGTTCGTCGGGACGATGATTCGTTACCTCAAGCCGACACCTGCACTACGACTATCTCCTCACTACTACATCTGGATCTCGTCCCGACCCTCACCGTCTGGCCAGCCACGGAAACGACCACCAGCTCCGTCGACTGCAACGGTTGCGCCAATGTCGTAGCCACGACCATTCCAATGGGCCTTGGCCCCGTTGTGCGCAAGGAGACTACCGTCACCGCTGCGACTCCCACTACGACTCTTGTGTTTGCATGCCTCCCTACAGCAGGTGCCTAACTATCTTTTGTCGTTATGGTGGGGGACAGTCTACTGACTAGAGCGGTGAGGGCTGAGGGGGCCGGCATCTCAAGAGAGTTGGGCCGAAGCATTTTCATAGGGGCCGTTTTCTTTTTCCGCCTTTTTCTTTTATTTTTCTTCTCCATACCCACCCCATTTCACTTCGTTTATTTTTTCCCCTTTACTAGCATCTATTTCATTTTCATCATATCATGGGTCTTAGATTTGCAGCGCATGGGGGCTAGGGTTAACAACCGGCGTTTTGGGCAGAGCCACTGTATCATCATCATAGTTGGGTCAACCACACAGTAGTTGCTCACTGGAGGGAAGGAGTTTGCGGTTGTTACCGCGCTTCTTTGTCCGGACGAGGAGGGCATGAGTCATTGCGACTGCTGCCATTTCTTGTTGGACCAAGGAGCCGGGTCGAGCACGAGCGAAGATAGTTCTAAAGGAAAGGAAGGTCTATCTCTTTAGCATCTCCCAATAGTTTCTTGATGAAGAAATCCAAGTTGTTGGGGCCATTCATACAACCCACTCAATTACGTGTGACTCCATGTTGTACTGTATCAGAATAAAATTTCCAAACACCTGTGTTGTTTGGACTCTTCTTGGCATGGCACGTTGGCGCTCGGAGGTTTACCAGGCTGCATGATGGCTTGTCCGGCCTCTCCCCGCCGATCGCGTTCTTTGCTCGCGCCTCAACGAAGATCCACTATGAATGAGCCCTCTCAATTGCCCCAGCTTCAGCTTTGTTTCTTCGCACACTGCTAAGGCCTGCCCGTTTGAGCTTCGCGGGCTGATCTTGTGTGATGTGAGTGACCGACTAGGTCTTGGCACGATAGTCTATGTGTACATTTTTATTTCCTCGCGCCGATTGTTTCGCAGACTGTGGTGCTGGTCAGCTGGCCATTGTCACACGGCAATATACAGAACCTAATGGCGCCACTGATAGTTTGCGTGCGAATTAGGTGAGCCGGCGGCTAACTTGGGGTTGCGTACCAGCGTACGGTCGTTGTGGATGGTGCGTTTTGATACCCGGGCTTGTTACAATTCAAGAGACTGGCTCAGAGGGTATAGTGGAATGGGCTGGCTCACTTGTGTGTGGTCTAGCTGGTAATGAGAAAGTTGCAGCAACCTCTGTGTGGCACACGATGAAGCATCAACACTTTGGAGCGGCCTTTGATACTTTGTGAATTGATGATGGGGTTGGATTATCATCGATCCGCGTTCTAGGATATGGAAAGAAGAATTCATGATATTCCTACCTATAATACAAACCGCCCAAAATTGTTCACTTTACTCTACTTCATCAGACTGCTGATCCGCGTTCGTAGAAACCCCAATAGACTCTCTAACAGCAGGTGGTCGTGCCCCTCCGTCCACCGACAAATGACTTTGACCTCCTCGAACCCTACGACGACGGAGAGCTTGAACCCAATCGCGCAGGCAGCATCCTTACCCCCGAGTCCCGTTTCCAAATCCGCCGCCCCAGCCTCTCCATCCTTCTCCGCGCGCATCTTCTTGCGCCGCCACGCCCGGCTCCACACGTTCTGCCTCGCCCTCCCGCGGCCCGACGACTCCGCCTCGTCCCACACCCACTCCGCGAGCTCCAGCGCCTGCCCGAGGGCATTGACGCCCGCGACCAGGCGCTCGGTGCCAACAGAGCCCGCTCCCGCGGCAAAAACGTCGTGCCGCACGGGGGCGGGCAGGACGCTGCGCCACGAGGGCTCGTCCATGCGGCGGCAGACGTGTTCGTCGGGCCGCATGGGGCCGAAGCTCCAGCCCACGGCCCAGCGGCGCGTCTTGCTGCCCTGGACGAACTCGGTCACGGCATAGTTGTCGATGCCGGCGGCGCGCAGGGCGTCGACGACGGCGAAGACGCTCGTGTGCTTGCCCAGCATGGCCGTGTACCAGCCGACTTGCTCGCGCAGGGCGAGGGACTCGGGCAGGAGGCGTTTGGTGATGAAGGCGACTTCGCCGCCGGGGGTGACCATTTCGGAGGGGCTGCCGGTGCAGGCGGTGAGCGGGGGCGGGACTTTTGGGCGGCGAGGGCGTCGAGTTCGGCGCGGGAGGCGTAGAAGGGGGTTGGTCATGGAAAAGGAGAAGGGGAGGTGGGTGGTGGGGATGAGCGGGGAGGTGGGGTTGCGGTGGAGGAGGGTGATGCGGGGGTGAGGGCGTTGGTGGAGATGTTGTGGGAGGCGTGGGCGAGGCTTGCTTCGTCAATGTCTAGGGGAGGCGGAAGTATGTTGGCATTAGTAGATGATGATGAGAGATGAATAGAGAAGAAGGGATCCGTGGAGATGTGGTGGATTTAGCTCATACCTGTTCCGACAAAGGACCAGTTCCTTTGGGTGCAGCCGAGGAGGGTAGATGCAGCTAGCACCGGTGCCGATGTCTAACCCACGAACGGGTTCCGTCCCGGGCGGGCTGTAGGAGGTGGTATCGAGAAGATCCTTGAGCCAAAGAATGTAGTTGTGGCGGTTGGGCACCTAACCGCCGGGAAACACTTGATAATAAGTATAAATGGATCATCACTGGTGGGCGGAGAATAACTCTGGTGGAACGATGGGAATCTTTTCATTTTTTTTTTTCATTGACGTACTGGTGGACATAATCTGTCTAACGGCAGCTCGACGCGCAGTCCAAAATCTGCTTTGAGTAGAGTTTTCGTGAGCTGGACGACGGACTCGGGATCGGTGAAGTCAATCTGGCCATGTTTGAGACTAATGGATTGAAGAAATTAGACAATAGAACAAGTATATGTCGAGAAGTGTAATCTCGAGAAAATTCAAATCAATAACAGAGGCGTACACTTTGGCGAAGTCGGGGTCGTCCCGGGCTAGCTGCCGAAAATCGGGTTCCGTCGCGTATAACGTGCGATAATAGGCATCCGCTTCGGTTCCGGCGGAGCCGGGTCCGGCCGGGTGCGGGGGCCTGGAATACTTGGGTGGAAGGATGGCGGGCGCGCTACTGCCAGTGGTCGTTGCAGTGGCCGACGACGCGCCAGTGGAGGAGCGCCGACGCTTCTTACCTGCAAGCATCGTAAACGAAGAGACAGAGAGTGTCCTCGTCTCAGCGAGCTACTTGGCGTAGGAATCAAGGGTTTAGGGCCCCCTGTCCTTCCTCCTAGAGAAATCCTTTCAGCAGTGCTCCTAGCATGGGCGGGTTGACGGAGGTTAATGAATGGAGATCAATGAGCGAAGTGGGTTTTCACGTCCACGGGCTGTTGGCGTTTATGAGGTGGGACGTTCATTGAGCTTGGTGAGACATGCAGTAACCGCAACATATTCATTTAACGAGTAAACTATTTTCATGGAGAGCTTGCCAGCGTTCCTTCCATGAATGTGATCGGTTCGTCTGCTCCCACGCCTCTTATCGCCCTTTCCCTTTTATTCGCGAGATGTACCTCCGTAGTACAAGCGAGAGGTGAGATACTAGGCGTAACGCCCCATTCTAGTCTTTTTGGGCTGGGTGTTCGTCTGTGTTAATTCTACTCAGGCACTACGATAACGCACAGTTAACATCAATTGATTGAAGCGTGCACAGCGAGCGTGGGGAGTGAGGATGCCGATTCCTGGGACAGCAGTGTGGAATAGGCGGCTAGGGAGACTTGTTCGATCCTTCCGTACCTCACGAGCCGAGGTGGAGGTACATAATCATACGCTTTAAAAAGGGTTGCGATTCTGGTAGGTAGGACTTTCCATCTCATCTCATTCAACATCGTAATCGCGTGGCAAGTAATACATGAGAAAAACGCTGCAACTGCCCTCAAACACAACCAGTTGGACTGAGGGGAGGTGGCCACAAGCAGGCCCAAACTGCGCAGAAAAAGAGATGCCATAAAATGCTTCAATATGCATGGGGTTGGTCTTCACCTCAACCGTTTCACCACGTCACCAGTCCCCTCTCTCCCCTCGCCTCCCATCTTAGAGAAAGAGAAAGGGCCACTCGTCGACTGCCCGCTCACCTTCCCCAGAGCAGGACCCTCCACCTCCATCCCTCGAGCGTCTTGAGGTCCCTCTCGTCGATTTCGAATCCACCGTCCTCAATCTTGCCGACAAGCTTTTTGACGCGGCGGTGCATGGTCTTGGCGACGCGCAGGGCGACCTCGTTTTGGAAAACGTAGAGGGCGGCGAAGACGAAGAAGGCGAACGAGGCGGCGACGCCGCCGCGGCCGAGGACCGAGGTGCGGATGCGTTCCAGGAGAGTCTTGCTCCGGCGGAACGCATACTCCGTGTCGTTGGAGGCGTTCTCGAGGTCGTGGTCCGAACGGTACGACGCATCTGTGGAGGCGTTGGACGCAATGGAAGAGGAAGGGGCCACGAGGCGGAGAATGGCCTTGACAGCTGGGAAGAAGGTGGCCCTATTTTTGGGTTAGCGTTCGCACTGGCAAATGGGGGAGCAAGGTGTAAAAATGCGAGAGAACGGCGAAACTTACATGGCACCACCAACAAGCCACCTTCTCCACCGATGGCTCTCTTTGCTCCTGGCAATATCTCGAAGCTCTAGTCTCAGGAGCTTGAGATCTCGGAGCAGCAACCCCCGGTAGAACGGATCCTGGCGTCAATGTCACTGCTTAGGGTGCTCCCGGGTGGCGCATTTTGCCTCTTCTTGACGAGGTCGGCAAATTCCTTGAGGCCGACCTGGCTATTTGTCCTCGCCGTCACGATGTCGTGAGGAGCGGTAGAGAGCAGCGGGGTCATGGCGTTGCCAGGGTCTGAAGGGCCGGGACCACTACCGCTCACGCGCTGAGGGCGAAAGGAATCTGTGGTCTGGTAGCCTGGGCGCTCGTCGCGCGGTGGTCGAGGTGACTGTGACTGAGAATGTTGCTGTTCTAGACCAGCGGGACCGAGCATCTGAGACCCGGGAGGGCTCGGGTAGGATTGGCCAGGGCGGTACTGTGGAAGAGGCGGCTGGGAGGACGAGTATTGAGGCTGAGGGTCCGGCAGAGCGCCGGACATGGAGTAGGCATCCGGGGCGTGGGAGGCCATATTGTATTCTCGAAATTCCGACAAGTCTGGTGTTTGTGTCGCCTGGCTATCGGCGGTAAAAACCAAGTGGATTCTTTTGGCTTGTCAGGCGGGGGAGTGTCAACGTTGCGTTGCCGAGCTGCCCGAGGGACCGAGACTTGGAATGTGCGGTGAATAGGAAAAAGGAAAGGGAGATTGTGTAAGGCAGGAAGAAAGGAAAAAAGGGGTAGGTAGGAGGAACACCGTCGCCAAAGGTTCGAATGCGGACAAAAAACAATTCGGGGTTAAAAGAGGGAAAAAAGGTCAGGCGTGATGTGATGCATCAAGGAGGCGACAATTATCTGGGTGGCTGGGAAGTGGGAAGCTGGCGGAAAAAGAAGTGGCCCATTCTGCGGACCGGGGCGTCGGACGGGCACCAGACTGACCGACGTGCGTGCAGCTTGCAGGACAGCGCAGCAGCGCACAGCACTTGAAAATCAATGCATCACGTCACGGACGGAGGATAAGCGCCAGGGACTGCACAGAAAATGACAGCGAAAGAAAAAAAGAAGTCCAGCCTTGCTCTCCTTGGCGCATTCGGGTGGGCTCTCCAGGTTACCAATGTAGGGTTTGTCCTTTTGGCAGTGTTATTGGATATTAGTGCTGACCACGACAGTTGCTTCAGAGCCTGACGGGCAATTGGCAGATGTCATCGCGCTGGCGGCGATTGCGAGGATTGAAGCAGAGTTGGGGCCGGGCAAAACGTTTGTGCTAGAGGGAGCTGATGCAAGGGGCCAATGGCAAGTGGTGGGTTATCTCAATTGCACGGCACGCTCCTCGGACACAAGAGTGGCTTTGGCTTTACTGCTTAGCATTGGAGCAGCAAGACAAATGCTTCGAGAAGAATAGGATATGAAAAGTCCTGCTACTAAGGGCGGAAGAAAAAAGATGGCGAGGCAAGCATGGCAAATGAGAAAGGTCAATGACGATGGCGGACACGGAAATGGGGGCCAGACCCCCGATTGGAAAGCCCGTCACTTGCTTGACTTGTTACACGGCGATGATTCAAGCAAACCCGGTAGGTAGCCGATGTGCACCAGGCGCTCGCCCGTCCAGCCCGCGCCTTATTCTAGCCGAGCCCTCCGACACACCATCCGGAATCCGGCCGATAAGAGAGGGATGATTGAAGGAAGGGTGGGTCCTATCCTGGGTGCCAACGAGAAAGGTCGCGGATATTACTTTGATATACCTCGGTATAAAGTCATCGAGACTTGAAATCTATCTTTTTGGCTTTTGATGCATGGGACCCGTTTTGCAAAGTTGATAAACTGGGGTTGACGGCTATACGCTCTTCATTTCGAGAGAGAAAGTCTTGGGTTGCTGGGATATGGATGACCGAGCGCCGCCTTTCAATTTTCTCGTGTTGTCGTGGGATTTCCAAAGAATAATCGGTTTGGTCCTGATAAATTTTTACTAGGGACGGCACTAGACGCAGGGGCGGCGGCGACACACACGGGAATAGTGTGGCTGTGCAGGGTAGCAGTGTCTCTTGGAAGGACTCGAAGCCGGCAATCTCGAGCCGGAGCCTGGAAAACGAATTGCACATGCCTAAGCTCGATAGCTCTCAAGACCGTTCGGATTTCATTAACAAAGGCCTAGGCACCTGAGCCACGTGGATTCCCCGCCGTTAGGCACCGGAACAGAAAATGAAGGAATGGGAGAAATCTCTGTTTCTGTTCGTCCTTGTTCTTCGCTTGACGAGTTGGCAAGGCCATCGAGAGCTGTTGTTCCAAGGTTGCGTGTGCGCCAAGTCCTATTCGGCGAACCAAAGCCCCTCCCCGCGTATCCGCCCCTGGAGGCAACCGATCTCAAGGGGTGAAATTGCGTGGCGCAGAGGCTGATGGCACGAGGGGAGAGCAAGGCACCAACCTTTTCTTTTGTTGTGCTGACAAGCTTCATTGACCAGTAACGCACTCTCGAGGATCCTTTTGCTCGGTTGCCTGGCACAATGTCACTATGCACCAAACAGGGATGGTTCGCCAGGGCTGAAGGGAGCTCAGGGAGCTTCCCTTGGGTTTTAGCGTCAATGGGTAGCAACGCAATTGATCGGCTCCTGCCCCTCCCCTGACCTGACCTTGATAGGCCTGCACAGTTGAAACCGAGGAGTATGCATGTGGTGGGATGGATATATAAGAAGGGGCGTGGGTTGTCCTCCCCGAGCTGCTGCTGGCCGCCAAACTCCCTCTCACCTTTGTGAACCCTCTTCGCATTCAACTCCCTCAATCGTGGCCAAGAAGTTTCGATTTGAGGATCCATTTCGCAATTGGGAGCTTTGGATAATTTAAAAACGCCCCCATCGATAACACACCCGGTCGATATCCCCGCCTTTCTCTTCTGTTCTTTTCGCTTTTATTACGGGCTATTCGGTCACCGCTCATCGCCCACCATGGACAACGTTGTCAAGCAGGAATTGAACCTGCGTGACCTAGACACCAAGTCTGTCACACTTTTCCCTTCGCGCGCACAGATTGTGCGTGAGGTGAAGGATCTTCAGCTCGCTGTAAGTAGTAGCTAAGCTGCCAACCCATCCAAGCAACGATTCAAATCACTAACAAGAGTCTCTTCTATTCTCTTTCTCTAGCCCGGCCTCAATGAAATTACCATTATCGGCCTTACCCCTACTCTAGACGAAGAGTCCATAAAAGTCGAGGGCACAGGGTCTGCTACCATCTCGGACATTTCCGTCGATCTGGTCGCCAACCTCGCCTCGTTTGATGACTTCTACCCTCCGAAGAGGAGGACGATACCGACTGTAGCTTGATTTCGACGAGTTGCAGGAGAAGCCCGATTTTGGCCATGACGCCCAGCTCGAGGCTATCGACGACCGCATCACCCTGCTCAATGACCAGGCCGATAGCGCGCGCGAGCGCATACAGAGCGCCTCCCGCCGCCTGGCCATCCTCGATGCCTACGGAAACTCCCTTGATAAGGAGCGCGAGCACCCCATCGCCATCGAGCAGGGGCTCGACTCCTACCGCACCGAGCGCGAAAAGGTCTTTGCCGACCACAAGACCGCACAGGTCGAGCTTCGCACCGCGGAGAAGCAGCTCAAGGATGTCCGCAGCCAACGCTCCGAGGTGGCGAAGCTCGAGGCGAAGGCGGTAAAGCAGTGGAATAAGAAGCTCGAGAAGGAGCGTCGCGCCGCGGTAAAGAAGCAGCAGCGCCAGCGGGGCAAGCGCCGCGACAAGGAGCGTGAGCGTGAGAGGATCAAGAAGGAGCGCGCTGCCTTTTGGCCCAAGTTCCACTATGCCGTTACCGTCACCCTTGACGCTTCCGCTTACACTCCCGTGTCCTCGCGCCGCAGCTCCATCTCCAGCGAGGCGGACCTCCAACTCCTCAAGGAGAAGGATCCCGCCCTCCAGCAGGATGCCGCGGCCTCGGCCGGTACCGAGGGAGGTGAGAACCCGTCGTCGTCGTCCTCGGCCAAGTGCGACCTCGTCATCTCGTACGTCACCTCGTCCGCCTTCTGGGCCCCCAGCTACGACCTCCAGCTCTCCACCACCAGCAACACGGCGACGCTCTCGTTCGAGGCCAAGCTCACCAACGCCACCTCGGAGACCTGGCGCAACACCAAGATTATCCTATCCACCTCGCAGACCTCCTTCTCTGGTCTGGAGGATGCTCTGCCCAGCCTCGTGCCCTGGCACGTCAAGCTCGGCAACAAGAGCCACGGTGTCTACGCGAGCGACGCACTCAACAGCCGCGAGGAGCGCAGCGAGCAGGTGACCTGGGAGGTGCAGCGCTACAAGCAGCAGACCATCCAGAAGCCCCGCGGCGAGCTCTTTGGCCTGTGGGCCGAGAACGACAACAACCTGGCTACCGCCACCCAGGCCCGGCAGGCCGCCGACGCCGCAAAGAACAAGGTCCAGATGATGCAGATGGCCCAGATCGAGCACGCCGAGCGCGACCTGCGGAACAACTACGTCTCTGGCGGCGGCTCCAACGCATTCTCTGCTCCCCGACTCCAGCTGAGCAGGGCCCCTCCCGCGCCCCTGGTGAAGAAGGCCAAGGCGGCCGCCAACTCATCCTTTGCCATGGCCTCTTCGTTTGCGCCGGCGGTGAGTGAGTCAGTGCGGACGCGTGGCGGACCCGTCGATCTCTTTGGCGCGCCCCGCCCGGCAGCCGCATGGCGAGCGGCGGCGGCGGCGGCGGTGATGGTGGTGATAGTAGCGGGGATGAGGGTGGGGATGACGAGACTATGCTCGAGCCCGCGCCCGAGCTCGACTTTGAGGACTCGGCTATGGAGGAGACGGGTCTGACAACTACGTACGACTTGCCGGGCTTGCGCACCTTGACGCCCCGCAGCCGCGCGTCCAAGCAGCGCATCGCGCGCATCAACTTCTCCAACGTGGTCTTCAACCACACCGTGGTGGCCAAGTACCGCCCCGTCGCCTTCCTCAAGGCCAAGCTCCGCAACGGCAGCAAGCTCACCCTGCTGCGCGGACCTGCGGGGCTGACGCTGGACGGCAGCTTCATGGGCCGCACGCGCATCCCGCGATGCAGCGCGGGCGACTCGTTCCTGCTCAGCCTGGGCGTGGACCCGGCGATCCGCGTGTCCTACCCGCAGCCCGAGGTGCGCCGGTCCACGACCGGCCTCTTCTCCAAGGAGGACAGCTCCATCTACACGCGCACGGTGACGCTGACCAACACCAAGGCGGCCGCGGGCAAGGCCGCGTCCATTTACGTGTTCGACCAGGTGCCCATCTCGGAGGACGAGCGCCTCCGCGTAGCCATCCACGCGCCGCGCGGGCTCGTCTCGGGCGGCGCCGCCGTGAACTCGGGAATGCCCGGACGCGACGGCCCGGACAACAAGGAGTGGGGCAAGGCCACGGCGCTGCTGCGCAAGGAGAACGAGATCTCGTGGGAGGTCAGCCTCAAGGCAGGCAAGTCGGTCAAGCTCGCGCTCGAGTACGAAGTCGCGGCGCCGGCGGGCGAACACGTGATTCAATGCTAGGATTGGGAGCGGCCCGAGGGCGGAGTCAAGGACGGGGACGACGAGCAGCACCACCTCAACGAGGCGCACGGTGCTGCGGGGGTCTCGGGCCGCATGGGGAGGAAAGGGCATAGGCGAGGGGAGCGACAGCGGGAGCGGGTCGATTGCGCACGGGGGCGGCAAGAAGCCTTCGTTTTTGAAGACGGGGAGCTTGGGTCGCAAGGCTCTGTTTCGGCTTTCGTCTTCTCTCGCTTCCAAGTGATGAAAGGGAAGGGGGGAACACGCAAAGTTAACGCAAAGTTACGCGGAGACTTTTTGGTCTTTGGTTTTCTGTTTGCTTGTTCTTGTGTAGGATTATTGGCCCTTTTTTCACGAAAATGGGTGGAAAGGGAAATTGGATGACGTTTGTAAGGATCCATTAGCTTAGCAGCATCGTGCAATGCAATTGATGATTTGATGATTGGCAAGTGCGCTCGCTTTCCCGAGAAGAGTCCCGTTCAAATATTTTGGTATGTGTATTCCCCGTGTGCAGCGCCGTGCCTCCTGTCCCGCTAGAAGTAGAATTAAATCAAGATATCATTACAAAAGACAAATCATGAGCCAAACGTAAAAAAGAATCCACCCCAAGAAAAGATGTGTCGAGCCTTATTTAAACATCTGCGCCACTTCCGTCCCGAGACTCGTCCGCGTGATATCCGCCAGCAAGCGGCACACGGCCTTGGTCTCCTTCGTCTTGGAAACCTTGAGCCTCGAACCCGTGAGCACGAAGCCGGACGAGGCTATTTTCGTGACGCGGACGCTGGGGTGGAACAGGTTGAGCGCGAGATGCGTATCCAGGTACAAGGCGAGGGCGTCGACAAAGGGCTGCTCGTCGTCGGCCTCGTCGCCCGTCTGGCCGGCCTCGGTCTTCCACGCCCAGCCGTCCTGCTCGTGCCCGCCGGCCAGGATCCTGCGCGTCCGCGCGTCGCCGACCCAGGGTTTCGGTCCGGCGGCGGTCCGGTTCTGCGCGATGCGGAGGCCGGCCTCGACGAAGCGGGAAATGTCCTCGGGCTGCATCGTGATGTCGATGGAGCGCAGGCCTTGCTGCACGCCGCGCGGAACATTGTCGTTTCCGTCCCGCTGCTCGTTGTCGGATGTGCCGTCGGCTGGCTCGTCGGCGAGGTGTGGGAGGGAAAAGCCGAGGGTGATGACGACTTCTTTGGCTGCGGGGCCTTGTGTGGGGAGGGGCACGCTCTTGAGCCATGTTTCCCAGATCCGGACGAGGCCGCGGGTGCCGAGGCTTAGCGGGCTGATGTGGCAGTCGAACACGCCGCTGAGCCATTCGGTTACCACGTTTTTAAGCGATGTGGGCATTCTCAAGAGGAGGAGGGGCAGTCGGAGGAAGTGCGACGGGTCGAGGTCGCCCTCCCGCGCGCGCTTCTTGCCTTTGCTCCGCGTCCATGTCTGCGGGGCAATATCGGCTTCCTCCCCTCCTCCTCTGCGCTGGAGAGATCGGGCAGCAGCATCCCGGCACAAGTTGAGTTTTCGTACCGTATATCGATCCAGATGCCCCGCCGCATCCCGAGGGGCCGAGCCCTTCGTCGCGATCGGGCTCGTCCGCGCCCAAGTCCGGGCTGGGCGACCGCCTGTCCGAGTGGGAGGTGAGGAAGTCGTTGACGCGGATCCAGCGCAGGTTGACGCTCTCGAGGCTGCCGGCGCGGCCAATCTCGCTCTGCGCGGTGTCGAGACCGACGTGGACGCCGCGCACGACGTCGCCGATGAGGGTATCGCGGAGACGACTGCTCAGCGCCCGGAGCATGGCGCCGTGGTCGGATTGCTCGCCGAGGTGGAGGGGGAAACGCGGTGGAGGGAAAAGGAGGTGTTGAAGAAGGGCGGGGTCGGGGTATCGTCGTCGTCGTCGTTGTCGTTGTTAGCGGGCCGGTGGACCAAGGTGGACGCTTCCATCTCGGACGGGGAGGTTCGATCTCGGAGGGGGCTCGGCGGCTTCGGATGGGCGTGGCTTGGGTGGTCGGCCGCGGCGACCGCCTCCGCGGCCCCGGGTGGGAGGCATTTGTGGATGTTGGAGAGTTTCTGCCTTTTCTGTGTTTTGGGGGAGGCCTTCTGCTGTGTGCAGGTGAAGCAGACGGAGGGGAAAAGTTGGTGGGGGTTGTCGCGTAAATTTGTCGTTACGCTTTGGGAGAAGAACGAGATTTATAGTGTGTCGAAGTGATGCGACTTAGAATACGCGTAGTGATGCCCTTGGTTTCTCGACATAATATTGTTTGCCGTCGCGCCGGCCTTCTGTTTGAAAAAGAAAATGATTGAAATACTAACAAGTTGCTTGTGATGCTTGGCTCTTTTCGTACCCGCCAGCAATGGAGCCGGACGCGCCTAACAACTGACCGCGGCTGCCTCCAGGAGGCCTACACAATGCTTGCTGCCCCTCCTTCGCGCCTTCCTCCCCCACTATCTACATCAGTACCTCTCCCCGTCAATACTAATAAAAACAGCCAGCGCATCCAGATCGAGACTGGCGGCCCGCTGCTCGCTGGTTCACACCCACCCTCTCCAGCGTCGCATTCGTCGACTCGAAGCACCCCACAGACACCTCGCGGCATGCAAGCCTCCCCGTCCCTCCAGCGGGATTGGACGGTGGCATCTCTCGGCGCTCTCGTCACTGGCGTGATGGGGCAATATCAGCTGCGAACTAAGAGCGCCAAACCTGCGTCCCCGTTTTATTGTCCCGGCCAAAGTGGGAAGGAAACAGCACCCCCATCCGTTCCCCTCCTCCCTCCCCCGCGCCACTCCAATCTTCGAGCGCCGGGTTTGGTTTTCCAATATTCTAGACTGCGGATATGCCAGCACTCTGCCTGCAACCTACTACAAAGGATGGCTGGGTCCCACACTTGAAAGGCTTACTCCCCTCCCGCTCCCCTCACGAGGCGACCAACTGGGGTGCTGCCTATTTGCGATATGAATGAGCTCACTGCGTCGTACCGTTGATCCCCTTGAATTCCCCAATCCCGATGACTATTCTCTTCTCGCCCTTGTAAAACCAGCCTGTTTCTTTTCCCTTCTTTTAATCGAAACCGCTTTCTCCACCTTCTTTTTCTTTGTTCACCATGCCCAAGTCATCGTTCCTCTACACGCCTCTGATGGAGTCGACCGAGATTCGTCTTGTCGAGGTGCTTCCCGCGCGGGATCCTGCCGACCCCATTTCCGCGAGGCTGTTCATCCAGTCGCTTGCCAACCCAGACATGATTGCGCCGTACACGGCGCTTTCTACATGGGGCGATCCGGACGATACGGTACCCATCGTCGTCGACAACCAGACGCTGCCTGTCACCCGCAACTTAGAGGCCGCCCTCCGCCGCTACCGCGACGAGCTTCCCAAGCCGAAGAACGACCCTCATCCCACCGGCGAAGGCATCCGCGGCCCCACGAACCTCGTATGGGTGGATGCCATCTGCATCAACCAGGCCAATACCATGGAGAAAAGCGCGCAGGTCGCGCAAATGTCCAACATCTACACAAGCGCCGCCAGCGTGTTCGCCTGGCTGGGCCCGGCAACCGATGAGAGCCACCTAGCGTTTGAAAAGATTGGCGCCGTCATGGATAGATACCGGCGCATGACGGGGGCAGATCCGCCGGACAAGGTGCCCGGGTGGGCAGCTAGGCTCATGGTCGACGAGCTTATGCTGTGTGAAGGCGAGGAGGAGGACGAAGCGATCTGGAAGTCTGTCCAGGACTTGTTTGATCGCGAGTGGTGGTCCCGCGTGTGGATCGCGCAGGAGGCCACTACCCCGCCCCTACCTGGCTGGTCTGCGGTAGGGAGCGGGTGAAGCTCGACGACGCCATCATATTTGCCGTCCTAGCGGCTATGAACGAACAGGTGGATGAGGATGCTGCCACGAGAGTCTACCCGCTGTCGTCGTTCGTGTACACTATCGACAGCTTACGTTCCAATCGCGATGAAGACGGGTCAGACGGCGAACTCTTGAACACCCTAATGTCATGTCGACATTTTGATGCGACTGACCCGCGGGACAAGGTCTACGGCATTCTTGGCATGGTCTCGCCTCGGAGCTCGTGGAAGTTGTTGGCGGACTACAGCCGGGAAATCGTGGATGTGTATAGCGATGTAGTCCAGTACCAGCTTGAAACTTCAGGATACGAAGGGAAACTTGACTTCCTCGGCGCAGACGGCTTACCCGAGGGCGGCATCACCGGCCTTCCCTCCTGGCTCCCGGACTGGCGGTACCGCGACCGCTACCACGTCCCTTTCAAGAAACTTCTCGACGACGAGGCGACCACGCCTCGCCCGGGCCGGCAGCAGTCTGAATCGTGCGTCTACACCGCCAGCGGTACCATCATCAGCCTCGCCAAGCTAGGCATCAACCCTTCCACCGTCGCCGCCATCGACGGCCGCTCGCTACGCGTCAAGGGCTTCCGCGTCGGCTTTCTCTACGACATCCAACCCATCTTCGAGCCCGGGAGGTCCCACGTCCTCAACACATGGCGCTCCTCCCTGCACACTACACCCTACTTCACCGGCGAAACGGAGCCCCAGGCGTTCAACCGCCTCATTGTCGCCGACATCGACGAGGACGTCCGCGCCGCCGCGCGTCAGGGGCCCAAATCTTCACCTGCGGCCGATGACCGCCCGCGCGCGGAGACATTCATCGCCTGCTCTGGCCGACGCTTCGCCCGCTTGGTGCAGAAAAACTGGTCCTCGGACGGGCTGGCCCTCGTGCCCCAGTGCGTGCGTGAGGGTGACCAAATCTTCGCCCTGCTCGGCGGCCAGGTGCTGTACGCCCTGCGGAGCCTCGGGGACGGGACGCACAAGTTCCTCGGGGAATGCTATGTGCACGGTATGATGGATGGGGAGGTTTTGGACATGCTGAAGACGGGTGTTGTCGAGCTTGGCGAAGTTTCGATCCGATGAACGTTATGTTAATGAAGTGATGACTTACTCGGGGAGGCCTCCTTTTTTTTTTTTTTTTTTTCGTTCGGTTCTTCCCCCATCGGCGTTGGAACATGCTTTCATTCCCCTTATTCCTATCTCCGCGTTTTATTGGCTTTGCTTATTACGGGATTGGTGTGTCTTTTAAAGGAGTTAGTCCTACACAACGTATACTCGGCGTGGCTGGCCCGGATGATGTATGAAATTTTCAACTTGTGGATTTGACCACGTCCTACCCACTGGGGGATGTCCCCTTGACATAATAACTTCTTTTAACACCATGGGTATATTCCAATCTCTCCTCGGTTCTTGTATATATGTCGCACCAACTTGTCATCTGCGCGATCACGTCGTGTTGTACAGATTTTGCCCGTCATCGACGACCTGATGCTGACCCGAAAAATAGAAAAAATTGAAGGCGACATACTTCTCTAACAGCCAACACACCCAAACGCACACATACGCGCATCGAATTACTCCAAGTTTCGGTGCCAATAACCAGTCCCCGTTCCTAAGGGAACATGTAGTTTCTGTCAATAGCGGCGTACGTGAGGCCCACGTTTACCAGACGCTTCTTAAACGACGAGATGTGGCTTGGCGCAAGGAACCGCCCCGTCTTGCCGTGCGGCATGTGCAGGACGAACACGTGCCTCTTGAGGTCGTCCGGAGCGAAGCGTCCCATCTTAGGGTTGTACGTGAAGCGCACCTCGGACCCCTGAACGGGGCTCGACCCCCAGCCGAGCGCGGCCATGAACTCTTTGAAGGAGTCTCCCGTGACGACGTTGGGCTGCTGCTGGATATCGAGTTCTCTGCTATAAAGCACCTCGAAGGTCCCTTTAACCGACTTCTTATGGCTACCGTAGGGGAGCCCGGCGGGGGCAGTGGTGTTAGTTCAGGCTTCCCAAACCACGAGGAAGTTGGAAGAAAACGGAGGCGGGGATTTGGGGAAACGTACATCATGAACTTGCCATCCGGGCTGATACTCTTTGGCGCCTCCGCCGACGTTTGAATATTTTGAGCATACCGATTGCGAGTCCATTGCGGAATCTCCATGCCACACTGACGCAGCCCCGTGTCCTCATCAACAAACCCTTTGTACATCCTCGCGACATCTTCCCACTCTGCGTCCGCCAAGCTCTCAAACCACCAATAGTGGTGAACCTCCCTCTCCTCCTCCTCCTCCGCTTCCGTGTCGGCCACATCCGTCATGACCTCATCCTGCACGTCGCTCTGGTCACCCGCATCCATCTCTTCGACCGTGGGTACCGGCTGGGGTTGGACCACGGGCACGGACGGGGCTGGTTCCGGAGCTAGCCGCGCCTCTGTCTTGGGCTGCACGGCCTCGGCCTCGGCAATGGCCGCCATGGCCTCGGGTAAGTGTTGCGGCGCCGCATCAGCTGGCAGTCTAACTAGGGCCTGCGCCCTTTCGAACGGGTAAAGTTGGGGTGCTACGGGAAGGGCGGCGGCCGGGGTATCGCGATTGCTCCCCGCCAGGGGCCCTTTGTGGTTAGTCCAAGCTGTAATCGTATACGATCCGCGAACCATCTCTTTTACACACTTACCTGGGCTGCTAAGATCATCATTGCTAAGGATAATGTCTCCGTCATCGTCGAGATAATTCGCGAGCCATACCGGCATGACGGATGTGACGCGCGCGATCTCGCTCAAGAGGCCCATTGCGAAACATGTCGTGAATTGGATCGCTACCCGCCTGGTCCAATATGCCTGTTCATCCCTCCACACTAGCGCGTCAAACTCCTCCTTGAGCGCCGGGTAACCGGCCTGGTCACTCCTCCTGATGCAGTCCATGTAGAAGTTGCCAATGGATGAACGCAGCACCTGTTGCATCCTGATGTACCAAACCATCTCCTTATCCTGCCCTCGCACCGCTCTCTTCAGCTGCTGGATGGCGGGGTGCGTGTACACTTTTTGAAGAACCCCCGGAAAGACGTTGCTGCGTTGGCAATCCTGCCAACCCCGCGACACCTGCTCGGCCATGTGCGTCAACTCACAGCCACTCTGGTTTAGTGTCCTCTCCCGCGAATGTTTCGAAAAAGTCCAGTTGTGCATCACCTTGCCTTGCCCATCAGACCGCTCTTCCCGCAGGTACGTCACCAGAGCCTTCCAAAAGGCGTCGAGGGCTTTGATCGTCCCTTGCTCCTGGACATCCCCAAAGACGGGCGCGTTGGGCCCTCCGACCCCGCTCTGGCTCGCGTCCCAGATCCGCTGCTGATCGTAGAGCGCGGAGATGATGGCCGGGTCGATGCGGCTCTCGAGGGGCAGCTCGTCAAACGCGTCCAATCGCGTTCGCACATCGTTGCTGACCTCCGACCGCCACTGCGTCTGGTAATGCAGAATCCGAAGGAAACCGGCGTTTTGGTTGTCGAGGAAGGAGCCGCTCGCCGGCGCAAATGAGAATGGGCGGATCACACTCTCCTGTTCGACGAGGACAAAGATGAGCGACATGGTGTCCAGGAGCTCGGCCACGTGCGGGGTGATGGCCTGGAACTCATCCGCTTCCGTTTCCAGGTCCTTTCTCAGCGCATTGATCCTCCGGAGGAGCTGCCCGAGGAGACCGTGTTGATGATTTCCTCGGACGACAGGAAATCGACCAGGAGCCTGTGCAGGGACCGCATCCTCTGGTCCTTGATCACCGCTTCCTTCCCGCGCGGGTTCCTCACAAGCTTGAGCTTGGGAAAGCGCAGCAGACCGCGGCGGAGCAGCCTCGTGCCCACCCTCTCCCCGCGCTTGTGCCGCTTGGGGAGGTGTCGGAAGATGCTCTGGTTGCTCACCTTGCCCTCGGATCCCTGCTTGGACATGAACTCCGGACTAGGGACATAGTGCTTCCTCAGCGCCGCCGTGGATGGAACCAAGCACCGTCTTGTAACCATGGCGACATAGTGCGCTAGCGCAAGCATGCCTCTCACCTGCGCGATGACGGACACTTGGTCGCAGCGCCCCTTGACCTGGTACGTTGGCGGCTCCTCTCGCTGTTCGTAATCCCAAAACATCAAGATCCAATCCGGCTTCTGTAACACCTTGAACCATTCGGGACCTAGATCTTCGCCTTTGTCCTTCCTTTTCCTCATTTCCTCCATGCGTTCCTTGTATTCCTCGCAATCCCTGTTATACTTTTTGCGCATGCCGGTTTTCTTGCCCATAAATCCTCTCGCCCACTCCGCACTCTCGCTGTTCCGGGGTGGGATACCTTTGCCGACCCATTTCTTCGAACCGTCCCGCCCCACTACCCATTCCCCGCCCTCGTCCAGTAGCTCGTGGCTTTCTTCCAGCTCCCTAATGGACATGTAGACATAAGACAGCAGGTGCATCTCCGTTAGTACTTTCCTGAATATGCTCCTCAGCGAGTCGACAAACAGCTGTCTCTGTTGGTCCTCGCCCTTGATGATGTCCGGGAATAGGTTGCTGTAGTGCTGGTTGTACTCGTCACGCATGCGCTCGTGGAAGAAACGAGGGGAGTGTATGAGGTCGTACAAGTGGTCCCGGACGGTGTTCGCCTGCGTGATGAAGCACTCGCCCAGGAGCTTGGAGCCCGGCTTCCCAGCCCTTTTATCCGCCCTCACCCTCTGCCAGTGGTTGAGGAATGGAGACGAGGCCAGGAGCCCAACGGGAGTCTTGTCCCTGGCGCCCAGCGCCAGCTCCGCCTCTGCCCAGGCACGATCCACCGCCACTGCCGCCGCGTTGCGTGGGGGCGTTGCGCTGAAGCACGGTATCGAATTTCATGTCCACCCGGTACCCGGCATGTTGCATGAGCTTCATGCAAAGAATCCTCACAAAGGTGTACGTCAGCACTTGCGCTTTGAACGTCACCCAGCAGTCGCCGACGCAGAGCACATTCCCTACACTCATCTTGTGGTAAAAGGCATCAGCATTCTCCATATTATATGGGATGAGGCGCGGCACTATGTTGGTGTGGGCAGAGAGGTCCTCGTCCGTCTCGTCTGGCATATCCCACGTCACGGTGTGGAGAGAAAAAGGCCCGGTGAGGATTCGTAAGGCGCGACCGAGGTAGGTGGAGATAAAGTCCTGACGGATAAAGTGCACGGGAGCGACGGTCATGCGGCTGTAGATGAATTGCATGACCCTGGTAGGGTCGTTGAGCTCCTCGAGGTTGATATGCGGCACGAGATAGTGGTGGGCAATCCTTCTCGTCCAGACATCGTAGTCCTTTTGGTGCTTCTCAACTGTTGTCTTGTGCCTCAACTTCTTGGTCTGGGCGAGCAGGTTGCGGTCTTCTCCTCGGAGCCTCGAGTGGCAAAGTTCAATTCTATCGTGCATGCTTAGGTGTTGACTCATGGTGGGCCAGAGTGCGGGGTCGGGGTTGATCTCCTTGAACTCGGACTCGAAGTGATGGAGGCTGGAGACTGCGTGCTGCGGCATCGGCACCTTGGCCTTGCGTCCGGGTTCGAGGTCGGGATCTCTATTAATCATCAAGCTCCAAGACTCCCGGAGCACCTCGTGCAGTTGTGAGGGCGAGTCCTCTCTCCACGTGGCGGGGACTGCGCCAGTACCTCGACAGCTGCGGAGATGTCCTGGAAATAACCTGCGGTCGTCTGCCGGGTCCAAGTGTACCAGTCATTGATGTTCTTGAACATGCCCTGGAGGAGAGGCTCGTATGTCGTGAAGCCCGGGTCCGGATTTTCCGTCACTTGGTCTGCCAACACGTGCGACTTCCGCAGATGGCTTTTTCCTCCACTCGCGGCACAGGTGCCCCGGCTCCGGCCATATATTTGTGTACTGGGGAGGGAGGATCCCGCGGAGACCCTGGGCCGCTTCGGGCGTCGGGAGGAACGGCTCCAAGTAGGGTCCATAGTCGACAAAACACAACGGGTCTGTTTCCATTCCCGTTGGGTACCAAACCATGTGCCGATGCGCATCTTTATCGTGAGGGCCGTGAGCATTGTCTGGTTCTAATTTCTCATCTTCCACCACCTTTTCTCCCACGCCGAATGTCTCTTGCTCCACCTCGGCGGCGTCATTCTCTAGGATGAAGTTGGGTCGGGCGGAAGCCCCTTGCTCAGATGGAGGGCTCATGACGTCGGGCGAAGGTTAGTCGAACGGGAGGATAGGGTAGAGGGAAACCCGGCTCCGAGAGAGAATGATCGAGGCGCGCTGTTGTGCGATTGATCGTGGTTAAGAGTTTAACTCGGGCAAAGTAAGCCGGGATAACGGCAATGGCTCTTGGAAAGCCACGGGTTTAGTTTCTACGGGGAATCAATCCAAGAGGTGTGGGGGATAGGAGATCTTCCCAAGATGCTAATCTATATGGTGAAATAACGGATACATGATGGATGACGGAAATAGCATCCGGGAATGGTAGGAAAGGTGGGGAATTCCAAAAAGAAAAAGAAAATCCAAATCCTCAACTTGTGCCTGGTCTTCATCCCGACATTCAAGTGACGCAGACGTAGGACCTGGAATGTGGAACGGGTTTCTTACCTTCGAGCGCCAGTAGTCTTTTAGACTGGCCGAAACAAAGAGCAGACGTCAAAGAGGAGCAGTGAGGCCTTGGCCGAATCTGCCTGTCGGTCCCATTTCCCAGGGAACAGCATACCTGCACAAGAATGAGGATGTGTGCGCATCGGCGCCAATCCTGGCCCATAATCCTTATCTTGTGTACTTGGCCAACTTTCTTTCTTTCCTTTTTCTTTCTTTCGTTGAAAGGTGAGCGAGACGACTTCATGCCGATATCCTTGAGATGCCGCGAGCCTCTTCTCGCTCATCATATGCCAACGCTGAAGCCGAACGAGCCATCAAAGAGGTCGAGTTTCTGTGGGGGTATCCTTGCGCAACCCTAAGTTCTTCAAAAGTAGGGACTACGTTTTTGGGATAGTAGCGCAGGAGGAAGTCCATATCCGTCTCCGTCAGTTCGCACATCTCTTCCCAAGAAAGTGTGTCGCTGACCTTTGTCATCCTGGACGAATAACGTCAGTAATCAACATCCGTATGCATGCAACTCTACAGCAGGGCAGGGAGGAAAATGCGGTAGGGCGGTATGGTGACTAAGAGTACGAAAGGAAATAAGAAAGAAAAAAAACAAGAAAGCTTACCACGCCATTCGCTTTGGTCCGTCTGCGTGTCCGGGCGCAACAGCACGAAGTTTAGTCCGAAGCACGCCAATGGATTCGATGGCATTGCCAGCGTTTGCAGGAAGCTTCTTCGCGATGAACCTGCGGATCAAGGCCGCCAGCCTGGGGCCCTTGCCGTTGGTGCTGACCATGATTTGCAGAGGTCCGTCGCGGTGGACGCTCCCGAAGAAGAAGTCGCACTCCGGGGGAACGTCGGCGATATTGGCCGGGATCCGTCGTTCCTTGCAGAGCTTCCAGATGGCCGTGGAAGCGGCCGGGTCGTCGACAGCCACGAGCACCATGTCGGCCGTGTCAAGGTCCGCGGGCTCAAAGTTGCGAGCTTTGTGGCTGATCTGCCCTTCCGCGACCCGATAGGCCACCTCTGGGTTCAAGCCGGAGCCGGGGCAGACGACGGTGACGATGGCATCAGCATTGAGGCAGTGCACAATGCGACCGGCTGCTACCTACAACGGGCCTTAGTATTTAGAGAGCATTTTAGACGAGCTGCACGGCACAAGACCCCAGGCCGAGCTCGCAGCTGACGCACCAACGAGAAGGCACAAAGGGGAAGGGCGCCGGTGGGGAGGGGGAGAAGAAGAAGAGGGAGTTGCTATGGATTGCATACCTCACCGCCACCAACTATCAAGATATTCTTGCCCTTTGCCTGCCACGCAAGGATCAGACTGCCACCGGGCTGAATCTGAGGGAACTGGGATTTCTTTGAAGTCATCTTTAGAGGGGAAGAGATATGATGGTGATACGCTAGATGGAATTCAAGCGGATGTGTGCTATAAGATTCCGGCAAGGCCGTTCAAACGTCGACTACAACTCAGGAGTTGAGATTGAGGGGGATGGCGAAGCAAATCTTCAGCTGCTCCCTGTCACAATGGGGTCTTGTGAACCGGGGTGGAGGGCCCGGGCCAGGGGGCGCAAAGGTGACGTTCTTGGAGGTATTCTCTTTTCCCCCAACGCCCTCTGAGTGGCTGTTACTCAAGCTTGTCTTTCCTTGAGGGGCGATAATTCAAAGCGTCTAGTGCCCGACTGAAGGTTGGTGGATGGCGTCTTGTCGAATATCACAAAAATAATTTTTAAGAGCTCAAGCAGGGAGCTGCCCAATCCTGAGAGAAAAAAGCTATGATCGATGAGGGAAGCTCCGACTGTGCGGTTTCTTTTCCACACTATACGGGTAGCCTTTGATCTTGCCCAATGCGTCACGTCACAGCAGCGTCATGGCACAAGTACACAGTAGATTTCTCCTCTCAACGAGAGCAGGAGCGACCGCATCAATCATATTGCTGATTACATGCATTTGTTTAAGATTCACCCCATGGGCTCTGTATTCGACCACCGCCGGATTTATTGCAAAATACTTAATAGGCATGATTGGGATTGGCGTCAGCTCCTCCCATAAGAGGTTTCGAGGCTTTTTGCGTAAAGTTTGGCACGAGAGCTTCACATACTTCGAGCGAATGGAAGCTGCATTCAGGTCGGGATGGATGGTTTGAGTCAGCACATAGCATATGATTTATTGCCTGCTGCGAGTACATTATCTAGGCTTCGCTGGGCAGAGGCCCTTCATCTTCAGCTTGACTCTCTGGGGCTGTCGACCCTTACTATTATTACTTGCACTTTGGAAGCTTGGGCAAAAGGGGCACGACTCAGCTCTCGAACGAGAAGGATTCGTTCTTCATGCAAGAAGCGACGCAGGACGCATGTTGTACTCCTGCTGAAATAACCCCCATTCGTGCATGGCGGGGCAAGTTATAATACTAAGCATTAATATCCCGTCTTAACGGGGATGTGCATATAGAAAGCCCCAAGCTAGGGATCCCTGCCAGCTCTGGCCCAATGATTGGATCACGGTGCAGATGCTCCAACAGCAGGCATTCACTTGCCCACCGTCCTCACCCACACCCGCTACCACCACCACCAAAGCCAACCCGCGATCGCCGCCCCTCGAACCCATTGCCTCGCAGCCCTCAATGGTGTCGGCCGCAAACCTCGGCGAGCTAGCACCGCCCGCCCCTCCCACCTCCGCTTGAGCCGACCTCGTTTCCGCCATCCTACCTCCCTTGTACCCTTCTCCTCGACGCCGTGTGCCCCTCGTCCTCCCAGCTTTCCTTCCTCGAATCTGGCAGTCCCGCCCCTCCACCTGGACCAAGTCCTGGCCGAAAGTCCCGGCCATGTCCGGACGCAAGTTAGGCGGAGGGAGAGTGCTGGGCTCTGGCAAAGGCCTAGCCCCTCCAAAACCGGTCAATGTCCCGTCCCCATCACCCCTCCAAAGGGTGAGCAGCCCGTTGCCCTCCGATGCCAGCTTCGAGCCTCAGTCCTCCGATAACTCACCTGCCCCTTCGACGGGCCTCCCTGATTTCCCGCAAGACCTCTCTACACATATCAGCATTGGTCGGCAGAACAGCACAGCAGAATCAAACTCGCAAAAGCTCCTCTGCCCAATATGTAACGAGGAAATGGTATGCTACATCGCCCACTGTGACCTAGGGAACCACAAGCGCTCCTCCTAGAGTGTGACGAATCTGGCAAGACGTTTTGTACTAACCATCCTTGCTACATACAGGTCACCCTTCTACAACTTAATCAGTAAGTCTAGAATGGTTCTTGACTCTTCATTTGCCTACGACGCCGTAAGCGCTAACCATTTTCTCCGTCTAAAAGGCACCTTGACGACTCTCACCAGGAACTTCCCGAAATCGAACAAGACGAGGTCAAAACTTGGTTTGACAAGCAAGTCAGAAAAGCCAAGCGCTTCCAGCCGCTTTCCGTTATAAACCAAAAGCTCCGCGGCCTCGAGGTATTCGAGTCCAACGACTCGGACCTCGTCGTTGCCTCCGGCTCCGCACGCGGCCCCGGCCAGCAACGCCCCGCCGACTCCCCGTCGACCCGGACGAGCTTATTACCAGATATCACTGGCAGCACCAAACGGCCGACGACCTTTGCACCGACCCCGCATGCGGTCGCAGGCTCGGCGCCGTGAATGGGAGCATCAACTGTCGAAAATGCGGCAGGCTGTTTTGCGAGGCCCACACCATGTACCAGATGAAACTCTCCCGGTCGGCGCAACACGACCCCGTCAGGGATATTGGGCGCGCGTGTGCGAAACGTGCTACAAGTCACGGGAAGGGTATAATGATCACGAGGAGCTTTAGTAGACCATACCCACGCGTTTACGGACCTGAGGCGACAACGGGTCGAGCGTCAAAACCTAGACTCGGCGCGCTTGGAAAAGCGGTTGACGAAACTAACTCGGCTGCTAGCCAGCCCACCCGAACATGTGTCGTCCGGACCCAATCCCATCTTATCGCCAGTCGCCACGCTCACCGGCCAAAACTCGTCGAGAAAGCTGCTCGAGCAGTCCGTGGTCACTTGGGAAGAGGACGCCTCCGTCGCGAAATGCCCCTTTTGCAGACAAGACTTTGGCTCGTGGACCTTTCGTCGCCATCACTGCAGGACATGCGGCCGCGTGGTATGCGCCGACCCGCAAACCGGCTGCTCCGCCGAAGTAGGTTTGAATGTCGCAACGCGTAAGTACACCCCTCAGCTGGTAGCGTAAGCCTCTAGCTAACCTTGTTGGGGGTTTTCTTCCCGCTTTCCCTTTCCCGCAGCAGCTAGTCATCCCGCCGAAAAGCAGTCCCCGCCCCCGGCGGCGGCCAGCTCAGCATCGACGTGCGCATGTGTCGCGACTGCAGCCGCACCATCTTCGCCAAGCGCGACTTCCAGGCCTCCCTCACCACCAAGCCCCCGGACCAACGCGCCTACGAAACTCTTCGCCAGTTCGAGCGCGGTATCCAACAGCTCATGGAATTGTTCCAGCGCTCTCTCCTCCACCTCCAACCCGATGACCCGACCCCGACCCACCTGTCCCCGTCGGCGCTGGCGCGACAGCCCCTCCCACGCGCAGATCAAGGAAGCCTCCAAGATCCGCAAGCGCCTCATCGACTCCTTTGCCAAGTACGATTTGGCGTCCCGCCGCATGCGCGACCTCCGAACCACCTCGGACCAGCAGCTCCGCCTCCAAAAAGCCGTCTACGCCGCCGCCTCCTCCTTCCTCCACGCCAACATGCTGCCCCTCAAATCGGTCCCGCAGATGCTCCGCAACCAGCAACGCCAGCACCAGCAGCAGCAATCCCCCGCCACCAACTGCAGGCCCGCCTCCTCCAGTCCCCCTCCTCCCCTTCCCCTTCCTCCTCCCACCTCTCCCCGCTCCGCAACGGCGGCGGCCCCTCTTCCACTTCCGCCGTTGACGCCTCCGAGACCGCCTCCCAGGCCAGCGAGACCAGCACCATCGTCTCCGCCCTCGAGACCGAGGAAAAGGGCCTCCGCGAACGCCTCGTCGTCCTCGACGAGCAGCGCTTCATGGTCAAGCAAATGGTGGACGCCGCCCGCGACGCCCGCCGCTTTGAGGAAGTCACCGCCCTGTCCAGGAACTTGGACGAGCTGGACGAGGAGATTGACAGGGTCAAGAGCATGGTGGGCGTCGTGGAAGAGAGGTGGCAGGGTCTGTACGCCTCGGGGAGCATATCGTAGCCGACAAGCAAAATAATGAAGAAGAGAAGAGAGCGAGCGAGTGGGCTACCCACCGACCAGCGCTCTTTTGGGGGAAGCTATTTTCTTTTTTTTTCTTCTTATTTTTCCTTCTTAGTCTCTCTTGCCCTCTCTTCTCCTACTATTTGGAAGAAGCAGAAGAGGCGAATGAGGCCTGGCGTATCTCCTGGAATGGGCGTACCGGAAAATGTGGGTTTGTTTTTCGTCCTAAGCTTCCATACCGGCCATCAACTAGCATAGCATGGTTTTCTCCCTGTTTACAAGTATCAACATAATAGCATAGACGGCGTACTATACAAATCAAATTTTCTTCTCTCATTCCTCGCTGTGATTCCATACAAACCCATGACCATATGGCACCTCCTCCTTGACACTTCGTAGCCTTAGCACATTATCATGACATCCGAGGCGGAGGGAACCAATAGTTGAAAGCTCATTATTCTTATTCTTATTCACAGACGGTTTAGCATATATGCCCGGAGCTAATTCCATCCAGGCAGTGGAGAGGCAGGAAAACAAAAGAAAACATAAAAGGTAGAAAGAGTTGCCAGTCCTGCTCATATCAGTAACATGGAAGTAAACATGAGAAAAGGGAAGCCAAGACTAGAGGCAGCAAGAGTAGGAACAAGGAAGAATAAACAGATTTTTGAGCAGATAGAGATGCAATGCGCCGAAATGGAGTAGACCCAGACCCATTAGAAACAAAAAAAAAAGGTGTAGAATAAGACACAAATCGCCGCCCGCCGTTTGTAGAACCGCCCCAAATGCCCGAATACCCAAAACGTTTGGAAAAGAGGGGGACGCGACACTTTCAGTCGCGTATCATCATCTTCGACTCGCACCTAACTGCTGGTGCCTGCTCGCACCTCCTCTCTGAACATGGTATCTCGACAACAAACAGACATGAAAGAATGAAAAGATGTACAGGAGAGCATGGCCCATCCAGCTCTCGGCGTTAAAAGGGTGCGTTAAGGGTATCGTCCCGACCGCGGACTTGCTAGGAAATACCACGGGGAACGTTGAAACCCCTAGCATCATCTAACGAATCGGACCGGTCTCGACACCGCCCAAAAACCGCCTTACGCGACCAATCTCCAACTCTCCTTCTCGCTCTCGACAGCTCTCAGTAGGCTGTCGATCACGACATCGATGTCGCCCTCCGGAACAGCGGTGCACAGAGACACAATTCGACGGTACTTGAATTCGACCTCACGGCTGCGGCCCTTGAGAGCCTGAACCATCTTCCTCGTAGCGTCATTGCGCCCTGACACGGCCTTGGTTCGGGTGCGGATGAGATTTGCGGAAGGGAAATACGATGTATTGTCGGTCGCGGCTTCGAGCGCAGCGCCAAGCTCGGTTTCCCAGGCGGAAGCGGCCTCGGCGCCCTTGGTTCCTTGTCCATCCTCGCGAGCATGCGACAAGTTGACGATTTGTTGTCTACCGAGCTGCTGTTTCCTTACAGCCTCTTGTAGGAGTCTAGCCGCTTTCTTACATCGCTGATTTGACTCGAGGTGGCACGTATGGACGAGTGGAGGTTATCTAGGGATGCTTGTTTGGTCTTGAGCTCGTTTTGGAATTCGGCCGACGTTTGGTCAAGGAGTGTCGAGATGGCTGCGTTGAGTCATTAGTAAACGATCCCATCTTATTGGCGACAGGGGTGGATGCAGGAAGAAGAACGAAGCTTACAGTGGATGATTTGGTCACGGCTCTCTTTGCTTCGCTGAGAGCTGCCGACGAAGCGGCTGGCGTCGTTGTTGGCGTCGCCATGCGCACCATTCTCGCTCGGGCCGTCAACACCAACGCCAAAATCGAGCGGGCAAAGACCAGATCTATTGGCCGTCTTGTTATCGGCGCCGATTTCGAGAAGCTGAGAGATGACGCTCCGGTTCCCGTTCTTAGCGGCAATGTTCAGAGCGGTGTCTCCGGCATTGTCTTGGGCGTTGACGATCTCGGCCATGAATTTGGCCAGTCCCATCTTTGGCGGTGGCTGCTGTTGAGAGCTATTCGGTGCGCTGCTCGAATGCCCATTGAGGCCATTGGTGGCTTGTTGGCTACTCGGTACGCTTCCCTGCCGTACTATCCACTCCAACAGGCTCTCTAGGTAGTAGCGGCTCGCGGCATTGCGACCCTTTACGGCGCTCGTGACAGCGATGTGATGGAGAACGGTGCGGCCCTTGTTGTCGCGAATCTCGAGCGTGCCGCCAAGGACATCCAACAGTTCGGGGAATGAGGTTAGCTCCATGGAATTCGTAACCGTGACTGCCCTCATAAGGGCAGTATGGCCAGATGCATTCACTCGGTAGGGGCTGGCCCCGCTGCGATGAGAGCCCGGAGGAGTGGAAGACGCGACAGGGCGGCGGCCCAGTGCAAGACTGTGTGGCTGTGGTTGTCAATGGGCATGTCGAGTTCTCTCGGTGACATACCCTTGATGATGTCGTCGAATTTGGTGTGCTCCAGGGAACCGGCGTCAAGGAATAGGCTCAGCAGCGTGCTCTTGCGCTGCTCTGCTTCCGGAGACATCTCGTAGGGCAAGGGGGAGGGGCTGAAGCCGTCGTGGGGCTGCTGCTCGTTGATGCCGGCATGCGAGTAGAGGAAAGATTCGTTCGGCTCGGTGGGAGAGCCCGGGAAGGCGCTCGCAAGAGCTTCAGCGTTGCCATTGAACGCAAAGCTATCCGCCGGGGTCATCGCTACCCGCTGTCGTTTCCTCGGCGGGTCGGGCTGATCGAGCATGTGGGCGGATTGTTGCGTGGAGTAGGCCGAATCGACCGCATGTCCATATTCAGAGGTATAGCTTTGCTGGGAGTTGCTGGGAAAGCCGTCTTCTGGATTCTGGGACATGGAGGTTTGCCTGCTGAAACTGGGGGCTCTGGGGACACCGTTCCTGTTCTTCGCACCGGGAGATTCGAATCGTGCCTTGCTGATTGCGGCAACGGCGTGGGAAGCGGTGCTAGAGATGTTCTTGAAAAACGTCCCCGAAAGGCCATTGTTGCGCTCCTGGGCGCCTGCGTTATACATGCGCTTCCTCATCGCAGCCATGGCCTGCTCCTTGGTAGGTGTATTGAAGTCACCGCGGCCGGCGACACCACCATCCTGGCCCATGTCGTAGGTAAGGAGTGGCCTGAGCAAGTCTTCGACGCCGTATTGCTTGCACACCTCGAGACCGCGCTCAAACTTTACCCAGGTGCCTTGGTATTTTCCATAGCCTCCTTGGACCTTTTCGTGCTCGCCGGTCGCCTGGATCTCCTTTTCCAAGATCTTTGTGCGCTTACCCTTGTCCACTCCTGCGACTTTGAGAATCTGGGTGGCGTTCAACCAGCTGTCATTTCGTCGCCTCATGACAGCAACATTATTGACTTCCATTTCGTACACATCGACGCCGGAATAGATGGCCTAAAAAAGAAAAGGCCCTCGCCGTCAGCAACGTCCAAGACGGCATTGAAGGGTGGATGGAGAAGTAAAAAATTGAGGCCAGCAGACCGCAATCAGTGCATATATGGAAAAGAGCTCGAGAAATAAATCACTTGCCAAGCCGTACACAGATCATCGCAGAAAAAGGGCATCAAGGCGAGTGGTAGAGCTTGGTACTCCAGTGTGGGGGTCAAGAAAGCGAGGGGAATAATGGCAGCAAAAGGGAAACCCGGGTGAACATACGGAGTAGATCTGTGGCGCATCATTCGCCATTAAGGAATTGGCGTCATTAAATGACCGATACATGCCTCCAGCTTGCGACTGTTGGCTCATCGTGAATGACTGTTGAGAAGACGGTTGCGATTGCGATGCTGTCGCCATTGTGATTGTTGGATGATGAGATGTGGGAGGGAGAAAGGGGTAGGACGAGTTGTCGAACAAGTCCGAAGCCACCAGGGTGAAGTTGCCGGCTGGGCTTATTCGGCGTCAAAGTTCGTGAATGGCTACTGGCGATTCTGTGTCATGCCCGGCTGTAAGGTTGCAGGTGTTTATGATGGGTTGGGCTGAGGTGTAAAAGAAATATCGGCAAGAACTGGCCCCTCAAATTGCCAGAAGTTCTTGATGACAGGGTTTTCACTCGACTTTCGGCGACTAAAGGGCAATTGGGATGCGGCGATGAGTTTTTGAGGGGCGCGAAATGTGAGCCGATGCGTGAGGTGAACTTAGTCGGAAGGACAAAGGTTGATGAGGGAGGAATTGAAATGCGCCCGGTGCAAGTGAACCAAAAAAGATGGAAGAAGGACGAGGGGGTGCGGCGGAAGGGGGAGATGCCTAGGAGAATTCGCGCTGGGTGAACTGCAGCTTCCAAGTTGGCCTGCAGGATTGCGAAAATGGGTACAATTACCGCGAAAGGGAAGGGGTGTAAAAGTATATGGCGAGACAGCAGTGGGAAGAAGGGATGGAAAAAAATCAACGAAGATTCACGATCCCGAGGGCGAGAGCTTGGAATTGGGGACTGTCGGCCTGGTGATGGCAACGAACGAGGTTCCTTTCGAAATTGCAGGGATAAAAAGCCTCGTCGGTGGAGGTCAAGGCTTCGGATCAAGGCTCGACAGCTGGAAGGACAGGATATCAAGAGTTTAATTGATTTTGGCCAAAGGACGTGTTCGTTTCGTGATTTACGTGTTGAGGGCGTGACGCGCGACACCAAACTCGTACCGTGTGCGTTGCGTGAGTGCGTGAGAGCGTGAGTGCGTGGGTGCGTGGGTGCGTGCACACTCTCTCTCCCTGCTCCTCTTTCCCTTCTCGATCCGCAAGGGCGGCAGGAGCGACTCAACTGACTGGAGCGCCAGTAAAAACCTGGGAGGCAGGATGGAGAAGCGGTACAAGCCCCACTCTCAACTGAACCAGCAAAGTACTTTGGGTGGTTTTGACCCAAGTACACGGTATATTTCAGAAAGACATCATATTTTACACTGTCTGCCAAGGAGCCACTTCCTCAAACTCGAGTTCAAGGCGCAAAGATCAGTTCAGAGCTTTTACATCAAAATTCAGGAAAATGCAAAATCCTCGCTTTCTTCAGCGTGTAACCCAAGCCCAATAATTTTGCCTGGGAACCGTATCGCCAGATATGCCTTGACACTCTTGCCGGTGGCCGCATCGTGGAAGACCGAGATCCGGGCCACGACTGACGCGTCCGGCAGGCCATTAACAGCACAGTGTCGGCTCACCTTTGTGTCAATGAGAGACCACTTCCAGCACAGACCAGGTCCGAGAAACAAAGGAAACGGGGGCTTACGTGAACAAGCCCTTCGAGTTTGGCGTTACAGCGCCGCTAGCAAAGATGCAAGTCAATCCAAGCTCTCAATGCATGGTGTGTCGAGGACTCCATCATCGACGAGCATGAAGATCACGGCCTCGTCGCGCAGATAAGCCAGCCTCATCTGCATGCACAAATCTTGCAAACAGCATGCAAGCAGATCTGCTCCCCCTCGAAGCGACCAATTAAGCAGGGAGACAATGGCGCTTAACTAGCTCACGCGAGCTCGAGGACGAAATTTTCTTTTTTTCTCCCTACTACCCCCACCTAATCAACACCAATTCACTCCAAAACGGCATCACTCACGATGCTGACGCTCCACGTTCCGATCCCACTATCCCGGCATGCGGTCTCGCCGCGGCACCTCTACCGGCACCTCCTCCGCGAAGCCTCGTACCTCCCACCGATATCAGCGCCTTATGTCGCGACCCGCATCCGGGAAAAGTTCCGCGAGCATATGCACTCGGAGGACCAGATCCGGTCCCGTATTAGCAATGGGCGGCGGCAACTGCGACGGCTCCAGGCGGCCAACTCGGGAAGCTATCGCCATATGCATCTAGTTCTCCTCCACACTTTTGGCCGAGCCGGACCCTCCGCCGAACCCTAATGGCCCGCTTGGTTCGACCCGAGCCTCCCACGTCATCCGTCCTAGCCGCGTCCGAAGACGCCCGCAGCCCCAAGAAAAACAAGGAAGATGCTCGAGCAACCGAAGTCTACAACAAGGCGAAGCAAAACCCGACAACGAAGAAGGGTTTTATTGACTATTGGGACATGGTCAAGCTCCAGGCGTACACCAGCAGCCAGGTCCAGCATGCCGCATCCGGAACGCCCCCGGTAGTTTGGCGCCGAGGTCCGCCCACGAAAACGCTGCCTGTGAACACCATACCGGAGAAGAATATCTGGGGCCGGCCAACACCCGTGAGGGCTATCAGGTCTCTCCTGAAGTCGTGGTGGCTCCGGAACTTGCCAAGAGTAATGCCCCTTTGGGGATGGGAGAATGGGAAACCCTCCGCACGCTCGCCACCAGCAACGAAGCCAGCACGCTCCTCCAGCAACCTCCTCGCCGCACAGTCGCAAGCCCCGTTTCCACAAGCGAACAGACGCAGGCCCCATCGTGGAGGGACTGGGAAGCCTACGCGAGCATGCCAATCTCCCGCATCGATGGGGAGAGGCGAAGGGGTTTCAGCAGTCTGCTAAGGGGCTGTCGTACGAGCCGATCCGTCCCGCGCAAGGTGTGCCCAACCCGCTGTCGAGCAAGAAAATGCGGCGTCTGTGCGGGAACGTTCTCCAAGTGTCGTCCATTGTCAAAGAGGATGACGGGACGGGCAAGGGCTACAGGTCTCGCGTGAAATGGGGCACACTAACACCAGACCTTCCCACCGCCAAACAAACAACCTTCTTCGAAGGTGTCGATAGCACAGGTGCGGCCAAACGGGCGCCAGCTAAGAACAACCAGGACAATGCCCAGGTGTAGAAGGTTGCATTTAACAGCATCGACCCATTCCTTCACCCTCTCCTCCTCCCCACCTACATTAACCACTATTGGAAAACGCCATCACCTGCCAACTTTACCAGCGCCTCCCCGTCCACCCTCATGCCGACCCAATCATCCATCCTCTTGGCACCAATAGACTCATAGAACTTGATGCTGGGCTCGTTCCACTTGAGCACCGACCACTCGAGTCTCCCGCCGTCCATGGCGACCACCTCCCGGGCGAGGTGCTGGAGCAACATGAAGCCGTAGCCCCTCTTGCGCTCCGACAACTTCACGTACAGGTCCTCGAGGTAGATGCCAGGCTTTGCCCTCCAGGTGCTATAGTTATAGAAGTAGAGGGCCATGCCTACCGCAACGCCTTCGGGGGTAAATACCAGGATGCATCTAGATGGCCGCGCGGGGAAGGCGACTCGGTCACGGGAATGACGGAGCCCTGCCCCTAATGTCCCCGGGGGTGCCCACGCGATGGTATTTAGAAGGGTCTCCTCGGTGGCAAGGACGCTGTCCGACTCCTTTCATAGTCGGCAAGCTCCTGAATAAGGCCGAGGATAATTCCCACGTCTACGACGCCGATACTCGTCAGAAGCTTTTTCTCTCCGCGCTTTGGTTTGAAATTCTTGAGGGAACAGACCTTCGCGCCTTGCGTGGGCGGTATATGGGCTTCCCGTCGCAAACCCCGCAGGCATGGTGATGGCGGTGCTGTTTCTGATTTTCCTGTCTTGTGTTGGAACGAATATTGTATAGATTTGCGTTTTTGATGATACCAAAGCTGAAGAAATACCGACTTATATAGAGATAGATGGCGAAATTCACAACCTACTTTTGTCGGTGTGAACGACCTTTTTTTTTTCTTTTTCTCTTCCTTTTGATCTCCGTCGCTCTCTCGTTCCAATGTGCAACCCAGAGATTTCAAGTTTGGATAAAGTGGGGTCTGTTTGACATGGGAGGATTTGAGGCGAGCGTGCGATCCTTACGTGTAGCGTTCAACTACGTAGGCCGTCCTTGTGTGGCCCGCCTGAAGCCGTCATCAAGACGTACGTGCTCAGTGGCGTCCTCTACGCCCTGTTGGTGGAGTCTATGCGGCAGGCCCATGATGGAGGATTTGGAAGGGCGCGGGGTGGACCTGCCTAACTTTCTAAAGTCACACTCGAATCGTTGAACTATTGATGGATCCATAGATGTGTTGCTATTGTTGAACAGACGTCGAGATCGGTGGGAGAAACTAGTAGATTCTCAAGGAACAGGATGGAAAGGAATGGATCCATTGTGCAAAATAACGTTAGATACTCTATTCAATTTTGAGTTTGCCCTTTGTCTTTCTTTGGTGGGGACGGCGAGTCAGTATCGAGGGGGAATGAAGACGGCCAACACCCCGCAATACAAGAATGAAGGATCAATTGGATATGAAGGCGATGTACGTATATTGACGTGATACAATTCCCCAAAGGGCATGTACGAATCAGTAAACGGGTTATACGTTTTGCACCTTTGAATCTGTTGAAATATACAGCTTGGTGCAGGTAATATCCATGGATATGTCCTCTCTTATGAAGTTGGGGATTGTTATTCCAAATCTTGATTTGCTGACTTCAATGTTGCCCTCGTCCAGTGATGGCTCCAGCGTCTTTGCGGTTCCTTTGCGAACCCCCAACCACAGAGTCTACATGTAGGGTCTGTAAAAAAGGTGACTACGAGGAGCTTCGAGCGCACAATGCTCGACCTTAGTGGACCTTGGTTAAATCCATACACGGCCCCGGGGTCCCGGGCACTACTTGTAGCGGGGAGCAAGGTTCCGGCGCTGATGGACTGAGGTCCGCCGATATCGTATCGAGCGAGGTTCCATTGCCGGTTCCAACGACCAGAACGAGACAGGGAGGTTCCGTCCCTCTCACCACATCCATTACCGAAGGGGGCCTTTTATCAAAATCGAAAGGTCCAAGGAGCCATCAATGCTTGTCATGGCTTTGTAAGACCCTTTGTGTTAGTCTCTGCTGAGATGGCAATATGTGTCAACCTCCTCTTCTCCGCTGGGTTGCAGCAAGTCCCTCAAGAGCATTCAGGCGAAACAGATTGAGAATCCGTGTGTCTGTCAGCAGGGCTGGATAAGTCTATATTATTCACCTAGACAATCAGAAGATGAGCGTATAGCGTTTCTGGGGCGAGCACAATGACCTGGCCCATCCATCATGTACTCTCATCGAAGGAGTTCTCTCGTGACAGGTGTAAACGGCTTCAGTCTATGCTTGACACGATACACGTGCCTCTACCCCCAAAACCTTCTTCGACAAGATCACAGGGAAAAGAGGCGGCGCTTGCCGTATCTTCTCAACGACTATACTAAGAAACGAGGCCCCCGGAAACCTTCGAGGCTGTCGACGATGATCGCCCACATCCGTCCCCCATGGTCTCTTTTCTTTAAAAGGGCACGCATGGGATTTGTGCCCTTTGGATAGTAGCTTGCTCACCACCCTCACCTTCTCCTCCCCCTTCTACTTTTCATCCTCATCGTAAACAACCGGAACATTTCCACTTTTCTTAGTTGCAAGAGCAGCAGACACACATGGAAGCTATGGACTCTCCGCCAGACTCTCCACCAGACTCTCCACCAGAATCCCCACCTACCCTCCTAAGTCCTCGCCAAGTCGAGCGCCTCCAGCAACGAACCAAAGCCAGGCTCCAGAAATCGAGACAAGCCATCTACCAAGCCGACTACTCCTTAGAAGCCTGCCAGTCCTGCTCCGAAAAGGGCCATGTCTGCGTTCCCTCATCCTCCAAAGTCGGGGACCCGCTCAGCCCCGCAAACACGGCCGTTCTCCGTACTTATGTCCCGAAACCTCTCCACCCGTTCCTCCCGGCCGAGCTACAGAACACGGAAGCCCCGGCCCCGAGTTTCCAGTCCCAAGTTCCCGTATCGGTGTCCCTAAGACTTGGCAAAAGCTGGAAGCTCCTACGAAATTCATGGCGGCCGAAATGGCTGCCGTACTCGAAACACATCTCGTCGCTTTGGTCGGGAACGGGGAGCCGGATCGCGCGAGGAAGCGGAAACCAAGGTCCCGACGGCGCCGAACCCACAGCACGGAAAGCGCAGACTCTGGCGAGGTACAACGAAAGCGAAAATCTACGGTCCAAGAGGCACCGGTGAAGGCGCCGGGCTTGGTGAAAAGACTCGTGTCCTGGAGCAGCGCCGAATGCTTGGAGACAGCGGTTGAGCAGCAGGGTAACGCACCGGAATAACGACGGCGGGCGTTTATTTTGCCTTTGCCTCTATAGAAATATTTCACACAACAAAAAACTGGAATTTCAAAAAGTATCATGAAAATGAACACCCTCGTGCAGGTCGAGGTACGACTTGCTGGGAGGCTTTTATATTGCGGACGGAGTTACGTTACTGATACAGGCGTAACCAGACAGCGCGACGCTGAGCTTTTCTAGTTTGTTAGAGGAATTATGACTCTTGGGATGGATGAGTACTCAGGGAACCTGTATGGACAAGTTCCGGGTCGTCTTCTCATCTAGTTGCTTGTTCTCTCTGGCTTCCGACTTGGTCGCGATGCCAACTTGAAGATGGACCAACGCGAGGAAACGGTAAAGAGCTGTGAGGTAAGGAAAAGGGTGTCCAAGTTTTGACGGTATTGGGGATTTATACACATGTAGACAAAGTGGGCATGGAATAGCCATCACCGTTTGACACAATTTTAGAATAATCCGGACAAGCTGTTCTCGAAGCTATGCGCATCACAAAGCACCCGGCCCAACACTTCGACTTGACGATGGCGATAGTCATTGAACATATTTCTGAAATGTGCAGAATTACCGCTCTCTAGTCTCAAAGCCAAGACTGCTAAACAAAACTTCGATATAGAAACCGGCGTTCCTCGCCGCAGTGGATCCCCTCGCCCTTTATCCATTCCCTTCCGGAACAAATAGCCTGCGAGATTCTGCATCCGTCCTCCCCTCCATCGAGCGACCACGGTCGAGCCTCGACGGACTGGATTTTGGGAGACCCGTCCTCTCCCCCATCCAATTCGCCCGGATGATTGGCTGGGCCATATTGGGGCCCCTTGGTTTTGATAGTGAGCATGACCGGACGCAATTCCACTCGTCCGCCTACAACCCGAAATTGCATTTTGCGGCGACAACCTGCGCGCAAAACTGGGTATGGTGGTGAGGCAGGATGGCCTAGCGTAGAGCGGACGGGGTGGAGAGGGCCGCCTTTATAGGAAGATGTGGTCCCAGGTTCCAGGATCACTGGCTGAAAGCTCAAGCTTCGTTTTCCTGTTCACCAAGCTCCAGTCACTCGCTCAGTCCTGAGAATCCATACAAGAGCCTCTCCTTCGAGAGCATACATTGGCCTTTTTTTCCGGAAACCCGTCCTTTTCCGAGCGAAATACTTCGATCCGCTCGCTAGCTAATCCTCCACCATGCGTCGACCCGCCCTTGTGACGACTCTCTTCGCCACCCCGGCGCTCCTCCAGGAGCAGCCCGGCGGCTCGTTCGCGATTGGCAATATCAAGGGCGAGGGAAGCGGTTGCCCGACCGATACCTGGCAGCTCTTTGTCGAGGAAGGGGCTTTGCCTTCACCTCGTTCAACGCCACCATTGGGGTTGAAGATGAGGCACCCGCGCTCGGCTGCACGCTTTCCATCGAGCTGAATGACGTGACGGAGGGTTACCGGATTACCGTGGGCCAGATCGATGTCTCGGGCAAGTCTGGGCTAGACACGGGCGTGCAGGCTACGGTCTCGACGTCCACGTCCTGGACGGGCGAAGAAGGAAGCAAGGTAAGGCAGAATATCTGTAGGGTGGACAGTTCGCGTCTAGAACGAGCTCACTGACTCCTCTCCCAAAAACTACAGATGTCCGAGGACCAGGTTCTTCTCGGAAGTGCCGTCGGTATCGAGTTCCCGCTCGACTTCAAGCGGGCGGCACCTTCGCCGGACAAGCGAGCAAATGCGGAGACCCGGCCGTCGAGCTCAACATCCACGTCGATGTTTCCCTGGAGCGCGACGCCGACGCCGAGGAAGCTCAGGGCGAGCTCTCAGTCGCGTTTGCGAGGTTGAGGATCGACATTGAGGAATGCGAGGCCGAGGCCGAGGAGCCCGTCGAGGAAGAACCTACCGAGGAGGAGCCTGTCGAGGAGCCCCCGCGGAAGAAGAAGACCCCGTTGAGGAGGACGAGTGCGTTGTTGACGGCGAAGAGGAGGCGCCCCCTGCTGAGGAGGAGCCCGTGGAAGAGGCACCCGAAGATGAGTGCGTTGTTGAAGAGGACCCGGTCGAGGAGGTGCCCGAGGATGAGTGCGCTACGGAGGAGGAAGGGGAGGCTGCGGAGGAGCCTGCTGAACCCGCCGAACCCGAGGCGCCAGTTGAGGAGGAGGAGCCCGTGGAAGAGGAGCCCGTGGAAGAGGAGCCCGTGGAAGAGGAGCCCGTGGAAGAGGAGCCCGTGGAAGAGGAGCCTGTTGAAGAGGAGCCTGTGGAGGAAGCTCCTGTTGAAGGCGAACACGCCCATGGACCATAGTTCACGTTGCGAATATTTCAACACGACGGAATGACGATGGTATCTCTTTCTAGTTGGGATCCCGGCGAAGATATGCATATTGGTACGTTTATAGACCATACATATGTAATAGCAGACAGCAAACCAAACAAAAAACTTTTTACCTCGCTCTCTCTCTTTTCTTTTATTATTGCGAAAAAAGGTTGAGTTTAGTGATTTCCATAGACTAGGCAACGAATAGAGTCGAGCTTGGTGTCTCTAGTGTCGGGTCACCTTGGGTTTGTCACTTATCAATTCACGAGAAAAAGCCCCGGTCAGTATCTCCCCGGCTCTTGTAGAACAGTTCAATGTGCTAACTCTTGGAAAGGCAGCGGATGAGATTCACAACTGAAGCAATCATCTACAAGCCATATTCAATACATGTAGGTTACATAACCAAGCGGATGCCCTGAAATCAATCTCACCGTAAGAACCTTCTAACAGTGGTGAGTTTCTAGGGAGGGTCACTTCAACGTGCACATCCGACATGCCGCATCGTGATCCCTCACGAACATGCTAGAAATGCCGTCAACGCGAATGAATCCATCTCTATCCATATAATATAAATTCAAAGAATCATAATCCAACGCCTTGTTATCTCTTCTTTTGTCTGCTTCCCGCCCTTTCCTACCGTAATTAACACGTGTACCCTTCGGAGGGCCGATTTTGCTTGGTTTTGTCTGCTCATTAGCCTATATTAACTGCCGCCGCCAAACGGGGAGAGGAGAACAGAGAGTGACGAGCTGGCTGGGGCCACTCAAGGCGTTGGAAGCTTCTCGAGGTCCGAAACGGCCTCCTCTCCACCTTAACAGACATTAATTACACCCATAAAATTCATGTCTTTTGCTACGGGAATTAATTACCCTCGCCTGCTGGGAGACCTGTCACCCACTTACCCCGGAGAGTTATATATTGGCGACAATGCGACAGTGGCGTATGCGTGCACGTAAATGTATCTGTGAGCCAAGTGCTGTCCTTATTCATTCGGGAACAAACACGCCCCTCCTCGTGTGATTGTGCCTCTCTTTCTACTTCTCTCTCGCTCCCAAGTCCCGCTGGCGCCGGGAAGACGGCTGTACTCTTTCTTAATTGTCCCTCCTATATCGCTTTTTGGTTCGTAACATGTAGTAAATAAAGGCACTCGCCGTGGCATGCTGACTCCTCCTGCTCCTTTCCACCTTTTTGTCTCCTCTTTGAAGCTTGCGTCCATCGTCAACTTTTCAAAAGACTGCTTGGGGATACCTTTTTCTCCGACTCTCTGTCTGTTGCTCTTGATGGGCGATTCGGCCACCAGCATAGCGGAAAGAGTCGAGTTCCGATTATCTTGACCACTTGTAAAGAAAACCCCCACCACGTTCAACCCCAGTAGAACAGAGTGCCATCGTCTAGACGACCTGCACTTCTCTCAGCTCCAGCCAGCTCCAATCCGGAAGACAGAAAAAAATGAAGCTCCCCACCAGCCTTTTCGCCCTCCTCTCCCACGCCCTAGTCGCCAGCGCCAGCTACTACTGGGACGTGGCCCGCGTCGGGACCGTCGACTCCTTCACATGGACGCCCCCGTTCCCCGGCGACGGCTCCGCCCTGGTCGGCTACACCTCGTGCGAGTCCAAGGCCTACTTCAACGGCACGCAGTACAAGTACATTGACCTGAACGAGGTCCCCCCGTGGGCCTGTTCCCCTGGGCCCCGGCCGTCCGGCACCTCTTCAACACGCGCGCCTACCCCGGCACCTGGCACGGCGTCAACTTCAAGGGCGACGACCGCGAGCTCGTCCTCATGGAGTACAAGGACGTCCCCGAGGCCGCGCGCGACTGGATCGAGGCCCAGATGAAGGACGAGGCTCTGCGCGCCAAGCGCTTCATGACCATCCTCGGCAAGCCCGGCGCCGATGGCAGGGCCCCGCCTACGCGGATATCGAAAACATGTCCCCGAGAACAAGATGTTCATCTTTGCGCCCGGCGAGCTGTACAACTTTTTACCTCTCTGGGTGGCCAAGGGGTCCAAGTGTGAAAGTAAGTATTTTCTTTTGTCTCTCCCACCTTTACAGGATAGGATATGACCAGAACACTAACATGCTTGACCCTTTCTTCCAACCCCGCCGTGCAGACGAACTCAAGAACCTCGACCAATACGTCGCGCCCGTTGTTGATGACAAGGGCGTTCTCGCCTGGGCTCACACACTCACTCGCCCGGACCGCGACGTCGGCAAGCGCGACGTCTCCTTTGAGGTGGATGCCCGCTACGTCATCGAGACGGAGGAGGGCCGCGCCGCCCGCGTGTTCTGGGAGAAGGCGCACGCTATGGGACGCCGCGCCGAGCGTAAGCGAGTGAGGGACGAGAGGCAGGGTAAGAGAGAGCTCAAGCAGGCTCAGCGGTCGGATAAGGACGAGCTCTGAAAGAATCTCCCTAGTTAGAAAGGCGAATTTTTCTTTTTAATATGGGAATGTGGTGGGTAGGAGGAGCTCGGTGTTTACGATACGATACCAGGATAGCATTCGCGAAGATTTAGTTTTTTTCTTCTCAAGTTGAAGGGGGAGTGGGAGAGTGGCCGCTGGGTGTGTGTGGTGGCTATTTCAAACATATTAATTGGGGATAGGGGACTCTAATCCAAATCAGTTAAATTTTACATCTGCCATACCGCCCGTGAATCCTTTGTGTAAAGAACTTTGAACAAGGTGGTTGTCCGTTGAGGCAATCAAAAGATGGTGCGGTACGGTGGCGAGAACTGCTTCAGTGTCTCGTGTAAGTTGGTTCAGTCATGTCAACTGACGCTGCAACAGCAACAATATGGCTATCTCAATCAATTACGTGCGTATTTTCACGTTAAGGAAGTGGCAACGTACATCCATGTGTGGCACACCAAGAATCTCGCAGCGAAAATCTTCTGTTGCAACTAAGAAGCTGATTTCTATCGTGGCGTCACTCTTTGTTTTGTTTCAAATCATTTAACTATGTTCATTCATTCAAATTTGCAGATGCCCGAGGTCCCTTCCGAAGCCATCCATGGTAGTTGGAACACACCTCCCAAAAGATAGGAAACGGGGTTTCATGACCAAGTAAACGGTAAGGAGATGGAGAGAAGAGAGATAATAAAAAGTATTGTAAATAAGTAACAGGTGAAACCAAGCCAACGGCTGTCGGACTCCAATATCTAGCGCCCCTCTCGTTCAAAAGGGAGCGTAGCATTAGATCCGTGCCCTCTTTCCCCTTCCTCGGCTCAAAGGCGCGCGCCGCTTACTCTCCGCGACCGAGGATTCTCCTGAGGAGACGACGGCCACCACCGAAGCCGGGGAAGCCGGGAAGCCACCGCCGAAGCCACCGCCTCCGCCGGTAAGCAGGGCAACGGGGCCGGTGGGGTTCATGACACCACCGTCAGCGGTCCAGAACGCGGCGGGGTTGACCCTGAGGTTGTTCTGCATGTTGACACCGAAGCGGATCCAGGCGTAGAGACCGTCCTCAACCTTGTCGCCGACGAGGGCGTAGCGGACGATGGGGTCATCGCCGTTGGCGCCCATCATGAAGAGAGCGTCGCGCACGTTGGGGAGGATGGTCATGGTGTTCTGCTGGTAGGGCTGGAGGGTATCGACGTCGGTGATGAGGCCCTGGTCGAAGTAGATTTGTCCGACGTGCGCCGCACGGCCGCCGGTGATGGTGTTGTTCGCCTCGAGCTTGGCATCGAGGTAGACGATGGCTAAAGTGCGTTGAAAAAGAACCAGTTAGCTTGCTGTTTACTATCGCGGCACTGGTGGGTAGTTAAGGGTGGTTAAGATTTGACTTACAGTGGATGTGGGTAGCACGACCATCGTAGTGGCCGGGCATGAGGGTATCGAAGGTAGCGATACCATCGGAATCGGTGGGCTGAAGGCCACGGAGGGTGGTTCCCTTCAAGATGGAGGCATCGTTCGGGTCACCCATTCCGGGGTAGCCCTGGACACCGACGTAGATACCCTGGCGGAGCAAGAGTCGTTAGCTTTGCTTTCTAGAATTATCATTATCAGGCAGAAAGCCCAAAACTTACGGTAGCGTTGGAGCTCCAGATATCCATGTACGCGTTGGGTACGGGCTCGCAGGTGCCGACATCGACAACCTGGATGGCCAAGGTCATCTTGAGACCGGTCTCGCCGTTGGTGATATCCTTGCGGACCTCCTCACCAAGGACATCTGCAAGCATATAAGTCAGCTCATCCGCTTTTCTCATGCTTTTCCAAGTTTCGGTAGCTTTTGGAAGCTCGGATTAAGGGGAAAAATGCCCTCAATCCTTTTTTGTTTCTTTGAGGCAAGACTTACAAAGAGGGCCCTGGTCGACAGAAGGCATGAGGATACAGGCACCGGCATCCTCGAAGAGGGCGCTGGGGGCCATATCGAATGTCACCGTCTTGTCCGACTTGTGGTCGATCTGAGAAACAGAGAGGTAGTCTCGCTTATGGATCGAGGGGCTAAATGCAAAGTGATGATTTCGTTAGCACCCCTTTGCCATGACTCCCAATAAGTGCCCCCATCTCTGTCGCTGAAGCCACTTTTACGTCCCGAACCAACGCATGCAGCGACGCCGTGCCATCCAATTCAATTTCCCACTTTAATGGTCATGGATGGTTTCGCGCGCGGGATACATGGTGACGTGACTATCTCAAAGCTTACCTGTCTGCGGGCTCCATGCCGATCGATCGGCGGAGCCTGAGGAACTCCTCGCCATGCTTCTCAGTGAATCGCTTCGCGAAAGCGGGCTCTTGGAACTTGCCGGCGCAATGGTCGAGGTTGCGTCCCAAGAGAGGGCGGGCGGCGTGCGAGGGAACCCGCTCGTGACCAGGGTGCGCCAGGACGGCCGGGGCGGCGGCCAAGAGACCAGCAAGGACGGACTTGAGTTCCATTTTTCTTTCTTTTGTGTGCTGTTGGGTCGATTCCCTGGGTTGAGAACTTCTAAGAAGGGAAGAGTCGAAGAAGAGAGAGACCGAGAAGGTTAAAGAAAGCTCTTTTGTTATCTGGCTCCCACAGCTTTATCGAACAGCAAAAAAGGGATGGAGGAAAGGAGTGAGAAGTCCGACACTACTATCCAACGAAGGAGGGGAGGGCAAGAATTAGGAAAGAAAAAGTAGGAATATATTTCCAGGGAACGGAGGGCCTTTTCTATCCATTTCCCTTTTCGTTTTCATTTCAGCTTTTTTCCCAGGCCCGACATTGTTTTCTTGGTTCTCGGGGGTGGTTCTCGCTCTCGTCCACTTTCCCGGGGGCGTGCGGAGTGATTCTCCCATCACCGCGCCGCCTATCTCATCAATATCTTCCTCCACCCCAATTCATTACCCGGGCCTGAAGCGGGCCTTATGCTCGCCCTCCACGCTGGGGGTAACCCCTCCGTCTTTGCCTTCTATGGGTCAATAAGTCCCAATGGTCCGACAGTTGTATAAAGTCGTATAAGGGCGAGCGCCCGAGAGTAGAGAAATCTAGAAGGGAGACGGGCCCGTACCAGTGCGTAGACACGTATACCCTAAATCAACCATACACACCCCGACGAAAGTAGAAAGTAAGAGGATGGTGATTCGCTCAAACCATCTTGATCGAAGGGCCCAAGGAACTTCGCCTGCATGACCTGGCTGTACCCCGTACCTTACTAGCAGGATCAGTTTCTTGGAAGGTGGGTGCGAGGAAAAAGAAGACGAGCTGATACTGCCGCCGGGAACAACTTCCTTTCGCGCCTGTACAAGAGGGAAAAAAGAAAAGAAAAAAAGGAAGAAAAAAAAGGGCCTATCCGGGATCTTCGATTCACCATCCCTAATAGCACCATGTCAGACAGATTTACTCCGTGCCGGGAAGGTGGAGAGGGGCCCCGTAGCCTGTGGTTTGAGGGCTTGGATGAGGAATCAGAGCCTGGCATTGAAATTTTCAATGATAAATTTAATCTATGTCAAGTAGAGATGAACGCGTACGCTACTCTCGTTTGTGGGGAAACAAGGTTAAGGATTGGCGGCGGGTAAATCTGGGGAATATCCCTTCGACCAAGGCCCCGTGGCCATCATCAGGAACCCATCAAGACAGCGCCATTCACCCACTTTACCCAGATTACTGGTTGTATTCTCCGGCAGTCATGGAGAATGGCAGACCCTGCCATTAAAACGGATATGTAATGGAAGGCTTCCGCTTGGCCGCTTAGCTTTTGTCGCTCCGCGCGGTGGGGTGAGGCGGCCGATTGACTCCAACTCCCCAACTCCACGGGCGCTTCGACCGGGTGGGTGACGTTTGCTCGCGGGGTTTATTCCTCGTTATCGTAACCCTCGTTCCTAACCCTCGGAGTAACAACCCTGTGCGTGTTGACGCGGGCGGAAAAGGCAAGTTCATCAAACAGTAGGGTTCTTACAAGGAGTCTGTGTTTGTCCCACCAAACCTGGGTTCGATCATGCAGATGCCAGGCATCCCCGGGTGCTGAGTGCATGTGTAAGGTGGTGGCGATCTACGAGAGATGTCAAGTCAAAGGGAGGGCAATACTTGCGAGATGACCAAGCCGGGAATGCAGACCACCGAGATTGGCTTTTGTGGTGTGCTGAGAGGGTGGGATTCCGCGTGATAGCTTCGATTTTCACGCCAACACCTTGCAGATCGCTGGGCATCATAGACATATTCTGTCTCTGACATTTGCCCTGCTACTTAACTCCATAATCATGCTTGCTAGGCACATATTCCTAGTCTAGAATGCCTTATTTTGGGCTGGAAGGTCCGCTATAATGCAATCTTTGAGAGAAGCGCAAGACTCCTCCAACAATGAAGGAAGAAGACGGCCCTGTCAAAGCCCGCTTGGCTAGAAGAAAGGGGCAATGAATGCTGCTTTGCGGATCCAAGTGCTCACCTCATGATTCAAGCTTTCTGCTCTCGCGTGCCGGGCGGCTGCCCACCATTTCCGCTCCCCACCGGACCTTGAAAGGGCGATTCGCCGTCCCGCCTTCAAATCAGACGTGCCGAATGCCGAGATAGAGTTAGCATTCTTCTGCTTCTGCTGTTGGGGAGCGGCCATATACTATCGAAGATGGAGCCACCACGTCAGATGGGAGGAAGCACACAGCCTAGCCAGAAGAAACAAAGAACAAAATGCACTCCCACACCCCACCCCGTCTCGGCTGTCAGTTCGGTCTTTACATCCGGGTACTAGTGGGGTTGTCGTATGGGTATGCAATCTGACTGAGATTTGCCGTGCAGATGCCATGTTCCATGTTCCATGCCACCACCTTAATAAACAAAAGAAAGAAGAAGAAAAACGGGATTGTTTGAGGGTTTTTCGCTGAAGCTTTGCCACTGACTCGCGTGCTATTCGAGTAAAGAGGGCCACAACCTCTCTGTTCCCGGAAGATTGACCTTGGGAAGGCGCGTTGCCAAGACGATTTGGAGAACCGCAAGTGGGGAAGGGGAGAGCCGTGGAAGAGACGGCACGTACTCGAGGCCGCGCACCCCAATAGAGGGGACTAGTCCTTTGAGTGTTTGAGTGTGACTTACGTCAACTTTGGTTTCCCGAGACTTAGTTCTACCCACCGGAAGGAGCTACACGAGATTTGGGCTTCCCAAAGGCGCACGTACGATTATATCGGCGGATATATGATTGGATATCGCCTTCCTCAAGTCGAGTTGGGTTGGGGAGGTGCCATTTGGTGGTGGCAGGGATTGTGGAGCTTGTCAAAAGCGGGAGAAAAAAGGAAGTGGAAGAAACGTGTGCCTTCCGTAATGCGAGAGGGGAAATTTTCGACAAAGCTTATGGTTAAAGACAGCCGAGTGATCTTTCCGTGTTCGAGTGACTTGGCTAGAGAAGACGCAATATTTCCGGAAACGACGATCCACTTCCTATTCTGAGTGACTTTGTCATCTCCCGTGAGGAATTCCCGATATCTCATAGAGTGATGGGTAGAACCTTGGGCTTCAACACGTACATCGCAATTATGTCAAGATGATATTTTGCCCGCTAGTAGCAACGGTGGAAGCAAGAGGAAAGCGAATAGATCGGGGCATACTTGTCATTATTGAAGGTAAGTAAACAAAGAGTGTATTTAAAATTTAGTAATATTATACAGATCTGAAAGCGGAGTAGGAGCTGAGTCGTAGGTCATTAAAAAGCGTATAAAACCGGAAAAGCCGTAACGTTGGGAGTGATGAGGTGTCCAAGACATGCCCCTTCGTCCTTCGACAGGAAGTAGTCCATGGAAAAGCAGCGACAGGCAACCAACATGCGCCTGTCAAAATATGAAAAGATATGAAATTTGGTTGTCGAGCAAGACTCTCGAGCGTGGGTATGCCGAGCCTCAATACCGAGGGCACTATGAAGCAGAAACAAAAAGAAATCGAACGGTTCTATAGTGTAGGAGAAGCCGATTTTCCGTAAAGCTGCCGATGAAGCGTAGCCAGAAATACCCGCCTCCACGCGCACGTCGTTCGAGTGGACAACGGCAGAGCCGGTCCTATCCTATTTCGAGTAGATATGGGCTTGTCGACTGATGAAGTAAGTTGGTTCATTTATGAGTTTCTCCTACTGCCTGGTGGACGGACGTAGAAAGCTATGCACACGTTGTATTAGCAAATTGTGTTTTGCTGCTGCTGTGGAATGGGGAAGCGCAAGAGCGCCGCGGAGTTGGGGGAAGCTTACCGCCAGGCTTTAGGGCCGCCGCATACATGACGGAGGATATCGGTCCAAGGTCGTCGTCGGAGAACGTCTCTGAGTGTTCATTCCAGAACTGGAGCACGTCTTCAACCTTGTGGGCGAGGAACCTGTCTCTGCCGTACGTTTGGATACCCAGGCAGAAGCCAAACTCCCGAAACGCAAGCCTCCTCCCAGCAGCACGAGAGGTGAATCCTCGCTCAGGGTTCAGGACCCTGTGCGCCAAAGAGAGGCTCTCTTCACCAAGAGTGTTGGCCCAGAGCTCGTTGCCGGCTAGGTGGCACATCCAAAGTCCCATGCCCAGATCCAGCGTGTCGGAGCTGGGAGACATGGTCCGCTTCTCCTTGCGGTTCATCATTTGCCAGTACTCGTTAATCTCGGTCGTCAGGGAGTGCGGTACGAAGGAGTAGTTGAGGCGGCCGGCCGTCCGCTGGAGCAGCGAGTACACGACGTATCCGGTGGCGGCGTCGAGATGGCCTTCCGAGGCGACAAGGACGCGCTTCAGATCCGTGGACACCTTCCAGACCATGCAAAGAGAACGGGAGACGGTCGTATACACGAAGTGAGGGTGTATAGCCTTGGCTAGTTGGATAGCGAGGTTATTGAACTTTTCGTCGCCCGTGCAGACCGCCAGTCTGTTGAGCGCAAACATCCAAAGCGTCAAGTAGTGGTGGTACTGCCCATCACCGTCCCGGCCGTCGGCATCGACTTTGCCGATCCTCAGCCCGCCCTTGAGCGGAGTTTCATTCGAGGCGCCGGGCAGCCTGGCGGTTCCATCTCGGGTCCGTCCCAGGACATCATGGACGGTGCGGACAAGGGACTTGGCGAGCTCGACGTAAAGAAGCTGTCCGGACTCCTTGTATAGGGTTAAGAAGTTGAGGACGCCGAAGGCATCGGTCCAGAGGTACCGTCCACGGTGACCCCCGGCGCCGGGTGTCTCAGGTGGTGTCCAGTTGGTGGCTTCCTCGGCGGTCAGGTCATCAAAGGATCCATAGACCTGCCTCATGGCATCTTTGAAACGTGTAAGGGTGGGTTTGGTGTTAGCCATTGTCGCTATGCTGATGGTTAAGTATTGGGTTGCTTGAAGCTAATGAAAACCAGGAAGACCAGCGCAGGGCCATTGATAATGTTTTTATCTAAACACGCCAGTCACACGGGGTGATAGGAAGAGCAAGACGAAAAGAAAATGAAGAGAAAAACCTTTCTACGTCTTGGAGTGGATGACGTTGAGCTTGGTGATCCGAGCTCGTGGCAAAAAGGAAGGGATCTATGGGTTGAGGAAGAGGGGGCAGTACATGTACACCCTTAAGATTCTCCTCACTTCATCGGTCGATTTGACTTCCCACCTTGCGTAATGGTAAGGATTGTTGAGCGTAAGTAGCACCACCTCTTACCAAACACGTGAGCCATCAGAAGGCACCATGATGCTGACTGAACTGGCAGAGGACAGGCCAAGGGACCCCGAGAGAACGTTTGCTTCTCGAAATGTAGACGTGCACCTTGCTTCGACGTTTCTACTGGTAGGAAAGCTCAACAATCGACCTTGGCCTCCCCATGAATAATACGACTCCCTTCTGTCCGACTTGGCATCCGCAGCCGGACCGACCAGTCACCGTTCGAGAAATAATGGGCGGAAGTGGGGTGGCCTTCGTTCGGGCGCTCTTTTTCTCCATTTCTTTTTCTCTTTGTCAATCTAGGACCTCGACCGGCGGGTGGCGTGGAAGCTTCGCTGTGGCCGCGGTTTCCGGGCTCCAGAGCTCCCTGAAGAGCTTTCCTAGCCCCTGAGACTAAGAAGGGTCCCTCCTCTAACGTTAGCCGAAGCTGGACTGGACTGGCACTATGGCGGCCGCGAACCTACAAATCACCCATTTCGTCAAGGTCCCCGACGTTGGTATGCGCAGTCGCCACCATAGACCGGTTTATGGAACAAAAGGAAGACGGAGCTTTCCCCTTCTACACCTATTCAAGGATCAGACTTGTTAGCTCATGACATAATCGGCCGGGGGCACGAGGCTGCGGGCAATTGTATCTCCCACCAATTTTAATAGGAAACGATACACTGTTCAGGGACCCTGGTCAGCGTTGCCTCGCGAGTTTCGCGCTAACAAGTCTAATCCCTCTGGGAGATGTAGTATTTTTTTCGTTCTTTTTTCGTTGTGCCTCTTCCTACCGAGGGCGTCCGGACCGAAGGGGGACGGGTCATTCCCGCTCGGGATCCGGTGCAGGCCTTTCCAGGTACGTACCGTCCGCCTCGGAGCTTGTTAGCTGCTATGCATTCGGCGTCCCAGCTCGGTTGCCAGCCCATCGCTGAGGGGCTCGCTTCTTGAAAAAGCCGGGATCGGGAAGAGCGGCACGCAAACTGGAGCGCGGGGCCTTTCTCGTAAAACCGAACAGAGAAGAAATCTCGATTTCAAACACGTCATTGACGGCTCTAGGCTCGATCCGACGATAGCTTCAATTTAAACATGTGGAATCTCTCCATTTTTACTAGATTGGAACACGGGTTTAGAAAAATGCAAACTGTTAGAATGGAAAATTCTTTTTTTTTCTCTTTTCTTTCCTCATGACACGTTTTAGTCGACCACGCTCGTACGCAAGCGTGCCATGCCGGCTTTAAAGGGACCGCGCCGAAAAAAGGGGGAGGAAAGAATTGCATGCCTGGACATCTGTGGAGGAATTCATTGAACGGTTTCGTGATGCTGCCCTAATACCTTGACATGTTTCATGCACCGGCTGCTTCAATCGTTCGACAAAACCTGTCGATGCGCGGCTCGAAACAGGGCTGAGCACATCGTTCTTCCTATGCGCCGCTCCCCTCTTTACCCCCGTAACGGCGAATCAAGTCGGATCAGGAGAGCCAAACAAATGGAGAGATCATGGACGCCTTGAATTGGGCGGCTCTTGCCGTGCAATTGGTATAGCAAAAGTACGATTGAACGAGGGATCACTCCCACTTATTTCGTTACGTGGGTGGAGCTGAGCCAACAAAGGTGGACCTTGCTTGCGGGCATTGCGAAGGGGATAGGCTCTGTGGTCCAACGTGGTGGTGGAGAACAGGTGTAAGATGGATGACTCCGCCCGCTCTGATCCGAGATCTTGAAGCTCGAAAGGTACATGTAGACGAACAAGAAATCACCCGATCCAGCCCAACCAGATAGCCTTTGGGCCCCGTGGAGGGAAAAAAACTGGGAACAAGAAAAGGGGAGGAGCACGCAATTCGACCGTAAACTCTCTTATCTATCTTGTCGAACTATTCCCACTTTCACGTGCCACTATTATCTGGGGTGTTGAAGCGGTGAGAAGGTCGAATCATCTAACGATTCGGAGATCGAGGAAATGGAATGGGAAGATCAGATTGGATATAATTGTTTATGTTTTTTTGCTTTGGTTTGCGCTCTCTATGCTGAAGATTGTAGGGTAAGATAAAAAGAAGAAAAAAAAAAAAAAAAAAAGGACAGGACTAGAAAGGGAAGAATTTGGCGCAAATACGTGTCCAGATATGGCTATATACGAAATGGAAGCGTCTAGTATCGGGAGCAGGAAGCCCCGATCTTTTCCAACCTCCAACATCAATAGAAGTGAATACTCATTCCGAGAGCTGGGCTTTCTCCCCGCTCTCTCTTTATTCGTTCAAATGTACTCATCGATCCCGCTTCTCTCTCCTTGGGGCTCATGCTTTGCATCCTCTACCGATTTCCAATCACTGTAGAATTCGGACAGGCGAGCCCCTCCCCTCCTTGCCGTTCATTAACGCCCCCCTCCAAGCAAGGCTGTTCGACTTCACCTCTGGACATTTTTATATCCTGCCCTTGGTGTCGTTGGCCCTGGCCGCCCTCCTCTTGTACGCATCGGCGTATCGTATCCGGTCATAGGTACCGATACCGTAGGCGATGAGGCCAACGACGAGCCAGATGGAGGTGATGATGAGGCCGATGGGGTAAATCATGATTTGGACGCCGGGCAGGACGAAGGCGACGGTCCTGTTGGAGAGCTGGTCGAGTTTCATGTCGACGGCGGCGGAGGCGAGGGCGAAGTCGGACATGACGATCTCGCGGGAGAAGACGCCGGTGACGAAGACGGCTTCGTTGGAGGAGACGTTGGTTGATACGGTCTGGCCGGTGGAGTTTTGGGCGGTGAGGGTGAGGATGGGCATGACGAGGGCTTCGAGCTCGGCCCTATTAAAAAAAAAAAAAAGGGTTAGCTACGTGAACAACTAGGAAAGGCGGCCGATGGAACGATGGGAACTTACATGCTGAGGTTGGGCTGCATCCGCGTGTTGTCGATCTGGCCGACGAGGAGGTACTGCTGGAGCAGCTCCAGATCCGGCCCACCCTCGGGCTGCGAGATGGTGCCGTTGTTGCTCGTCACCTCCTGCCTCCTCTGAGCCTGGTTGGGCGTCGCGTTGGCGGACAAGTTGCGCATCGTATCGGCGCTAACGGGAGAGACGGAAGCCCCGAGGTACATGAGGCCGACGCCGATCTGGGACGGGGCGATGCCGGCAAAGGCGCCGTTGGGCTCGTTGAACTTGTAGACGCGGAGATCGGCCTCGAAGACGCCCGAGGTGGTGTCGAGGCTGGGGAGGTTGTAGCAGATGCATGTGCCGGAGGGTTAGTGGCGATCTGGAGCCTCTTAAGGGAATCCTGGCAGGCGCGCTCCGTCTCCTGGTTCCAGGACTCGAGGTTGATGCTGCCGTCCGGGTTGAGGGTGACGGTGGACTCGAAGCGGCGGTTGGGGTCCTGGGCGGTCTGGCGCTTGAGGAGGCCGTGGCCCGAGGTGACTTCGCCGTAGCCGCGCTCGAGAACGTCGCGGGAGTTGAGGGTCACGAGGTCTTCGCGGATGGCGACGGGGCCGGAGGAGGCGGTGGCGAGGGAGGCCATGAGGCCTGTTGTGAGGGCGAGATTCCAGAACATTGTGTTCTTGTTTGTGAAGAGGAGGATATTATAAGGCGGTCGAGATCGGGGGTGCCGAAAAAGAAAGAAAAAGGTTCGTTGGGAAGGAGAGGACTCGGGAGTGTCGTCTGCTTTCCTTTGCTCCTTTTCTAGTCAAAGAAAAAGAAAAAGTGTCTCCGTCCGGCGGTGAATCGATTATACACGCGAGAAGCTGTCGTCGAACCTAGAAACAAAGATACTGTGGCCTTCCCTTTCTTATCCACCCTTTTTCACTGAATTTCCCAATGGGCGCTTTCGTACAGTCGGAGTTTTTTGTCTGGGGGTATCGTAGAACCAAGGAAAAGAAAACGGATCGAAAGAAACGGTAGGCCGGTTCGGGGGAGCGAAGGTATCAGGCGTTATATCTAGCACGAGGTCGAGAAAAATGAAGGTCGGTGTATATGTAGAAATGAAAGGGACCTGCCCAAGGGCAATAACAACAAAACGCAAAAAAACGAAGAAAAGGAAAATGAAGAATTGAAGATGTCGTCTTCACCGAAGGTTCGGCATTGGGGTGTGGAAGGGAAGGAAAAGGGAAGGAAAAGGGTGGGAGGACCCAAGAAAAGTATGGGAGGACGAGGTATGGGAAGGGTCAAACACCAAAGGGGGAAAGAGTCGGATGGTCCACGGAGGAGGGTCTAGACCAGCAGCAGTCCCATGTCCAAGAGGGCAAAGAGTGTGATGCAAGGAAAATCGTACAATCATGGACCCACCCGGGGCTATAGCTGGACAGAGGAGGAGGAGGAGGAGCAACCGGCACCTGCTTGAGGGTCGAGCAGACGTAATCCCAGGAGCAGAGAGGGGACAAGGGAGGGAGAAGGAAATGCTATGCTACGGGGGTTTCGGAGGGACACAAGGCGCTGGGGCCGGGGGAAGGGGGAGGTGCGACTCTAGGTTGAGCCGCAATGCCCGGGGGTGGTTGAGGGAGGGGACTGGCGGGGAACTGACTGGACAAGGGGGCGTATGTGATGGGGGAGCGCGCGGGTGCGAAGTGCTGTGCTTTTGGGGGCAAAAACAAAAGACGACAGCGAGCAATGAGAGAGGCAACATTGAAGTCGGGCTTTAGCTCTTGCTGATGAGTCGAGTTTCAAAGAATAGCGTGGAGATGTTGAGCCAGGCGGCCAGCTTCAGAGGCCCGGTTGATGAAATTCAGGGCCGCTCGAGGGCCAATGGATTGGAGATTGAAAGGTCGTACCAGACTCGGGGGATAAAAAAGCGGCGCCCTCCCCTGCAATGAATTTCGGTACCTGACGTCGCTTGAAATGTCAGGGACGGGCTTGGCTTTTGGGTCCTCTGAAGTGAGCCTGTGTAGAGTTTATTGTTGTGCTGGACTCGTTCGACCAGTGGTACTTCGAGATCTATGGATGGCTGCCCCTCCACACCTTTACACCCAGCGCTTGAAGAATTAGGCGGGCTGCCTCGAGTTTGGCCGCTTCAATGCTCCAGGGGTGGAAGAAAACCACCAGACAAAGAGAGGAGGGGAAAAGAGAGACAAAGGTGGGCACGAGGAGGCCCGTTGAGCAGGCCCAGCGCCATTCATTCGACAAAACCCCCTCGGTCCATTTCAAAAGGTGATGCGGACTGCAACAGGGCTCTGTCGGATCGTCATGCGATGCAACGAGCGCCGTTTGGAGATTGTGTCCGGGTGGTCAAGCAGGGACCGCCCTTTCGGCGTTGTGATTGGCTACCCGCTCAGGGATCGAGCCGCGATGCTTTGGCGTGCAGGGACCAGGGTTGCCGCAGGTTTCTTGCTTTGTGGAGGGGAAAGGGACAGACATCGCGCAACGTCTTCTCGCTTGCTGTCTGTGAATTGACTGGCTCAGGGGCTTCCTCGACGAGTGGCGCCAAGGTGGGTTTGACCCCATGCGGCGGGTGCTTTTCTTTTTTCTTTTTTCTTCTTCCTTTAGTGGAGAATCGTGGTTAACCTTGATTTCTTTTTTCATTTTAGTCATTCCATTCATTCAACGTCTCTCATCCTTCGGCTACACGGCAACGGGCGAATCGCTGAGTTGGGACGAAGAAAAACAGAGCAGTCAAGCTAGTTTTCTAATCGTTATTATTATTGAGGATTGTATTTCTCTGGCCTGGCTGCCGTGAAGAGCATCCGAATCGAATGATTCTCCCCCATAAGCACCCCCTCGGGCACAATCCGAGACGCCCAAAGAACAAAAGAGATCCTATTGCCATTGTGCTCAAAGTCATTGGGGAGTCCTGTCTCGAACGAGGTGGTGGTCGTCTGGAGCCTGATGGAGAGGGACTGGCGAAAGGAAAAGGGGGATGAAACTCCATGGCGCACAGCGCAGTCGCAGAATGCGCCGGGTCGTGTCGCAGATCAGACACGACCAAAGCTTGCTCCTTGCCCCACCTCCGATACCACCACAGCCCATCCCTTGTCCGCACGGTCATTAAGCCACACTTCTACAGACGCACCGCCACTCCACAGTGGCTGACAGCTAAAGTGCTCTCTGTTTGTCTTACACCACCACTGAGCATTGAGGAGAGTGTTGGACGATGCTTTTGCTCGAACGACACACCTTGACCATGCACGCAGCGGCAACGCAAGTCTGGCGGTCGATCAGGGACGAAGCCGATCCGTCCCCACGAATCACGGGAGAACAAAAAGAAGAAACCCTCTTGAAATTGATAGCAGACTCTAAAGGATACTGGTATTTATCATTCCATCGTAATTAACCTCTGGCGTGCGTGCCACAAGGATGCCGTGACTTCAAACCAAGGAAGACTCGGCGGATGCTATCCAAGAAACACAAGCGGTTTGTTGTCAAATTCTCGAGAACGGAAAAAGGAAAATTCAGGGAAAAAGGAAAGAAAAAAATAAAAAGAATGACCTTGTTCCTATGCCCGATTACAGCCGTCTCCTCGCCATGCTCACCACCCGTCCAGACAGTGACCGCATCCACATGCAAGCCTCCGTAAACAAAACATACGACCCCGTCAACGCCCAAAAGAAGAGGATCACCAACAAGCCCGCCCCGATCCGCGCATCCACCACCTTGGCCCCCACCACATCCCATCCCAGTATACCTCTACCGCCACCGCCGTTTGCAGCCCGTCCCCTCGCCTCCTCAGCCCAGCATACAGTCCCCGCCTCTCCTGGATCGCATCCGCCATCTTCCACGCCGCCTTATTATTAATCTTGTCCCACGTCGCCTCGCACGCCAACCGCCTACTCGGCGCCCAACCGCGCCCGCAGCTCGCCATCCTCCACGACCTCGGCCACGCGCCGCACAAACTGCTCCAAGTCGTCCGGCGGCACGAGGTAGCCGGAACCCCATCGTGCACGATGTCGCTGGGCCCCCTTCGTCCCGGGCGATGACGGGCACCCGCTCGCCATGGACTCGAGCACCACGAGCCCAAACGTTTCCGTGACGGAGCAGTGCAGGAACACGTCGCCCGACGCGTACGCCGCCGCCAACTCCTCGCCCACCTGGAAGCCCGCGAAGAGCACCTTGCCCTTCTCCACCAGGGGCTCGAACAGGCCCTGAATCTCCCTCTCCACCTCGGCGTTTCGGTTGCCCCCGACAATGTACAGCTTGAACCGGAGGCCCCGGTCGTGCAGCAGCTTGGCTGCCCGCGCGAGGAAGTCGAACCCCTTTTCGCCCGCGATGCGCGATACGCAGATTAAAATCACTTCGCCGTCCGGCGCAATCTCCCGGCGTAGCGCCTCGCTCCGCCGATCCGGGTGGAAGAGCTCCGTGTTTACCCCGCGGCGGAGCACCTCGAGCTTGTCGTCCTGTACGCCCTGCGCCTCGAGGTAGCGCCGCACGAAGCGCGAAGGGTAGAGCACCGTCTTGACCGACTTGTGCCGGAAGAGGTAGCTCTGCACCGTCGCAAACGTGTACACGGCCACGTCGCTGAGCGGCCGCGGGAACAGGATGGCGCAGTAGCCCGCGAGGTCCGTCTGAAAATTGCAGATGATGGGGATTTGTCTCTCTGCTGGTCGTTGCCTCATCTGTAGCATGATTTGGAAGCCGAGAGAGGCGGGCGACGCGAGGTAGATGAGGTCCGGCGGCGTATCGGGCCGAATGTCCGCGCGATGAGCGCGGATACCCTGACGGGATACACGATGGAAAGCTCGGGGTTGAACGGTAAGGGGTATCCGTGAATTCGGAGCTCGATCTGGGAGTCTTCTTCTTCTTCGTCGCTGCTGCTGCTGCTGCTGCTGTATTTGTTGGCTACGAACGTGTTGTGCTTCGTATGGTTGTGAGGAGCCACCACGGCGACGAGTGCGCCGTGGGAGCGTAGGTGGTTGACGAGCATCAGGGTCGTCCTGCTGACGCCGTTGACGGGCCCAAAGGACTCTGTGCACAGCAAGATTCGTTTGCCCTTCAACGAATCGGGGAAGACGCTGAAATCGTGGGGCACGATCCCTTCCCTTGCGTCGCAGTTAGTGTCGTCTCGGTCATGGCTACTTTTGTGAAATCTCTTCTGCTTGATGTTTCAATCGGCGGCTCTCCAAAAGCCACTTCCGCCAGGGATTCCCACCAGAGTTCGGGAACCTCGTGTCAAAAGGCAGTCAAGGCCATGGAGGGGCTTATCGAGCACATCTCACCGGAGGGGAGTCAAGGAGGGGCTCGGCAGAGATATTGTGACGACATCGCTGGTGAGGGGAATCTTGCCCCCGATCCTCGGTGACCCCCACTCACGAGGCACATGCGCGCCCACAGGGTCCTGTTTGCAGGCTCACTTTGTGCATTTTTTTCTTTTTCCGTTTCTCCATAGATCTTTGGCCAATCCCGTTCCCGTGACGCTGCATTCAAGATGTGTCGCCGCGCCTAGCGCATCAAAATCCGGATCCGTGAATGTAGAGGGTGTATCGGGAATATGCGGTAAGGGTCCAGCGTCAAAGGCAGATCTGTATGCTCCGGCCTAGCACCCAATCGCGTGCGCCTAATAGGCCACCTTGTCCAGGCGTGACACTTGATACATGACCCATCGATGGACAGGGCAGAGGTACAAGGAAAAGACGTAGGAATAGTATACAAAGTGAACTTTGAATATTGGGTCAAGTATATCGTAGAGAACCAGAGTACTCACTGTCGGGTCTTTTTCTTCTTCTATTTTTCCTCGGCTCCGTCGAAATCCAGTGTTGTGTGTGTGCAAAGAAACTGCCAAAATGCAGCAGGACAGAAAAACGGCGGCTCATGGCGGCGGACGAATCAGATCGAGCGCCGGCCGCACACTTCACACAATCGCCGGATGTGGAATGGCCACCGCCGACGAATCCGGCCTGAGCTTCGGCCCACGCCTCTGCCAGAAGAGAGGACAAAAAATGGCACGCATTCACCTCGATTTCTATTTCTTTTTCTTTTTTTCTTTCTCTTACCGATCCGTGTCATTGCTCGTTTGGGCTGACCATTTTTGGCCCAGTTCATTTTCTTTTCAATGTTAGCAAGGGAGTCACTGATGCTCGGAAACACACCCATCGAATGGACTTTTGTGCTTGGCCTCGTGGAGTAGGGGTTGGGTAATTGGGCACCTTGTCCCTGGATTATCCTGCCCCGGCGGTGAGGGACGGAATTTGCAACGGCAATGCACACCCAAGAAGGTAATTTCGAAGACATACGGACCCCTCCATGCTATGCTTGTTCTCACTTTCATGGACTCTGCCCAGACGTGTTATGTTTTTAGTTTTATTTCTAATTCTTTAGGTTGTCCATATGATGGCGGCAAATTGACGTTTCTATGCGTCCAGTGTTAGTCTTATTAGAGATCTTTCTGCGTCCATGTTTTTCCTACACATCCAATGGATAGATCCATGGATGTATTTTCCAAATTTTCTTTGGCAGTAGCGATATCACCCGCCAAAGCGGAAGCGATAAGCTCGGGGTTTCGACCGTCTCCCATACTCCCAAGCTGTACTCACATTCGCACGTCATCCGCGCGGTATATGGTCTGCGCTAGGCCCCACGCGCGACGACGATAGGCCAACGACTGCCTACCGGAGCTTGCCTCTCTTTCCATTTTTGGCTTCCGATCTGCTATCCTTGGTGCACGCGAGTCGGGACTTTATCTCCCTTGTGGACATCGAGTAGTCCTCGGCATGTGTCCCGCCACCACGATAATGGTTCATTGGATTCATGGCGTAGTATCTTTACTCTTCATATTAGTGCCTTCCTTTCAGTCCCCCACCGGACCTCTGGACGTCGAGTACGCCGCTTGAACCGCGGCACATGGGGCCTAAAGCGGTGTTGTACTCGTCCATTGTCCCATCACGGGGTGGTAGGTCTCGGAAGCACAGATGATTGTAAATTCTTGCCGCCGTCTTTTGAAGCGATACTCATTTTAAAGATACTCCTCTCCCTAGAGAGTATTCTATAAGAAATCAAGACTTCCAGGTAAACATAACAACACAAAAAGATACCTCCACGATACTCGTTCCATATGATCCCTCCGTTTAGAAGTATCAGTCACCTTAATAAACCAAATCTTTAGGGACCTAGCTTATAATCCAAGTGATGTTAGACTATCTATCTGTTAGGTGACTACCACAGTGATGGTAGTAACCCTAGTTAGTCGCTCTGCTTGTATTCTAAGCACCACGTAGTACAGGTGGCGTATCTTTTATTTTGCTATCTTGGTTGTAAAGTTCCTTTGCCTGTAAAATACCGCTCGAGGGGAGGGGTATGTGATTAATCAGGAGCAGAGGGAGGCCATCGCCCAGCCCGGTCGGTATGAATTCGGAGAGGAGCCCACCCTTGCGCACTGCAGATACCCCCGGACAGAGAGCAACACTTTCCAGATAGTCCTTCAGAAAAGTTCCCCCTCCGTTTCCCCCTACCAGTTTCTTTACCGGTCAAGAGTCAAACAAAAAAACGAATTGTCGTATGCTCCCTTCTTAGCCCGCCTTGCAAGGCTTTCCCATCTCACCTCAACCCATATTCCAGATTTCTTGGTGAGCATCAAGAAAGAAGATGGATCCGATTCCCAGCTCCGTGGTCGACTCCGCGGAGTACAGCCTCCACGATGATTCCACGGCACCCACCACGCCGGAAGGAAGCTTGACGTTCAGCCCAGTCCTCCATGCGACGCGGGCCATTGACGGCACCGAACTCGACGGCATGGCGTCGTTGAACGTCTCGCACAGGGACCTTGGCCCAAGCAGTGCGCCGCATCTAGCAGAAGTAGCTGCTCGACCCATCCAGGTGCGCAATATATGCTGTGTCGGGGCAGGGTATGTCGGTAAGTGATACAATACCTTTTTCTTGCTTGCCTCACGCAGTCCCATCTCTCCTTTTACCGGTGCTATTTGCACCGATCCCTGTTGCAAGCGTGCGCCGTACAAAGGTGGTGTTGGACACCCCTCACTTACACGTTCCTCGCTCTCTGTCCTTCTCGACAATCACAGGAGGTCCAACCGCCGCCGTCATCGCACTGCAAAACCCCGGTATCCGCGTCACCGTCGTCGACAAGGACGCGACGCGCATCCGGCGCTGGAATTCGAGCCACCCTCCCATCTACGAACCCCACCTCCGCCAGATCCTCCGCGCCGCCCGCGATGGCGCCCGCGACGTCGTCTTCTCCAACGTGCCCCTCCCCGGGACGACGGCTACGGGTCCTCGCCGTGCCACGCCTCCTTTTCCGCGTCTGCGTCCTTGGGCTCTCTTTCTTCGGGGGCCGCATCTGATTTTGATACCCTAACAGAGACGGACATGTCCGAGTGCGGGAGCCAGTGCGAGCGCGCACCCGAAGTCATGGCCTCGCCCGCGAGGAGCCCGAACCTCTTCTTCTCTACCGACGTGGCGGGGGCTATCGCCGAGGCGGACGTGGTCATGATTGCGGTGAATACGCCGACCAAGACGCGGGGCATTGGCGCCGGGTGCGCGACGGACATGGCGTCGTTCGAGGCCGTGACGGCAGAGGTTGCGAGATACGCTAGACCCGAGACGATTATTGTGGAAAAGTCTACCGTGCCCTGCATGACGGCGGAACTTGTTGAGGGAACGGTGAGTAAAGATTTCTGGCAATACCCCCATTAGTAGTACAAAAACAACGCGCACATGCCAAAAGAAAAATCAATGGCTGCTAACTTTCTCCCGCGCCGTAGATGGCCGCCCACCGACCGGGTGTCCATTTCGAAATCCTCTCCAACCCCGAATTCCTCGCCGCCGGCACCGCCGTCAAGGACCTCCTCTTCCCCGACCGCGTCATCATCGGGTCCTCCAAAACCCCGTCGGGCCAGCGCGCCGCCTCGGCCCTAGCCAACGTCTACGCGGCGTGGGTCCCGCGCGCCAAGATCATCACGACCAACGTGTACTCGTCCGAGCTCGCCAAACTCGTCGCCAACGCCATGCTGGCCCAGCGCATCAGCAGCATCAACTCCGTCAGCGCCATATGCGAGCGCACGGGCGCCGACGTGGACGAGATCGCGCGGTGCGTCGGCCAGGACCAGCGGATCGGCGCCCAATTTTTACGGGCGGGCATCGGGTTCGGCGGCAGCTGCTTTAAGAAGGACGTGCTCAGCCTCGTGTACCTCGCCGAGTCGCTGGGCTTGCCCGACGAGGGCGAGTACTGGCGGCAGGTGGTCAAGATCAACGAGCATCAGCGGGATCGGTTCGCGCGCCGGGTGATTCGCGCGCTGAACAATACGCTGCGCGGGAAAAGATTGCCATACTGGGGTACGCGTTTAAGAAGAACACGTCGGACACGCGCGAGAGCCCGGCGCTGCAAATTATCAAGACGCTGGTTGACGAGGGGGCGAGGGACGTCGCCGTCTTTGATCCCGCGTGCAATCCCCTCGTCGTCAGGGAGGAGCTGGCCGCGCTGCTGGGCCCGCACGCGCTTGCGTCGGGCGGCGGGCCGGTGGAGGTCTTTGAGAATGCGTATCAGGCGTGCAACCTCGCCGACGCCGTGGTCATCACGACGGAATTTGACGAGTTTAGAACGCCCAGCGCCGAGGTTCCCCAGGCTCCCAAGACCCCCAAGGGCGTAAGCCCGGCTTCGCGGCTCGTCCTCGCTCGTATCGGGCACGCCCCGAGCGCCAAGACAGCCAACGGCGCCGCAGCCACTATTCCCGGCGGCGCAAAGAACAAACCCAAAGACCCGCGCCCCTTTGAGAGCCTCGAGGTATCGGAAAACGATTTACTCAAGCTCCAATGGTTCCTGGCCAAGGCCAAGGTCGACTGCGCAGAGGACCCGCTGGGCAGGTTTTACCCGGAGCCCTCGTGCGACGCGGGGTGCCGGACTGCGCCCGCGCGCGGCAGGACGAGGACGAGGACGACGCCCACCGCTGCCGATCGTCCGCCTCTATTGCCTCGACTTCCTCGCGCGGGGCGGCCTTTTCTGTGGGCGGCGCGACCAAGAGCAGCAGCAGCAGCAACGTGGGCTTCGACGGGGGCGAATACCGTCCCAAGGAGAGGCTGGACTGGGCGAGGATCTCGTACCATCTCAAAAGCCCAAGTGGGTATTTGACGGGCGAGGCGTGGTGGACGCGGACCACTTGGCCAAGTTGGGAGTCCGGGTGGAGGGCGTGGGAAGGCGGGGCGCATGGCGTGAAACCGAAGGGGCGAGAGGGTGGTCGTCTTGGGGCTCGATGGTGTGACGCTGTGCCAAGGTGGTGGGTGGTCTTGTTGGTGTTTTTGCTGGTGGGTGGGGTTTGGGGCGACGGATATCATGGCATCCAAGACGGATTGGGCGGAAGTGATTCTGAGATTTTAATCATTATACTCATTAGTTTATTTTCTGTCGATTTTGTTTCACGAATCTTTGTTTATTTTTGTTTTCTCTCTGTCTTTGACGCTCTGAGTAATTGGGAAGTTGTGTGTACTCGATGTATTCGTTGCGCAGGACATGATGCATCGATAATTGTTGCAGAGCGACGCAAAGCTCAAGGGTAACATTGGCACTCACGTTGTATCGTGTGGCTTACACTGGCTTGGGACTACCTCTCCGGCAGATAGCTCTGGGAACAGGTCGTCCGCTGGTTGCTCTCCTCCGGGCAGCATAGGGCATCCTGCTGACTTGCACGTCGGTATTGAACGGCTGGCTCTCCCGGCCCATTCCGTGCTCTCCTCGCCGTGTCCGTACATGCAACGACCGAGCCGAGTTCAATGCACGAAGATCAACGCAGCCCTTGGAGCCCACCGTGGCTTCTCTATCGTGCTCCCCCAGCTGGCTCCGGCTGCTCCATCAAAGTCGTGGCTCTATCCATCCCGTTGGTGATCCATCAATTGATCCATTGATGCCACATTTGCTGGCTTACTACGAAGTATATGGGCCAGCCCGTGTACGACAGCGTGAATCGGGATGTGCAACAGGTTCTCCCGCTATGGCTTGATCTCAATCACACCTGGGCGAGGAAGGGAATGCGCTCTACTCTATTTCCTCCCTCCCTCCTCCCTCCCTCCTCCCCTTTCTCCCAATCTTTTAGGTTGGATGCCCTCGTTCGGCTAATTTGCCACGAGTCGTGGCAAGGCTGTCCTCCAAGTCGGGGGCCTCCTTCATCAACTTGTTTCGCCCTCGATACCCGCTTGCATGTCGAGCGTGCTGGCTTCACGGCTATTCCATCCGAAGTCGTCCGGAACGAAGCGGCGTGTTGGGCTCTTTCAAAGAGAAAGAGAGAAGGCGAGAAGACTAGCTTGTTTTACTTCCTTTTCTTTCTTTCCCCTTCCCTTTTCTTTCCTATCACTCGCTGGACTTTGTTGGTGGCATTGATGGCCAGGTTGGGTGTACCCCTCCGTCATGCGACCGGGGCGAAAAACCCACGGTTCGCTTGTTTCATCGACGCAGGGAGATGGGCTGTCTTTTTGAGCGAGAAGGGAGGAGGAAGGGGGCTTATCATAACATGGGGATTCAGCACGGCGCAAGTCTACTTTTGACTTTTTCAATGTTCATTTTCGTGGTCTGGGAATCGCCAGAAATGGTGCGCTCGTTCTCGAGGTTGTCGACACGCAATGAGTTGGCTGGCTGGAACCCTCGGATTGGAATTTTGGTTGGGCCTCTGGTCGGGTTTTTGGTCGTCTTCTCCACGGGCCACTCGAGCTGCGGCCACACCCAAGGAAAGGAATACCACCCACGTCCCGACAAACGGTTGCCAAACTCCGTCACCGCGTGTAAGTCGCCACAAAAAAGAATAAAATAGGCCTCGCGATAGTTTCCCTTGCGCGTTATTCAAATACTTTGATTTCTTCAATTCTTCAACGCAAACAATGATGCTATTTCCATCCGCGTCTTGCTTTTTCCCACCTTCTTCTTTCACTTCTCTCCCGCGCTGCATTGCCCCCTTCATGGCCGGTGCGCCCAGACGGTATCTGTGAACCACCCCCTTCCCCGCCAAGATGGTGTTTCACATCGTGGGTATGCGCAACCACCCACCCCCAAGGAAGACAGGGTATACAGGGTAAAAGACGATCAGGATCCCAATGCGCGCAACCCAAACTACGCTGTTGCCTCAGGTCTGTCTCCATCGTCGTCTTCTCGTGTGAGTGCAAGACGGTGGGCTTGCGTGACAAGATCCTACACCACCCCACATCTCGGACTGGGCTTCCGCGCGCAATCGAGAATAGAGACAAAGAGAGTGGAAGGAGCTTGACCCCCTTCTCCTTGGCTAACCCCCGCCACCACACACGTATCACCGAATCCCATCAACACGGGTAAGAAAGCCGCATGGAGCAAGTGGAGGAGAATGTGAGAAAGCGTCCTCTTGCTCCCCTTTGTGTGTGTGTGAATGAACTTGCGTCCACCCCTCCTTGGCGTCCATCACCTCTCTTTTGGTCTGGCGAAGGAACACTAGGCACTGCTCGTCACGGTGGAGTTCAAGGGGATCCGCAGAGCGCACCCAAGGAAGAGTGATCGACCGCAGGCCGCCGTCGCACACTTGTCATCTACCCCCTCTCCCTTCCTCTCCCCTTCTCTCGCCTCGCGGTACTGGTTATCGTCGTTGCTTGTGCTCTCTCTCTCTTGCCCATTGATGATTTTCCCTCTTTTCCTCTTTTCCCACTCTTCTGCGCATAGCTCGTCGATCTCTCTCATCCCAGTGCTCTTGATGGAGAGGATCAGAGTTGGTCCAAGACCACGATCCCACTGATCTGTCCTTCGATCATCCGCTCTTTCTTTCCTCCTCATTTCGCTAGAGGGAGAGGCCGGAATTCCAGGAGACGCGGGATTATCGTCGTGCTGCGGCCCCCTTTTTCTTCTTACGCCCCTCCCATTTTTCTATCTCTTCTCCTTCTTCTCTTCTTCTCTTTTTCCTTTTCCTTTCTTTCCTTTGTCAGGTCGCCCACGCCTCGTCCCTTTCCTCGACTTCTTTCCCCGTCGAAGAAGATACCAAAGGACGAAGCAGCCACCAAGATGTACAGGGTAAAGACCGCCGCCGTCCTCCTCTCCGGGCTCGCCGCCCTCGGCACCGCGCAAGAGGAAATGGTCAAGCTCGACCCCAGCGACGTCGCCCTCGGCTGCGCCACCATTTGCGGTCCCATCGTCGAGCTCACCGATATCTGCCACGTCGGCAGCCACCCCGACTTCAAGCGCAAGATCAAGAGGCGGAGGATCTCCAAGCGACAAGTCGTCACCAACGCCTTTGGCCTCGTCGTGCCCGCGCCCCAGCCGACGCCCGCCGCGAGCCAGCGAGTCATCACCGTCACCACCGTGGTGACCCTCACAGCGACACCCTCTCAAGCGGTACCGGGTCTTACGCCGACGCCCGCAGCGGGGGCAGGAGGAGTAGTGAACCCTCCGCTCGCTTCCTCGTCGGTCTGGACGACGACCATGACCATGGTGCTCCCCGAAGACGACGCCGATGCGGGCGCGAGCGCGGACCTACCGGTGGACGACGGAGGCGTGAGACTGGCCTTCCCCACGACTACTTCTACGCCCTTAGCCGTAGGAAATGCGGCGGAGGCGTCGATGATCTGGAGGCGGGCGAATATGCCGAACAAACAGAGGCCGAGGTCGTGGTGGAGGATGCCGAGAGGGTGTGCGTTTGTCAGAATAAGAGCTTTGATGTCGCGCTCGTGTCTGGACTCTGTACGAGTTGCATACAGCAGGCCGGGTACGCCCCAGGATGTGAGTACTCTTTTTTCTTTTTCTCTCTCTAAATTATGCCGAGTTCCGGTTCCATTCGCTAACACAGATTCTGACCTGGCAGCTATGGGAGAGATCATGAACCAATGTCAATTCGCCGAGCAAGTATACGGAGATACGAGCGACAAGATTGTCGACAATGTCCGCGTCAAGGCCAGCCCACCCAGCCTCGCTGCCACCTCCGGCGGCACCCTCGTCAGCTACTCTCCGCCGTCCCCGCGCCACGCAACCGGATTCGCCGGGGCATTAGCTGCCGGCGTAGCTTGCGGCCTCGCTCTTTTGCTCTAAAGTCACCAAACTCTTAAGCATCGATTTTATTCCTCATCCGTTTTGGCCAGCAAAATATTCTTTTATTTTTCGCCCACAAACTTCCACTCTCTGGCTTCAAGGTTGGCTATTCGGTCTCATCGACTTGCGCCAACCGGCCGTCCCTTTTTTCGTTTTCTTTTTACTTCTCTTCTTTTCTTCTACAAAGCGTCCTGGCGAGGTTTGTATCGATATTTATACGACATGGGGATTTTGGGATGGGAGGGAGAGCGATTTATCTGATTGATACCATTACGTTTGCTTTGATTTTGTTGCTTCCGGGAGTTCTGCCTGTCTTTGGAGATCTTCGCGGCGCGAGGCCAAAGAGAAGAGGTAGCTCTTTCGTGGAAGAAATTGGGAAGTGGTTTTTAGACGGACATTTCTTCATTACAATTCATGTACATGCAGGCTGGAGATGGAAGATGGCTACATGCATGGAGCTTGATGGAGAGGCAATGCGGACCTGAAGCATCTATGTTGCACTTATATGTCCCTCATACACCCACACACAACACACTACACAAATATATACACACCCAAACCATATCTACACCAGTTGGCCTGGCACATATCTTCGGATCGATGCGTTAGGTGCTTCTATATAATTATCAATCAATTTCCACCTACGCAGAGCAGTTTGATCATTGACGTGAAGATCCACTGAATTAGATCCCCCGGGTTGGACAATCGCATGTCTTTGACTAAAAGCCACTTGTGTGATGGTTATTTGAGGTGCACGTTGATTATTACATGTATGCTCTGTGCCTGGCTCGCTCCTGTGGTTCTCCTTGATCCGTGGCGCAAATCGGACTATGCGCCTCCTACCTGATCGACAGCAGGCCACTCGTCACCATGCCTGGATGATGTCCTCGCTTCGATCTCCCTCCTTCAATCACCCTGACCGAGCCAATTTCTTTTCCCTTTAAATAAGGGTGATCGGCCTCGTTGATGCGGACATGTAGGCCCAGCTCGTGCTAGCATCACGGACCAGCCAGTCGCGACAGGGCGATCCTAAGTCTCCCAACCAAGACGAGCCCGCCCTTAGCCATTGACAAAATTTTGCATTCTTTGTCAGCATGTGCTTTAGAGAAGTGATGATTGGGGAGAAATTGATGTGGCGAGTTCCTTGGGACACGTCTGCAGGTCCGGCCACTCGTTCCATGGGTCCGGCCGCCGGCATTCCACGGACTCAGCGGGGACATTTCCACGCGACCAGCGACATGAGGCCGTTCCTGTAATGTCCACAGGTTCCGCCCTTCGTGGCGCTTACTTAAACGCTGAAAAGGTCTTCCTTGTCAATTCTTCATAATTCGCTCTCTTTTGTGCTTGCTCTTCACCAAATAGGTCTCTCTCTCTTGTCGTCACTGTGCATCTCTTCCCATCGATACCGTAGCATGGCCCTCCGGTCACGTCCGGAGATTTTACCCGAGAATAGCCTGAACAAGACGGAAGCCCCTTGGAAGCAAAGCAAGGCCGTACCTCGGGGGTCTCCAATACTCTTTTTTTGTCACTTTGTTTTCCTTTGGTTCTTCCCTCCTGCCACCTTTTGCTCATATACCGTGCCATTTCCCCACACTGGCAGGGAACGAAAAGATTGACGCGGGGAGAGGGAGGGCCATGTCATCCTAATGGTAGACCTGTCAAGTTGGGGGAGGGACCAGACTCTGGGAACATTGAAGGCAAGGGAGGGGAGGGAGGGGACAGGTTTGACTGGACACGCTGAAGCGCCCTTTGGAGAGAATATATTGCCCGCGCATATTAACAACCAGAAACAAGCTCCCGCTCCACCTTCTCCGGATTTTAGGCAGTTGATGGGTGTCAAGTAAAAGGAAAAAGAGCTGTCAAATATTATATTATGTCCCGGAGACAGCTAAAGAAACCGCCACTGATGGAAGTCAATAAGGATAATGCACTATATGATCGCTACCACAGGCCACGTTGCACGTCAGGGACAGACAGGTCTGGTGATGGAGCTTGGGGGAGCTTCCATCACGAGGCTTTTTTTTCTAGGCTCGTTGGCCTTTTCTTTCTTCCTCTCTTTTCCTCTCTCTTCCTTATTTGGAGCTCCTTGTTTGGTTCTTTTCTTTTCTTCTTTCACTCTGTGTTGGAAAGGTGATTGACTCGACTTACACGGTGAAGATTTTTGTGAATCGCATTTGTGATTCGGCCCTCCATTCTATTCGGTGGTAGCTCCCCGCCGTTAATTCTATTGCCTCTTTCCCCTCTCCTGTCGTCGTAAAGAGCGGGAGAGAGCGGGCTAGAAGGCCAGGAAAGGGGATCGTGAAATTTCCCAAGGGAGGAAAACCAAAAGAGCAGAAGAAACAAGAGGAAAAAAACAACTCCACCACAGCACAAACCATGGCTCGCCTCTGGTCCACCATTCTCCTCGCGGCGGCCTCGCTCGCCATGGTCTCGGCCACCGACGAGCCGCAGTACAAGTTCGAGGGCAACGACGCGATCAACAACGTCGCGGGCAACGCCGTGGCCGCGAACCCGGCCGCGAACCCCAATCTCCCCGGCGGCTGGTACGACCCGGAAGAGTGCTACGGCAACTACTGCGTGTACGCGAGCCACCGGGCCGCCAACGGCCGCGGTGTCGTGGCCGTGACGACGTCAGCCAGCTTCGAGAAGCTCAAGAGGATGGACAAGTCGCTGGGCGTCCCCGTCCCCAACGAAAAGGAGGCCGTGGACCCGCCCCTCTACGAGATCAAGGAGGTGCCCGGCCGCGGGAAAGTCCTCGTCGCCAACACCACCATCAAGCGCGGCACCAAGATCGTGGTGAGCCAGCCCGCGCTCGTGGTGCACCGCAAGTTCATGGACGACGAGGAGGTCGACGACGAGGACCAGGAGCGGCTGCTCAAGATCGCCGTGGACTTGCTGCCCGAGGATACGCGCAAGCACCTCCTCGCCCGTTTGGTGCCGCAGGGCGAGGCCAAGACCCTCATGGAGCTTATTCGCAGCCGACCGTTTGAGGATAACTTGGGCCTGAACTGGGCGGGGCCCGAGGGCTACGACAACGAGAAGAACTTGTTTGCGTACCCGGAGCTGGAGCACATTCCGCACCACTGCCAGCCCAACGCGGCCTTCCACATCGACATGGCCTACGTGCACCACACCACGGCCGTGCGCAAGATCGAGGCGGGCGAGGAGATCAACATCTCCTACTTTAGCCCCATGATGCTGCGCGCCGACCGCCAGGCCCGCGTCGAGGAGTGGCTCGGCAAGCCCTGCACCTGCTCGCGCTGCACGGGCCACGGCGACCTCGGCAACATTGCCAAGTCGGACGCGAACCTCATGGAGATCGAAGCCATTGAGAAGAAGCTGAGGGACTATGAGAGCAAGGATGTTACGACGGCGATGCTGTCCCGACTGCTCGCGCTCTACGAGGCCGAGGGCCTCAAGTCGAGGTACTCGGACATGTACGAGCTCCTCGCCATCAACTACAACGCCCTCGGCTATAACAAGAAGGCTATAAAGTATGCCAACCTAGCGGTCCAGGCGGGCATCATCGAGGATGGTCCCGACTCCAACGACGTCATCGCCATGAGGATTCTCGCCAAGAGTGGGCTCGAGCACTACTCCTGGAAGATGAGGATAAAGAACCAGAGGTTGGCGTAGAGCGGCGGCTTTCTCGGGGGTGATGGATGTGTTGATATGACGGTGGCGATGAAGAACGGGGGCTTACATGGTGCGGTGTATAGGAGAGGAGGGATTTTCCTCTTGGGTTGGATTGAAGCTATCGTTGGGTCGTATCACCTTATACCTAGCTTTCATTTTTCATTCGTCGCTTGTTCGCCCATTCTCATTTTCTTTTTAGTAATACAACAAAGATTGAATAACGTCTTTTCCTTTTCAAGACCATGAGTCGGCCGTCAATTCGAGAGATGGTGACGTACGTCGGCTTTTCCGATCTAAGCGTCTTCACTGTAACTGGTCAAATGTATGATAAGGGGAGGAGAAGAGGGTTGGAGGGTCAAAGGAAAACAAGTGCCTTGCGGCCGGCAAGGTCTCGCATCCAACTTACCGCCCCAAACTCCCGGGGCTGGTTAATAAACTGTCGTGGAGGGGAGGATAATAAATCCTCCCCAATGTGCTCAACGTCGGCACCGATATCCCGGGGCGGCGACAGGGTAGAAATGGGGGAAGGCGTACGACAGCCGGAGACTCGAACAATTGAACCGACTTCTCCCATAGCGATTCATTTGCGCACTCGCCGCGAACCCCTCACGAACGGATCCCGCCCCCATCTCCCTCTTTTTGTTCTTTTCCATTTTTCTGTTCAATGTTCCTTTTTGTTCTCTTAGCGTTCGGCCCGTATATATGCACCGCGCAGGCCTCGGAATCCCGGGCTGGAGCTGAGTTTCCTGCCCGTTTTCCGTCCCCATTCCTTTTGGTGTCCCCCAAAAACACCAGTATTAAGAGGCTCAAAGGCCAAGGCCAAGATCTGCAGTCTCTCCCTTTGCTCGGCTATCTTTGAAAAAGGAGCCGCATCCTCAATTGTTTGTTTGCCCCCCTTCCGTAAGCCCCGCAATGCCAAACTTGAACACCGCCCTCGGCGCGCTCGCCGTCGCCGGTTTCGCCGCCGTCGCCTCGGCCGAGTGCACGCGCGAAGCCCTCTTCGCCGCCGCCGAGACCTACATCGAAGCCCAAATTGCCGGCTCCGTCGACGGCCTCACCCTCGCCGCCGACTTCTCCTACGTCGAGAACAACAAGGACGCCGACGTGGCCACGGGTCTCCTCGGCAAGGCTCTCGCCCTCGACTACAACCGCACGACGGTGGACACGACCCAGTGCGCCAGCTTCACGCACCTCATCTCCACCGCGGGCCCGTACGTGATCGCGACGCAAATCTGGCACGCGGACGGCGACGACGCCGGCACCATTTCCAAAATCGACACCATCGCCGCCACGACGGGCGACCTCTTCTTCAACGCCGCCACCACGCTCGGCTTCGTCGAGACCCACGACTGGAGCGAGCTCGCCGAGGAGGACCGCGTGGGGCGCGAGGAGCTCAAGGCGTTTGGCGACCTCTACCTCGACATGTGGACGGACGCGGACGCCGCGGACAAGATCAAGTGGGGCGCCGAGTGCGAGCGGGTGGAAGGGTCGATGCACGTGGATCCTTGCGGGGTACGTTGCCGCGCGGGGGCAGCACCAAGGAGAACGGGATGCGCCGGTACGTGATTGACGAGGTGCTCGGGTCGGTCGATGTCTTGTGCCAGTTTGATTCCTTGGGCCCGTGGCCGGATAGCCATGAGATTCGGGTCAAGGGCGGGGCTGTCCGGTATGTGTATACCGTGACTGTAATGTAGACGAGGGAGTGCCAAGTTTAGTTTACGAGAGTGTTCCAACGCCCGTCTGTTCACATACTTGAACCCCCGCCCTCATCTAGTTTAATTCAATACAAACCGAGTACTTGCACGTAGCAGGATCAATGTCGCTTCTTCACTCGCGAATCCTACGAGGGAACCGGCTGCGGAGTGGGCCTGCCTCGGTTTTGTTACTAAGCTGTGGAACTCACATAGATACACTTAGAGCGTCTCCATCGCAACTTCCTCTTCAGAAATGGCCTAGTGGCCCAATGGCAAGGCGTTTGACTACGAATCAAGAGATTGCAGGTTCGATCCCTGCCTAGGTCAAGACGGAAGATTCTCTTTTTGCCATTGTTCCAAAGCTCCTTCCTGTCCGTCTTATGGTGCTAAGGTTCCTGCCCATTCTTTTTTTCTTCAATTTTTAAGTTTGCTTCTTCTTCCCTTCCCCTCTCTTTCCACCTGTACTCAATGGTTCCTAACCCGCGAAACCTTGGTGCGACAGGCTTGCGCTCGACGCAGTAACAGAGCGCCGACAAGGGGTGGCTAATGCCCCGTTTAGACCTCGGGCTTCTTTGCAAAGACGTGGAAATAGCCAGCCCATTCATTCCAATCGTAATCTCCGTCATCACGCTTGTCAGCCGAGTCGCTTTGGCCAACGAGCGACCGTGTGAACCGCCCGAGCCTGCGACGATACGGGGCGCCATCCCCATCGTCCTGGGGCTGGGTCTCGGCTTCGCCATCACCAGCCTCCTGCTCAAGAATGGTGTTGATATCCGACTTTTTGTCGACGATGGAGATGTCTACGCATATTGGTTAGATCAATGATTGACCTTGGTGTTGGTGGATGTGTACGGAAAGAGGTTGCACTCACTTTCGAACCCAACAATTCGAAGATAGGATTCAAAATGATCCACAAGAGTCGCCCTTTCCAACGCCTCCTCACGTTTCGGTAGCGCACCTTGCGCCACTTCCTCCAGCGACTTGCGAAGGAATAGGTCGCTCAAGGCGAGGCGGCCGCCGGGCTTAAGGAGGCGGTAGATTTCGTCGACGACAATCTGCACCTCGCTGGGGTTGACGAGCTCCGTCAAGCGGCTGCTCACGATACAATCGGCAAACTTGTCGCTAAGCGCAACCGCTTGGAGATTGGACTCGACGTAGCGCGTGTTTCCGGGTGCTGGGGCATAGCTGGCCTGGGGCTCATCCTTGTTTGGGGTTAGTTCCGGGATGTTTACTGCGTGAACCGTGGTGTAGAAACTTACAGTCTTGGGCTTGATGACGATGACCTGGCCCTCGGGCCCAATGGCAGACCTGACAAGTGATAGACCGCCCTGGGTCTCCTGGGTGAGGAGGATGACGGACTCTCCCTGTATATGTGTTAGCTACGGCGGATGGTTCGTCTGTGTAGAAATGGGCCTTGCCTTGGTAAGCTTGGCATCAATGATGATGTCGTCGAGGCTATGGGGCTGTTTGGCGACGGAGTCTCCCGATGGAACATCCTCAGGAATCGTCTGCCCAAAGGAGGCGAAACTTGAGCCAGTCACCTTGGCACCCTGCTCGCTTCTGACGTCCTTGGAATCCATTTTGATAAGAAGGTAAGTAGATAAAGGTGTTTTGATGTGCGTTTTTTACTGTCTTTGGCTTAGATACTGATATTGTCTTGCTACTAAGGGAATCAAAAGCTGGTGATGAAGGGAAATGGATAATCTTTATAGGCGGTGACTCGCTCGTGCTAAATGCCCCTTGTGATCATGGGGATAACACCACCATCTACTACCAAGCACGAAACGGCAACAGACTCTCTTTGGGTCAGGAACGACGGCGCTTCATTCGATTCGCTTGGGTTGAGGCTCGATTCACAGCATCCATCACACGCCCTACCATGCGACGAGGCCCCTAGTCTCATGATACCCTTTTGCCCGAGCTGACCACGACATCGAACCCCTCCGGGAAGTCCTCTTCCGGCCAATAGATGAAGACATAAACAAAATGACCCAAAGCCCCACCTCAAAAGATTCTAGGCGGTTCAAATCCATGAGGCTGAGAAGAAAGAAACGACGGAGCACAGAAAGAAGCGTCGTAAGTCGTTCGTCAAGCTCATGCCGTGGGCCACGTCGCCCAAGACAGGGCGGCCGTGATCCTGTGAGAGGGCTTCGTGGCTCCCTTCTATGCCGTGGCTCTCGGTGTACGCATCCGAGGCTGCGTGGGGGCCGATGATAGGCTGTCTTGGTCTATTCTTAGAGGAAATGGAGGAAAAGGGATGTTCTACCGGCCTCCTTTGGAGTCACCGTCCGTAGTCCGTTGCTTGGGGATAATTGCCTTGAGCAACGGGGCGGCCCTCGTTTCACCGAGACGAACACATGTGCTTGTTGAAGAGTGTCGTACTAGTTCGTCGCCTGTCTGATGTCCGAGTAACGTGCCTTGTCCTGGTCCAACGAGAACGGCGTGCCTTGTTGTGTGAGCCACGGATGTTTGTTTTCACATGAGCGCGTCGACAGCGGACGTCCAGTCATCGCATGTACAACTCTGGAGGCACAAGACCAATTATAAAAATTTTCCAACCTTTGCTTGGCCGCGCGAGTGATGGCTCTTATCATGCTTCGATGGCGAGCTTTTCTCGCCCCGTGCTTATACTAAACCCTCATGCTACATGTCGCTAGGCTTTCTTGGCCATGTCTACAGCATCCAGTGTCGAACTAGGCTACCGTCCCCTCAGTCTCTTCCGCAATGTATACATGCACGCGAAGGAGAGGGGAACATTGATGGATATGGTTGATGTTTGGACTTTAGCAACCATGAGTCTATCCAGCTTCATTCTTAAACGCGGCTTCCGCAATGTACTTGTCTTCAACGGGGAGTCGGGAACGGCACCGACCCATTCCAGGGCGAGCAGTGAGGCGGCGGAAACAATTGACGCGGCAAAGGGACATGAGCAGAGCCGCTTCACTCAGGACCCAATACTAGTAGTGCCTCTCTTTGATAATTAAGAATTTCTTGTAATCATTCATCCTTAAGAGAGACAGTTAAGTTTTAGTTTCGGCTACTGTTTCCCCTCCCATTCCTGATTTCTATTTCTGAACCGGCTCGTGGTTGGATCAATGTCCCGCGTGCACTTCCCCTCCGCTGCACTACGCTGTCTCGACGTACCGGACTGAACAGCCTTAGTTCTTTGCGCCTTATCACCACTTTTCTCGAACTGAATCGTTGTCCACTTTGTATTATTTCCAATTTTTCTGGTGTGCTAGGTCTGCCTTGTTGAGCCGCCTTGGCTCTTTGGCTTTTCCCCATCGCCTGGAAGCTGAAACAAGCTATCACATCAGTCAAGGCCCATTCGGTCCCCAGCTTTATGCGTTAGTGCGTCACATTGGAAAATGTACCCCGCCACGCGATCAAGTGTAAAGTGTACGGGATCTGTTCTCTTGCACTATCTTATTACGGGAGTTTTGCAGCGGCTCCGTCGTCTTCTAAACGCCAGCCCCTTGTGATTCCCGGTTGGGGTCTTCGCAACGGCAATACGTGATCGCCACCAGCTCCCCTAGCCTCCGGGCGGGAGAAGCGAAGGGCGGCCTGTTCCATCGCTTTTCCATGAAGAACACTAGAGCTTTCGTTTGGAGAACCTTTGGAGCGAGGAGGGAGAGGAGCTACCCCTCAGTCTATTACCCTTGGGAATATTAATTATCTTGATGGTCTTTGTACGCCGAAATATCGTCGGTCAGCCATGTCGTCGAGGAAGCGTGAGCTCTTGATAAATGGGACGAAGCTGCATGCGACGCTCAGGGCGAAATCCAACTCTAATCAAGCCCCCTTTTTTGACAGCGCGACGGCGCCCGAGAAAGCTTGATGATCCAGGCCCGAGTCGAGATCCACAGACGAGTGTCAGTCTCTGGTTCTCTTGCATGAACACCATGGATGTTCGATCCTCCGATGTAGCTTTCCCCAGCCCTGCTTCACATTAGCCCCTCCCCAGACCAGCGCAGAGCTCCCCTTGCTCGCTGTCCCCCCTCGAAGCCTTCCCTGGCGTGGTATATCCTTAAGATCCCCGCCATGCTCTCCGACCCGTCCGTCGCTGTGTGTTATTTTTGTAATCAACCAAAATCAATTCTGTGACTTGATTCTTGAGCGAGGCTCGAGAGGTTTGAATCGCCAGGGAAAGCGAAGGGAGGCAGCTTCACATTTCGGCTCGGTACGCTCCTTTTTCGTTTCGTTTCTTTATTTTTTTCCTCTTTATTTTTCGTAATACTTCCCCCTTTTGCCCCTTCCCGGTATAGATTCACAATGGCGTATCCCGTCGACGTCGCCGCCCTAGTGGCCGAGATGAGCGACACCCTCTCCACAATCCGGTCGACCATCGACACTCTTTCCTCCGCGGACCACCACTCCCGACTCGACCAGCTCGAGCACCAGCGAGACAGCACTCTCGCGGCCCTCCGCGCCAACTTTGAGCGCGAGGGCGATGACCTCGCCGCCAAGCGCCGCAAGGAGCGCGATGACTTGGCCGAGCGCCGGAGGAGGGAAGATGAAGAGATCTTAGCTCGCAGGAAACGAGAAGACGAGGACCTGGCGATGCGGGATGAGCAGGAAGATGGCGAGAGGCAGAATAGGCACGTCACCGAGACGGACGACGTGGAGGACGAGATGGATGGTTTGATGGAGGTTATTGAGCTAGAGGCGCAGGCTGTTCTGGACGAGGGCCGGGATAAGCTGGCCCGGTTGGAGGATAGGAGAAGGGTGAGAGCCGCCGTTTTTCTATTTCCCCCACCTCGAGAAATTGGTTGTTTTTGATTTACTGACAAATGAAATCTGCGCTGCTTGATAGGAACTGAACCGCTTGATTGATGAGCAGATGAAGGTTCCCCTACCTTCCATTCCGACCAGACGCCGTTCGCGGACGAACCGGACGATGGACTCGGCCATCACTAGTAAGCCGCCGCCGGAGCCAACCCAGGCTACATTGGGAGAGCCCCTCAATAACCATGTGAAGGCTACTAAAGAGCCAGCGCCGGCCTCCGCGCCGGTCCTAGCGCCCGTGCCCGAGCTGCCCCGCGGCGCTGACCTGGCGGACGCGGCGACGGCGGCAGCGGCGGAGCGGGACCTTCCTCAGCTGGCTGAGGAGGAGGACGTGAGCGACGCTTTTATGCCCCGGGACGTCACGCACGGCGCGAGAGAAGTGGTGCTCGAGCCCAAGGAGTTCGAGGTTGACGCTGCGGCTGCGCAGCAGCGGATGCGAAGAGCGCGAATAGGAAGAGTGCGTTTGGGTGGTTTGCGGGGAAGATTGGGTTGGGGGATCGGGCGGAGAGCCCGGTTGCGTCGGGGAGACTTCGGTTTCGAGGGCGCTGCCTGAGGAGGTGCCGCAGGTTGTGGCCCCCGTTGAGCCGGTTGTTGCAAAGGAGGAGCCTGTTTATCACGAAGAGCTTACACCTGAATCGCCGGTGCGGAGCCTGCCGACAGTACAGGAGCCTACGCTTGAAGAAAGGGTAATCGAAGAGAGATTTGTTGAGCCCGTCGTGTCTAATCCTGCCGACGAGTTTTCTCCGCCCCAGTCGCCCGCGTCTGAATCGAACGTGGTTGAACAAACAATCGACATGGGGCGGGATACTATCGCTCTGGCACTGACTTCGGATGAGAGGGTTGAGACGCCCCGCGCCGAGGTTTACGCTAGCTTTGTCGACCGCAGCGTGCACGAATCCATGAGCAACTACGCGGCGGCCGATTCGGGGTCGCCCGTTAGGAATTACCAAGAGGGCTACCGATCGTATTACGAAGAGGAGTCGTATGAGCGATCTCCCGGATCGCCAGTCGTGCTCGTACACGACGCCCCCTACGATGAGCCGGTTGTTGAGGAGTCGCAGGTTATTTCGGAAGAGCCTCATCGCGTAATGGAGGATGAGTATGACTCGAGGCCGAGTTCGAGAACTTCGAGCATCGTTGAATCTGCGCCTCCCGTGCTCGAAATTAGGAGCGTAGTAACCGAAGTGCCTGTCGAGGTCGTCATCGAGGAGGTTGCCTCTGTGGAGGAGCCTATCACGCAACACACTACTGAAGCCCAAGTGGTACAAGAACGGGAAGCGCCTACCTCGCCTGCTTTCGACCTCGATGTGCCTGAAAAGCCCATGGATACCCTCCCCGCCACAGTCTACACGCCCCCGCCGAGAGGCAGTCTCCCGCGGAGCAGTACGCCGCTACGTTTGGCCACCCCGAACCTGAAATCTACTCGGAAGATGAGTTGCAAGACGCGTTCGATCACGATGAAGATGCACCCGTCGTGATGCAGACTCGGCAGATGAGCCCTACCTACGTCGAGCAGGCCGAGATACTGATGGCCCAGGCTGCCGTCATGTACGGCCAGAGGGAAGTTGAGGTTGCTTACGAGGACCAGGTTTACGTGGAGGTACCACAGACTGTTCAGCACGTAATGGAAGCGAAAGTAAGCCCAATGGAGGACGAGACCCTAATCCAGCGTGAGGATTCCCGCTATCTAGAGCCTAGGATGGATGAGGACGTGGCCATCGACAGCTTCTCCTCGGCCGAGACCGAGGCCGAAGAGGAGTACGCCCATGTTCAAAATGTGCAAGATGTCACCCACGAACAGAAGCCAACTGCGCCGTCCCGGCCCCGTCGCCTATTGAGCGAGTAATTGTCGGCGCCTCCGGAGATGAGCAAGCCTATGAAGCTGAGTCGTACGATGCTGTTAGCGTGATGAGCGACGAGGATTCCGCGGCGGAAATCGACAATGCGCCCACGCCTTCTCAGAAGCTTCAGGTCGACCTGGCTGATTACAAGATGGAGTTTGACGCAGCGGTTGAGAATGTCCAGCTTCCCAATGGAACGTGGTCTGTCGGCGTTCACGACGATGCCGTCTACCAGTCCATGGTGGACGAATACCTCGCGCCTAAGAGCTACCCCCACAACCCAACTCCTTCCGAACTGCCCGAGGACGTCGATGCTCCCGAGGATCTCCGCGAGGAGATGTATTACACCGAGAAGACCTACGAAGTTCCCTATCTAAACAGCCCTCGCGCCGAGAGCGAACTGACCTACGGCGATGACGAGGACGAGGCGGATAACTTTGGCTTGGACTACGCGCGCCGACCCGATGCCCTCGTGGAGGACGTGGTGATTGAACAATTCGCGACCTACGCGGATACCTACGAAGTACCGCAGCTCGACCCCATCCGAGACGTGCCTTCTTTTCATAGCCCGGTGTACGAGCGAGGCATGGGATCGGGAGACTACGAAGATCGGGTTTTCGAGGATCAGGTCTACGAAGATCAAGTGTACGAGGACCAAGTCTACGAGGATCGGGTTTACGGGGACCGCACTTACGAAGACGAGTCCGAGGTCGAGAATTTTCGTGACCAAGGAGCACGAAGCGACGACGACGATGAAGAGGACGACGAGTTCGAGCTCGAGCGTTTTCGTAGCGGAGAGCAGAGGCACTTTGAGCAAGACAGCGAGCCCGAGCATTTTCGTGGCCAAGACGAAGACGACGCCACCAACTCGGACTACGCGTCCGAGCCTGAGATTCCGCGAGCCGCTGCCGCTGCCGCTGCTGCCGCCGCCGTCGAAGAAGAAGAAGACTACGACGATGACGATAGCGAGGGCAGCGACCAGGAAGCCTTCGAACCCGAAGCTGAACCGGTTCAGGAGGTGCCAGTGCTCGCAGGTGCTGCGGGACAAGCGACACCAGAGCCCGAAGCTCGCGCCGCTGAGGAGGAGCCGGTCCAAGAAAGCTCTGCGGACGCGGAGATCGACCAAGTCGCTCAAGTCGCCCAAGGTACCGCCGCAGAAGACGTCGTCCCCGCGCAAGAAGTTGCCGCCGTCGAGGATTCCGACGCGCGTGAGCTCGCTCAAGTAAGTCCCGTTGCCGACATCAGCGACATCAGCGACGCCAGCGACGCCAGCGACCGTGAGGCGGTGGAGGAGGCCGCGCACGTCGACTGGGCGCGTGAGGCGCTCCCCGATATGGCGCAGCGCTCCGACGGGGCGTGGGACGTGCGGGAAGCAACAACGATTCCGATGACCAAGGAAGCGAAGGGGAGGCACGCCGGATGCGGCGCTGGCGCGGTTCAGGGAGACGTTTGCGCGGTTCAGGAAGGCGGTGGCGCCGTCGATCGAGAGGCGCTTCTCGCAGCTGGAGGAGCCGGCGCCCAAGGTGCTCGAGGAGCTGAGGCTGGCGAGTCCTGCTTTGAATGGGGTTATGCGGGAGCAGCAGTCTGTTGCGGCGCAGCTTGATAATGGCGCGTGGGTTACGGATCCGACGGAGGAGGAGTACCGGTCTGCGTCGGCGGCGGTGGCTGCTGGCTCCGTTGAGACACGCGAGGTGCTTGAGTCGCCTGCTGAAGTTGAGGAGCGGGGGTTGATGGTGGAGGAGACTCCGGGACTGGAGATGTCCGACTCGTTTACGGAGACCCCGTTGACGGAGCAGGTGGTCACTCCCGAGGAGATTGGGCACGCGGCGCAGCCGGCTGTTTCTAGCTTGTATGAGAGTATGATGCGCGATGGAGACTCTACCGAGGCAGAGGTTTCTGTGGACAAGGTCCCGTCGCTACCGGTGGTGATTGATACGCTGCCGTTGGAGACCTCGTGGGCGCCTAATGACCAATCCGTCCACGACCACGAGCACACCTATACCACCACTTATTCCTACGAAAATCACGTCATCTACGAGGAGGACCACCCTGCAGCAGCCTTCGAGGCCCGCATGGCACAATACTCTGACACCCTGACGGCCGGCGACACCACAACGGATAGTGAGTCGCAGGCCTTTGTCACCCGATGCAGTCGGCGGGCATGCACACCCCGCTCCAATTCCAGGAACACTCCGCGCAGCAGCAGGCCCAGCACGGCCTTGATTACGGGCATGGGATGGAGACTGCTACGGTGCACGGCCAAGAGGAGTTGTTCGAGTCGGACGACGAGTCGGATTACCAGTCGCAAGCGAGCGTCTACGCCGACGGCATCCAAGACGTCCACCACCAGCGTGGGTCGGTATCTCCCGAGATTGTGCCCGCAGCGTCTTTGATCGACGCTGAGCTCATGAGCTACGAGGAGATGCGCCCGGTCGACTACACATCGGAAAACTCACCCTCAGCTACGAGCGATCCAGAGGACAACAGCGACGTCAGCCCGCTCTCTAAAAGCGGCGGCTGCTCCTCTATCCCGCAAGCCCGGGGCCTTGCGTTTAGCAGACATAACCCAGACCGCCCCGTAACGCCTCCCGGACAAACGGCGACCGAGAGCTACGGCACCATGGCCGACAGCCCGCAAGTTCCTTGGGACGCGTCGGGCCAAATTGACTCAACGCCCATGTCGCTGGTCAGCCAGAGCACCATTTCCTCGTCGTCCGAGTCTCCCGTGCACGCCTCGCTGCCCATCGACAACCACGAGCCCGTGATCCGGGACTCCTGGCCCGCACCCATCGGACACCACCCCTTTGAAGGCCACGACATGCACGTCCCTTCTCCTCTCCAGTACCACGACGATCCCAAGGCCGTGTCGGAGGAGAACCTGCCCACGCCAATCGCCACGCAAATGCCCCACAACGCGCTCGCCCGCAACTCCTTTGCGGCGTCTCCTCGCCAAGCAGCCTAATCCAGCGAATGCGCGGCATCTTCGAGAATGGTAATTCAACCGCGCCCGCCGCAGGCATTCCGCAACCTCGAGCCCCGCACGCTCCCGCCCGTCCTCGGGCATCTTTAGCTTCCCGCTCAAGCGAGCCGCCACAGTCGGTGCAGCAGCAGCCAAGAGCCCCGGGTACGACGTGCCGGGCGAGCGGCGCCGCGGCGGGTTCCTCAACGAGCACGAGGACGAGATTGACGAACGAAGCGCGCTGCTGAGCGGCGTGGACGACAACTGACCACGCTCGGGCGAGACGGGGTCACTACTACTACTTTACTCATCATGGAGGCGTGGCGTAGGGAGATGCGGGCCAAGGAACTGACGCGTCGTCGGCGGGCGGGGAGCGGGTCGGCGGCGGCGGCGGCGCGCGTGATGGAGACAATTGAGGAGGAGGAGCAGGGCCGGGGCGACGGCGAGGTTCACGCGTACGGCGACGACGACGACGACGACGACGACGGCCGCGGAGGACCGGATAGTCGGCGGACAACGGTGTCTTGTTCCACGGCCACGACGGTGTTTAGCAACATCACGGGGCCGCGCACGTCGTTGTCGGCGCGCACGAGCATGTCGAGCTGGACGTCGGATCCGGGGCCGGAGGAGCCGGAGGCGGATACGGCGTATCGGCTAGCGTGGATGTGGGTCAAGGGATGGCGGAGCCGGCTTACGGTTGCGGGGACGCGGTGGAGTCGTGTCGGTGGGGCTGGCGCACGAATGAGATGCTGTATTTGGGGTCGGATCTGCTTCGGCTTCGGGAGGTTCCGCGCGGTCGGGGCAAGGCCGGGAAAAGGGTGCGGTGGGAGTGAGAGATAGAGAGAGAGAGAGGAGATTGGAGGATCCCTTTGGATTTTCCTGGCGAGGGTTAAAAAGATGGGTGTTTGGAGTTTTAGACTGTAATCAATGCATAGCTTAATTGAACTATCTTCAATATGAGTGAGTCGTGAACGTGGTAATGCAGCACTGCGGCTAGCCCTCTTTCTTATGGCAAGGTAGAATTTAAGCCGGTTATTTTTCATTAAACGCGGTGATAATATGGATGAGAGAACGTATGTAGGGAAGGGCTTCGAAACTCGTCCGCTTCTGTGTGGGCCGGTCAGAGATGACCGGCTCCAACCTACGCACTTGATGGCCTTTGAGCAATAGCTGCGGACTGCCAAATTGGGATCAATGGATACATGGACGAAGGAATACTTTGATGGATTGGTAAGACACGACACCTGACCTTGGTCGCACCAACTCTGCATCCACGACAAAGGGAGAAAGGGGCCTGGACAGCCCACAGCCTGGTGCACGCCCGCTTCCCCGAATTGCTTTCTTGAGGGGAACCCGCGTCGACTTCCAGTCCGTTGCATTAAATAGGGACAGTGCCCCCTACTCGACTCTCAGATCCCCATGAAGGTAATTTACTCTCCCAGTTGCCCCAGCGCGAGGCGACGGCCAGCACCGGATACCGAGAGAAAGCGAAATGGGCTCGTCCCATGAATATCCTTCTAATGCGTTTTTTAGCACGCCTGACACCTCTTTTCCGAATATTGAGCGTGTCGAGCGTCCAAATTGGCTAGAACAGCCCCAGCTGAACCGGCAGTACGTCGCAGCGTTCCTCAATTTCCTTCCCCACTCTCCGAATCAGTGTGTCGTTTCCTAATACGAAACTTTGAACTCAGCGACGACCATGGAGTGATAATAGGAGGGCACCAAAGGGGATTGAACAGCTTGGTGCCGTCGGCGCGAGGATTATTTCGCCAACATGAGCCATGCCAGGTCAAGTGTGTATCTACCCCCTTCGATCCCCTCCTCTTCTTGTGCTGAAACGGCCCCCCATTTTCTAACGGCTTCAATATCCTCAAAGCATCATCTTCGTGCACGGAATAGAAGGTACCTCGCATGATACCTGGCGGATCGATGCCCTTACCAACGAAACGGATTCAACATACCATGCCGGAGCCCCCATCTGCGGTGGTGGCCACAACTGCTCCACCACGACGCTCCTTGTGCGAAAATATGGATGTATGGATACGACTCTCGCGTTCGAGAGGGCATGTTTCAGCGCGGAGAGGAAAATGTGATTACCAGATATCGAGCAGACTTCCTCGCGAGACTCCGGCAGGCTCATGTATCGGTACGGTGGGCGTCTTAATATCCCTCAAATTGACACATGGTTGCCTCAATTACGACAAATGAATGCTGAGACAGACGTTGTAGGACCCGATAATATTTGTTGCGCATGATCTAGGGGGATCATAATCAAAGACGTAGGCTGGTCTCCGTCTTGTTGACGCCAGGTTATGGTCTGTTCTAACAATCAACATTGAACCCTACAGGCTCTCTACCACTGTGAGAAACTTCGCACGCTAACAAAGCGCATAATATTCTTCGGCACTCCGCACCGCGTCGACGATCACCAAGAGTGGGTCTCCGTCCTGTCTAAGCTCGTTATATATGCCTCGCCTTCCCCAGACCAGCAAGAGCTAAGTAGATACGATACGGATACGAGCCTCCTTGAGAGAATTACGGACAATTTCAACGATATTGCAACCCATCGCCGCATAAGGATACATTCTTTTCAAGAAGGAAGCAGCGATCAACATGCCTGGTATCGTTGGAGTCACGGACCAGGTCGGCTTCGGGAGACGCGGGTATTTTCTTTTTCATACTTGACCGCGCACTTGAGCACTTGCTAGACGCTGACATTGGAGCAGGCAAGCCAATTGAGAAAGGTGCTTGAAAGCATCTACTCAAGAATCGGGCTCGAAACCGACCTCGAAACCGTGGAGTCTGTCGATGGGAGTCATGGAGATATGACGCATTGTACGGGCAGGAATGACGCACGATATCAAGCTGTACTTGCACTTGTGCGGCCTTTTACCGATCTCGACTTGCATCTGAGCCCTAGTATACACTCTGAAGCCAATCTCAGAGAGGCCCGTGATCGCACAGGTGTATCTCCCACGGAAAATGGTACGCCTATCTACTTGGAACCTCGTTTCCTTGAGCGAGGCGAACAAAGACCACACGGGCACCGAGATGGGAGAGCAAACGTACATTCGACAGCACCTAACTTTTCCCGGAGGCAATCTGAATATCGCACTCACAACAGGGATACTTGGGAGGACGATCACCCAGATTCGGCAGCATCGAATCTTCTTCAAGGGCAAGCAGGAGCCCGGTTTCAAAATGCTTGGCCTGACAATCGCCCGGGCAGAGTGGACGGGTCGCCAGACACCCAAGCATACGAAACCCCCGCAAGCCGGAAGACATGGTTATGAAAAGAGTATGATGGTACTAGATTCGGCAGCACCTAATCTCACCCAAGGACAACTCAGAACCCGCTTTCAAAATACCTGGCCTGACAATCGCCCAGGCCGAGTAGATGGGTCGCCAAATACCCAAACATACGAAATTCCTCCGCATGCCATAAGACACGGTTATGAAGAAAATATGATGGTAGATTCGGCAGCATCTACTCTCCATCGAAGGAAATCCCAAAGTCACTTTCAAAATACCCGGGATGGCGAGCGTCCGGGGAAAGCTCATAACTCGCGAGATTCTCTGACACGAGAGTCTCCTTTTCGAATGTCCCTAGACGACTCTTTAGTGGCTAGTAGCTCTAGACGTGACGCCCTCTCTACTGCCAACGAGGGAGGCATATCGCTGGACCACCGGACCAGTCACCGAGGGAGAAGCTATCAGTTGGAGATAAGATCAAGGCCAGTGGCCCAAAATAAGCGCAATTATGAAATGATGGGGGAGAAATCACGCTTGGTAGAGCCGTGGGAAGATGGAAAAGACCAGGAATATAGGGATCGGAAAAAGCGAAAGAGTGTAGAATTCAAGAATTCACCGCAGTCAAAGTCATCTACCGCACAAGACAGCCCGGAGCCCGCGCGCTCCGAGTTCGGAGTGGCCATCTTTTGCGCCCTTACCCTCGAAGCCGACGCCGTAGATGCCCTGCTGGACGGCCACTGGAATCAACGCAAAGGCCATCCGGACGAAAAGGCCCCAAATGATCCAAACAGCTATACCACCGGCATCATTGGTTTACACAATGTCGTGTTGGTTCACATGCCACAGATGGGAAAGGTCAGCGCGGCCTTTGTAGCGGCCTTTTGTCTATCGAGTTTCCCCAATATCAAGCTTGCCCTTGTGGTGGGCATCTGCGGCGCTATCCCGTCCACGTCCCAAGACACCGCAGGCCGAAATATCTACCTGGGCGACGTCATAGTCTCCGATGGGGTTGTCGAGTACGATTTTGGTACGGAGCTGCCAGAGGGCTTCACGCGCAAGGCGACCTCGTACGGTTCCACGACTACCGAAATAAGATCGCTTCTCGCGAAATTAAAAGGCCGGCGTGGCCGCAAAGAGTTGGCGGAGGGCATGGAGGATTCTTTACAAACCCTCCACAATACTCCTGATCTAGTTGAGAAGTATATGGACGCTGTGAATGATGAAGTATACGATTCAACATATCGCCACATTGAGGACAGGATCCCGTGCGAAAGGTGCGGTTGCGATGAACGTTTCATCAGACGCCATCGCATCCGAACTGCCGAGACTGCGCCTGCCGTTCACTTTGGCCTGATGGCATCCGGTGACACGGTGATGAGGTCCGCAGAGATGCGAGATCGCATCGCAAGCCGGGATAAGGTCATAGGTTTTGAGATGGAAGGCTCAGGCGTGGGGAATACCATTCCCTGCGTCATCATCAAGGGCGCGTGCGACTACGCGGACAGTCATAAGAATAAGATTTGGCAACCGTACGCCGCGGCGACGGCGGCGGCATGCGCCAAGGCGTTTCTTCAGCACTGGCGGGTGACTTCATCCTTTTAGTCGAATAGGTCGGGCGGCTGACGGGGTGAAGAATATCCGCCAGTTGTATATACATTGATCCATGGATGTATTGATTAGGTTCAAATGGTTGCCGTTGGGAAAAAGAAGGTTAGTGTTTAGGGCTGGCAATGAACAACATCTACACCAATTGGATTTATAGATGGGATAGATGAATGAATATTTTCACATTTTCTCCTCGTAGCTTTGGATTTCGGATCATTTGCTTCTGGTTCTCGAGAATGGTCTTCCCTGCATACCTCGCCTGGTGGTTGAACGTGGGAGGGTCTACATGTAATGGCTTGAGGTTACATGTAGTTAGGCATAGCTTCCCTCCACGTTCACCCAAGTTCACCTACCGGCAAAAAAGTGGCGTAGACGAGAGTAAGGTGTCTCATTTATGGCGACCCCAGCACGGAAAGTGAGGCGAACGTGCATATCGATCAAGTCATCCATTACAACCAACCAGGGAAGCGGGACCCTAGATGATGTGCGTTACAAGGGGTGCAGAACGAGAGGGCACTATTGGTTGGGAATGGCGCCTCCCACGGGCTGGTCAGCCTGGAGAGAGGTCCTTTCCCTCATGTGTGTCGGCCTAACTTTGTCGCCGAACATTATTTGGAGGCGTTTCCCGCTCCTAGCCTGCCCTTTCAGAATTTCTTCTGTTCGGCTTCATACATCCATTGTATTCAATGTTTTCTCAACCACCACTATTACGTAGAATCGATATCAACTTCTTTTGACACGAGATATCGCCATGTCACACGTCCGCCGAATCGGGTTCACGCGGTTGGGATCTGCGAATCCCACAAATGGGCCAAATCAGTTCAAGTATACAGACGCCCTCCATCCTCTTGAAACCTAGTCTGCGGGCTGACAAGTCTGAAAATCAAAAGCATCATCTTCGTCCATTGCCTCGGTGGTCATCCAGAGTACACTTGGGGCCATGACCCAGGGCCAACCAAATCAGCTGCCAGTGCTTTTACCTCGCTTTTCCAACAGCAGAAATCGACTGAAGGACACGGCAGATCTACCGCGGGCTCTTCTTCGCAATGGGCGTTCTGGCCCGAGGAATTTCTCACTGATGATATCCCTGAGGCAACGATTTGGACATATGGCTATGATGGCTGTGTTGTTGAGAGTATCTTCCAGACTGGGAGTGAAAACACCATCTCTAGCCATGGCCGTGATCTTGTGACACAGTTCAAGAGGCATATGGATAATGAGGTACGGCAAATCCCGTGTACGGGTCCTACCGAGGTACCACGGGCTAACTAGGAGTACGGAAAATTGCAGTATCCGGTGATATTTGTTGCGCATGGCTTCGGGGGTATCATCGTCAAAGAGGTATGTGATGAACGGTTTAGCAGCCTCCCTCAATCGAGTACGTTCCCCAACACGAGCAGGCAATCTACAGATCGAATACAATTCGGACGCCGACGAAGTATATCCTCTTCCTAAATACTCCACAACGTCGAGAAAAACGTCGGGGGTGGACAGCGGCAGCATGTAAGCTCGCCGACTCTGCGCTCCAAGACTCCATGAGCCGCAAGAACAGGAAGATTTTGGAGTCCTTGAGGGTAGATGGGCGAATGCTGGACAAAATTCAATCCAGATTCGAAGCCATCGCCCTTGAACAGGGGATAAAAGTCAGCTCCTTTCAAGAAAGGAAGTGCGCTTCAGGCGTGAGTCTATACATGTATCACACGGAGGTAATGGATGAATTTCTCACTGTCCTCCCCCAACAAAAAAAACCCTCCAAACAAACAAACAGCGATCACTCAAGTACTAAGCGAGCGGCCATCTATAGGTTGCGAGCTCCTCCACATCGGAAACTAAACTTTCAGATGCCCAGCAAACAGTAGCAGGGTCTCATGCGGACCATCGACAAATAGCGAAATTCGAGAAAAGGTCGGATGCTGGATACCGTGAAATTCGAAGCGCGTTACAAGCATTCATCCGGAAAATCCCCACGTCGTCCACTCAGCTTGAGCCAATATCGACAGCTCCATCGACAGCTCCAGCCCAAACCCTTTCAATAACATATCCCTATCAAGACCAAGCCGAAGATACCACTGCGTCACAGCCTACCCTCCCGTGTAAGTTTAGAAACGCGTTCAATACAAGCCATACGTAGACTAATGAGAAATTGCAGTATCGCTCAATTATCAGAGTTCTCGAGGCGAACTGTCTACGAACACTCCCAGAAGCCGACCAGTCGTCCATGGTACCAGCAGGAACATCCCACTGCGGCGCCCTGCCACACGCCAAGGGTTTGAGATTGCCATCATCTGTGCCCTTACGCTCGAGGCTGACGCGGTTGAGGCGCTCTTCGACCAGATATGGGACACCAACGACAAGAATTCCCCTTACGATAAGGCTCCGAATGATTCAAACACTTATACAACTGGATTCCTTGGACGTCATCCTGTTGTCCTCGCGTACTTGCCAGGGATGGGGAAAGCAAGCGCCGCCGCAGCAGCAGCGAGCTTCCGTATGAGTTTCCAAAACATCCGGCTGGCTCTCGTCGTCGGAATTTGTGGCGTTGTTCCTGTCTCCCTGATGACGACGAGATTTTACTTGGAGATGTTATTATTAGTGAATATGTGATACAATATGATTTCGGGGCTCGTCTACCGGGCAAGTTTCTCAGGAAGGAAGGGGTGCGAGATATACTAGGCAGATCTAACCCCGAGATACGCGGACTACTTGCCAAGCTGAAGGGAAGACAGGGCCAAAAGAGCTTGAGGGAAAAGATAAGCCAATATCTGGAAATCCTTCAAGCCAATGAAGATCTTGCATCGAAATATCGCATGGCTAAATATGATCGACTATTCGAGGCCACTTATAGACATGTCAACGAGAGAGAGTCATGCGACCGATGCGGCTGCGATACATCCTTCCTTCAACGCACCCGTGTCAGGACGGCAACGGACAGACCTCGTGTGTACATTGGTCCGATAGCATCAGGCGACACAGTGATGAAATCTGCACTGGATCGTGATATGATTGCAGGCCAGGATAAGATCATAGCTTTCGAGATGGAGGGATCAGGGGTGTGGGATAATATCCCCTGCGTGGTGGTTAAAGGCGCCTGCGATTACGCTGATAGCCACAAGAATAAAACCTGGCAGCCATACGCAGCAGCTACTGCAGCGGCATGCGCGAAGGCATTTCTTGATAGCTGGGTGCCCTCGCAATCGTCACAGCAGGGTACGTAAATTCTCGGAAATTGAAAAGCCACACTCTTACTAAGATTTCTATTCCGCCTCTCTAGAAAGTTTTCAGCGATGGTGTAAGTACTAGTCCCTTCCGTTGTGTTTCACTCGTTATGATGGAGGAGTGCTGATAGTTCTAACTCTTTTCAGTCATCGTGCCATATCCGAGGAGTCGCAATTTCGTCGGTCGAGAAGAGATCATGAAGCAGCTGCAGCGTCCGCCAAGACCCGGCGCTCAGTCTCGGCTTGCGCTCATTGGTCTCGGCGGCATCGGGTAGGCTGGCGTTCCTAGCTACAGGGTATTCAATTTTATGCTGACTACCGGCTTTAGGAAGACAAACATCGTACTTGAGTATGCATACCGGATCTACGAAATGAGCGAGTTGACGTCCGTATTTTGGGTCCATGGAAGCAGTGCTGAGCGATTCAGAGAGTCGTACTCCAGCATCGCTTACGAGTGCCAAATCCCTGAACATGCTGACCCGGCAGCGGATATCCTGTTGATTGTCAAAGAATGGCTCGAGAGCAAACACCACGACCAGTGGCTCATGATCATCGATAACGCTGACGACAAGCAAGTATTTTCTTCGCCATCCATCACAATAAGAAGTGAAAGCGGAAGCAAGTCGCAGGTGCCTCTGACATATTACATACCAAAGTGTGCTCACGGGTCAATTCTTATCACAAGTCGCGATAGGGCGGCGGGTGTTGAACTCGCCGAAGGAGCCCCTCTGATCGAAATCAATGTGATGAGCGAAGAGGAGTCAAAGCTTCTTATTCGGGCTAATATAGGGAAGGAAACGTTACCGGTTATAGTCTGGGGGTACTCTCTTCTCGACTAGAGCATCTCCCACTTGCTCTCGCTCAGGCTGCCGCATTTATGGAGGCAAAATCGATGTCCGTTGCCGAATACACTAGCCTCTTAGATGGGACGGACGTCGACCCTATCGAGCTTCTAGGAGACGATTATGAGAGTTTTGGAAAAGGTATCAGAGCTAGCCGTGCAATGGTAGAGACGTGGATCATCTCATTTGAGATGATTCGTCAACAAGATCCTTACGCAAGCGATTTACTCTCACGCATGGCCTTCTTCGACAGGCAGGCAATTCCAAGAGAGTTTCTCGCATACGATGAAAAGAACGCAGGCCAGGAAATTGATGAGCGGGTACTCACCAGCGCGCTAGGTACACTGAAGAGGTTCTCTTTCATCAGTACAGGGAAGGACCAGACCTTTGACATGCACCGCCTAGTGCAACTGGTATCGCAAAAGTGGCTTATACGGGACAGAATGGCTGAAAGGTTTGCTATCGAAGCACTAAGAGCAGTATCATATGTTTTCCCAGAGGCGACATATGAGAACTGGGCGACGTGTAGCAAATATCTGGCGCATGCCACAGCGGTTTTACGATCCGTCAAGCCAGGCAAACGCCAGATCAGGAGAGATAGGGTCCAAGTTCTCGATAAGATAGCTTCATACTTCGAAATCGTTGGGGAATGGAAATCTGCAGAGGAGTATCTAATAGAAGCTCGACGACTGACCGCGGACATCAAAGGACAGGGACATCTTGATACACTGGTTTATACAGCCAGATTAGCGTCAACATACTGGAACCAGGGACGATGGGATGAGGCTGAGACTCTAGAAGTACAGGTGCTAGAGAGGATGAAGAAGAAGCTTGGCGCTGACCATCCAGACACACTGACCATTATGGGCAACTTAGCTTCAACATACTGGAACCAGGGACGATGGGATGAGGCTGAGACTCTAGATGTACAGGTGCTAGAGAGGAGGATGAAGAAGCTTGGCGCTGACCATCCAGACACACTGGCCAGTATGGGCAACTTAGCTTCAACATACCGGAACCAGGGACGATGGGATGAGGCTGAGACTTTAGAAGTACAGGTGCTGGAGAGTAGGAAGAAGAAGCTTGGCGCTGACCATCCAGACACACTGACCATTATGAGCAACTTAGCTTCAACATACTGGAACCAGGGACGATGGGATGAGGCGGAGAATCTACACTTACAGGTGCTAGAGAGTAGGAAGAAGAAGTTTGGCGCTGACCATCCGGACACACTGACCAGTATGGGCAACTTAGCTTCAACATACCGGGACCAGGGACGATGCGATGAGGCGGAGAATCTACACTTACAGGTGCTAGAGAGTCGGAAGATTAAGCTTGGCGCTGACCATCCAAACACACTAAGCAGTATGGCCAACTTAGCTTCAACATACTGCAATCAGGGACGATGGGATGAGGCTGAGGCTCTAGATGCACAAGTGCTGGAGAGTAGGAAGATGAAGCTTGGCGCTGACCATCCCGACACATTGGCTACTATGTCTAGCTTGGCATCGATGCTACAGCGCCGTGGTCAGCTTTCCGGTGCTATCGAGCTTATGACAGCTTGTGTCACCGCGCGCCGCCGGGTCCTTGGCCCGCATCATAGATCTACCTTATGGGCCTCCCAACAATTGGAAATGTGGGGTAAATTGAGTCAGAATAGTTAGTTCAAACATCCTGGTCGTCTAACATCTCATGCTACATCGTATCTTGCTCGCCTGGCGAGAAGTAGCAGCTTTGTCTATCACGAAAGTATATCTAGTCTCGACAGTTTTTCAACGAAGGTGGGGATGGACCTGTGATTATGTATCGTTTGAATGCGAAAGATGTTTAACAAACCCAAGTTGATTCTACTTTTGACAGCCGAGGAGGTGTATTGGGCGCATGGAATCTGCTTCGTTTTGAACAAAATCTCTAGAAGACCCCTTTCGCTTCTTGTGGCATGCCCGTGATTTTGGCGGGGTAGGAGACCTCTCTGATTATACTCACTATTGACAGCCCGGAAAATCCATAGATGATTCTTTTGTTAAAGCAAGTGCTCATCCTGCGTCATCTTCCGACAGTTACAACGGGGCTCCAAGTCCGGGAGCTCTTCGCTGCGCTGGGGTGAGGGGAATCATCAATTAACCTACTTCGTGATACATATGGGACGCTAAGTGTTCAAGATGACGTGTAGGGCAATTATTCTTAAAGATATCATGATGTTTTCTGTTCGCCACCTTGTGACCTGTTGAACCGCCCCCGCCCCGGTGGGTTGGAAGATAAAAAGACGCCTTACCCTCGATTCCAGTAAACAATATTTCGTCTTGGTTTTAGTCAGTACAAACCAGAACCTTGAGAAACTAATCACACCACGACGATGGAACACAGTTCACACAAAGAGAGGGAGGCCGGCCACGGTCTACCTGACAAGTCTGTCCAAGCCGCGCATGACTTTATCGAGCATGCGGAGCACGATAGGGAAGAGGTAAGTGAACTGCAGTTGAACAAGAAAAAGCATCGCTCCTTATTTCCGGCCTTGCATAAGGCGTCCCAACCCCGGCGTATGCTGAGCTGGCGAGGGCTTGCTACTGGCGGACACGAGCTGACGTGTGAGGGTAGGCCGAATCGAAGGGAAAGAAGACGGGGGACTGGGCTCGGAGCAGAAGAATAAGCCTGCGGTGGATAAAACCAAGACCAAAAATGAAGAACCCACGACACTTTGCATGTCCTGGAGGGCCGGAAAAGGCTTATGATTCACTAGGCATGGGATATGTTGATAGTTTTAATCAAGAGTCATAATCGTGCTCCGTAAAACCAGACCAAACCCTAAAGAGTGTGGCCACATAGTTTTCGGAAACGAAGCAAAAGGCAACCCCTGTAAACTTTAAGAGATAACTTGTCGCCTGGGGTCTGCAGACCTAGGGAGGCCAACAATAAAAGCCAGGGTGCAGCGAGATTTGCTAATGGTATGTCTTGAGCACATCACGCGATTCTGGTCCGTGTGGGAACCGAGAATGGAAATGAAGAAGTCCGGCCCTTCTTTTGGGTTTCGAGTTTCGACTCAAAGGATGAGGTTCGCATCTGAAAATGATGACCGTCGATGTCCGCATCTCACGGCCCCACATTAAGCACCTGAGCTATTCACCGGTGCGCGGTGCGCGGTGCGACTGCTCGCAGCTGACTCTAGCTGTCGGTCTTCCTTTTCATATTGTTTCAATTATTACCCTCAGAGACAACAGTATTATTGGATGAATCTTTCGTAACAAGGTGGGAGGCCAGGTTTTCGGGTGCCGACCCGAATTGTATTGAGCCAGCTGGCCATTGGTAGGACCAGCACCGGTATCTTGTGGTGGCTTTCGGGAATCGTTTCGCTTGAATTGGGCTGGCCGCTGTCAGGAGGAAAAGAGGAAAAGGAAAAAGAAAACTTGCTCAATAATTCCCCGCACGGGTCACTCACTCATTCTCTAGGCAGATTGGCATCGAGACTCGACCACCCACAACATCCAGCAACGCGCATGATATGTAAAACGAGAACTCATGGATTCACTCGGTCTTGCTTGCAATGAAAAACAAATCCCCTCCTCCGCCTAGCCCATTGAGAAATATTGATTTTCTATTGATCTCTGGGAGAAGAGGATCGAATTCTGTTACCTAACGCCTTTCTTGACCGCGATTGTGCAGTCTGGCTCTCTTTCACCACCATCGCCAACATGGAATGCCTCAAACTTGCTCTGGTTTCAAGCCACAATGCCACCTGGATCCGGGAGTAAGCGGGGAAATCAGCGGGAAAGGGAATGGGAAAAAATATTGCCTGTGTTGGTGAGCAAGTTTTCTCCCTCGCCCACTCCCCATGTCGCGGTTCTGCTTTCAGCCCTGCTACCCTTGGGCCATCACATTTTCATCCAGTCCCTGTCTCCAAAAACCCAATTGAATCATTCGCTCTCGTGGGGACCCAGTGCCATGGGAAACATCACATGGAGTGAAAAAAAAACAGACTCTCCGCTCCAAGCTTGAATCACCCCCACACACATCACACAAACAGACACGCTAGCCCATCCCCAAGAAAGACGAAAGAAAAGGTGGTGGCTTGAAATCGGACGATGGCGATTCGCCGATGGAAGAAGAAGCTTAGATGGACCGGGGGAGAAGGAGTCACCACGCTTAAGAAGGACCCACGGTTGAGATGTCACGGTCCCCTTTTGTATTTTCTCTCCGTCTTGGTTGGCGGGAGTTTCCAATATGCATGTCCACTTTAGTGTCCTCTTGGTGCCAAGACACGGCGGGAGAGATTGATGATGGAGCGAGAGAGCCTGGGGAAACCACCAACGGATCCAAGGCGTCCAAAGAGACGACAAGAAGAAAAACTTGCTCAAATGCGCTTGCTCGTCCAACCCCCAAAGGGAAAATGCACTCAAAACTGCCTCACCTTGAACGCACACCCCCGCGCACCCCAATTTGGTAGCGATAGATTAAGCGGGAATGCACAATTGGGGGCCTTTTTTGATTAAATGATGATTTATATAAGATGCCTCGGATTGGCCTCAGGGCCAGCGACGAGCAGGATGTGCATCATTACCAAGACGAGCTTGGTCCGCTGCAACGACGATTTGCTAAAGTCCGTCGACTGGTTTCTGAGCGTGTGTCTCATCGTTTGCGTGCGTGCCTAGCTATATTCGCCAACGTTGCTTCTCTTCCACGCTTCCTGTCTCTTTCCTTCTCGAGGTGTTCGTTGTCGAAAAAGTCCCATCCTCAGCCGATCTTTATCTCCTGCTTCCTCCTGCTCCTTCCCTTCCTCCCCTCGTGCCTAGGGTTTCCCTTTGTTTATCTCGCGTGGCGTGCAAATCCGGCCCTTTTCGAGCCTAACTTAAGAAGATTTCCTCATTGAATCTCCCTTGCCATCTTCGTCGCCTGGTGTTAGCGTCACCCACCGCCCCCATGCTCTCCCGACTCACCGCGGCCGTCGGCCTCCTCGCCACGGCCGCCGTCCCAGCCTCGGCGCACACCGTCGACGGCCGGTACGGCTACGGCCTCATCGGCTATGGCATCTCCATGTACGACCCGCCCTGCGCCTACGCCTGCCGCTCCGCCATCGCCTACCCGCTCGAGTGCCCCATGGACCACGACATGCACGGCGACGACGCCGCCGCCATGTCCTCCCACATGTCCATGGGCCCGTCCGCCGAGTGCTACGCCACCAACGAGCACTTTCTCCACTCCATGGCCTGGTGCATCCACGAGCGCTGCGGGGGCCTCCCCATGTCCCAGCTCGAGGAGTACTGGGAGCTCAACATCCCCGGCCGCGGGAGGGTCCAGCCCTTGCCGAGGCTGTCCTACCAGCAGGCCCTCGACGAGGTCACGGAGGCGCCCGAGACCGTGGTCGAGGCGGGCGAGACGCTGAATATGACAACGGCCGTCACTGATGAGTCGTACTGGAGTCAGTATAATACGCTGAGGGCCTTTGAGGAGATTGAAGTGAACCACTCGCGCTACGGGTATGTTATCCTCTCTTTTCATTTTTCAACGTTTTCCCATCACTCTACAGCTTGGCAAACCCGAGAAAATTGTCCCAAAAAAAAAAAAAAGAGTTCCAGCGCTAACCACTACCCCGTGCTTCTCATATTAGTCTCGTCGTCCTCATCACCTGCGTCTTCCTCCCCATGGCCTTCTCCCTCCTCCGCTTCCTCCCCTTCCCCAAAACCCTCACCAGCACCTTTTACGCCTACGTCATCGACCCCCGGCCTTTGGCACCCGCCACGCCGTACCGGCCTTTGGCCTCGCCATCATCCCCACCCGCGGCCAGGCCCTCTTCATCCTGTACATCGTCGTCGTCAACGTCGTCCTCTCCTCTGTCGGCTACCGCGCCACCTCGGACAACGCCTGGTTCGCCACCCCGGCCGCCCAGATCCGCGCCTACGTCTCCAACCGCCTCGGCGTCCTCAGCTTCGCCAACCTGCCCCTCGCCATCCTCTACGGCAGCCGCAACAACGTCCTGCTCCGCCTCACCAACTGGTCCCACAACACCTTCCTCCTCGTCCACCGCTGGATCGGCGTCCTCTGCATGCTCCAGGCCGTCCTCCACTCCGCCATCTACCTCCAGGAGTTCCTCGAGAATGGCACCCACGCCGACGAGAGCAAGCTGCCCTACTGGTACACCGGCATCGTCGCCACCCTCGCCCTCAGCGTCATCGTGCCCCTGTCCATCCTCCCCGTTCGCCGCTGGTGCTACGAGTTCTTCGTGTCCAGCCACGTCGTCCTCACCGTCGTCAGCATCATCGGCTGCTGGTACCACATCGCCTTCCGGTACAGCCGCCAGTGGGGCTACGAGACCTGGATCTACATGGCCATCGCCATCATGTCCTTCGACCACCTCTTCCGCGTCCTCCGCATGGCTAGGCACGGCGTCAAGTACGCCTACGTCACCGCCGTCGATGCCGAGTACTACCGCATCGATATCCCCGGCGTCAGCAGCCGCGGCCACGTCTACATGTACTTCCCCACCCTCACCTGGCGCGTCTGGGAGAACCACCCCTTTTCCGTCGCCGGCATCCTCGGTCGCCCCGGTGCCGATAGTCAGGAGCCCACCAGTGCCAGCGGCAGCGACAATGAGAAGGAGATGACCACCACGACCAAAATTCCCTCCACCACCACCACCACTTCCTCCACCGGCCCTGTCCCTACAGGTAGCCCCGCCGGAATCACACTGTACATGCGCATCCAGGACGGCGCCACCTCCTACCTCGCCGCCCGCGCCGGTAAGGGTCCTATCCCCGTCCTCGTCGAGGGCTCCTACGGCCGCGAATCCGTCGGCCTGTTCCCCCACAGCCACGTCCACGCCGACTCCGACTTCCCCAACATCGTCTGCGTCGCCGGCGGTGTCGGCATCACCGCCATTCTCCCCGTCCTCGAAGACGCCCAGTCCCTCGGCCGACCCCTCGGCTCGCTCAAGCTCTTCTGGGGTTCGCGAAGCCAGGCGCTCGTCGACGCGGTTTCCTCCAACGTCGCGTCTCGGTCTGTCGGCGTGGACGGGCGCGTTCGCTGGGGCGATGCCGAGGTGCAGGTGGCGATTGGGGAGAGGTTGAGCGTTCGCTCCATCCTCGAAGCGGAGATCAACGAGAAGACGGTCGGAGGTACCACGGTGGTGGTGTGTGGGCCCGCGGCCATGTCGGATGAGGTGCGGTGCACGGTTGCGGCTCTGGGAAGGCACAGCGGCGTGGCTGTCCGTTTGGTGGAGGAGAGTTTCGATTGGTAGTGTCTGCTCTTATGTTGCCCTTTGTGGCTTTTTGTTCTTTCTTTTGTTTCAATGTTCTATTAAAAGCTCAAATTAGCTCCGATACCAATCTCCTTGAATAACGATGAGAATATTGCTTTTGAACGACTCCTCGTGATGGCATTAATGATGATGTGATATTAGTGTTTAAGCTGCAAACATGTACGTGTACACTCTAGGGCCATCTCTTATTTTTTTCGGCCCAATAATTGTGAGATATTCACACCAGTCATCTATCAAGGTCTTCTCAGTTGGACTGCGCGTTGGTCACTAACGCGTTTTAGTTTCTTCTCTTACGGGCTATTATTCCCCGCCAAGGTGACTCTGCCCCTGTTCTAACCTAGACCACTGCGTTCCGAGCTTGAATTCCCTACTTCCCTCTCAACGTTTGTTGAGATCGGGTATCCTCCGCCTCCGCGTGTAGCGCGGACCCTGCTCCCAGTAGCATGCATCGACGAGAGTGATGCAAAACATGAATGCCCTCGACGCCCTACACATTAGTTAGACCAGGAACTAGAATGAGCGCGGTTTCACTTCAAAGTACTATCACGCTCTGGGGATGGGGACGGGTTCCCCCAGCCAGGCTCCCCGTTGTTCAAAAATACTTACAAGAAGGCAAGGCTCACGCTCGCCACCGCTAGGTATAGAGCCGCAAAGGGTAGCGCTCGTTGTCGGATTTCGCCAGATCAAAGTATTCCTCGTTGTACGAAGACCTGTACCCAAATATGACGCCGCAGGTCATGGTGATAATGTTGAGGAGCTCGTGGGTCAGGAGGATGCCGGGGCGGGCTCGCGTGCGGGTTGGGCTCGAGAGCGCCACGATGTCCCAGGTATCGAAAATGATGGAAAAACGGACTATTTCGAGAAGACGGGGCGCACAACACTATCAGCTTTTAAAGTCACGAGAAACGCACCCAGACTCTAGTCCATTGATCGAAGTCCCGTCTTGGTACGCTTAAACAGAATCAAGGGTAGAAACGACGTACGCAGACAATAGGTATTCCGAACCACATGTTCACCTCTCCCAGCGGCTTGGCGTCGGGTAGATTCTGTCTCGCCCCATCCTCTTGATTCCACCTAATGGCGATGTATAACCAGAGCGCCAGCACGCCGTAGCCGAAGAGGAGCATGGGAACGCGGATTATGAGCTGCACGCGCTCGTACGTGACGACGGCTTTCCTTTTAGAGTCCACATCTCTTCCCGTTCCGGACGAGGCATCGTCGGCGACCTCAAACTGCTCCATGACGCTACTTCCCCTTCGGTTGGTTTACTGTTTATTGATTGCGATCTGGCCGGCGGCCTTGATGTGGTGTAGATTTGTACAATTTTCGCTTCGTTGCTTTCGGATATGGTGCCAAAGGCTGGATGAGCTAACGCCACGCCAACCCAGTCGAAATAAGAGAAAATCAATCACCAATTGGGGGAACGATGGGACAAAGAAGAGGAGAAGAAGAGCGAAAGAAAGAAGAAAAAACCGCCCCGCTGCGGAATACGGGGATAAAAACAGTGATATACATGCTCGCATTGCAGTGCCGTTCAATCGCCCCGGAATAAATGAAGCGGGAGACCCCGCCCCGCCCGATCCAACCAACCACTCGAAATGCTTGGATGACTTGGGGATTTATTTCTCCTCTTGTTCGCGGGCTGGGCATGTGGCACATTTCCGCTCTGAGTGGGCAGATTTGCCCACATTGCCCGATTCGCAACCCCCAGGAAGGGACTTTTGAAAGGTCCTGGGGCGATGTTACACCAGCGCACCGCGCTATGCCCCCGGCCACCTTCCGAAAATTACCTAGGAGCAGAGGACCCTTTGATCGGTACGGGAAGCCAAGAATAAAACATACAACAAAAGTCTATTACCCTACGATAGAAACGAAAGGATCCGAGGATATGCGGCAAGCACAGCGTGACTGGTCCGAGAGGAGCCGTGCTACCCGGATCTCCCCTCCTCCGTGACAGCTCTCGGCCGGGTAGGTGTATCCAGGGTGCGCGACGCCAGGTGCCCGGCAGCCGCTTTGCATTCGTGCTAGACCCCGGACATCGACGGAGAAGGGAGAAGCCTTCGGTGAACCAGGCTAGCTCCACAATCCCCACAATACCAACCTAAACCCCGGATGCTCCCGTGGAAGGCCGATAGTACGACGTCCGTGTCGGCGGCTCACGATCGCTCAAGGTCCGTTCCCCTCACGGCCAGCTTCACTCCAGCTGAACCAAAAATCCCGTGGTCGCCTCCGGGAAGGGGGAATAAAATACGACAACCTTCCTTCCACACTAAGAAGGAATCGCTGATGCGCCGAGCTTAGATCCATGGATGAACCAACGGGGGCCCCTCTCCAGGAATCACATGCGACTCGGCATCAATTCTAAGCGAAATACTGGGGCGCGCAAAATGATTTTCCAAAGTTTTACGGTCTAGGCACAAAATGCTCATTGAACAGGACGCTACAGACGGAAGGGTGAAAGTACCAGTCGGTTTAAAATCCTGCTCATTGCACCCAGTAAAGAGCAAGAGTTCAAGAATAGAAGGAATTTCCTAATCATCATTAAGTAGGGCTAAGAATAGCGCGGTAATCTATGGATGCTTTCCACCTCGTTCTCATTAGGGCGTAACAATATCAACTAAAAAAGAAACGCAAGTCCAATCCAGACGCACTCTTACTCCTCATCCCAGCTGTTGACGTACTCCTCGCTCGTTTCCTCGCCGATAGTCACCGTGACGTTATATCCGACGAGAACCGGGTTGACGGACGCTCCGTACAAGCTGAGCAGACTCGCTCCAATGACGTACTCGCCGGCTTCGAGGCTCTCGGGAAGTGTCACGGGCTGTGGGATGTTGTTGAGCTGGTTCGACCCTCTGCAGCAGCGACGACTGATTAGCATTCTTTTCTCAACGGGAATACCCTTCAACCCAACGACTATGGCGCGGCGCGGCTCCACCATGAACATGAGATGTCGGCATATCGACCACCTCACTAGATAAACGATGAAACATACCGGGTCCAAGGTAAAAGCTTCCGAAAACGGGCCCCAGGGTGTCGGGGTACGCAGCCTCCTCCCTGTTGATACCAAAGGCGATAGCCACATCGTAGACGGACTGGATGTAGTTGGCGCTGCCAATGTAGGCCGTGATCTCTTCGCCCGGCTTAATCGTCTTGGGGAAGGAGATGCCGTGGATGCGAGCGGACGCCGTGGTGGCGAGGGCGGCGAGGAGGGCGGCGCGGAACTGCATTGTTGCGAAAAGTGTGGGCGTGCTGAAAGGTGAGAAGGTCGAGAAGGAAGAAACGGGCTAGAAGTCTATGATGCTGAGAATCTTGATGTGCTCTTAGAAAAATAGTTTTGGATTGATGGCGAGGCCTGGCCTTAAATATAGATGGACATTTCCATGCCGGCAGTGAAGATTGTCATCTGCAGGGTACCTTCTACATGACGATTGCTCTCGTATTCAGGTACCTCACAGCCCCAGGGAGGCGCTGGCATTGGTCCAGAAATCTCGGCTAATATTCCCCGACCATGACGCATTCATCGACGCCCTCTATTTCTGACGGCTGCCATATTAAATCGGACGGGCATCTCGCAGAAAGATCTCTTTTGCGACACGACGTGACAGTGCAGCGTCTAGAGCGAGAAAGAAGATAGAAAAGGTAATCTAAAAACCAGCTCTAAAGTGCCTCGAGACCCTTTCCGCGAAATGTATACCTTGACGCATCCACATCCCTTGTTTATTTCCAAATCATCGCGAAAGAGCCGGGTTGCGCGCGGTTTTGTGGGCCTAAGCGCTGATTTAGGCGATCGAGAAGCCGATTTCCGGGGCTGACGGGCAACTTTGGTCAAGTTGATGGCTTAGTGGCCAGGACAGCAACGTTGCAGCTCCACAGATCAGCGTTGTCGCCTCCACAACCAGCGAGGAAACATTCCCAATACGAGGATGGCAACCTGGTAAAGTGGCCAAAGAATCGCAACTCGGCTTACCAATGACGTCAAAAACAAGCCGTTTGTCCTAAGAATAAAACCGTCGTGATGGCGATGCTGCGCCCAGCAGCGAAGTGAGGATGAGAGCCCAAGAGACGTGTAGAATACGCGGATTGCGCCATCGGGCCGTTTAATAGCATCTTCGACGATATCCAATTATTGCAATGGCAGAGATAATGCCTCAACGTTAGGCTTGAGACAAAGCTTGCATCGCCCTAGGGCTACGATGCATGGATGGAGGAAGGATACGAAGATCTGCAGTGTCATCTGCCAGTCAACTTGTCTCCTTCGACGTGTAGTCGGGATACGGCAACTTCGTAAGGAGCTCAGGAAGGGAGCAATGAAAATCGGTCCAACAGCAGGCCTTTGCACAATGTCCTGGATCATGGCTATACGCAGCAACAGTAGAAATGAGGCATCAAGATAGTTAGCAGCACCGTCGATGGGGAAACGTGGTATCTCGATGAATAGTATGGCACGGGCGATGGAGAATCAAGTGATTCTAGGCCCGCTTGCAAGGGACAATAGTTTAACGAAAGTCTTAGCGATAGCATTTCATTCCTGATACATAGGTCCAGTCCGTCCTAGTCCGCATCAGGAATGCGACGTCAAAAGCGTCTCACTTCCCTCGGTCCGCCCTAATTTCCCGCCGCCCTGCAAGCGCGGCTATCAGGACAAGTTACCATTGACTCGGAGTCGAGTCGAGTCAGCGCCTTTCTCCACCACTCGCGCAGTAGAGTTGTATAAAACTCTTGAACATCACGACATTAAATCCTGAAAGGGTCACGACATTAAATCCTGAAGCCTAGTCCCTGATGTGACCCATAGTTGAAAGAGAAGCGAGGTGAACCGTCACTGAGAAGGACCATCACTGAGAAGGACGCAAGATAACCGATCTATCTCGAGACCGTAGAGTCGCTCTGCGATCCGGCGATGCTCGTCTCATTGGCCCTGTTCTTTTGAGTTGTTAGGTATTTTTACCACAACGAAAAAGCTCGATGAAGTGGAATGGACTGGAAGTTGCCTGTGAAGATACGTAAAATATCTGAGAGAGAAGATGACACAATTACAGTTATGCATCCTACACACTGCTGGCATTATAGGTCCGCAGACACAAAAGAAGCAACTCGCTACTTGAAATATAGGGTACAGTCTAATTATGAACCTTTAATAGTAGAGAATAGTACCTGTAAGAATCTGGGTCTGCATCTTGAAAAGTACCATTATCCCTGTATATATCTTGGTCGAATCACCTCAAAGATGGAATAGTAGGCCGACATAGAGTTATCACCAAATAGATCTTCACCTAGCCTAGCATGCGGTAGGTGTGGCTGGAGGGCCAGAGTGTCTTAGATATGATGAACACCAGAGTTGGAACTAAACGCTTACATGTCCCATGTGGGCTTCATTACATGATCTGTTGGGAGTTGAAGCTGTTACTGTACACACAAGAGATAAGAGATAGCCCTAGCTTGTTGCCGTGTTCGACAGCCTATAGTCTTGATGAGTCATCTTCTCTGTTCCGCCTAGCCTAGATATTCATGGATGGATAGAAGACCTTGCTTTTGTTCCCACGACGAGCGGATAGCAGGAGGAATAAAAACATGATCTATGACCTCTGGCTCAAAGCACCGCAACCCACCTGATACATGTACCCGCTCCAAAGCTCGACCCGCAACTGGCCCCACCTGACCACCGAGTTCCACCACAGAAATTGGGGAGGTAGCCGGAGGACACGGCGGGGTTCCACTCGAGGAACTGTGAGTGGGAGATGCCGTGGTCCATCTCGATTGTTGCGCAGTTGTCGCCAGCTAAAGGCATGCGTTAAACTTGCGTTGGTCCACACCCGGATTCCATTCGTAGAAGAGCCCCATGGGGAGATCCCATTCGTCGGGGACAGCCTGGCCGACGGAGTCTATATGTAGTTGGTTCGTTGAAGTAGCACAGCGCTGCAGCATGGATGTAGGGTTACGGCAGCATTGTCGCCATTTCAGCGCGTGTCCGACGTCCCACAGTTTTCACTAGAAATTACCTTCGCCGATTCGTTTGGGGCTTGGTTTGTTGTCTCGCGTTTTCCACGCCCACACCCCATCAGTTAGCACCTACATCTATATAGATTCTCATATTGCCCCAGTCATTTAAACCCCAAACCAACACGAATCCTGCACCTTTACAGAGCCAGCGATGGGCAACACACCAGCCGATCCGCAGCCCAACCCGGAACCTATAGGACCCGGGCATCTCCCCGTCGAACTCCTGTTAGAGATCGCTTCCGGGCTAGTTCTCGAAGACTTCCTCGCTTGCGCTCAAGTCTCCCGCCAATGGCACGCGGCGTGGACCCAGCCGCGCCTAGCCGCGGCGCTGTGCCGCAGTTTCTTCCCCACGCTGACCGTGTCCAACACCTTCGCCGCCTTCCAGAGGGCGTGCCGCAGGTTCTTCCGCCGCCGGCACGGGAAGTACACGGCCGTGGTGGACCTCTCCTGGGGTAACTGGACGCAAGGGATTCCCCGCCATTTTGAGTTTGATCCTGAGCTTCACCCTGACAGCTAGAGCCCCGATCGGAAGAGAAACAAGCCGTATATCATGGCCTATGGCGAGGGAATATCGTGTGGAACCACGTTTTGGATTTGATGTTTATCGACAATTTGTACACTCGGAAGCGGAAGGTCATAGATAGAGCTGACTAGGGCTTTTCACCTTTGTAACTGATGCATAGGTGTGTGCTATGGGCAAATCGCTTCTGGTTACTCAGGTGGGAGACAGGGGACACCAGCCCGACGCCGGACTCAAGATGATGGTGTAAGTGAGCTTTGCCAGTCCCATTATCCACGACCGTCAATTGCACAATCCTTAAACTATCACATAGATTCTTCTATCACCTTGGAAAAAATGTTGGCGCCTGCCACGTGTTCAAGATACCGAGCGAGCGCGAGGCGGATCTATGGTTAAGTATCAGTACCTAGGGCGAGAGGGCCTTTGTAGCCACCGGTCCGTCGAGTATCTATATATTTTCACACGATGGCACCAGTCTCTTAGTCACCTATATCATCGACCCTATAGCTCCATACCACCTAAGCTGCATAGACTTACTAGTCTGGATGATTCACCACCTCAAAATCAATACTGACCTAATCACCTCCCTAACCTATATAACCTAGATGGTGTATTTATCGTGGTCGCTGGCCTGATCCTCGACTCTGCGCTGGATATCACCTACTTCCTGGTATGTGAATTCAGCGGTACTATATATATAGCGACTTACACCTGTGATATTGAGGAGACTATGCGCTCGGTGATAGAGTCTATGCTTAGTAAGGATAGTGAGTTTATTGAGTTGGAGCTAGAAGAAGTGAGGTCAAGAGTAGAAGAGATAGACGAGGACTAGGGGAATAGGATATGTGGCCTGGGATCTATAGTAGCGATGAGGGGGTGTATAAGGTCTTCTACTTTATCTTTAGGGCCCACGAGACTACAGGACCTGGAGAGGGCCTACTACTGAACTGGGAGCTCTACCACTAAGTCTCAGTCACCTTCAGTATGGTCAAAAGGCAGTGGGGAGTCTAACGGGCCTTCATCGATGATGGCGGGGATATAATAGGGGATGGAATGGATGAGTGGAAGCCCTGAGCTTCTATACTTTGGAACTAGTAGCTCCTCCGGATATACTATGACAGCTACGAGCATATAGAATCAAGGCCCGTTATTACGACCCGCGATGTCGATACTGGCGACTGGGAGAGGACGCGTAAAGGGCTGCGGAAGCGTGGTGACCTATATCCTATGAACAATAAGAATAAGGCCTGGAGCAATCGATGCGATCGGGATATCTATCTGGATGTTCGCCATGACGAAGACTTTACAGTTGTATGGAACATGCTTCAGGGAGATTGTGTTGTCTTTGACTTTAGGGAGCCGGAGTAGTTAAGTTTCGATGCAATGGATGATTTTAAAAAAATCGGTGTGCTAATTTTGCTGATTGCTACGATGTATGCCTACTCGATGAGGCGCTGGTTTTGCTGCAATTCGTACACCACCGGCAATCCCTTGGTGAACCGTCGGCAAGACCCCAAGCGAACCAACCAACAACGCTATCAGCAGATTAGTATTTCTAAAAGACATATAGCTAGATAGGAACGGCTGCGGTAGTGGGTGATAGAAAGAGCCTACTTCGGTCGCATTGAGCTAGTCCACTCCTGCCAGCCATTCTCCTCCTTCCGAACTAGAAGATGAATTTTTTTCTCCTTCATCCTCGATCGCAGAAAAGCACCCGCTATCGCGGCCCGGAAAGTTCCTGCCTTCCCCAACGTGATAACTTCTTGCTTGGCCGTGGGGCAACGACCGGTCGGCCGGCCCATGAGGAGGGGAGAGGGTCCCCCTTTCGGGCATATGTAGGCTTCGGTCCACGGCCCAAGACCCTGGACCAATCTCGCCCAAGAATAGAAACGACGGCCCTCGGTACGAAAACACATAGGTGGAAAAACACGCGGAAGGAGAGAAGAAAAAGGGAGGAAGAGAGGCAACTAATTACCGGCTCAAACGAGGGCCAAGGTGGTGGGGCCCATGTGCCTCGCTGTATTCACACGCGCGCGGGAGAACCGGGGCTTGGGACGGCATGGGTGAATTGGTGAATTGGGGACGGCGAGCGTTGGCCGACTGGTTCCCCGTTCGTCATGCCGCGTGGTAGAGGCTCGATTCAACCAATGAGACTTGGCAAAAAAGGCCAGAGATTGGGGAATTGGGGGAGCTGACCGGGACGAAGCCATCCCATCTGGCTTTGATTGATATAGTGCGCTTCTGCGAGCTAAACAGCGGCCTCGGTGATAGCGTTTGTTAAAATCAATCAAAAGCAACGGTTCGATCGGATAAGTGCAGCTAGAGGAATCTCTCCTGACCAGGGAAAGAAGAAAAATAATAACAATAATAACCTTGGCATGGATGAATAAACATTGCTCCATGGCGTGGCTTGATATCTCTTCTGCTTCTTGTAAGAAAGTCCGATCAATCACTCGTGCGCTTGAGTATCGCCCTCTTGGACCTATTGTCAAGAACGGCAAAAATCGCGATGGCGAACCCGGAAATTAATGGAACGCCCACCGTTCGCCAAAAATTGAATAGATGGATAGATGTAGAGATAGACCCAACGTAGACGGCGGCAATCCCCCAAGACGTAGACTGAGAAGGAAAATCAGCTGAGGGTACACGACGCGAAAGGTGGTCCGCTTTCGCGATTTAGCCTCGAGCTGGCTGTTTTCCAGACCCAACATTGCACGATCCGGGTGCACCTTGTTTTCTGGACCAGGTACGAACAATATAGCGATATGGCGCCCCTCATATACGAATAATATACCGTTATCTACCATGGCAAGCGCTGGCAACCCTCGGCCGCCCCGGAAGACCGGCTCTCGCGACGCCTTTGCGGGGAGCATCCCCACGAACCAAGATGTGTATTTAAGATGCTCGGTCGCCATCGTTAGTTTGTGCACCCCATAGAAAGGAACGAAGGCTTGTATTCATTCGCTCAGGTAATCCTTAGTCTTTCTTTTTCCTTTGCTTCTTTTAAGACGAACGAGACGCCAAGAACGCGCCCCGAAGCGTCCTTACTCTCTCTGTCTTTTTCCGGGCCAGCTCTCCTTTTTGTGCGACCCCTTCCCCTCTTTTGGCATATACCAACCTCGACATAACTCTTCACCATGAAGTGGTCCACATTCACCACCGCCGCGGTGCTCTGCCTCACCGGCGCTTCGGCCCTCGCTGAGGAGTCCAACCCGGCCCTCCGCGCCCGGTACGTGGCCGAGTCCAACTCCAGGATCCTCGGTCGACAGGCGGGAGACCGCTGTGGTGCCGATAACGGTGATGCCAAGTGCGCCGGCCAGAGGTGTTGTTCCATGTACGGCTACTGTAAGTCTCGTCTAGCTTCATCCCACCCCTCCAACCACTATCTCGAGGAGACTGCCTCCTAACTCTCTTAATCCTTATAGGTGGTGAGGGCGCCGAATACTGCAACCGCTTCAGCTGCAAGCCCGCCTTCGGCTGGTGCGAGGGCCAACCCATCCCCGAACCCGAACCCGAGCCCGAGCCCGAGCCTGAGCCCACCACCTCCGCCGCGCCCACGACCACCGCGGCCGCCACCACTTCCGCGGCCGCCACTACATCGGCAGCAGCCACTACTTCAGCCGCGGCCACCACCTCCACCGCCGCCACCTCCACCGGAACCAGCCCCGCCGCCGGCGAGACCACCCTCCCCGAGCTCACCATCTCCGAGTCTGGCTTCTGCGGCAACACCACCACCTGCGCCGGCTCCGGCTACGGTGACTGCTGCTCCCAGTTCTACTACTGCGGTTCCGGCGAGGCCTACTGCGGCGACGGCTGCCGTGACGGCTTCGGCGACTGCGGCGGCGAGGCCCCCGCTCCCGAGGTCCCCGCTCTCACCATCTCCACCAACGGCATGTGCGGTAACGGCACGACGTGCGCCGGGTCGACGCAGGGTAACTGCTGCAGCCACTTCTGGTACTGCGGCTCGGATGCCGACCACTGCGCGAGCAACTGCCGCGAGGAGTTTGGAGAGTGCGGTGATGCGGCGTAGATATTCTCGGAGGAGGGAGGCAGGGAAAATCAAAGTGGTACGGGGCTTCGAAAGAACTCTGTCTCCTTAGACTTTTGGCCTGGCCAAGAAAGAAAATTCAAACGTGTATATAACAAGCATATATTTCTCGAGGTTCAGAGTGTCATCTAGCAAAATTTTAATCATTTCTACCTTCGCCTACAAGTTGCCACTCTCCGTAAGTGCGAGGATGGAGAATGTCCTGATGGTGCTCTGTTGAAGCGAACTGCTCTTACATGTGATTTATGACTAACCCCCTTGGGGATGCAGGAGTAACATGATGGATACTTGTCCATCGTTAGGTGCAATGCAGTGTGTAATCGGGTAATTTCCGGTCTACGGAATAGGAAGTGGCCATATCTTCCTCGCCGACCAGGGTTTCAGGGGGCGGTAGGAGCCAGCTCCTTCTTGCATATCGCCGCCGGGCCAGGTTGCTGTAACCCATCCTGGCCAGGAGCTTTGGACTATACCCCTGCTGAGTTGGGCGCGTCGTCGACTGGAGCTTCGCGTTACTCTTTTGTGAAATGAGGGTCTCCAATATCAGCCACGCCGTTCCCCGCGCGCATTCCCCAAGCGCCCTTGCCACCTGGAGCTGGGGGCAGGCGAAGGGCATGAACTCCTTTCGCTGACGGCAATGTAGTGATGCTTCCGCTATGTACCTCGGTATATTCCATTGTTATTCACAATGCCCATCTTACTCCGCAGTGCGCAAGTCAGTCGAGTGAAGGAATGAACATGAGGTTCTCGGTGGCGAAGCGGGATGGAAAGATAGGAGAGGGGAGTGGGGAAATGGGTGTGTTTGACAAAATGCGTGATGAAGGAGATATCTTCCCCACATGTTTTCGTCCGCGGAGAGCCTTGGAGGGGCAGAAAAGACGCTGTTCAGGATACGTAGCTGTCCACTCTCCTTTGGGAGTAAGCATGATTAATAGTAGCCAGCGAGAGGGAAGAGCGTGATGTTGACGGTGATTGGCCTGCTTGTACCCTTGAACGTACAGACAGGAAACCCACCCATCGTGCGAGAACCGGGAACGACGACCTATGCGGAAGATTATCTAAAAGCATCCGCAGGAAAGTAGTGCACCAAGTACCTTGAGTTCCTCGCTTCCTGCTGCAACGTCCCGCTCGACTCGGTAACTCGATTTGGCAACCTCTCCCTAAAGCTACCGCAAATAGCACCATGACTTTCGCTGGTCCGTTCTTGGCAAAGTAGCACGCCCCCTTTCCTCTTCGTCTCTGTGGCCAAGGGTTCGACCAACACGGAAAGGGATCGCTCAAGGCACACGCCCTTTTCTCGCTCACTCGCAGGAGGCAAGCAGGGTATGTGGGGCAAAAGGAACAAGTATCCCCGGCTGGGCATCCCGGCAGCAGAGATGATGCCTGTGGGCTCCTTGAGCATGCGTCAACCTTAAATGTTCTCATCGGGATATCTCTGCAGAGTACATCAGGTCGTAAGCTGCGATATCTCAGGGATCTTGGCTTGTGAAGACGAGTCTCTTGGCAGATGACGGTCCCACAGAGTCCTACGATGTTTGGGGCGGGATAGATGTCAAAAAGTCCAAATTCTTACACTAGCCCCCGTGCTCTGTTTGCCACAACGAGCACCGATGAGGAAAGAGATTCAATACCTCACTTGCTCTCGGTGAATCTCAACCAATAGACTGGCAAATGATGAGGCAACATATGGAGATGGCTTACCGCGCCAAGGTGAAGGATGAGAATGGGGCAAGTGGGGGACAAAATAAACGGGACTGCAAAATATTCAAGCTCACTATAGCTGAGGGTACAGGGGGCAGCACAGAGGTGATTTGGTGGCGAGGTGCCTGCTCTGGTGGACAAAATGATTTTGCAGTCCCGATATTTTTGTCCACCACTTGTGGGGGTTCCGGGGCGAAGCCTGATTTGAACTGGAAAAAGCTTTCCGTCGCCACGGCCAAGGAATACATGGATGGAAAAAGGTCAGGCAGAGGGCGAGACTGCTAGACGGAAATGGGAAAGATTAGGAAAATCTAAGAAGATCTCCCTTCTCCGAGCAGTGGCCAACGAGATGGCACTCCTGCTAATTACGGATACTCCGACCACGCCCTTCGGAATTAGGTGGTGGATTAGAGGACCAAGAAACATGAGCGCCGCGGCCGATGCTCAATGCATTCAAGAAGGTGAAGGAGAGCGCCGGGAATGCTACGGTGCCGACATGAATGCGTACCGAGAGCATGGCACACAACGCTCAGTACCATTCGAAGGCTTCGATGAGGAGTGACGATTGCATCGCGAGCTCAGCTTCGGGAAGGGGTAGAGAGGTAACGGTGGCAGGGTTATGCGGAAAGATGAGCACTTGTGGACAGCTACAGACCCGAGTGGGGAAGGATGGGCCAAAAGTCTTCTAGAATGGCTCGTAGGACTGGATATTGCTCCCCATCTTGTGGTTCATGGCACGGGAGATCGGCTGGTGCTCAGCAAAAGAAAGTCTGGCGGGGGCCCTGCTCGCTTCGGGGGTTTGAGGCGGAGATAGCTTGGGGGAACCTCGTCTCCCCCACCCAAGATTTTGACCCGAGACAAAAACTGTCAGAGGCACGTGTCTCACTTGAAAACAGCCACAAGAGGGGGTCTCGAGAACTTGGGAGTGTAGGAAAGCTGGAAAAGTTGGGGAACAGCCCTGATCCACGGATGATATCGGAAGATGGAGCGGGAAACGCCACAAAGATCCAAGAGGCCGTTCAGTCAGACCTGAGCAAGTCTTGCCAGTTTATCTGGAGAGCAAGCGCGACCGGACCAACATCAAGCCATCGGTGGAACGACCAGAGGAGGAAAAGAGGTAAGGGATGGAATCTGAAGATGGACGGGAGAGCACGTGCCTGTCTCAAGAGGTAAAAGAAACCTGAAAGCCAGTGCCAAGAATCGATAAAAACCATGCAAAAGAAAAAAGTCTTGCAGACACTTATCGATGCGACAAGATTGGACTGCTTGAGAATTTTTCTTCTCAGCTCTGATTTGAGCCAAGACCGTTAGGTCGATGTGTTTGGAAACCGACGGCCTAGCCAATGCATTACGGCGAGTATTAGCTGCCGGGCGGAAGGACAAGTAACGATGGTGGCTGTCACCCCCTGGCCGTAGAGTCGATGATTTCGGTGTCCCGTCTCGGCCTGGAAAAGGTGGAGGTGTCGTCGAGGGATGGCGTAGTGGGGTTCGTCTTGGACGGCGACGGTTGAGGGTTCCTTCGAGGACGACCGCTTGGCTACACGTGCTTCTTCTCCCGTATTGTCCGTGGTCAGCGAAGCTAATGCCAAGGCTCCAGGATCCTGGCACCTCTCGCACTAGGGGCAGCGCCACTTGCGCGGGATCTGGAGTTGGTGCGAGGCACGAAAAAAGCTAGCAAGCGCGACCTGGGACGAGAAGTAGGAAGGAAGGAGGGAGGGAGAGATATCGATCCAAGGCCCTTGTCGGGGCGGAGGCGCGAGTCGTTTCGGGGCATGTGGTACTTGGGGGCGATGTGCATGGATCCGCGAGATGAGCACAAGCAATGCGAGCCATAGAGCTCCAGAGACATGGTCTCGCATGTACCATTTGCGCATCGCATACAAGATTCGTTCTGGCGAGTCTTTGACGAAATCTTGAAGTCTGGAAACTGGAAGTGGGGCGCATGGGATGGACCTTCCCACCCCTGTCTTGGATCCCCAAGCTCCAAAGACCAAAAAGGCAAGAACGTGATGGAATTGAAGCTTCCCATTGGCCAGTTCCCAACCACATCAACTTCCTATCTTGCTCGACCCTCGGTCACCATTTTCGAACAATTGCACTTGCCCTCGAAAATGCCAGCCAAAACAACGGGCAAAGCTAGCACAACGCCTCGCTCGAAACGGGCATCCATCCGATGGATTGTGAGGTCCCCGGAGCCTTCCATACGGCCTGCCCATCCATCAACAGTCGACCATGCGAGCACATGGGCGACCTGCGCACCATAGAATCTCCACCCCCAAAATTCGCCAAGAGAAACTGAAAGCGCGCCCATGTCCGATGATTGCACACCTGCAAACTGAGCTTTGGATTAGGGCCCCCTAGTAGTGGTAGTGCTCCTTAATGTCGCCATCCAAAGCATCTCCCGGGACCCTTTTGCAGGGAAGGCCTTGACAAACCGCTTCCATCCACCGGGCACTGCTCGATCGGGGGAGGAGACATGGGGACATTCAATGCTTGGCCTGGGCACTGCTTAGGCTTGGCAAAATAGGCCAGTTCCTTTATATGGCCGCGCTTCCTCCTTCGTTGTCTTGAATCATGAAGAGAGTCGGCCAGGCAGCTCTACAGTTTCGACAGCGATCTCTTCGCTTTTGCCCCTCGCGCATCTACATATTCTTGTCGCATCCCGCAGACAGGAATATCCCCACCGCCATCCGCAAAGCAGCCAGTCCAGTTCCATCAGGGCCGCGCTCCCGTTCACTCTCTGCACGCCTACCGGCGCAAACTTAGCAACCAGACACACGACCTTTGCCGCGTTTCCGGCAGCCACCTTCAAGATGCCCACTCTTCACCAGTACGACTACCTCTTCGCCATTGGCACCATCTTTGCCTTCCTTGATGCTTGGAACATTGGTAAGTCCTTTCGGCTTCCACCCGCCCACCAAGCCTTCCCCGTTCTGTGCCTGTACCTCTACCCCGCCGCAAGATAAGACCAAATCAATCAGAGCGGTCGCCGCCACTAGCGTTGCTACTTCCCACCCCATCTGCAAGCCACTCTTCAATGCCTTCCAACTAACGAGATGCCTTTCTCATGCAGGTGCCAACGATGTCGCCAACTCTTGGGCCACATCGGTCTCCTCCCGATCCGTCGGGTACCTCCAGGCCATGTCTCTCGGTTCCGTCCTTGAGCTTGCCGGTTCCGTAGGTGTCGGTGCCCGTGTTGCCGATACCATCCGCACCAAGATTGTCGATATCGACCAGTTCAAGGAAGACCCCGGCATGCTTATGCTCGGTATGGTCTGCGCAGTCGTTGCCTCCTCTGTCTACCTCACCTTCTGCACCAAGATCGGTCTCCCTGTTTCTACTACTCACTCCATCATGGGTGGTATCCTCGGTATGGGTATTGCCCTCGTTGGTGCCGATAACATCCACTGGGTCGACAAGGAGGGTGGTATCAACTCTGGTGTCATTCAAGTGTTCTTGGCCTGGATCATTGCCCCTGGTATTTCGGGAGCTTTCGCTGCTATCATCTTTACCATTACCAAGTACGGTGTCATGCTTCGAAGCAACCCCGTCATGCGCGGTCTCATGCTCGTTCCCGTCTACTTCGGTATCACTGCTTCTCTGTTGACCATGCTTGTCGTCTGGAAGGGTGGATCTATCAAGATTACCTTCGCCACCGCCGAGACCGTTGGTATGATTATCGGTGTTGGCGCTGCCTTTGCCATTTTCATCTCCATCTTCCTCATTCCTTGGTTGTACCGCATCGTCGTCAAGGATGACTGGCAGCTCCGCTGGTGGCACATCCCCATGGGCCCTCTCCTCCTCAAGCGCCCCGAGCCTCCTGCGCAGCCCGAGGGTGCCAAGGGCGGTATCACCGACTTCTACGCTGGCCACCTTACCCGAGAGGAGCTTGAAGCCCTCCGCAACCGCAACAGCCAGAACCGCGACCTTGAGTCCAGGGGTGCCAACGGTGAGGAGACCAAGGGAAGCCACGAAGACACCGAGGGCAAGGTCATTGCCAGCGGCTCTGACGACGGCCAGGAGCAGCAGCCCGCTCCCGGTGCTTACGTCCACAAGTCCATTGTTGGCCCCAAGCCCGACGCTCCTTGGTACTCTGGTGCCTTCCTCTTCTGGGCTCTCAAGAAGGTCTTCCTCCAGGGTGTTGACCAGGACATCATCAACATGCAGAAGAAGGAGAGCGTTCTCACTGGCGATCTCAACGAGATGCACGCCCACGTCAAGCACTACGACAACAAGGCCGAATATCTCTACTCTTTCCTCCAGGTTTTGACCGCCTGTACCGCCTCCTTCACCCACGGTGCCAACGATGTCGCCAACGCCATCGGCCCTTATGCCACCATCTACCAGATCTGGTCTAGCGGTACCCTCGCTGGCTCCAAGCTCCCCGTTCCTGACTGGATTCTGTAAGTTTGATCCTCGGTGGAATAAAAGCAAAATGAAATAGTTTACTAATCTCTGGTATCTTCCCTTTAGCGTCTTTGGTGGTGTTGGTATCGCTCTCGGTATCTGGACTTATGGTTACAATATCATGCGCAACCTTGGTAACCGCCTCACCCTCCACTCCCCTCGCGTGGTTTCTCCATGGAGTTGGGTTCCGCCTGTACCATCATTCTTGCCACTCGCTTGAGTAAGTTGTACCGTATTCTTTCACATGGATTGAGAGTAGTATGCTAACTATCGCATGTACAGAGCTCCCTGTCTCTACTACGCAGTGCATCACTGGCGCCACCGTCGGTGTCGGTCTCTGCTCTGGTACCTGGCGCTCCATCAACTGGCGCATGATCGCTTGGATCTACATGGGCTGGATCATCACCCTTCCCACCGCCGGTATTATCTCTGGCTGCCTTACTGGCATCATCTCCAACGCTCCCCACTGGACCTCGAGGGCCTAAATTTACCAATGCTCTTTCTGTACGACGCCGGGCCTGTTTCCCTTGCCCGTTAAGGCATGGGCAACAAGCTAAGCGAAGACAGGATCGTCCTTTTCTTTGGATATACTAAGAAAGCTATAGCTACATCTTTTCGTTGATTTCATCCGAACAGGAAAGTGTTGGTGCTTGAAAAGGGGTTTTGCGGCAAAAATACCAATCATTTATACCCGGACGTCATCAGGCGCTCCTTTGTGGAGTCTGGGGCTTCTCGCTTGCGCAGATTTCTTCTTCCATTTTCTTGTGTCAAAATATTTTTTACTTAATAGAACGAGCCACAAATATAACTTGTATTTTGGAGTCATCTTGCCGCCTTACTGTTACGCTTCTCCCTGTCACGCCCCTGGTCTTCCTGACTCTATAATTTTCATATTAAGCAACCTTTGCGGCTGGCAGGGGTTTGTCCAGATCCATGAAGAGTGACGCTCTGCCTGCTGTATTTGCAAGTTTCTGCCGTTCTCCCATAGTTACGAGGTTGGAATGCTGTTGTCCGCATTGTTCAAGAAAGAGCTCTGACAGCGCTTCCAGTTTCTTCTTATCCTCGGCCAATGCTGCGATGGCCTTTTCCTCTTCCTTCAGATGCTTGTAGTCGTTGGACCACTCGACATCCGCATACATGTCCCACATGGTTTGGCATTTTTCATCCGTATCGAAAAGCTCCTTGATGGTGTCCATGGTGGATTTGTCGATGCCCTGTATGAACTTGCGATCCTCCTCGTCCGCCTCCTCTAGCTTCTTGGGGTCCTGGAGGTCGTCGAGCCACTTTTGGACCGTCTCTGCCGTGAAATCATCCCGGAAAATGTCCCAACCAAAGGCGAGGTCGCTGAGGCGCATCGTCTTGGTGAGCTTGGTCATGAATTCGGGTCCGACGCCGGCTTGTTCCTGGGCTTCGGCGAATTTGAGGTATTTACGGATGGTGTTGAGGTCATGACTAAGTTGGATGGCGAGGAGTTGCTTGAGGGGAGTTTTCTGACCACGCGATTCAGCGAGAGCAAACGGGGGATGAGAAATCAACGGGGGCATTGTATTTACAGTATACCGGAGCAGCCACGACATCTTCTCCCACTCCGGGGTAGGGAGCTAGGCCGGCTCCGCTGAGACATGCGGTAGCGATCGTGCCGGCGGGCCAGGCCGGCGACGCACGAGCTCCAGACGCAAAAGTCCTCGGTGAGGGAGGCGCGTAGGGCCTCGAGGGCCTCGTCGGACAGCTTTCCTCGCTACCGCCGCCGCTACCGCCGTACACGCGGTCAAGGTACGCGTCGGCAGCGGCGCGGGCGGCCTCGTTGCGCGCGTTCTTGGCCTGGTTGACGAGGGCGGAGACGCGCTCGAGCAGGCGGTTGTGCTTGTAGAAGTCGCCGGGTTGCCAAAAGTTGGCTTTTTCTTCGGGGGTGGGGCGGCGGCGGCGCTCGGCTTCTTGGGCGGCCATTTTGCTGTTGTGGTTTTCCCAGGCTTTGTCGTAGTTGCGGTGGAGTTCTATGGGCATTTTGCTGTTTTTATTATCTTCTTCCTTAGCGGAAGGGGTAGATGTCGGGTTTTTTTGTGTTTTGCTGGTGTTAAAGTCTGGCGGTTTGGTGGATGAACTGGAGGCTTGCTTGGTGGAATTTGGTACCTTGCGAAGGAGCTTGATGGGGGTGTAAAAGGGGCGGAAGTTGTTGTTATACGTGGGCGTTATTCCCATGGGTTTTGTGCCGAGTTCAGACTTTGGAAATTCAAGCTCGTGATACTCTGGCACAGGTGACATCTCGACATCGTCGACGCATGGGATAACCTTGTTGATGGGGATCGAGTCATTGTGAGTCGGAAATGGCGTCAGCAAAAGGTTGGAATATCGCGAGAATAGAATTATCAGTATTTCTAACCTCTCTCTCTTTTGCATTTAAGCTCAACAGACTTGCAGTTTATGTTTTTCTTAAACGTCGATTGGATGCTAACCTAAGATAAGGAAACTACATCCATATGTAGACATGGTCTAAGGTTTCATCTGTACCTATAGTACATGTAGCTTTCAAACGCGCAATATGAAATCATCCTCTGCTCTCCGTTACCTCGCCATATAAAACCGAACTCATTAATCAAGACACGTCGAACTACTCCAGCAGCCTTTTCTAACGCCTCCACAGGATGACTTGATGACAACGCGTCAGGCAAACAATATTCTTCGAGAGTTTTGGATAGCCATCATGAATAGATGCTAAGAACAATTTCCGATCCGATGATTAAGATTAAGCTCAGGCTCCGCTCGCCCATATGATAGGTAATGAACAATGGTTACTGAGCCTATTATCGCCAACAAGGTTGTAGTCGACCCATTCATTGTTCTCCCTCAATGGCAATTGTAGAACAAGCAAGAGTCGCACAGGTAGCCTAAGCAACCTCGAAAGTATCTTGGCCCCATCCGAAAACTCTCTTCAGGCGCCTGGCAAAGATGGGCACCAAGTACCCCTCGATGCGGGACTGATGAGGGCGGTGGATAGTAATCGATCTCTTGACGCCCATTGACTCTGGAGGGCTAAATGTATAGATGGACCCAAATTTTGGCAGCACAGAGAATCCCAAGCTCGCCATGGCGCCTTCGAAAGACGTCCAATTAACGGAGCCTCGGGACTTGTCCTTGGTAAAGAGCGAGGAGAAGACGTCATAGGTGGACGAATTGACCTTGATCTTTCCCGAAGGGGCATCCACCTCCTCGTCGTCGCTCGCAGTAGCTGGAGCGATATTATATACCGAAGAATGGGGAGGGCGTGTCTTGACCTTTTCCTTTTGCTTCCGAGTCTCAACTACCGCCTCTGGCGTCTGCTGTGTATCGATGGGCGCTTGGACAGTAGGCGGCCCAACCTTTTCTTCTGTTCGGCCTTCGCAGCCATGGCTTCCCCGAGGCGGCGTCGGAGATCAGACAAGCAGTCCTGGACCATATCGTAGTAAAGCATGCCCAACTTGCTCCCAGTTCTCTCCGCGACAAACTCATCCAGTGTGTTCAGAGCCCCTCGGCCATGCCTGGCTCACGAAGATTGTCGATGGGAGCGGCGAATGATCGAAGATCCAAGTCAGGCTTAACCTTATTGAGTTCAGTCTGAAGCTTTAAATCTTCAGAAATAAAGCGTTGGCCGGTCTTCTTGGACACGGATGGCAAGGTGACCACGGTGGATAAATCGTGGACAAAAGACACAATGATCATCAGGTCATACAAGGCCTCGGCTTCTCTCTCCTCCATCTTTTCGCTCTCTTCGGGATAGGTGGCGTGGAGCTCGCCCAGCTTTTTCACCCAGTCATACGCCTTGACAACGTTGGTTTCGGGCTGGCAAAGCCGCAAGATGTACATCAGCTGCGGATCAGACAGGGTAAAATCTTCGGGTTTGCCCTTCATAGACACTTTTGCGTTGCCAGCCTTATCGTAGGCATTGGATACGCGTTTGATATACTTGTCACCAGAAGCAGTCTGGACCTGGCGCTTGAATACGGCTTGTGTGCGCTCGTACTCCATCTGGCATACATTTGACAGCTCTTGGAGCAGCATCGCACGATAGGCCTTGTCATGCCCTGGCTTGGCAAACAACTCCATCGCCCCCGTGATATACTCCCAGATCGCCACGCCCTGAACAGTGTTTCGGAGAGCATCGAGGACGGCGCCACTGATATACTTGTCCCCGTGGACTGGGAGACGGCGGCCCTTTTCGTCAGGCAGAAGTTCCGTTCGGCTATAAAACCAATTGTTGACGGCATGCGTAAGTACGACCGGCTCCTCGGTGAGCAGGCGGAGGTATTCTTCGAGAGACTCCTTTTGGTCTCGCGAATTTTCGACAAGGGCAGGAAGGGAGACTTTGGCCTGCGGCTCGGACACGGTAAGACGAGAGAAGGCCGCAGCAGCAGCCTTGTCAGGCTTAGACTTGATGGCGCTCTTGTCCCTCGTCTCTGAGCCCTCTTCGAGAATGTCATCGATGAGGATGACGAGCACTTGAATTAGGGTCATCTGCCTCTGGAGGACAAAATTGCCCATATCCTCACGAATACACAATCCTCGCTCCACTGCATGTTTCGTTGCCTCCATGAATCCCTTCGCATGTGACGGCTGTACTCGAAGGAATTGCCCGTAGTCTTCTTCGCTGAGAAAAACGCGAAGCCGTGTGCCATGCTCGCTTCATCGACGTGACGAAGCCCACGGGTCACCATCATTTTATGGATGAGATTCTTGTCCCCGAGGCCGCCGTCGTGGCCAATGGCGTACTGCGTCATCAAGGTATTCGTAGCCCGATGTTTGAGGATAGCTAGGGCGTGTTCTGGATCCTCGCAAACGTCTCGAAGGTTCCACTCGGGGATAATCTTGTTCACATTGCCGAGAGTGTGGTCTAGAGCATGCTTGAGAACAACGCCCTCAGCTGCTCCTGCCTTCATGCACTTGGCACGCTGTTGTTTGTCGAATGAGCGCCATGCCTTTTCGACGGCAGCGTGGTGTCGTTTATATCTGCTCACGAGATCCGCGTGGAGGTCCATGGTGCTCTGGGCGAGGGAAGATACTAGCGTTTGGCTCATCTTGCCGGTCCTGTCACAGACAGTTGGAGGGATTGAACTTGGTCCCTGTCAGATGTCGATTATGGGATTCCGCTCTTGAACAAAGAGTGGGCCTGTATCGCGAATGAGGAAAGAAGTATAGGACAAGCAATGTTGAGAGAAGAAAGGAAACGTAATATCTGCCTCCTCCTCTAAGCTGTAGGTGGTTGAACTGCAGGGAAATAGGTTGCTTTTTCGTAGTTCCCAACAAATAGAACCCATAGCGAAGCTAACTCTAGTGGGAGGTGCTTTTGTGTAGATTTACAGATTTTAAGATGCCCACGTGATTAGAAACATATAGAGATGTCCACAGTTAAAGAGGTGGGGAAAATAGGAAGGAGCAAATGCTTAGTTTAAAGAGGTTTAGTAGATACTATCATAAGAGGAAGGAAGAGGCGAGTAGGTGATGAGTGCTAATCTACTACTAGTAGGACTAGATGAGAGTCCAACCTTCCATAACTTCCAGGCTTGGTGGAGTCATGCCTCAATTATTGACCAATCTATTCTACATGCTGGTGGAGAGAGCGGCCAGGCAGGAACGGGGAAGATTTTAAAGCTAGATTATGAAATAAGCCCCCATATATGTTCGTCAGCCGACATCAACGGCACTTTCGCCTTGTGCTCTTTAGGCTGGAAAAAGCCAACGACATACTTGAGTGGACTGCGATGTGGAAGCTGATGGACCAAAAAGGACAGGGGAACGCTCCCTGTCTATTAGAGGTCTAAAGATTGAGGCTTATATCCTGTCAACAGAAGCTAGACAAAGTTCGGAGAGCCCACGATTCTGTACAACGCAGAGCGAGACGCCAAAGCCTACCGGGGTAAAACCTTTGGCCCCGCCGTCCGCGTTTGTAGTTTCAAGGACGACCGCTTCTCGGCAAGTCGGGATTGGAATTGTGGTGGTGTACAGCACAAGAAATGAATTGACGATTTGTTCAGCTCACTCAAGTTGATTCTGGTTAGTGAAATACGGAATTGATGAATAATCGCATATCCGCCTTGCCCGCCCACTTCTGTGCCACGAGCTGAAACTCCCAGCAACCCCGCGCCAACCGTAGCAGACGGCGTGAGGAAGAAACACAAGAGTCTCACGCCCTTGGCGAATTTATAGGCCATGTTATAAATCTTTATTTACATGTAGTCTCTTTTACTAAAATCTCCTCTTGAGTTCTATCCCTAGCCGTCTCATACGTCGGTGTGTGGCACCCAGATCTCAGCTGGCTCCGCCTCCCCGCTCCCGGAATGGCCAAAGTCCCCATCCCTACGCCCCGGCGAATCATCTGCTACCACCAAACCCACCACCGCAGCGGCAAGTTCATCTCCGCACTGCCCCTCTTGACGGAGAAGACGGGCGTGACGCACGTCATCATCGCAGCCGTCCACATCCACTCCCCGCCGAAGCTAGGGTGCATCTACCTCAACGACGACCCCTTCGACGCGCCCCGGAATGACCCACTCTGGGCCGAGGTGCGCACCTTCCAATCAATGGAGTCAAGGTACTGGGCATGTTGGTGGCGCTGCCCAGGGGTCCTTTATGAAGCTCGACGGGACCCACGCGCGGTTCGACGAGTATTACCAGCATCTCAAGGCCATGATTACCAAGACGGGCTTAAACGGGCTGGACCTGGACGTGGAAGAGGCCATGTCGTTTGGAGGCATCATCCGGCTCATCGATCATCTCAAGCACGATTTTGGCCGGGAGTTCCTCATTACGTTGGCCCCCGTCGCCCCGGCCATGTCTAACTTGCAAAACCTGTCTGGGTTCAACTACGAAGAGCTGGAAAAGGGACTAGGTGCCCGAGTCGCTTGGTATAACGTGCAGTTCTACTGCGGTTGGGGTGATATGAGCCGGACGGCAGGCTACGAGGATATCGTCAGGAGGGGATGGCCGCCGGAGAAGATCGTGGTCGGTCTCATCACGAATCCGAGGAACGGAGATGGCTGGGTCGAGGATGAGCCGCTCAAGAAGACGCTGACGAAACTGATTCGGACGTATCCCAAATTCGGGGGTGTGATGGGGTGGGAATACTTTAATTCACTCACAAGCACGCATGGGGAAGGTAAGCCGTGGTTGTGGGCTGCCATGATCCGGGACATTTTCACAAGTGCCGACGTCCCAACTGATTCTGATATGTAGGTTTTGTGGAAGGTGGCGATGATTAAAGGATCTGCCAATATTATCCATATTGCATTTATTTTCCCTAGAAGTCTTGAATCATAATTATACCCTTGTTGATAACACATGTCCATTAGAATTCAGTAACCGTCATTCTGCTGTGAAGAGTGACGCCGCGCATGAGATACAGCATCTTGAAAATGCCACCCAAGCTTTACTCAGGCACCTGCGACAGGATGTTGTACTGACACGGTCACCGCGTCGGACTAAACCCAACCAAAGAGCAGCTGAGAATTAGGTGGATAGATTTCGCGGAGTTGAAAATTTACAATGCCAACACATCTAGATGCAAGTCTCTTTCGCCAACTCGTCAAATTGAGAAGTCCACGTGGCGGCTAAGGGTAGCTATAAGGGGAGCCACAGATCAAGCGAAGCTGTGACACTCGGCCCTCATCTTTCGTACGCGGGACTCGGTCGGGTTGGGGTCGCTGACCTCGACCTCGCCCCCGCCAGCTCGTGCGGACGATCGCGCGGATGGCCGCTAATGGTTCTTCCCGTGATACCGGGGTGCTGCCGCCGGGATGCTACGGCATCATGTACGGCTAGAAAGGATTTGAATGTCTCGATTGGGTCTTCTTCCAACCAATTTTGCACATTTTCTTGGCGGATGATGTTCCCCAAGCTGTGTCATATTCGAGAGTGGCGTCACAGAAGAGCTCTTTTGCTGAAAAGAAATCCGTGGCCCCCAGGCTGCCACTATCCACTAGCGTTCGCCATGCCTCGGTCACATCGGCAACCCAAACGCCCGGAGGGTTTTCTTTTGCTGCTCTACCCAGGGCGGCTTTCCAACCTATTTCCGCCGCCCTTCTGCTCCTGGCTTTGCAATGGTCATGCACCTTTCGAAGCACTTCGCGAGGTGTAGTTGTAGATTCTATAGGTACGAACGCTCTCACTTCGCCCTTCACCGAGGCCCACATGAGTCGATGGAGCCTTCCCAGGCTGTCTTGGATCTTCTCTGTCCTCCTGTTCTGGTGATCTATCGCCGTCAACTGCGCCGAGTAGGCCATCATGGCGCTTTTTTCGACCTTGTATCTGGCCTCGTCATACATGTAGGGCTCGTGCCCATCAGGCGTTGGAGAGGTTGGCGCCTTGATCAGTGCTAGCTTGGCGTGCCATCAGCCGTGGTGGGTTGTTGCGTAACTCTGTCGGTTTTTATGGGCTGGGCTGGTTTGTCGGTTTCCTCGTCAGAGGACTCTTCTACTTTCAGAGACCAAAAGCCCGGGCTCATGGAGGCATGCAGTACTGTCCCTCTATCGTACTCCTCAAGCTTTGCCCTCACGTATTCGTCGAAGCTTATGGGCTTTTGGAGCTGGGGCGCCTCTGTTTCTAATTCCGGGTTGACATAGTCCCAAATCTTCAGAAGCTGAGCTTCGAAGCGGATGTCTCTCCTCCACTTCTGATATTCACTCGGGGTCGACAATGTGGTGATCTTTATCGATTGTATGGTCTTGTTTATATCCACAATCTCTACTAGTGCTAGGGGCTACCACCAATCGGGAACCAAGCTGAGTTACTCTTTCGTTTCGGAGGTGTGATCCTAATGGTTCGCGGGGGCTTTGCCGATTCAAAACTGTGGGGATGATGCCGCTGCATATGCAGTCACTTGTAATAGGGCTGATGGCGTATCCGGCGGTATTTGTGGACACAAAAGTGTTTGCTTGTTGCATGGACAGTTCAAAAAATTATGAGAACTGATTATGATGAAAGGGAGAAGTGGGGATGAGGTGAGGACAAGACGTGCGGCGTTTCACAGGCGCACAGCGTTGTCCCCAGCAAAATACCCTTATTCCCGCAAATTGCGGTCCCCGGGTGGTGGCCAAGATACATGTAGGCTTAGTGTCTCCGGCATTGATCCAACAACTTAGCAAACCCACAACTAGTTGGATGAGGCGACATACCTAATACAGCTCTGACGTTCGTGGTAGCCGGTTTAGACAACGGACGGACGCGAGGCGACCGGGCTTAATCCCTTTGCCGTAAGAAGAAGATAACTAAACGCATCGCAAACTATTGACCAGCTACCTCTATTTGAAGGATATGGATCTAGATGGGAGGGATTGTGATATCTTCACAAGGCGATGTCTATATATCAGGAGAAATCCTCCTTGTAAAAACGGAGGATAGCGGTTAGTTCAACTACAATCTGATCAATGCCTGGGTTCCGCTAGCATCTCCCTAGCGGCTTGCTATGATCAATTGATATTGCACCCCTTCACTGTGTGAAAGATATACAGGCACTTATAATCATCAGGGTGGTTGCGTAATTGTAATTGCGAGATCAATCTGGGTTAGTCTTTACTACTAGTTGGGAAGAGTAAACGAGATAATATGGGTCGCTAGCTAACAGTTCAAGATAGACTGGTTGCCCCCCGTGTATTTTCATGTGATGCGTGGCTCACCAAGTCGAAACTGGGCAAGTTTGACCGCAATGTTCGGGCCGCATTCGCCATCCTCCTCGGCGTGTCGCGCGAGTAGGTCGCGGCATTAATCCCTTGCAACTCGATTCATACCATACGGATGGAAAGGCAAAGGGTCCCCAAGTCCGTCAAGAGAAGTACGCGAGTAAAAGTTCATGGCCCCGAACTGTTTCATCGACCAAATAAAGGAAGAAGCAAAGCCTAGCAGTCGGAGTGTCAGCACACATAACAGTCTCCTTTTTAAAAAGAAAGGTCGGGGCCAAAACAGAAAAGTGCTCTGTCTGGTCAGTTGTTGTGAAGGGATATTTTCGAGCGACAAGGGCTATTGCGAATGCCCGAAGCAACTATCCGTCTACTGCTCTTCTCCCAGTAAGGCATCTGTTTCATCGAGAAACTCCTTGAGCTTTTCGCCCACCGAGGCCTTGTCAAGCCTATACGTCTTGCCGACCGATGCGAACTCGACTGAGTCGACCCCGGGCTGCAACACAAGCCAGCACGCCATCAAGAAGCCCTCGGTATACCACGCCACGCGGAGCTCGACGTTTGGGAAAACTTCCTTCCCACTCCCGAGGTTACACTCCTGCTCCTCGAATGCGTCCTCGTATATCTCCCGCCAGGCGGTAAAGCAGGGAGCGAGGGTCGGATACCTGCTCTCGATAACCTCATCCTCGACGGCCGAGTCTCCCGGTTCCGTATCGGCGAAGTTAGGGTCTTTCCAAAGAAGGAGGTGCCCCAGTCCGGGAAGATCCTGTAATGGTGCTCAGTGTGGGTTGGGCCGCCGTTAGCAGCGGTGGCCGCGGTTGTCGGTTCTGACGCTGGGAGCAGGGCAAGCTCGTATGGGGTTGGGCAATCCCGCTCGGCGGATTGTGTTAGCACGAGCCCGTAGGCAGTACAAATTATTTCCTGCCGGTTTTTCACCAGGGCCGGTAGCCCAAATAGACTGCAGAACGTGCCATGCACTGGTAAGTGGTGACGAGGGTCCTGAAAGCTGGGTTGGAGACGAAGTCGGGGGTTGGCTCGCCAGGACCCCCGGCCGGCGAGCGATGAAGACGCGGAGGCTTCTCGACGCGGCGAGCATGTTTGTTGGCCTCTATATGTTTCTTGAAGAAATAAAATCTTTCTTGGTTCGTACACGGAAAAGTGAGGCTGATTATTTCTCAGCTTCGGAGGATGACAGAATAAGTGAGTTGCAAGGTTTGAAAACAAGGTAGAAAGGAATTAGGCGACGAAGCAGGCCTGCCAGTGAAGGGCTCCCAATCCAATCACGTGGTGAAGCATAATGCTGCCAAATAGGTCACCTTATTTACACGGGATATCTTGTATAACGGACAAGCAGGATATGAGACTTGCATGTATATAAAACCACTGCAACTGCTGTCTACCAAGAATTAACAGAGAATAATGAATTACTAGTACATCAGGACACCATAAATTCTTCAAATAGCGAGGCCTAGAGACAGTCGAATCCATCACTTCGCGGCTCGTTGAACTCGCTCGTGCACATTTTGCTAGTCATTGGTTTGCAGGAGTAGGATTCAGGACGGACATCAGCGCCGACATAGATTACAAGGGGCAGACAGGGCTAGATCTGTGTAGAGGACAGGATCCGGATGGAGTGTAGTCGACAGAAGTTCCCATTGCGAGCTACGTGTTTCTACCAAGTACCTAAAGGTTTTCTTGCATAGATGGTAGTGTGTTCTGCTCGTGTACCTCGGAGAAGACCAGCTGTTAACCGAATCCTAATGACACTATCGGGGTCAAGGATACTATGTACATGGAGGTCAACGTGGCCCCGTTCCACAGCCTGAGAGATTTCCGGCCACATTCGGTCTTGGATGTGCCTGCGATCAATAACTACGGCTGGCTGGTTCGTCTGTCCTGATGAGTTTGGGCTGCCTCGCCAAAACTGTTGCACATCTTGCGCCCTTCCCCGCTCGGCAGGTTGGGAACACTCACGCGCGATTGCGCGCTTCTGCTCTCCTCTCCTCTCCTCTCCTCTCCTCTCCTCTCCTCTCCTCTCCTCTCCTCTCCTCTCCTCTCCTCTTCCTTCCTCTTCTCTTCCTTCCTCTTTTCTTTTCTTCTCTTCTCTTCTCCTCTCCTCTCTTCTCTTCGCTTTCGCCCTCCATCCCTCTTATGATTTGACCTCGCTCGACCCAAACCTCTGTGTCCGACGAAGAGATCCCTAGTCATATTCAAGACCACGTTATAGCTAATAGGTGAATCTCTCCCATTTTCTTATATTCTTCTCTGGCATAAGGTCTTGCGCCACTGCTCCGCCAGAATCTCTGTTGGGCTTAACTAACGAAGTCGCTTCGCGTAGCCGTACAAAGCATTTGGGGGCATGATCTAACCGATTAGAGATGAGCTACTTGGAGCTTCTCCACAAAAGGGTCGACACGCTAAGCTTGAATGAAGAGTCGAGGGCACTAATCAAAACCCTAATTCAGCAGCGGCGGAGCCCTAATAGGTGGAGGGTTGAGGAAGTCCTACGCATCTGGGAGATCAGTCCAGAACAATCAAAGAAACTTCCGGGCGTGGAATCGACGGTTATTTGGATCGAAGAAGGCAACGACAAAGCCGGATTGAAACACATAGTAGAGAGGCACAGCGAAGAGTTTGATTACAGGGGTATTCCAGAGGACAAAATTGCGGAATTAGTGGAGGCAGCCACGACTTTGGGCACATTGGCTGGGAGGCAAGGGAAGGAGGACAGGAGGCCCCCTCCCCGACCGATTTTGGTGCTCTACTTTTATGGGAAGCCGTTTGCTGTGGCTATCAGCGTCGGGAGCAACGGGTTTGTCGTGGGGATGAACCCGCGGAACTTTGAACAGGCGGCTGCGGCCGCTGGACTTGACAAGACTCAAGTTAAGGAGGTTTCTAGTTGGCCGAAAGTGGTTGTTTAGGCGTCAACTAAACCCTAAAGACATCCATGGATCTATGCATGAATCTCCTATCGAAAGATCCGGACCGCGGCCGCACCAAACTCTTGAATCAGGATCTAACAATTTTCAGCCAACATTTTGTGGTTCATCCGCAACATCCGCAACATCACTAAAGCTTCGCCCGCCAACAGCAAAACTATACCTTCAGGGTTGTACATCTAGTTATTGGTATTCCTCACACTTATCAGGTATACGTGTGCTCTGCCTCGCTGTCACACAAACACAAGTACTTAATCCTCCGCTGTTGGTAATGAGAGCAGCGCCATGATGGCCGCATCTGTATCGAATCCTTGTAGACGCATTAAAGCCAATAAACGTCCCGAGAGGCTGTTTCGGCTCCTGTCGTAAATAGGAACCCCTGAAGTTGAGAGGCGTCAGGAGGTACATTGCGATTAGATAGAGGGTGCTGTGACCATGGCGAGGCTTGGGCTGCCCGTTGCCCTGCCTGGCGTGTCGGTTAATTCATGGTCCCCGGTCTGGAAGTGATACAGGCATAAGATTATATGTGACACGGCAGCATACGAAAGGAGAACGTGACTTGGTGGGCCAATGGATGACCAGTTAATTAGAACCCGGTGCGTAGGTAAGTAAAGTGCAATGCTGTCACACGTCAGAGACGAGTAAAAAGTGCAATGATGATGGACAAAGTTGGCTTGCGAATTCCCCGTTTCGTCCGAGCCATCTCTGGATCAAAAGCACTCTATTTCTAATACGGGAAACGCTCGTCGACAGTAATTCTAACTGACGTGGAATATGGGCGGACAGAATCTTGGCATGCGCTAAAAAAAAAAAAAAAGCCCTCCACCGTGTTAGCCTACCCAACGTCTTCCCTCCCACGCGGGCACTAGGGCTCCGCCAGATTGTACATCATGAAAGTACATTATTGTCAGATCATCGCGATAAATTTAAACATGCATGGTTAAAACGGCGAGGTCAGTACTATTGAGCTCACGCGTGGGTATGTAATGTAGTCTTTGTGATAGTGACTGTAATGACTGACTTCAGAATACAATTGATGTACCATGCAGTTGCACGGCACCATTTTGTAAACCCAAATATCAAGCCAAGGGGTAAAGAATCCTTTAGCTATACAGTAACAGAGGATTCTCGTGGAGACAAGACATTGCGGTCCAGGTTGGGAACCGGAATGAGATTCTGAGTACTTGAAAAGATGTATTGTTTTCGGGTCTGGGTTAAGGTCAATGATTGATCCTTTCCTATCACGAAGACTATGTACATGGATGTTTTCAACGCGTACACAATGATAGGCTTGTCCGAACACCTGAGCTTCATATACTGGCGGAGAGCCTTTCGCTCAGCAGGATATATCCAAGGGTGCCAGTGGGCACCAGAATCCATCTAGACAACTTGCTGAAATTCATTGTACGATTTATTGCCTCTGCGGAGAAATTGGGTTGATTGCTCCTGAATAGTGCTCAACTCCGAAAATGACGACTATCTAGGCCTTACTGGCAACAGCAGCAACCGTTTCAACCGTGAGATCCTCGGGCCAGACAGGCTCATCAACCCCGTTACCCCTAGTGCCAACAGTGTACTTCAACTCTACTTCCCCGCCGGGGAACTGCGCGATCGGCTTGACTTGGATAAACGTGGTGTCCAAGACCTTGGACACCCTCTGCTCGAAGAAGTCGGGGTTAAACAGAACCTTGGCGTCGTGTTCGTGCAGTATCTTGAGCATGGCGGGGATGAGATAGGGCATGGCGTGGTAGTGCTGGAACTTGGGCGAGCCGTGGCGTGTCCATACCTCGTCCCATACGTTCTTGGGGTAGGTTCCGCAGGAGCGGACGAGCCACTGTGAATAATAGTTGAGAGAGACCTGCCAATGCGAGAGAAGGAAGGGCGGAGCATAGTTAGAGGTTGTGGTTTAAAGGCAGATTCTCCGCGGAGTTGGGGAGTATGGGGCGAGTCTTACATCAACAGCGTAGCTTCCCCATCGGTTCCACGCCTTACAAGCGCGTCTAAAACACCAGAGGTTCCGCACACACCGGTGCTACGATGCAGGTTAGAACAAGCGAAACGGACCCTACTTAATTCGAGCCTGCAGGCCCCGGGAGAACCAATGCGGCTTACCAGTAATCGGAGTTTGGAAACACCGGGGTCACTGCGCCCGCGACACCCATAGCCTCAGCATATGACTTGGACACACCACAGCACTGCCACATATTGAGTTAGCTTGCAAACCAACTTTTCGTCTCTCCCTTTTCTCACCACCACACGATGCCCTCTCACACTCTCAGCCACCGTGAACCAAAACAGAACCTCCATCTCAAGTTCATAGAGGGCAAAACTTACCGCATCGCTAATCTGCTGCCACCCGGACCGATGACTCCACGGGCCGTGCCAACCATAGCAATTCTCGCGAACGTAGATGATACCCCGAGACCGGCCCCTCACCAGATCGAAAACGGCCTCACGCCCAAACCCGAGACGCTCCATGACACCCGGACGGTACCCATCCACCACGACGTCCGCCTCGCGGATCAGCGCCCTCAGTTTCTCCTTGTCGGCTTCGTCCTTGAGGTGGAGAAAAGCGGTCCACTTGCCCCAGTTGAGATCCTGCAGGACGGGCGTCAGGTCCGTGACATGCGGGCTCACGACACGCATGACGCTGGCACCCATCTCGGCCAAGCCGCGCGTGATGCTCGGCGCAGCGATGACGCGGGCAAGGTCGACTACCTTGAGGCCAGCCAAAGGCCGGCGCGGGCTCGACGGGTTCGAGGCGTTGTCGTCCCACCATGACGGGGCTTGCTGTGATTTGGGATCCCGTGCGATCTCGAAAAGCCCAGCCTGGCCCGCGGCCTTGCCGTGCTCGGAGGCAAAGTACTCTTCTGAGGTGTAGGCGATCGTGCCGGCTTGGCGGTACTTTTCGTTCATGAGCTCATCGAGCTCGGTGGAATTGTGCTCTGAGACGGCCTTTTGGATTCTCTGGACGACGTCATCGTACGTATCCGCCTCCTCACCGTCGAGTGGGAGGCCCAGAGCCGTGAGAGAGGGATCGGGGTTCATGCTCGCTTCAACGGAAAAGTGGGAGAAGCGTTCTAGTTAGCCAACGAATAATTAACAGCACGGGAGCAACAACCCTCCTTCCTCCTACTTCCAGGCAATTATTCCTACCGTGGGTATGATAATATCGACCATCCTTAGTCTTGTAGATATTGGTGGCCAGTCTTCGGTGCAGACTTGCGTGGCTCCTATGTTTATCCTGACTAGGGATCATTTTCATGAGATCCGGCGAGAATGCGCTCATGGGAATAGGGACGCCGTCTTTCAAGTACCGTGTGATTACGGGCGACATAAAGAACAGACTCGCGTGATCCCTAAGTCCCGGAGATTCTGGTTAATAATAAGTTCACCTTGCTATGAATATTGCCTGTTTCCTGCCCCAACCGTATCTTTGGGTGGAATCGAAGGCAGAGGTGAGAAGTAATCTATTCTTACTCGGTATCACTTACGTATCAATCTTGACCTTGACAGGTTCAATATTGTATTTCTTAGTCAGAAGGAGATTGAGAAATGTTGCCTCGAGGGCCTTGAGCGCGGAGATGCTCTCTGCGAAACGCCAGTTGATGGGTATGCTGGGCTTGTCGGCACCCCGAACTCGACATACTGGCCGAGAGCCTTGAGCTCCGCAGGCAGATGAGCGAGGTGAGCGTTGTTCAGAATGCCCTCCACGAAGAGCTTGTTCGCCTCTCGGGGCACCGAGTACTCGGAGGATGAAGACATGATTGATGATATTTACGACAAGGGTGTCTTTTTGCTTGGGTTGGCGAAGAGGGGCACAACTCGGGTTAGAATTCACCGTTTGGAACCCGCACACAGCGTTCCTTTTGACTTCAACCCGCACTCGGCCAATCCCAAAAGGAAATGTGACTTTGTACGTTTCTCAGAGAGGGAGTTGTCCCCTCCGGAATCTCTATTTGCAAGATGGATCAGGAATTCGGACTTGATGGTGCCGCTGAAGCCGGTCCCCGGGGCATCGTATTCCAGGTGGGGTAGGATTAACGTTCCTTGGCTTACCCCGAATCGGAAGAACAATCCCGTTGCAGTGCGGGGAGGCGTCATTAGCGGCGAAATGCCCCTCGCACTAACGGCATCAACGACGTCGTCCCCCTTCCTGTGCTTCCTGTAGCCGCGGGAAGACGCAACCGAACCTGTGGCCTCGATGAAGCTGGGTTATCTATGTACGGAGTTAAGCATGGACTCGCGCCAGTTTGCCGAGCTCCATTTGAGAGATGCACTAGCGCAAGGCTCTCTCCGCTCGCGATGTACACGACATGACATCCCTCACGTTCCTTCCCAGGTCTCTTCCTGCCTTGTCTCGGAGTCGTTTACTTTCTTTGGAAGAGCTGTATAGACGAATCGGCTGTATTCCCACCAAGGAAACCAACGTAACACGACCGCAAAGAATCCTTTCTCACGAAAGTAAGCTTCCAGTTCCCTCAGAATCTTGTGCCATTTCCACTTTTGAGTCGTGGCTACCGAAACCCCAGTGGATTCTGGTCGACCCGGCGCTTCGACCTGAATGAGGGACTGGCACGAATTCCCATAGGACAAACAGCCACTCGCCGGCCGCCACTCTTGAAGCAACTGATAAAAGGATAGAAGAGAAGAAAGGCGGTGAGAGCAAGACGAAATACATTCAAAGTTTAGCATTTACAAGGAAACTCACATTCAACAAGACTCCCGACCTTCATCATGGCTGAGAGAAAGAGAGCGGTAAGGATCGCCAACTGCTCAGGCGCTGCTAGTAAGTATTCCCATCGGACCCTTATCTTGACAAACCACCCTTGCCTACGGCACGAAAGCTAATCGCATCTTTGGCAGGCGACCCTGGCATGCACATGTATAACCAGGCCAGGTTCGGCCAGGTTGACGGCATCACGGGCGACTATCTAGCAGGTAAGACAAAAGTATCATCAATTTCCAATGCCGCGCACGTACGGCCGACTCAAACTAACAACACCCCACCAGAAATGAATCTGGCCAACTTCGCCGTCGACAGAGAAACCCACGGCCACCCCGGCTGGGCCCCCACCGCCCTCGACGGCCTCCAGCAAACCATCGAAATCGCCAACGAGAAACGCATCAAGATCGTCATCAACGGCGGCGCCCAGAACCCCAAGGGCCTCGCCGAAAAGACGCACGAGCTCGTCCGCGAAAAGGGCCTGAACCTCACCGTCGCCTACGTGGACGGCGACGACCAGATGGCCAACGTGCACAGGATCCTCCGAGACATTCGGTCCGGCGCGCTGCCCCACCTGGACAACGGCAACGACGAGGTGCAGCTCGCCGGGGAGACGTTGTCCTTCCTCGACGAGCCCGACAAGATGCCCGTCGTCTCGTCCAACGCGTACCTCGGCTACCGCGCCATCAAGCGGGGTCTCGACGAGGGCGCCGACATCGTCATCTGTGGGCGCGTCGCCGACGCCTCACCCGTCATTGGGCTCGCGGCTTGGTGGCACGCGTGGTCCGAGGACGACTTGGATCAGCTCGCGGGCTCCCTCGTGGCCGGCCACCTTATCGAGTGCTCCACCTACGTCACGGGCGCCAACTTTGCCGGCGCCTACCGCTACCCGCCCGAGACTTTTATCAACCTTGGCCTCCCCATCGTGGAGATCGAGGCTGACGGCAGCTGCGTCGTCACCAAGCACCCGGAACTCCCGGGCTTCGTTACCGCCGACACCGTCAAGTGCCAACTTCTATACGAGCTCCAGGGCGACATATACCTCAATAGCGACGTCAAGGCCGACATCGCGCGCGTTCGAGTCTCCGACGAGGGCGAGGACCGCGTGCGCGTTACCGGCGTCCGCGGCCACCCGCCCCCGCCCACGACCAAGCTCGCCACGTTCTACAAGGGCGGTTTCCAGTGCGAGATGCTCATCAACGCCACGGGCTACGCGACCGCCCACAAGTGGGATATCCAGGAGACGCAGATGCGCGCCAAGCTCGCCGAGTGGGGTGTCCTCGACCAGCTCGACGAGCTCGATTTCCAGCGCGTGGGGGTGCCCATGGAGAACCCGGACTGCCAGCTCGCCTCCACCACGTACCTGCGCATCTTCGCGCAGGCCAAGGACGCAGCTACGCTGGGAAAGGTGCCCCAGGCGTGGATGTACCACGGCATGGCTCATTTTGCGGGTAAGCTTACACTTTGCATCTTCTTATTTTCCTTGCAATTGCTTCTCATTCCCGTGCCAACTTACTCACACTTATTCAATCCAAGGCATGCACTTCACGCTCGACATGCGAACCGCCGTGCCCAAACCCTTCCTCGGCTTCTACCCCTCCCTCATCCAGCAAACCGACATCGAAGAAGCCATCAATATCCTCGGCAACCGCCCCCAGCGTATCGTCGTCGGCCCGCCCAAGCAGACGGAACCCCTCGCGCCCAGGAACAACTACGAAACCGCGGACCCCGCCCCGCTCGCCTCCTTCGGTCCGACCTTTTCACGACCCCTGGGGACATCGCGCTCGCCCGCTCCGGCGACAAGGGCGCCAACGTCAATATCGGCCTGTACGTGCAGACGGACGAGCAGTGGGCGTGGTTCCGCGCCTTCATGACGAGGGACCGCATCAAGAGCCTCATGGGCCGCGACTGGCTGGATTGGTATTTTGTCGAGAGGGTGGAGATGCCCGAGATGCGCGCCGTGCACTTTGTCATCTATGGCCACCTGGGCCGCGGCGTGAGCAGCTCCAAGCTCCTCGATGGGTTGGGCAAGGGCTTTGCCGAGTTTATCCGGGCTGTTCACGTTCCTATTCCCACCAAGTTTTTGTTGACATCCAAGTGGTAGGGACTGGAAGAACGTCTCGAGAACGTTTGGCATTTGATGTATATACGGTCACTATTAGCTTCAGCTATCATCCCCAGAGTAATATCAAAGACACTGTATGTTTTCATGTATCGACCTTCCCACTGGGTTGATTCAGAAAGGCTCGCCTCGGACACGTCCCAAACATTATCCTCGGGAATATTGCGCCTATATCAGCGGGATTCCCCTTGTATCGTTGAATTTCAAAGAAGCGCGTCTCATCATTCGCTGTGATGTCATTCCCCTGCTACATCCATAGTAAAGTAAAACACGATTCAAAGGAGCAGTTCGTTGAAATGCCTTGGCATATTGAATTGAAAAGAAGGATAAATAGATAGCATGGTGATATTACCAATCCGCCCAAGTATTATTGAAACATACAAGGACAAGCGTGAAACAAAACGCAGCTCCGGTTCCCGTGCCGCGGATAGGGTATTATAGTCTCGCTCCCAATAAAACCCCCAAAAGGTTGAACCTGCCCGTCCCGTTTGTCTCCCACGAATGAAGAAACTCCCATTTTGTTACCGACCGGGGTTAATTGGTAACCCCAAACACCCCAAAAGTTGACTTGACGTCAATGATAAGACAAAAGAAACGACCCCAGCCAATTACGTTCGCGAGCCCTTCCTCCCAAGGGCTCAAAAGAAAAATGTACAGAAGCGTGCGTAGACCGCTTTATCGAAACAACAACCACCACACCAACACCACGTCGTACAGCTCCTTCTCCGGATAACCCTTTTTGGTTCAGGCTTTTTGTTTAATCCCGGGGCGTAGTATACTGCACAATATCGTGATTCACCTGGATCCCGAAATCCTTGGGCGGCACCCTTGGCCTGTACTCCCCGCCGTGCACTCCGTCGTGAGCACCGGCCGAACAGCGTACGGCTTCGCCGCCCTCGAGGGCCTCTGCATCTCCACGTCGGCATCCACAGCGGCCGCGCTGTCGCCGTCGCTCAGCTCGATCCACTCGGGCTCGCGGCGGCCGAGGCCGTACCCTTTTCCGCGTCGCCGCCGCTGCGCAGGCTGCTGATGTACATCTCCTCCTGGCTGTCGTGCGGGGCGTGGTGCATCCGGCTGCCGCGCTTGCCCGACGAGGAGGCGAGCGTGTCGCTGCCGCCTCCGCCGCGGGAGGAGGAACCGTAGGCGTAGGCGCCCTTGGTCGGGTTCGTGCGGGAGGCGGAGGCGCCGAGGCGGGGAGGACCTTGCCGAGGAGGGGGCGTAAGGTGGGCAGGCAGGCGCACACGATGCCGGAGGAGAGCTCGCCGATGGACCAGCAGGCGGCGTCGACGTTGTCCCAGGTGAAGTCTTCGGTGAGGCGGAGGAATTTGATGCGGAAGATGGAGATGGCGCAGGTGCTGTGGTGAGATGTGCGTTAGTTTTTGCTTTTCTTTTCTATTTTCTTTTTGACGAAAGGTTGGCTGCTTGATGGTGATATCGGTTATCACGGGCGCAACTTACAAGAATCCGAGGCAGAAAATGCCCACAAGAATCACTTTTTGCCCCTTGATGAGTTTCAACTGCCAGATGATGGGCAGAGGAAGCAGCAGGATCATGATATCAGTGAGGATGTTGCCGCCGGCGTTGATGTACCACTGGGGAATGTTGGGAATGCACTTGCCACCGCCTTCCCAGAACGCGGAGACGGGGGTGCAGATGAAGATTTGCACAAAGACCTGGGAGAAGCTCCACGAGGTGACAAAGGCGCCGGCGATGAAGATGAGGCGGCGGTTTTGCTTGGTGCCGAGAGCCCTGTAGTATTGGAGGAGGAAGGTGAGTTTGATGCAGGCGAGGGTGGCGTTGTAGAAAACGATGGAGACGTAGAATGTCTAGATGCGTGTTCATGTTAGCCATTTTGCCTCTAAAATTTCCTCGTCGTGGAGAGAACGCACCCGTAGGTAGAGAGGAATTAGTGTGGGGTCGAGAACATAAATATGTTGTGCCAAGCCGTATTGAGTATCTAAGAGCGTTTGTTAGCGAAAGGTCAGATCAATCATAAGGAAGAGACACATACTCCACGCAACGCAGAAACCGCAAGCAACAATCATCAACTGCAAATTCCGCTTGTTAGCACTAGCTCTAAGACATACGCCGAGCACTCATCCACCTCGCGCTGTTTAGGCGGAGCGGGTCGTCCATACCATGGAGACAATGGCCATCCAGTCGTCAGCACCCATCGTGCGTATTAGAAAGGCGCGGGTGTACACTCTCGCACCAACCACGGAAGCGGCGGCGGCCAGCACAAACGTGGTGACGGCGATGACTGTCGAAGCCCTCGACTCGTGGAGGTCTTTTATTTGATCCATGGTGTGTGTTTGTGGCGTATCTGTTGTGTAAAATCCAATGTGGTGTGGTCGTCAAACCAACGCAGCGGGGTGGTGTTTTCCCAGCCGAGAACCGAGACTCGAGGCTGTGGAGTAGTTGTGCGGTGGGTGGGAGTATTAAAGTCGACCTCGAATGGAGAGCAAAAAGGGAGAATGCTACGCAAACGGAAGAGTGCGAACGGTGATCTTATACAAAAGAGAGAAAGATGCGAGGGTTACCTGCGATCGAGATCCAGCGAGCAGATAAAGAAAAGCAAAAACCCTTTCCCAAGAAAAAGCGAGACAGGTCGATCATGGAAGACAAGGGGAGGAGATATCTGGGTCTGGGGAAGCCCCACTGATATACAGAGCCTTACTACTCTTCTTATGCCAAGGGGGAGGGGGTGTGTATGTGTATGTGTATGCGTGCATGTGTGGTGAGTGACAAGTGGAATCAAAATTACATCGATATCCAAACCGACCAAGAAAAAAGAAAAAGGAACAGTCGGCGCCAGCTTCCTCCAGGACGCTACGCTAGTGCGCCGACACATGTCGTCTAAAATGGCCCTCTTTTAAGCTTCAATCCCTCCTCCTTTCCCCCTTAGCGTCGGCTCCCGTAGCCGGACAAGCCCCCAACGGCTTAATGCCTAGGCCTTGGCTTTCCTTTCTTCTTCATTTCCCTCTCAGTCCTTTTCTTTTGTCCCTACGGCAGGGCTGTTCTTCGTCAGACCTTTTCGAAACAAGATGAGCTCGCTCGAACTTTTTCTTCTTTTGCGGGCGTCCAAGGGGGTGGGGGACGCAGAAGATGCTCGAGGTGCGTCGCAGCCCACGCCCGAAGATGGCGGGGGTGAATGCTTCGGATTTGGGAGGGGGCGTGTGAGTGCTTGAGTTTTGGGGGCAGGGGTCTGGTCTAGTCCAGTCAACTTTTGTGTGTGCGTATGGGCATGTGCGCTGAGCGAGTGCTCAAGGAGTGCGGCTCTCGATACTGCCTGAACCAATCCCTTTTTCTCTCTCTCTATCTCTGCTTTCTTTTTCTTTGGGTCCGCCAGTGGGAGAGCAAACGAGCCCGCTTCCCAAATGGCAAATGTGCATGACGAGAAGACGGGAAGGGGAAATCTTGGGTCCAGGACAGCAGGAATAGATCGCCCCCTTCCCTTGGCCCCCGAAACAAATTGTGGTTTACCATGCGCAAAGGTGGGCAGAGGTACACGATTGTGGGGGCTCTGACAGGTACCTCTGTGCGCGATTATCACGAGTTTGGTACGCGCTGTGGCTTGTACATTACTTTTTTCTTCACCTTTTTCTTAATTGCACAGCTACGCTAGAGAGAGGCACGAGGACCTCCAAGGTGACGGCGGATCCAGGGTTCAGCTCTCTGTGGGAGCGCACACGTCCATCTATCTTTGCAAACTGAGAGAAGCGATGCACTTTGTATGCACATTCCTCTTCTTATTCGTTTCTAAATCGAGAAGCGTGAGCCAGTGGTCGGTGATAGTGGCCAGCAGCCGAACGCCCCTCTACCCCGCCCACAGAGCCGACAAAAGAGCAGAAGCTGGAGGGAGCGAGGCCCTTTTCTTAGACTCGGCTAAGGGATGCTGCGCTTTAGACCTCCAATGGACACGACACGCAACGGAGCCAAGGACGAATGCGGTATTATATCAGACAAGGGCAACAAACGATCAAGTCGTCAGCGACGAGATGCGAGAGGCCGAGATCTCACCCGCTTTCAGTGTTGCAACTCTGCCCATTTCAACGTTCTACAGTCTCACCCCTGCAGCTCGGTGTGACGCGGTATAATACATCCTATTCACCCAGGACCTCGAGGAATAGCGCAGTGAGGTACGAAGTATGTGCGGATAAGCAGCGGCCGATCCGGCGGTAGGGCAGCGGGAAGGGCACATTCGCGCAGGACAGGAAGACAGAAAAGAAAAAAGGGTATCATGGCAAAGAGAGGTCGCAGAGGCGATTACGCCCCGACCTTGATCGGCACTGGGGGCCAGGGGATCCAGGGGGCAGGGACAGGGTTTGAACGCCGAACCATGATACCTTTTTCAAATTCTGCCTGTTTGGGAAGTGCGAGCAGCAGGGAGGAGCCAAAAGCGTGCTGTGGGAAAAGGCGGTTCGCGGAGTAATAGCTGCGCGATGTTATAGGTATGTACGAAGTATCTTTGCACACAAAAATAGGTAGCGGGATACCCATTTTCACGAGGACGGCAGCTTCGGCTGGGTGCGATGAAGCCCATTTTGGCTCCCACTTGCTTTCCCTGCCCACGGGCTGGGTTTTGGAACATGGACACGGCAAAGGCAAAATTGAAGATGGGCGAAAAGATGGAGGAGAGTGATACGGATCGATTCGGGATCCATGTTGCTGGAGCAAGTCTGAGAAGGCCGTCGACCTGTTTCGGGAATGCAGCACGGCATCGAGTGGGCAGAATTTGGATTTTTGGGACAACTGTACTACAGCTGCGCATCGATGGCTATGTGCTTCCTTTTCCCGAGGAAGCAAGCGAATGGGTATAATGGTTGGGTGCATCCGACGGATGTCGACCGTCTCATTCTCCAAGGAGCGGGAGGTGTTGCATGCAGAAGAGGAACAGCGCACGAAAGAAGAGAATCAGGGCAGAGCAGCGAAGAGAGGGAGGTGGAGAGGACATGCTCCCTCACCTCAGACGCCCGCAAAAGGAGAGAGCATTGGGGAAAGGGAAAAAGAAAGGAAATAAAAGTAACCAGTGCTCTTACTAGCTGCCTCAGCTGAATTTAGCCCTTTGTCCTTATCCATCCTTTCCGTCCCCTCATCAAGGGTTGCTTAGCGTGCCTCGTGCAATTGGCACTGCGCGGAACAGACGCCCCGGCTTCGTCGGGAATGGCCCTGTTGGCGGAGAAGCAGCCTGGAAGAACATAAAATTGGCGCTAGCGGAATTGTGGGTTCCTGCTGCGACGTCGTTCAAGTTGTGCCAGGGTGGAAGGCTTCGTAGGTGATGTGATGGAGGAAAGAAAAGTGTCTTTGGTGATGAAAATGCAGCGCAGCAGTGGATTTGATGATACATGTACGCTTTGCAGCCCATTGCACACTTGAGTGCGTATTCTTGCATCGAGCAATAGCGTTGCGTGATATGGATGGATCCAGATGGACAAGCCTCAAATCCCTCACGACTTGCTCCACCACGACCGTCATCAATTGAATGGCGCCAACGCACGCAGAGCACAAAAGGCGAAACCGATCCGGACGCCCTTTTCCGCGCCAACATGGCCGTTTGTCGTTTCGGAGACGAACATTTCGCTCCACGACACCACAAGACCCGAGACCCCAGTTCTGCCCTCTCTTCTCGAGGAGTGTGTGTTTTTCTCCATACCCCGGTTCCTTCGGTTTCTTCCCTATTTCTGCAATATTTTCGACATGACGCCTCCAACGTTCACGATGACGGCCGCCAGAGAGCAAGGTTCTACCTTGTTCACCTCACCCACAGGCTCGCTTCCTTCTTTTGCGATGGAAGGGGAGGGGAACCAATAGCAGGTGTCGGTGGCTTGGAGAAACCTGGCGAGACTGACCGGCGTACCTGCAGGATGAGTATCTTACCACATCGCCTCAGTCCATCCTATTTTTTGTTCTCTTTTATACAGATACGAAGGGTTGGCCGAGGCCAGGCCGTGAATCCGTCCGCATGCACATTCCGAATCAACCCTAATCATCTCGTTGTCACCCGCCCGCGCATATGCAGAACCTTGCTGAAGCGAAAGAAGCGCCAGTGGCTACCTGTACATTGAATGTCCCTTCTTAAAAATAAGAGCAGTGTTTTTCAAGTAAAGACGAAAAAAACTAGGATCTTCTTCGTTGTGAGCCATTCTTCCACCTATTGGAGCAACATCTTGGCAGATGCAGGACCCGCTTGTCCATGTCAAAGACCTCAATTTCCCCTGCCCAGTGCTTATGCTCGTGCTCTCTTACACTTCAATCTCTTGGAGGGCTACTAAGGGTGAGCTTGCCCTCTGTGTTCTCTCCTCCTTCTCTCTCTCGGAACTCTTCACCCGGGTCTAGTAGGGTTAGAGTATTATTACAGGGCGATTCGAAGTCGGACCGGTGCAAAAATACGTGGCAACGTCATGATGGGTTCTCACGGTTACTCGCATCGAGAAGCGGCGGCTTGGCGGGCGTCCGCCACCACCACGGGAGGGCCAAAACCTGGCACGACGAGGAGCCCCTGGCAGGTTGGAGCGGAGGAAGCAATGCGAAACGCTGAAAGCTGTCTGTGCTTGTGTTCGAGAACACACCTTGAGACTTGGTTGCGCCTTTCCTTAGTAACGTCGTCAGAGTACACAAAATAATACTAGGAGCGTCAAATCCAGATATTTCCATAATCAAGACAGCTCTTGAAGTAGGCACGCCCGACAACGTAGGTCGACACACGTTGAGACTGGAATCGTTATTCTCTCTTTCGGTTTGGAAAAGACTTGACTTAAGCAAGTGGGCACATACTAGCTCACGTTTATTTTCCAGCATCTCCACTTCAGGGGATGACGGCTAACTTGCCCGTCGGCGCTAATAATAGAGCTTCGGCTCTCGAAGCGGGGTGCGACGGACGGATACTCTCGTATCGTGCCCACTTTCTTTGACCACACTTTTAACGAAGTGAATTTTGCCTACTTCCAGCGCCCGACACGGATTTGGTCAGCTGAGGATGATAGTTGCTGACCGCCAGCTGGGCAGGATCACGCCCATCCTCCTAGGTGATTGCGGTGAAGGGATGTAGTCATTGCTGCTTTTGTCAGTTGAGGCAGGAGTGGTTTTTGGGTGGGCGCGACGAAAAAAAGGGTAGGAAGAGCTGGATTGGCCGCCACCGCTGAGGCTTTAGAACGCTAACGCGACGACGCTTGCGAGATATCACTCCTCACAAGCTTCTGGATGAGAAGACTTACCTGTATATTCGCATCAATTCTATCTATAACAATAATTGAGTTCCTCAATTATGAGAGTTGACCGACCCCATTCTAAGCGGCCGACTAGAGTCTTCGTGAACGAGCGCCAGTCTTCATCCTGGGCGTGTCAGCAGCGCCTTGCTTCAGCATGGCGGCGCCAACCGCCGCTCAGTCAAACCCTCCGGAGCTGAAGTTGACCAATTGAAACGCCCAATTGGCCAGCTGATCCGCACTTTGCGCTCCAAAGTGAAGGTGAAAGGGAGAACCTGGTCGTCAATGAACACATACCGACATCTCAATATATCACAATCCATAATAAATCTATTAAGCATTGGCTCACCGTCACCGTCAGCTCAAGGTGGTTCACGCCTCAAGCCACCGCCTCGCCTCCAGGTTCACGGCTGACATTTTTCCTCGTCCCCGTCTCGTCTTGAAGTTCAGCCCTCCGTGCGAGTCGAAAGAATGGAAACTCTTCACCAAGGTAGCCAGTCGAGGGCGTCAAGCATTTGCCAAACATACAAGTACAGGCCCCGCGAAATAGACTTCTTCTAGCGGCCGACAACTCTTCCATCACAGCTGGGGAATTCGCCCTCTGCCCAGTTTTGACGTGTTTGATACTTCAGGCCCCAGCATCAGTGCGTGCATGCGGTGTCCACCTGCCACCCCAACATCCATTCCTCCTTTCCCACCCCAAGCTTATTCTTCTCGTCTTCATCAATCCCAATCCAGCACTAGCGTCTTGCACTCGTCGTCGCAGACAAATGTCAGTGGGTTTCCCTTGAAATCTCCCCCGCTCCCCAAGTCTGGCATGTGCTCCTGCCAAACCGTCGCGCCTGGGAACTTTTGCGTCTGCTTTTTCCCTTCCCCCAAGTGTATTGAAACAGCCATTCCCGTTCCTCTACAAGGACCATGATCGCCACTGGAAGAAAGTTTACACGGGGTCGTCAAGGAGTAAGCATGGCGAGCACCTGTCTTTCGAGGATCTGGTAACACGTCCTGTGCCATCCATGACTGTTTCGGTGATCTCCAGCGCTCTCGCTCGTCACATGTCCCCCACGAGTAATCGCCATGATTTTCCGCACAGCTCCCCTTCACTATGTCAACCATGGACACAGATCTCTTCAACCCAGCGCTCGATCACCCATCGCTAGCCTCATCAATCATCTCCCTACTTCACCGCCACGCTCTTAGACTCGAAAAGCGTGTACGAGGTAAAAGATCGACCTTGTGGACCAAGGGTCCTCGCGCATATCTCCCTTGAGTCGCCCTCTTCTAAGCGGACGCGCGGGTCGCAACCTAGGGTAGAGCGGCTCTTCTTCCCTCCCTCCTCGCATGCATGCACGCACGCGCACCGCACTGGCTCGCGAGCCAAAACTTGATCCCTTCGGTTTTGGGAGATGCACGAGGCCGCGCAAAGGGGTCCGAGCGACGCAAGCAAAGGGGACAGTTATCCCCCATCCCCGCCCCCATCTCTTTCTCCCCATCTCGCGACGAAGCGGGAAGATGCAAGATTTTTGATTGGGTCGTCCGCGGAGGGGCACTTGTATCTCGTTTTCCCTACTCTATTCGCTCAGAGGCAGAGGGCAGCCAGCCCACCCCTTCGATTAATTATCGTGCTTTTGTGTCTTCCCCTCGCAACGGTTCTCCCGCTCCCGCTCGCCAAAAAGAGTGTTTTTGGGGCTGGCTGGGCCGCGCTGCACCACCCGCCCGTCCCCTTTCTTTGCCGAAATAGTCCTCTTCTCCCCTCCCGCCAGTCTTTCTTCGTGCGCCTCCTCCCCCTTGTGCAGCAATTCCGTCTAAACTTTAAATCCACTCTGCGCCCGAAAAAGGGGCCGGGAATTGGGGACAAAAAGGGCAAGATACCAGGAAAAATGATGGTGTGTGATTGTGCCTGCGTTCGCGTATAAACGGAGGGCCGACTGCCACGCCCGCTTTTGCGGCTCTTGAGTCAACAATAGCAAGATGCCAAGCGCATAAAAGTGGCTGATTGGACACACGAGGTTTACCTTTTTATTCATTGTCGTCCATGCCAGATCTTCAATGCTCGAAACGCTAGTTCCCAGCGGGCGCACTCAAGAACGTTGATGCGCGGATTGACCGACGAGGGCTCTCTCTCTCTCTCTCTCTCTCTGGCGCCATCGTCATTGTAGGACCCCTGAGGGCGATCGCTTCTCTTGTGTAGCAGGTGATGGTTGATCTCCTCCGCGATCTGCCCAGGATCGCCGCGACCCAAAGAGCAGAAGCAGAGACAGAGAGAGGGAGAGAGAATGCATGAGTCGATTGAGCATTGAAAATGAAAAATTTCTTGCCGTCCAGCTAGCGTAGCTGGCTCACCATGATGCCACCCAAAGGCATAGAATGAACCCGCCGTCATCCATGTTAACGCTCGACATCGATCCTCGGCCTGGCCTGAGCGGCGCGAGAATCATCGACAACACGCTCACAGATCACCGAATTCGCACAAGGAAATCTCGACCACGGACCAGACGGCATGAGATCCAACGCCATGTCCCCTCCACGTCTTTCGCCTTCTCGCATTGTTGGCAATCGACAGAGGTTGATTTTAGCCCGACTCTCCTCATATTCCGCCCGTTGGAAGTGGAGAAGCCAAGCACGCTAACGCCGGGCCTCCGCTTGCTTAATCTCGCCAATGATTCTAAATTTTACTCTTTCGCGGTGTATCCTTTCCTCCCTCCCCCGCAAGACGGAAAGAATTGCGAATGTTCCCCTAGTTTGCTGTCGTTGTCTTCTTCCTCTTTTCCGTGGTTCTCAAAATTACAACCTGCGTCGGTGCCCCGAGTACCGAGGGCGGGCCTCGATTCCGCCCAACTCTATTCACAAAACCAGCCTGTAATAAGAGTCTTTCCATTCATATATATCCCCCTGCACGGAAATAAGAACGAGAGGTGCTCTCGCGGAAGAAACATCCTAGGGCTTGTGGTATACACTAGTTGCCCGGTTCAAGACAGAGAAACGAAATATGGAAAAGAGGCGTAAGAATGCAACGGGGGCGCACGCAAAATTCGCGAGAAAATCTACAAGAGGTTTAGCTCAAGAAAAAGCCAGCAGTTCGAGAGGCGTACGCTTGCAACATTGAACTCTGCCGTTTCCTCACCCGAGTGCTCCCCTTCTCCCCCATCGTTGCATCGGCCATACACAAGCGCAACATTGTGCAGCCGGTGGAGGATAACTCGGTTCGGGGAAGCATTCCCTCAAGGCTGGGCGATGACGACGGCCAAAGGGAAGGGCGCGCGTTGTGTAGAAACCCCGTGTCTGTTGGCTACATGTAGACTAGACTACCTCCCCAACGGCCGCTTTTCCGCGGATGGGTTACAACGCATTTCGTGGTCGGGATAAGGAAGGTTGTATTAGATGGCTGATCTCCCCTGCAGGAGAAAAATGAGTAAAGTTTCGCTTGTGTCGTTCAGACGCGAGGAAAAATAGTGATATCACCAAAACTTCGACTACTCTTCCTTGGGCATGTAAAAAGTGCCCTTTTTGCAGCAATGGGCATTCGCCGGGGACAACAGTGGAATGGTCTTGTCCGCCGTCTGATGTCGGACGGCTCGCGCGATCCGGCTAAGGAGCGAGTTGTCGCAGAAATCCATTTTTTCCCGCTCTCGTTCCTCGCGTTCCGGGCAATCCTCTCTTCTGCCGGTGTGCGTCCCGGTGAGCTGTGCAGGTGCGGCAAGTTTTGTGCCGTCTGCTTGTTAGGCGAAACTTCGCCTAACACGGAGTCAGTGCTCCCAAGGCCTTGATGCGGACCGGTCTTGCGGGAATGATTTCAATTTCTTTTTTTCGCCCGTTCTTGGTTGTTAGAATTTTGCTTTTTTCCCCTCTCATAGGTACCGGCTGCGTTATCCGGGCACAAGGCGTCGGATCCGTCGAGGCGGGAAAAAGAGACGGGAATCAAAGAGATATGGCCCTTCTGGCTCGGGATTGCTTGTTCACTTCAACCGGTGTTTGATCGGACGAGAATTGTGTATCCCGATGGGATGATGGATTAAACACTAGATTACACACACTCCCCTTTTTTCACTTGTTCACGAATGGAAGTCAAGATATCCGTCCCAAAACTACATTCCTCCAAGTCTCATACGCCTCCACACCAGATAAGCTACAGCCACTATTCCCCTACCCAGAGAGCCAAGGCTAGCCTGCCTGATACACCGCCAGCGCGGCGACGTGCGGGTTCAGCTGCGTCAAGTTATACGGCGTCACGTAGAGATCCTGGTCCGTCAGCGCGAGGAACATGGTGCCGTTGACCGCCCGGTTGCCCTGCCACGTATACGCCCCCGGCTGCAGCGTGTATCCCGAGCGGTTCTCGGCGCTCACGTTGCGCAGCTCGGTGTAGGTCACGTTGAGCTGGGAGACCCACGCCGCGAACCTGGGCTGCTTCACCTCGGTCGACGTCACGTAGCTGTTATTGGGCCCCACCGGCTTGCCCGGCTCGTCCCACTGGAGAAACACCCGACGGCCCGGAAACGACAAGGGAATACTGCGGTTCCGCGCCACGGCGGCGCGGCAGTTCTCGCCCACCTCGTCCGAGTTGACGCACAGCTCCTCCTCGGGGATCCCCTTTGTCGACAACGTGTTGGCGTACCCGCCCGTCGTCTCGTTCCACGCCTCCTCACCATTCACGCGCGCCGGGTTCGGCTGGTTGAGCACGCGCAGCGCGGGGAAATTCTGCCAGATCAAGCGCGTCTGGTTCGCGGGGCAGCTCGCGACGTAGGGGGCCAGCAAGGTCCACGCCCAGCTCTGGGGGATCCCGACCGTGTGCCACTCGGGCATGGGGAACTGCCCGCCCATCTGCCGAAACGCCATCTGCTGGCGCGCCTCCACCGTGATGCTCTGCAGCAGTAGCTGCGCGGCGGGACCCGAGTTGAGGTGCGGCAGGAAGCCGTACACGCCGGCCTCGCCCACCGCGTGAGCTTCTGGCTGAAGTCGAGGTACTCTTGCACGCTGGACACGGGGTAGTCGTACGTGCACTGGCGGGGCGCCTGCGGGCCTAGCATGTTGCTGAGGAGCGTGGCGTGGCCGATTTCTTGGTCCGCCATGTGCTGCATGAGGAAGCGGTCCTCGGCTGTGACGCCCGCGGCGTCGAACTCGTCGTTTGAGAAGCGCGTGAGGCCCCAGTGGAAGAGGTCTAATTCGATGAACTCTTGGTACAGGCCGAGCGCGAGGGATTGGTAGTCGAAGTCGCTCTGTACGCGGTACACGGGTGCGGAACCGTTGGTGCCGATTCCGCCGCTGGGGGTGAAGGGGGCGGGTTGGTTGCCGTGGAGCGCCCCGTCGGCCGGGTACTCGTAGGCGTCTGGGGCTGGGGGTAGGGCCGGGACGCTCGAGTTCAGGACGCTGGTGGAGATGGCGCCCGTGGTGGTGGGGGAGGGGCCGTCGTAGGGCCCGTGGGATGTGACGTTGTGGTGCTCGACCACGGGGGATCAGGTCGTCGCCGGGGATCTCGGTGACCTCGGGGGCTTGGGCGGGGGCGGGAGCGGCGTGCGCGCGCGTGGCTGCGATGGCTACGGCGGCCAATGCGCTCGGGATGGAGTTGAGGTGCATGTCCACTACGGGGTTGCGTGCAATCAGACTACGCTACGGGTTCTGTTAAGACGATGGCTTTAGTGAGGCTCTCGACATTTGGTGCGAAGAGCTGGCGGAAAGAGGGGGAGAGGATAGGGTTTTTATATCGAGGCATATTCAGGAGCGGGGAGAGGAGGATGTCAACCTATTCTTTCTTGTTTTTCTTTTTTCCCCGCGCCATATGATGGTGGGAGAGCTCCAAAGTAAAGTTTCAGTCGCGCGGGTCAACCAACCCACGGACTGGGATCCGGAAGAGGGGATGGTGCGGCGGGCCAGAAGCGGGCAAGCAAGATGGACAGAAACAACAAGATGAAAACCCTAAATTCAAGTGCAGGTGTGCCGGGACACAACCACACCACTCGGCGGGGCATGTCCTCCGCGCCGCCCTCCGGAATGTAATCCTGCCGTCATGCTCCGTCACGGCTTGTCAGGAACCCCCGCCCGATCGCAGAGGTCCTCGCCTCGTCACCCACCCATCATACCTCCCTCCTACTATGCCGGAGGATCTTGAGCGAGTGTATTTAACGTCGTTCGTGTTTCCTTAAGCTACTCGCGGCCTGCCCTTGCGCATGATATCAAGCGAGGAACGTATTTTCCGGACATTGAATCATCTGTATGCCCGTTGGCCGGTTCAGTCCCTGCCAAACCTGTGAGAATATGTGACGGGAGACAGCCGGCTGCCGTGTGAACCTGTAGTCCGGGCGATCTCTTCGACGAGCGGGGGCGGGTGTGGGGCATGGGCCGGCTGCCGTGAGTGACGTACTCCTTCGGACATGAGTGGGGCCAGAGTGGCTTCCGCACCTAAAATCAACCGGGAGAGGGAACTGAAAGACGGAAGCAAGTTGCACGAAACCGGTGAACGGTGCAGGTTTCGATCCTCTACCCAAGAGACGATAGCCATGTTCTGCAGCCACTAGCCAAGGCGCTCTTGCACCATTGAAGCCTTTATCATCAAATCTGGTCGATCAGGATTTTACAGACCGTCGCCACAACGCGATCTAGGAGAAGGCCAATGCCGTAGGGGTCGGGGGATCGTATTGGTCTTGTCGCCCTCTCTGTGGAAGACATCACGCTTCAAGGTAAATAGCCGCACAATGCAGGTACCTGCCAGCGTCACCTTAATATGGCAGATGCGCACCGTTGGATTGACAGGGGGTTTCAGGCACGTTGCTCTACGCATGACCCGATATCCATTACATACGGCGCAAGGAACCAATGTCTGTTAAACAAAGGCTAGCTAGTCAATAGATGCAGCATCGATATCAATGTCAATTGGCTCGAGCGGATAGCTTCATCGATTAAGCAAGGTCACAAACTAATCTAAATCTCAGTAGCCAACCTCAGAGCGTAGACTACCTTCAATTCCTTTTGTCAGCTCTCCTTACCTCGCTCTTTCGTTGACATTTCTCCCAAGAGGCACCTTGACCACAAACCTCCCCGCGACAGATTCTGTGCGAGCCGAGACCTACATCATCCGATCAGGTTACTTGTTCGCCACCCTTCCCTCCTCGCTACGAATGTGAGCCACATCGAGTTTATTGATAGGTACCCGAGAGCCTACTACTGTCCTACTAGATAAGCCTACTCACAGCTACAAAACAACTCCGGGCGCGAATGCCGTCACTGTGACCCCAGCTCGATCGCCGCGGGATGGCAGCCAGATAGTCGACGCAACCAATGGAAGTGGTCTTGATAACGCACACATAAATGCACTTCCACCTTGATATTGTAGATGGTAATAGCAACACAGCCATTGGCTAGCCATCAATTTTAACCTTTGCTTGACTTGTGTTAGAGGGGACCTCTTGGGGTTGGGTATATAGTCTCGCCACGATAACCACCCTGCCGACGACTACAAGCTAGTTCCTGGATCTCTCCACCTCTCGCCAGAGTTTCTTTCCCGATCGAACCTCAAGAATAGGCCACTCTTCCCTACACCAGTGAGAAAACAATGGCAACAATCCTAAGACGAGCAAACACACGCTTGCTTGTTGGTCAGTACCGCTTCTTCGCCGCCTCGGCCGTGCACACCGCCCGGATCTCGGACGTGATCAAGCAGGACCACCGCGAGATCCAAGAGGCCTACGACAAGATTTTATCCGCCAAAGACCACGCCGAAAAGATACAATGGCGTAACCAGTTTACATGGGAGCTCGCCCGCCACTCGATTGGCGAAGAGCTGATGCTGTACCCGGCGTTTGAGAAGTATGTCCGCGACGGCAAATCCATGGCTGCGCGAGATCGCGAGGAGCACCTCATGGTAAGAATGCATACCAAGCTATTATCTCTTTCTTTTTCTGCGCGACTAGACTTGCTAATCGTCCCCGCTCGTCTCATTCTTCCAGATCAAAAAGGACCTCGCCGAGCTGCAGGACATGTCCCCGACAACCCCGAGTTCGGCGCCATCTTAGGCAGTCTGTGGGGCAACCTCCGCCAGCACATTCAAGAAGAGGAACACGAGGAGCTCGCGGCGCTCGAAAAGGCCCTAACGCCCGAGGAGTCGGATGCCATGGTGCGCAGCTTCCAGCGCACCAAGATGCTCACGCCGACGAGGAGCCATCCCCACGCGCCGGACAAGCCGCCGTTCGAGACGGTGGCGGGATTGATGGCGGCGCCGTTGGACAAGATCCGGGACCTGTTTCGGGATTTTCCCAAGGAGAAATCAGTTTGATGGATTGAGGGGGAAGGAGTCATGGTTTGTTTGTATACGCGCGGAACCCAGGGCAATGCTGGATGATATGATGAAAAAAGACGACGACGATGAAACGACGAGAACGTAATGGGCCTTTCTTCTGTCTGTATGTCTCTCTTATGATCAATTTTTCTACTTTTTCTATTTTTTTCGTTCTATTCTTCCTTCTAGTTTGAATTTCTCATAAATACTACGTTTAGTACCAAATGCCGCGTTTCATCTCGAAAATGGTTCGATTAAAACCTGCATCGCGGTCCCATTCGCGCTCCAAGCTGCGTCGTGCTAACGCTCAGCGCGAATCCTTCGTCCCTCCTCCTTTGTTTCCCCCGCGCCAAACCCACACAGCTGAAATGTGGAGAAACTCCCAGGACCAAACGACCCGCCCTATTTCGAGGCTATGTCGCATCCGCGCCTCAAAAGCCAAGACCGATCTATCCGCCTAATTTTCTTCGCGCTTGCCGATCCGATCCCGGGGTATATCCTCTCCAAGATCTACAAAAACCTCTCGCGATTCCACACCTTCGCGAGGGCAGCGAAAAAAAGGGACCGAACCGACATCTTCCCCACGTAACCCCGACCATGCTATAGCACCCATCACCATTTCTCACCCCTCTTCCACCCCCGTCAACACCCCCACCATGGCCACCGACACCGCCAACGAATTCACCACCGCCAACCTCATCGGCCTCTTCCTCACCCTCGCCCTCTGCCTCCTCACCCAACCCTGGGGCAGCCTCGTCTACCGCCCACCCCCGCGCACCGCCCCGCCCCTCGCCCACCTCGCCTTCTTCCTCTGGCGCCTGAACCCCGTCGCCGCCGTCGCCGAGGCCATCACCACCGTCGCCTGCCTCGGCGACGCGATCCTCCAGCTGTGTCATCGTCGCACGAGGGCGAACGCTTTCTCGTGGAGGCGACTGCGCCAGGAAATCGTCGAGGCTCTGCACGTGGCAGCCGTGGCACTCCTGCTGATGCGCGTCGACGACGGCCACGCCGCGACGCCCGATCACGAAGCGAACCTACCGGACCAGTCGCCGTCATCGCTGTCGCTGCCGTCGTCGTCGTCATCCCCGACCTCCGAAAACGGCGGGACACGCAGCAGCAGGATGTCGACGACGTCTTGGCCACGGACCAGCGTACACCGCAATCGCCCGACGACATCAGAAAGACGCTGGGCATGTCGGTGCTCGCGCGCAAGGAAAAATGGACAGACCTCATGGCCACCTTTTCCGCCTTTGTCGTGCTCCTCAAGCTCATCGTCATCCGCATGCCCTGGCCCATCCGCATCGCCGCCATTTTCCAGCTCGCCGGCTGGTCCTCTCTCCACCTGGTCATCACCCTCTTCCACCTACGGCCCCTCAGCGACGAAGCCGCCGACCACGACCACGACCACGACGACATCTCCGGCGACGCGGGCGGCAACATCACCCGGGCCGTCCGACGAAGCAAAGCCTTGCTCCGTGGCCTACCCACCTTAATCGCCGTGCACGTGGTCGCGGCGCCCTACATCGTCTACGTATCCTGGCGGGCCGCCTTCACCCTCATCACCCCACACCCCGAAGCCGACCAAGGCTACAGAATCTTCGGCATGGTCGGCAAGGCCGAGCGGAGTTCCCCCGCCCTCTCCATCCTCGACGGCTTCGTCCGCCTGCCGCAGTTCTTCGCCGTCGCCATGAGCTACGCCCCCATGACCATCATGCTCCTCCTGCCCGCCTTTGCCGTCTTCACCGGCTTCCTGGCCCTCCTCCGCAAGTCGGGCCGCGATTATCAGGGCATCTTCCTCCCCATGGCCTTTGGCACCCTTTTCCTCACCGCCGAGTTGGTCTTCGCCGTCTTGTACCTGGGGGCCGACTTTCTCGTCCACCTCCAGAGCTTTAGCCTCTTCCAGGTGTGCATCCTCTTCTACTACAGTAGCTTCTACCTGTGCTCGCAGTTTGCCAAGCAGCAGCCCCTGGACGAACCCGCCTCTGCCCTTTACGTCGTGGGCATTCTCGCTTGGATTTATGTCTTTGTCGACCTCGTAGAGTACTATTATGATCCCGCGGGCACCTATAAACCCGAGTGGTTGGAGTATTTCGGATAAGCGTCTCTGATGTGGCCAATCACACCATCATGGCTTATGACGTTTTTTTCTCTCATTAAATATAATGATTATTGAGCATGTTCTTTCCGACTACAATATTCCTTCGAGTTTGGTATTATATCCCACCGCGTTTTGTCCTACAAAAATTTCTTTCGGAAATCCCTTTACCACCCAAACGCCTCTTCAAAATACGCAATCGACACCCCATGCTCCTTCATCGCCCCCACAGTCCCCGCCCTCGCCGCATCCGCCATCACCGCCGGCCCGCACGCCAACACCGCCGCGCGCGACCCTCCTCAGCCGCAGTACGAGCAAGCTGGTCGACATAAGCCCGAATCTCCGGACGACCGTAGCGAACCGGCAACCTACTCGACCGCGCTTCTTCACCGTCGCCGCTGGCACTACCCGCGTTGGACTGTTCCAGGACGGCCGCGTCGCCAATCTCCTTCTCCCCAACACCTTCCCCGCCCCTGTGCACAGCGCTCGTATCCTCATCACCGACAGCGATACCCTTGCTCACAGCTGCGCCTTCGGAAGTAACGTAAAACGCCAGTTCAACGTCAGCGCGGGCCGCAGCAACAGCGAGCTCTCGCGACGCGACGGCGCGCACGTAGCTCTCCGTCCGGTTCGCCCACACGAGCGTGACGCGCCGCGTGCGACACTTGGCGCCCGAGGCGCGTCGCTGCGCGTGGTCGACAAGATACGGTAGACCCGCCGTGATGCCCGAGCCGCCCACGACGATGAGGACGTGATCGTACGCCCACAGCGGCTCCCGCTTGCCGTAAGGGCCCTCGACCAGGATGGTGGGCGTGGTCGTGTTGTGCTCCGCGGCGACGCATTTGTCGCGGAGCCTCTTTGTCCAGCCGTCTTGGGGGCGGACCATGAAGACCAACTTGGGGCCCTGGAGGCCCACTTCACCCTCGGCGGTGCTACCGGCCGACTTTTCTGGGGTTGTGGCATCGTCGGCAGAGGTCCAGGAGGCGAGGGTAAATGGGTGGCTTTCGTAAAACTGCAATCGGCCGGGCTGGTACAGGAAGTAGTGCTGGCCGGGGGCTGGTGAGGGATGGGTCCGGCTGATGGCGACTTCGATTCGAAGGATGTCGCCCTCGGGGTCGTAGCGAACTATTGTTTTGGGCTGCGCGATCGTCTTGCCCTTGTTCAGGGTAATGTGTAGGTTGCAGTACACGAGTCGGAAGATTCGTAGGGCGCGGTCGAATACTAGAAGCGCCACGAGGGACCAGATGTAGGGTTCGTACTTTTCGGGGTCGTTGTCCGATGACTGTGACGCAAGGAAGCGCGCGTTAGCTTATAATAGATAAACTACTTAGGAAAGCAAGATAGGGATCATGTCGTGCAGATGTTGGAGACACGCGACACGACGATGAGGAGAATAGCAGAGGCCAGGCTTACTAAAAGATTGCGGCGATGACGAGGCTCGAGAGTGCCAAGTGGACGATGAGGAACATCTCGTACCGCTTGCGACGGAACGCCGAGATGGATGAGAAAGCGAGGAGACACAACGCAACGACGGCCTATTCAACGCGCATTTCAGTTAAAAGATTCCTCCAAGTACACGATGGAACGACGAAGACGTACCACAATTCCGAACTGGAACCACCGCAGTTTTACTGTAAACCGATATACCGTGCCTGTCAAAATAGCCAGTCAGCCATCAATAGTGAAACACGGAGTCTGTTTGTGCAGATTCCTGCCGCTTTTTCTCCTTTTTCTTTTCGTTTTTCTAGTCCCTCGTACCTGTAGGATCGTTTCTCAGATAAGTCACGGTATACATGACACCGTGGAGGATGGCCTGGATGGTCGAAACGCGTGCGATATGTCGGTGGAATAAGTTAAAGGTGGAAAAGCTCCATCCCGTAGCCCATAAGAAAACGTTGTTGCGAATGCCAAAGGCCCAGACGAAAGGCAGGTTGGATATGCAGAGGGTACCCGTCCGGGTGGCCAAGTGCCTGTAAAGAGGCGGAGCCGACGCGATGGCACTGCAGGACGGGAACACAAGATAGTCATTAGTCGGGGGTACCGCCATGGTTTGAGCAGGTCCGGCAAACAAAACGCAAAAGCCGATAGTCCGATGAACGAAGCGAGGACGAAACTTACATAATGGGCTTGGCAAAGGGGCCATGCTTGACCGCGCAGAGGACGATGCTCAGGATCCAAAACGCCGCCACAACGAGGCCCTCGAGCCGCGTCGGGATAGTGCACCCCCAGACCTTTGCTTGTGCCTGTTGCGCAAGATGCCGGGCACGGAGACATGGGCCTGCCACCAGGCGCCCACTTTACCGACAGGGTGTTTGCCAGCTGCCTTTCGGGCTGACCCCGCGGAGCCATCACCACCTTCGATGTCCGAGGTGCCAGATCCGATGGTGAGGTGGTAGATATGTGTGAAGAGGTTGTTGGCGATGCCGATGAACAGTATGGAGCCCCAGAATCCGTAGGTAGCCCATCTATGACGAAGCAGGTTAGCCAGATCCGGGAACCCTTTTGTGGTTAGGTTGGCGAACGATACCCGAAATTTGCGTGGACCTTCATCAAAGGATCCACGACGGTTGGCTAGAAGAAGAAGGAAAATTGTCAATGCCGTGATTTCTCGGGACGATCGGGACATGTCGATTCAACGCCCAGAAACAACATCAACTTACAATAACGACAGCGCGGGGCGCAATCTCACCGAGACCCTCGAGGCCGGAATCACGACCGAGGAGCGTTTGCGCGCGAGCAATAGCGCTCAAGGCGATGAAGGCGAGGCATTGCACGCTCATTCTTCCTCCTCCCTTCTCAGGTATGCAGATGGAAAGAATCGATATCAGTCTACACTACCAACAGACCATTACCCTGAAGGGCCAACCCTCACGCGCCCGAGACAAAAGCCGAAGCCAACGAGGGGCGAAAGGAAAACCCGGGTCACCAAAAGATGGGACGGAAATCCAGGGACCTTGGAAACACGAGGGCGGATGCTTGACGCGAGGAAAGACGGGACGAGAGATGACGAAAGAAAAACTTTAAACAATGCGCATGGACGGGACGGAGGGATTCCCCTTTAAAGAGCAGCACCCTGCAGCGAAGAGGGTCGAGAAAGAAGGGGGAAAGAAAGGGAAGAAAAACACATGGTTTCTCTTTTCCGCTCCCCGGAAGTCTGGGCAGCTCGGTCATCACAGATCCAAGAACTCCCCACAGCCCAACTTTCGACGTTCCATCGCCATGGCCTCTCCCCACTCTGCCCTATCGCGTGAGGCCCAAGGCGGGACATCTTCCACCCCGATTCCCCGAACCTGCTTGTCGACTAAGCCAGGGAGCAGCCGCGGGATTCCCAAGTCTTGTTTTTTTCTTTTCCTCCCAGGTTGACCCAAGCTCTGGGTGTGGTTTTTTGCTCCTTCGTATTACCAATTGGACACAGCGCTCTGCTTTGCTCTTGTCGATGGCAGGTCTAACCGGGGACGATGGGTGATGAGCAGGGGTTTGACTGGCGACATGCCACCCACCAATGCACGCGAGTGGTTGTTAGCGGGCCTTGGCGTCCAGATCTAATCTAATCAATCTTGGCTCTGGGTGTCCACCCCACTCGCCAGCCGCTTTTTGTGCCAGAAGGAAAGGAGGGAAAAAGTCTTTTGCATTCCGAGGTGCTCGTCTCGATGCTGTCGAGGCTTTCACAATCCTCCTAGTAAAGAGGAATAGAAAGAAGGCAAGTTGCCAGCGAGTCCGCATGAGCGGCTTTCCTGTTGGCTAAGAGACCTAACAAATCTTCTTCAGAGCGGGACGAGTCAATACGAGGCCGGTCCCGCCATCGGGGGAGCCATCAAGGCAGACGGCAGTGCAGGCCAGCCCTGGCGTAAAAGTCACCTTCCTAGTGCTCTCTTCCCCGTCACATCGTCTATTCCTTCCCTCCCTCCACCAGCGTCACTTCGTCTCGCAGACCAACCTCGACCCTCCAATTAGTCAATGTTCAATTCCCTCGGCGTTCCAGTCACGGTTAAACCTGCCCTCGTCACCTTTTGCCCTGATCTGAGTAATCGCTCAGTCAACTCACGCCTTCTTCGAAGAATCAGAACAGAGGGTCAAGCGCCTACCCCCACCACGCCCCAAGCCATCCTCCTCCTGCCTGCCTGCTACTACCCACCCGACGCCGCCACGATGCGTACCAAAATATTTACGTGCTAGCGCGAAAGAAATCCCGCCCGAGACCTCTAGTGTGACGAGATGAAAAATTTGTCAAGCAAGCAGTCGGTCGGGGCGAGCCGAGGCAGGGTCCCAGGAACGCGGTCGGGGAGTCCAAAAGGATATTTCTTCTTTATTTTCTTCCTCTTTCGGTTCCTACCGAAAATGAATTCTCGCCATGCACGGTACATTCTCCTCTAGTTTTATGTTTTTCTTTCAGAGACGGTTTATTCTAAAAGCTGCATATCTACTTGGAGTAAACGGGACTGGATATCCTGACTTCGTTTGTTGAAGTTAAGCCTGTTAGACTAGCCCTTCTAGTGAAAGTGTGCCGGGAAACCCCTCATCCATATACTAGTTCCGGGTTTCGCGATGTTGACGAGTTCCATATCTTCCTACCCATTAGCCTAGGTTTGCGCCATCATTCGCAACAGCTCGATACCACTGAGTCCCCTGACATGACATTCGTGGAGCAAGATAAACCAAGAAGCCGTTAAGAAGCCAAGTCTGTCGCAAAACCTCTCAGCCAACTCGACAAGATAGCTAATAGCCTTGGGAATGACTCACTAAAGCACGCACAACCGTGAAAGCAGTGTACATATATCCATTCAAGGCCCTTCAACTCAGAGCCTCCCACTGCATGGCAACATATACGTAAGGGGCCGCATCATCTCAACATGCGCCATGCTCGCGCGTCTTAAACGCGTCCTCCTACGTCTCTTTAGAGCGAGAGCCAATTCAAAAGAGCCGGCATAGCATCATTCATTTTCAGAATACAGGTTCCTTTGTGGAGGGACAATGCGCGTCCCTCTCTATCCTGTCCTTCCATCACATCACTCAATTCTAAGTATCCTCAGGTAGATTGATTTCCATCAACTTGGTCATCGAATAACCTCGTTCCATCATGATGTGCTGAGAATAGTAGAGATAGCCGGTAAAACTACGAAGTTACGTTGGCAACTTGCAGGACATGATGGAGCTCCGCTTCCATGGCCGTGAATCCAGCCATGGAGTTGTCACAACATAGACGGGGTTTCTTCACGGCTAACTCGAGGTGCTCAACGGTTCATGGTTAAGAAAACATGTCCAAGTTGTCACACGCTAGAGAAACCAATATACGAGGCATTAACCCTCGCCATGAGGTCTTTTTGGTTCTCGAAAGGATCACATATCACTCTCTCAGAGCGCAATCAGCCTCAAAATGCACGGAGATATCGGCATATCGGCGATGATGAAACAAGCGCAGACTATACCATGCAGAGCCATCGAACCCCAATTCGAATGCACTCGCGGCTGTGAAAAAATTAGGAGGGCATCATGCGCACATTCTCTCGAGACGCGGAACGGCACCAATCTTTTACCAAAAGCGGAAGAGCGTGGCCCGTCTCGGTCGCTGCCGCCCATTGCTATCGCAGCTCCAGTCGCTATCACCAGCAAAACATGGACCCTGCTTCGTATCGTGATATCGGCCGACCCGCGATGCGACATCGTCAACGCTCCGAGGCATGGCGCGCTCTCCCAAGGGAAACGAAAAAGCGATGATGCCACGCCGGCAATCTCCGCACACTCTGCCAGATGGTGGCTGCCCAATCCTGGGCCGGCATCCATTTTCTCCCTCGTCCCTCGTCCCTCGACTTGTTCCGGTCCAGATCGGATTAGCCAACCGCGACGTCAATATTCTTCCAAACCTCTCTCCAGCCGGCACTTGCACTCTATTTCTCCCGGCTGTACAAATCAGGCGCGTCCAGTGGCCACCATCTCTGATATTGATGCCCTGTTCTTCCCCAAAAAACCCCTCTCCCCCTCTTTCCCTCAATCCCTCCCTCTCCTCCTCCCGCGTACCTTGTTCACGTTCCTCCTTCCCCTCTCTCTGTCTCTTCCTGTTTTTCTCCTCGAATCAAATTTCCAGCAATGACACGGCGGGGAAAACGGCCATCGCGAAACCAAGCCCGGGGGAGGGCCCAATCAAATCCCGCGACTTATATCATGGCCGAAACGGGAAACACCCGCGTCGCCGCCCACTTTGAAGAATCCCGGGCCCCCGACTTAGCCTGAAATCCGTAATAGCGGGACTTGCAAAAACGCCTACACACGTTTTTTCTTTCCCTCCAGCCTAGTTAGTCTAGTCTATACAGCCCAGTTCCCCTCTTCGTATCTTAACTCGTTCCTGATCCTATAGCTGGCCCACGTTATGACCATCTCCATCCTCTGACCTCGCCCCCAATTGTCTGTGGGCGGAGGAAACGAGCCAGTCAGCTCTGCATCCGGTTTCCCCACACACCCGGACGGGGGTCCTCCATCCGCCTTTTTACCCACGGTCGAGCAACTGCCTTGACCCAATCTCGACAGAGCAAGGAAAAATAAGAAGCCCAAAAGATTGATCTGTAGCAGCAAGAGGCAAACCCCCGGCCGTCCCTGACAGATTGACCTCTCACCTTGCGTAGAGAAGAAAAGGAGGGGGAGGGGTGGGTAGTAAAATACTCTCCCAGACGGCCAAATTCACCCAATAGAGAACGAGACCGGCGATTAAAGGAACCAAACTTCCTCCCCGGGTCTCCCTTGACGTTTGCTTTCCCCGCACGTCTGGCGCCCCCTTTCGGCGCCGTCCCAAGGAGTGCATCTTGATTGAAAAAAGCCAGTTGAGGCTATGTGCCGGTATAGAGAATCATTAAAGGCCCCGGCATGAGGAGGAATCGGCGGTTCGACTTAAAAGGGAGCGGACGGCAAAGAAAGAGGACCCACGAAAGCCCCCCTTTTTGACCCAAGAGGTCCTCTCAGTTCTTTTTCTTCCTTTATTCCTTCCCGAAGCCTCGCCGCGCCCGCTGTCCCTTCCTGCTCCACTCTATTGCAGTTGTCGTTCTTCTCCTGCTTTACCCAGGTTTCCCGACGCCAATCTCCAATCTGTTCTGAAAGAGAGCAGAGAAATTGAAGAGAAAAGAATTCTCCGAGACAGAGCAACGAAATTCGCCGCGTTTCTCCACTTACACCCTAGGCCTCTCTGAATTCGCAGCCGCCCGTCATGGTTTCTCGCAAGCTTCAATTCCTCGTCTGGGCCACCGCTTTCGGCGGCGTTTTTGCCCAGGACTTTGAGCCCGGTGAGGATGGCAAGTTCACCATCTCTAGCGACGGACTGGTCGCCAAGGTAAGAGCTACAGCCAAACAAACATGGAAGAAAACTTGGAAAGAACGGCACAAGGGGAAACGGAGCATGGAGAATGCAATCCGCTTCGAAATCGGTGCAAAGTGCTTGCAGAAACTGACGTTGCAATGGCATAGTTCATCCCTTACGGCGCTAGCATGACGAATCTCTTCGTCAAGGACAAGCACGGCGAGGATGTCGACGTCGTGCTCGGCTACGACGATCTCGAGCGATACGGTACGTAAAAGAATCCATCAAATGGTCAAAACCCAGAAGCAAAAGATGAAGATCGAAAAAAGAAGAATTGGCCCAGAAGAATGGCGTCTCCCGTGCCCTTCTGCTGCCTTCTCATGCATCTATGGATCTTCACACTTGGCGCCAAGTCACTCTCCCGACACGAAACAAGCACCAAAGCCAAGCTCACCCTGGGCCCACTTCCCCAACCCGCACTCTTCCCAATCCCTCAACTGCCAAGTCCACGAGTTTCGGAGATTTCTTTCTTGGTTCTTGAAATTTCTTTTTCTGTTCGCGCCCAGACTAACACGCTTGCGTTCGCTTCCCTGCCGCAGCCGAGGATCCCGGCCATCCCGTGTACAACGCCATTCCCGGCCGCTACGCCAACCGCATCGGCAACGGCAAGTTCGATCTCGACGGCGAGACCTACATAACGGAGCAAAACGACGGCAACAACACCCTCCACAGCGGCACCAACAACTGGTCCTTCCGCGACTGGACCGTCGTCGACCTCTCCGACGACACCATCACCTTCTCCATCTACGATGAGGAGGGCGAGTCCGAGGGCTTCCCTGGCGATGTCTACGCCAACGTCACCTACAGCGTCGCCGGCAGCACCTGGAAGATCTCCATGGAGGCTACCGCGCCCACCAAGGATACCCGTACGTACCTGTTCTTCATCCCCCAAGTTAGAAAAAGAAAAGAGAAAAGAAAAGAAAAAAGCGCCTTTTCTGTGACGTGGTGCTGCAGAAATTCTTTAAACAAATCGAAAACCCACTAACATTCGCATTCCACCCACGCAGCTCTCCTGCTCACCCAGCACACCTACTTCAACCTCGACGCCTACAAGAACCCCGAGACCGACCTCATCTGGGACCACATCCTGCACATGCCCTACTCGGCCCGCTACCTCGAGGCCGACCAGGGCGCCCTCCCCACCGGCAAGATCCTGACCGCCAAGCCCGGCTCCATCAACGACTTCGCCAGCGCCCCTCCCTCCCCTTTGGCCACCACAAGGACGACCCCGACTTCAAGGGCAACTGCGGTGCCGACGGCGTCTGCGAGGGCTACAACGGCTTCTGGCTCATCGAGGACGCTCCCGAGGACGCCGTCGTCGTCACCCTCGCCAGCGCCTTCTCCGGCATCAAGGCCGATCTCAAGACCGACCAACCCGGCGTGGTCATCTACTCTTGCTCGTGGATGGGCGGCGACCAGGAGCTCAAGAACAGCACCCAGGGCATCGACGACCGCACGCACGTCCAGAAGAGCTCGTGCGTTGCTATCGAGGCCCAGGATTACCCTGATGGTATTAACCAGTAAGTTGGAATCCCTGGTTTCTTTTTTTCTTTCTGCTTCCCGTTTTTTTCGACAGTACGCTGACAACGACCACCTTTGTAGCCCTGAGTGGGACAGGCTCGATGCCCAGATCACTGGACCCGATGAGGTGTACACGTGGGAGAGCTCCTGGACTTTCGGTCTCCTCGAGGAGGCTGCGGGCGAGGAGGAGGAGCCTGATGCGTGCGAGGAGGAGGAGGAAGAGGCTCCCGTAGAGGAGGCCCCCGAGGAGGAAGCTCCCGAGGAGGAGGCTCCCGAGGAGGAGGCGCCTGAGGAGGAAGCCCCCGAAGAGGAAGCCCCTGAAGAGGAGGCCCCTGAAGAGGAAGCTCCCGAAGAAGAGGCTCCTGAGGAGGAGGCTCCCGAGGAGGAGGAGGCCCCCGAGGAGGACCCTTGAAAGCCTTTGACCTAAATTACCGGAGGTGAAGGAGCGCCAAAACCCCTTTCTTCCTTTCTTATGTCTATGTTTATCGCGTGAAATATTTTTCTGGCCCTAGTGCTTACTTATTACTCTACTTTTACGAATACATTTGGTCGTTGTCAAGGTACTGTGCACCACCCATCTCTTGCTCCCGTGACTTCGTTTCCGCCTCCACGGCCTCCGCCCGGATTCAGAGGCGGTGATGAGCGATAGAGCATCCGCGATGATGCTCTGATTGGAGAGAACCACAAGTTATAGTTGGACCGTTCTCGCCACTAGCACGTGCTAGCTCGAAAAATAGGTCCGCCCTAAGTGTCAAGCAAACGAGAAACCTAATCCTGCTCGGACAAAAGAAACCGGAAACCAAGAGAACAAGGCCATGGTGGAAATGAGTTGCTGCGGCTTTAGTATACTCGCCATAACGAATGTCAAGGTCTAAAGCTCAAGCAGAGAAACCTGTTCTTAGTTCTGAAGTCTTGGGGGTGCACAGACAGGATCCGCCTTGATGGCTTTCGACACTTGTACGATAGGTCCCTCACCCCTGTCTGATGAATAAGACGTATGCAGCACCTTGGAAGAGTAGCACAAGAAGAGGGGTGGTTTTCGTGGCAGTGTTGGACAAATTACTTGACTACTTCTCATTCTCTTTATCAGTATTAGTTCAGCCGGCAGGCCATATTATCGGAGATCAGGCATTAAGACCTCATATATGCCCCCTCCCTTCTCCACGATTGGGCAGCCAGCTGGCCGTGCAAAACGCCTTCCATTCATTGACATTGGTGCCCGCCAAACGAAAAGCCAAGGGGCCGAAAAGGAAAGAAGAAACGAAAAGAAATTGAAAATCGGAATCCCAGCATCATGGCCTGCTCCTTTTCTGGAACTTGTGGTATCTCTTTCCGCCTTTCCCACTCTTTTTAGTCCATTCATAAGGTCATTCTTCACCTAAACCAACCCTAATTAGTGCAGCATCCGCTCACGGCCCTCTTCGCCCCAAAAGCGCGCTCTATACTCGCCCTACCAATCGATCTGAAGAGCATAGAGCTCGCCAACGGCCGTCCCAGCGTAGATGATGTCAAACTCGGCCTTCCTGCGGCCAAACGCCAGCGACGTGGCAGACGTAATGTTCCACATGGGCGTGACGGTCCCGTCCTGCGTGACCTTGACGATGCCGTCGCCAATCTGGCCCACGTACGAAGTGCCATTGCCGTCAATGATGAAATCGAGCGGGCTCGTGAGGTTGGTCACGATGTTGACCTCGCCAACCTCGGCGGTGACGGCGTTGAGGAAAAAGTGGCCAAAGGCGTTGCCAAACGTATTTGTAAAGTAGAGCTCCTCGCCAAAATTGCGAATGGAGTGGATGGCCTCGGGGATCTGCGCGTCGGCCGCGGGCTTGAGCAGGTCGTCCTCGATAATGACCTCGTACGCGCCCGTCTCGGCGTCGAACTTGTACACCTTGCCCTCGGCCGCGTCCGCCACGAGCATGCTATTGGTGCCGTACGTCGCCGTGCCGAGGAGGAAGCCCGCCTCGGGCACGTCGGCGAGGAGCTCCGTCACGGGCTCCTCGCCCGTCAAGTCGACGGTCCACACGGACCACGACCCCGCCTCGACGGTGAAGTCGGTGGTGTTGAAGTTGCCCGCCGCGAAGCCGAACACGTCGTGCCGTATCTCGGTCACGCCGGTGAGGCCCAGCGCCCCGGAACGGAGGCGATCTTTTCGGCTTTGCGCGTCAGCGGGTCCATCATCCACAGCTCGGGCACGTCGAGGCGCGTCACCACGAGGAGGCCGTTTTCCCGCACCGAGATGCTCTCGAACCACGCGCCGTCTATCGTCATGACGGGTATGGGAGGGTGTCGCGGCGGACGCAGGCGGCGGACGAGAGGCCGGCGCTGGCGAGGGCGACGAGGAGGCTGGAAAGATGCATCTTTTCTTTTTGTGTGTGGGGATTCTCCTTGGGTGCCTCTGTGTTATTGAACCGACTTGAGGGGTGAATTTCTCCGTTTTGCTTATCTTGCGAATGGCTCTCTCTTCAAAGGTCGGTGCGAAAAAGAGGGAGAGGGAAGATCGACAGCTCAATCGAGGATCTGCAGCCGTTATCAATAGGAACCAGACTTGGTCCAGACGAATGGCTAGACCAAGGAGAGCTACAGCTTCAGATTGAAAAGCTTATAGCGCCGGGCAGTATTGCTCTCCCGCCTGCAGGGTATGCCTTGTTCTGTTTCCCCGCTCCCATCTATTACGTCTGACATCAATATCCGCGCCGCTCAAATCGCACACCCAGCAAACGCGCGCGCGCACAGCATCGCGGGCTATCTCGTCATCTAAAGCAGATCCCGGGGCGCCATCCCCTCCCCGCTCCGTTCTCGAGCCCAGACGTCATTGGCTGAGCCAAGGATCGGAGAGCAAGAACCGGTTGGGCCTGCTGGGCAAAAAGAAGGACGCGGCGGGCAAGGTTCCATTTACCCGCATGGTTCGCGGCTGATGCTGCGCCAAACTACAAAAGACCGGATTGCCGAATCAGACGTGCGTTTGAAAGTCTAAATAGCGTTATAGGGTCATCTCTCCCGCTGAGGGGCCGATCTTGCCTTTGGAAAGTTGTTAAGAGGGCAATCTGGTTGATTGCGGTTTTCACAAGGATCCAGGGCCATCGGCCGGCGATGGGGCGACAAAACTCACACTTTGATAAACAAGCAGATAGAAAACGCGTATCGAATGAATTAACTCCCACGTCAAAAGGCAAGTTTCATGTTTTTTTTCCCCTCCAAATTACTCAAAGGAAACAAACCCATTTAAGCTATTCACCGCTTGTCCGGCCCTTACCCCCATTCGAGGCCCTTTATGAGTTGCTTTTTAGCTCCCGCTCGGTACATCCACTGATCACATAATGTTTCAAACAGACACAGGGTGCTATCGCGCAGCCACTGGCCGGGTCGGAACTGATTTCACCGAGGGTGCTAAGCAGATGTCTGGTCCCAGTGCTCGGCTATGCTAGCCTCTTGCGAACCATTCTTAGGCGCACCGGCAGCAGCCCAGTCGAACCCAATGGCGACAACGCAGGCTACGGGGTAACGAGAGAGAAGAAATGCTCTTGCCCTTCATGCCCTACGTTGTAGGCTACATCTTGGGAAAGGTGCGTGTGTAACGTACACGTACTGCCGCGAATAGCTCCTTCGGCAAGACATCCGAAATAACGAGGGCCAACCAACAGAGCACAGAAGCATCTTGCCGCCGCCCTCCTTCAAGGATGCGCTCAAAGCTACGGCCGGTGACGCCGAGCCTCCCTGCAGTCGAGCCTTCGCAACACGTACGGACAAGATCACAAGGCCCGTATGCATATTCATGTCTCAGAATCGAAGAAATCACGCTCTGCGTAGATGCTCAAAACTACATAATACTGTACATGCTTAACCCCCGTCTGCGCTTTTCTCAGTTCCTTCGCAAAGGTTTCCCTCCTAGGTAATTACAGGCGTTAGTCAAAGAAAGGTGCTCCTCCTCCATATCCCCGTCGCCCCAATCTACAGTATTGCTGCCCACTGAGCGAGCGGAGATGGACTCGGCCGTCGGAGTAATTCCGGCCCCGCAGCGGAACAGTCGGGCGCTCGCCGGATCATCTGTCCCTGCCAGCCAACAATCTACCATGCGCACGGCCTCGACTTGGAGAAGCGCCGTCCTATAGTCGTCGAATCGTCTAGTGGTTGCCCCGTTTCCACCATCTTCGAGGACCTCCTTTTTCTTGCGAGTTAGTGTCATTCCAGCCCCGTGGGCATGTATGTGCTTGCAATCCGCCTGTGGGAAACAGGAAACTTGGAAATAGGCACCATAGAAACTCACAGTATGAGGGGTCGGCAGGCCGCATCCCGCTTCCCCGGTCATTGAAGAACGGTTATTCGCGGCAATAGTGCGTACGGTCCCTGCATCGTTCGTAGAAATATGACTCGTCTCAAAGATTGCAGTCGCCCCGACAGCCACGTCCAAAGAGGTGCTGGTTTCCTGGTGATGGATTGCCGCCATGTTGGAATGGGAATATCACAGCCGTTTGAAGCAGATTCGAAACTATAAACTTGGGAAGATTGAATAAGATTGAAAAGGTCCTTCCAAGACGAAGACCAAACTCTAAAGACCAACTAAACACCGTCGTGGCAGATCCTTTAATATATGCCACTTCACGAGCCAAAGCAAACGAAGTGCCACCTCGCGGGCTTCGCCTCACAAATGATCAATTGCACCATTTTTTCGCCTGGTCCACGTTTCCATCGTGAGATATAAGCCCGATGCCCTGCCAACAGATGAATACGTGTGGGCCAATCGAAGACTCCAATATTCCACGATGCCTTCATGTTGGGTGTTTAACGCAGACACCTAGACCCGCCCTAGCATCACAAGATTTCACCCTCAAACCCTGCGCACCCAACGGGTTTCACCCTGAGGCGCCAAGACCTGAATTTCTCGGCTCCCCCAGTCGACATGCAGGCAGTTTCGACTTCATCTTCATCTGGTCTCCATGGCATTGCCAGAAGGGGGCTAAGGTAGCGATGGTGGAAAGTCTGCCTTAAAGGACTAGACTTTTCTCCCCGCGTAGTGGGCAGCCTGGTGGAGACCCGTCCAAATATAGACTGAATACAATGGATCCCTTTGTGCGTTGAAGAGGCGGAGAGTGAGTGGGCTCATTTCTTTCATTTTTTCTTGTTTCTGCTCACGAGGGGGTGGGGGAGGTTTGGGAAGAAACCTCACTTTTTTGCTAGAGGGGAATTCAAAAGAACTATTGGCCATCCGGCGGAACTTCGAAAACCACTTGATTCTGCCCCAGGTCGAGGCCGGTGCGTCTCGGGCCGTCATCGAGGGAGTGTGGAGAAAGAATATCACCTGGCTGTGTCTTTGGGGCGGATTGCCCTTGTTAGAATAAGGAAAGTTTTGATGCAACGAGACCAGAAAGTTCCCTTTAGGCGTATGCCTTTGCATTGATGGTGTACAATATGTATTGACACCTCATGCTAGCCAAGGACCCTGCCCGTTGCAGGCTCGAGCTTACGTGTGAGCAAGTCCAGTCCCCGTGGGAGGCATGATCTGCCCCTGAACGTAGCTTCAACGCACACTACTTCAGAGGTTGCTCCTAAAGGACTCGCCTCTCCCGCACGGAGAGCCTCAACTGTTACTATCATAGATGTAGGGCGCCAGCTGGGCGGCAGGCGCCGCACCAGGCGTGCGGTTACCCCTCTCCTTCAGGTTCTCTGTCCCCACGCCCCGTGAAGAACTTTTCCCCCAAGCCCGCTCGAAGCGCCGAGTATAGGGCAGAAGCAAGGGAAGTAGGGGTCCATGGGGAAATCAAAGAAGACACGATGCCACACCTAGTCTCTCGTTCGATTCTCGGGCAAGCCAGGTACGAACGGACCAAGGCCAGCGCTCGAGAATGCCACCCGCGCCAGATGGAAACCTCGGGCAGCGACGAGCTTGCGAAGCCTCTGTACAAAGCTCCACCACGGAGGCTTGGGCATCTCGCTAGCCTGTGTGGGGAGAAAAGGCAAATCTCGAGACGTCCCGTGGGATGGGGGCGACCCAGGGCTAGTTCGCGGATGCGGCCAGACTAAAAGTTGAGAGTAGTCCGCGAACCATCTACTACGTTGCCCCGCTACGACACATCGGTTCCCTTTTCCAGGCCTTTGACTTTGTACCTGGCCGAACCAGACCGTACCAGTCGGGGAGCCAAATGGGAAGCCGGAGACATTATGGGGAACACCGTGGGCGATGCGTGTCAGTACATGTTATCGAGTGCCTGTGTGTAGGGCTAAACCACACTAACCCTCCAAAAAGGAAAAAAGAAACGAAAAAGAAAAGAAAAAGGAACCTAGTATCCCATTTCTAAAGGAGGCAAGTGTATCCCGCCGCCCAGATCAAAAGAATAAAGTGTCACAGGCTGTGATGAGTGTGTTAGACAAAAAAGGACAGGGGAACGCTTCCTGTACATTAGAGTTCTTTAGAGGCTTATATCCGGTCAACGCACCCCAGTGTAATAGCGAACTTGATTGATTCTTCTATCTTGCACTGTACATGACGTAAGCCTAGCCTGGTGCTCCACCCCCACACAAGGTAGGTCACAACATCAATTATGATGTATTATGGCAACTGTTCTTTTTGACCCTGGGGGTCTGCAGTGCTGCAGTGTTGACCGGTGAGTGCTGGCTCGCCAGTATCTTTTGTGTGCGTTCTGGGTTTCGAACGGATGCTCTGTGTAACTACAAAGGTCGCCACCACTGGAAGTCATGCCGCGGGCTACGCCTGTATGTCCAACATGGCGACGGTGCCAGGCAGCTGAACAGCAGCCAGAAGGCAGCCTGTAAGACATGGCTGCAAGATCCATCCAAGAAAGAGAAGGCTCTGAAACAGTGGAAGTCAGAATCAGAAGGTTCCAATGTGGTGGAAATGTCCAAAGATTCCAGCGATTCCAACGTACGGATCGCAAACACATTAGTTGGACATCGGATCCAGGATCCGATCCGACATCCATCGATACAGCCGCAGCTGTACAGCGCAGCGATCGACACCGATATATCACTTCGCGAAAGTATCCTCTACGACACATGTGCGACGATCCACGTATTCAACAAGAAATCATGGTTCGTTTCCATGGAAGCAGTGGACCGGAACATGACAGTTCTAGTAGGTGACACTACTATAGATACCAAGATGAAAGGCACTGTCGAAATAGACCTCCTTGGACCTGCTGGCAGGCAGCTAGTACGGATCCACAACGTCTACTACAGTCCTGGATTCCACACCAATATCGTTTCCGGCCAGCAATGGTTGTAGAAGGTGTCCACATCGACGAATCTTCTGATACCCTTCGTTGGGCCAATAAGAAGATATTTCTACGGTTCGACAGACATGAAGGAATGATAGCCCTACATAAGGGTCATTACAAGGGTCATTCCAAGGGCCATTCTAAGAAGGCATCTAAAGATATCGATGTCAGCAGCGATGCCAGCAGCTACGGATATGTGATATCCACCAAACATACCAGCTACACCACGACGGACATCCAACGATGGCACGAACGTCTTGGACATCCAGGGACGGAAGTCCTGGAACATGCCATGGAACGGAACCTTGGTGTCAGGATCAAAGGTGTCAAAACCACAGACTGCCAGACATACAGCCTGTCGAAGGCGCAGCGGATCATATCCCGCCAGCCGCAGCAGATCCGAGTCACTGGTCCAATATCACATATATCCTTCGATATTTTTACCTACAATGAGGGATATAATGGCGACAGATATCTGTTCCTGCTGACATGTAGGAACTATGGCACCCTTATTGGGCTGACGTCGCCCACACGACATGCGAGCCAGATCGTCGATTTCGTCATGAATACAATGCAATGGCTACGCCGCCAATAGAATGCCCACATTAAGGTCATTCAATCCGATAATGAAGGCGCACTTACTAGACGCCAGATGACCCAACTACTACAAGATAAAGGGATAGAACTTATCACATCTAGCCCTGACACACCTGCCCACAATAGCAAGGCTGAAAGAGCAGGAGGCGTCATCATGACCAAGGCGCGATCCATCCACATCGCAGCCGGCCTTCCAGAAGATCTATGGCCGCTGTCAGTACAGGCAGCCATCCATATCGCTAACCGGAATTCCAAGAAGTCACTGCAATGGCTGTCGCCATTGGAAGCCACCTTGGAATATCTACGGAAGTCCAATCCACCTATGTTTGCCCACATTCCAGAAGACACACGGCAGGGCCTTTCTTACCTACAGATCTATGGATGTGTGGCATATCCAGTAGTGAAGGAACGTCTACAAGGTATCGACCGACGACGTTTGAAAATAGCCGCGCGCGCCCACATTGGCTACCTTGTTGGTCACAAATCTTCCACGCAGTACCTCATGTGGGTGCCACAGCTAGGAAAGGTCATAGACACATCTAATGTGACGTTCGATGAGAAGAACACTTACAAAACTATGAAACCAACTGCTGAAAAGGAAGAAGTCGAAGAAACGGTGGAACAGTTACAGGTCCATCGAATCCGCGATGACAACGACGATGTGGATATCTTCGCTGATATCTTCAGCATTACAAACACTACAGATCCGACACTTCTGATGTCGGATCGGGGGTGGAAAGACTAAGGATACCGAAAAGACTATCCAAAGATCCCACTACCCGGCAGCAGGCGGAGCAACGCCTTCTATCCAAACATGACATGAAACACAAATTTACCACAGCACATGTCACTAACCGAAGACATCGCCGCGATCTGCCGCCGCCGCCAAGAAGCCACAGAGAAGCCATGAAGTGTCCTTATCACCATGAATGGAAACAGGCAGAACTGTCAGAGCTGTCTAAGCTGAAATAGTTGGGTACTTACATGGAAGTAAGGAAAGACACTGTCCCAAAGGCAGGTCAAATATTGGACGTCATTTGGGTGTATACCTACAAGTTCAACAAAGGTGGTTTCGTCACCGAATTCAAGGCACGGCTATGTGTCAGAGGTGACCAGCAGCAGGACCATGGGTAAGAGACCTACGCACGGCCACGATATGGTATGCTGGCGACTACTGAAAAGTCTATATGGACTGCGAACCGCGCCACTACTATGGTATCGACATCTACAGGACACCCTAGTGTCCATGGGCATGGGTTTGGAAGCATCCATGGAAGATCCATGCGTGTATAGTAACGGCAAAGTCACCATCGTCATCTTCGTAGATGACCTACTGATGCTGTCCAGACCGGAGGACACCCACTGCTGGCAGCAAATAGTCCAACGGCTACAAAAGAAGGTCAAGCTGACAGGTGGTGACCCAGCCCAATGGTTCTTGAAGATCTGGATCACCCGCGACCGGCAGCGACGGCTACTATGGCTATCGATGGCCGACTACATCGACAAGATGGCTACGAAATACGGCATCTCATTGGATACGAAACCGATGAAAATTCCAATGAAAACAAGGCCTATGAAAGCCAAGGAAGAAAGCCAAGTTCTTCCAAAGTCACTTATTACTAGATATCAGGGGAAAATAGGATCTATCCTGTATGTCTGCATCGTTCTGCGGCCTGACGCCCTCAAGGCATGTGTCGAACTCGCCCGCCATACCCTGTCACCCACACAGGACCACATGGACGCCGCAGACGATCTGATCCGATATCTATTGGAAACAAAGAACGTTGGAATCCAATATGGAACCAATGGTCTATCTAACGATGACGATCGTTCCGATGGCCGATCAGCCGACTTTGTCTGTTACAGCGATGCAGCGTTTGCTGACGATGTGGATGATAGAAAGTCCAGCCAAGGATACGTAATGAAGCTCTTTGGCGGACCTATCATGTGGAAGTCAGGACGACAGGACACTGTGACCACATCGTCTACGGAAGCAGAACATCTTGCAATCTCTGCAGCGGCAAAGGAACAGATCGGTACGGAACGACTATTCGACGACATCGGTCTATCGTTAGATGATGGTCTACAGATACTATGTGATAACCTGCAAACGATCAGGTTACTAACGCAGCACGGCTCCCGCCTACACACACGACTACGTCACGTCGACATCCATCGCCACTGGCTACGGCAAGAAGTGCAGCGTGGAAAGATATCCATCAGCTGGATACAGACAGTTAAGATGGCTGCCGACGGACTTACAAAGATCCTTCCATATCAGAAACATCAGCGTTTGATAGAACTAATGGGTCTTGTAAAAATCGGACATCTAGATGACTTAGATATCTACAGGTCTTCCGGAACGGCAGTTCAAGACGAATCATGTAAATATCCCAGAAATATCAGATATGAAAGTGGTAGGAATTACCCTGTAGAAACCGCATCCATCGGAAGGATTCAAGCAGCGAATACGAACATCAAGATCTGTTCAATAGATTGCTTTTAATTAGACAGTGAAAGAAGCCATCAAGGTGTGGCGCTCGGCAGCCACGATGACGGATCCAACTCGATGATCACGTGATAATGGAACGCCACTGTGTAGCGGCCGCCCAGGCTTCGACATTGTTCAGCGCTCCTCCAATCGGCAAAGGAAAATAGTTCTGCCGAAGCTATTTCACTGTGGCCTTTTTGGATTGCACAAGCTCCCAAAGCTCCCCCAAGGCAAAGCTCACACGTCACACCCCAACGTCGACGACCTCCACGACCTCCCCCCGCGCACACGCCATCCCTTGACAAGAATAGTCTTCTCGCCACACCTCCAACCCAAAGAATTTATAGAGAGAGAAGAGACTACGTCCATCTTCCCACGCGCCTTGGGGCCCCATCGCAGTCATGTTCTTCCTCGGCAGCTTTTTCTACGTCCTCGTCCTCCTCATCAACGCCATCGCCATCCTCTCCGAAGATCGTTTCCTCGCGCGCATCGGCTGGTCGTCCGGCTCCCACAGCAACTCCTTTGGCGGCGCTTCTGAATCCGAGGGCGTCCAAGCCAAGATCATACACCTCATCGCCAGCGTGCGAATGCTCATGAGGAGTACGCGTCCCCTCCCCCTTTTTTCTCCTTGCCCCCTTGCCAGCCTCCCATCGTCCCCGATAACCCTTCTCATACCCCTATTCAGTCAGAGTGGACTACCCAGCATGGTTTCTCTTATAACTTTGTCCCTGCTAACCGTGATCTCTACTCCCCAGTCCCCTTGATGATAGTGAATACCCTAATCATAACATACGAGCTCGTCCTCGGATGAAACCCCACGACCATCAAGAAACCGATTCCGGTCGACGGTTTTGCAAGCACTAGGCAACCACGAACGCTACGACGCAAAACCTACTTCGAAATAGACTCAGCTTGTGCAACCTCCCAAAGATGGCAAAGGCAAGGACCTCGGCGTTTGGAACATGGATTTTAGCTTGAGCGCATCGAAAGCGCCTGCAAGGGGGGATGTGCAAGCAGTTGCTCTTATGAACATCCAGGAAACGAGGAGAGAAATATGGCGGAACGATAGATCGAAAGTGGGAGGTCAAGTAGGACTTGGCTCTGGAATTACCAGTGTATATTGGGTTAATGATGGCATCTTTCCGGCATGCGCGTGTTAAGGAGATAGTTCTTTTGTGCTTATCTCGTTGTAATGATACCAAATTCTTCATAACACCACGTTTCTAGTCGTCTCTCTTGCGCCCATGCCATGCTCTGCTCGACTCTTCGCGCGGCACCGGCGCAACTGCTCGGGAATGGAGACTGGAATGGCGGCATATGTTCCTCACGTAGGCTTCGAGGCTTGCCCAAGTAAGTGAATAAGTGCGGAAATAAGGCTCGTCTGCGTGCAAACTGAGGAAGTCAGTCGTGTGCCCCTCGCAATTCGTCTAGTGTCTTCAACAAACAGGTCAAGCTAGATTAGGCACGGTGACCATTCATGCTATTCTAGATGAAGAAAGCATTTATTGAAATTAAACAAAGGGAAATTTCATCCTCTCTCCAAGTATCCTTTCGTGGCCAATCTCAATGCCTATTGCTTACGCCCAGGATTACAAGTGGTTGGAGTTGGTTGAACAAAGAGGCCAAAGCAGTTCCCACAATTTAACTCGACCCGCCAAACTATAGTGTTTTCCTGAACTCTTAGTGTAACCCTCCACGACCCCATTCCTACATTGTATAAACCTCATCGTTGAACCCCGTCTGGTGGTGATAACCAATTTGATTTGATTTCAACCCGTGATCACTCCTTGAATCTCTACCTTCACCAAGCTTAGCATTAACCTATCATCGAGGTCAATATTCTTCAGCAGCATCCATCGAACGTGTCACCCCAACATTAACCCAAAGACACTCGCCATAAACCCCAAAGGGCTATCACTTGCCACAGTCGGCGCGCCATTCACCAATTCATAACTTCATCGGTCCCATACCATCGAGCCACTCTCTAGTACCGATAACCGTTGATCATATGAACACAAAGGTTCCTCCAACTTCTATGACGCGCTTAACCATCCACCTCGTGCTGTGGTACTCACGAACCAGAGCACCGCTTCTACCTCTCTAGACGTAGCGCGTTGACAAGGTTAGGTAGGGTATGGGAACGATAGGAACAGTTGATCTTCTTTTGTCTCTGATATCCCAGAGTACGATATCAACGCCGTCCGGGAAATTACAGGGTATCACTTGACATTTCCGATCACCAAATAATTTAGGATCCGGCAGTGAGGTAAACATCCCGCTGCAGAAGAATAGTACTTCTAAGTCTTACGATGGATCCATAGATGAATGTGAAGGGGAATTCAGCCGCTTTCAGAGATGAGTGTACACGTTGCCTTAGAGTCAAAGCCCCTATTGTCCTCAGCAATGATGTTTTTAAGCCTCTTTTCCCCTTCGCTGGCCAGAGTACTGCCATAATAGCAGAAAGCGACACGATGACTCCTATCCTAGCGAGTTGAGCAACCTCGTTACAACTTCCTCGGCATTTTGGACTACATGTGATAGATACACTTCATTAGTTCTGCAGTCGATGCGTCCACCGGGCCGATGCAATGCGGTTGTAAGCATCTGCGTTAAAGTCCCGACAAAGATACAGTTCTGTTTCTGCCATCCGATCTAGGATCGGTGAGTTGTTATATGGTGCTATATAGAGATCGAGTTGGCATGCAGAACTATGGCCGAAACCTGCCCTCAACGATCTCGATCACGTTGAGCTGTTCGGGTCTGTCGCGTCCACAAATTCCAAAATGGCAGTTATACGCCGAGTGGTATTCAATGATATACCAACACTAGATAAGGAGATAATAGTATTCATGGAGGAGCACGCACGCAGCCTGCAGCTTGCTCACTGGTCTGGTAATAGTGATGTCTTATATAGCCATAGAAGTGGCAACACTGTCCACTTGCAAGACTCCTGCTTCCTAACTGCGGCAACTTCGGCCCACCTGCAAAGATAAACCAATGCACGAGGCCAAAAATGCTTCCTTCCAGGGACAGATATCCATTGCTTCCTCTGTGTCTTGAAGCCGCTGCAGAGCCATCTCAAAGTTGAGGCTATAATAGCGAGGCTATAGATATAGCATCGCCAAAACCCACATCTTCAGCCTCAAAAATGAATCATACCATCTAAAGAAGCCTCCAATGGTGCACATACGCCGGAGATGACAGAAAGACTAGCCAACTGGCAGACGCTTCGTTGGCGACCGCCCATTCACTTC